CTTCCAGGGTGGGTAAATCTTGTGTCTTCCAGTACTTTGCAATAAGAATTCTTGCTGCTGTTGTGGCATACATAAAGAAAATTCTATCCTTCTTTGGCACCAATTGGCTGACTATGCCCAGGAGAAAGGCCTTTGGTTTCTTCAGGAAGGTATATTTAAATACCTTTTTCATTTCGTTATAGATCATCTCCCAGAAAGCCTTAATCCTTGGGCACGTCCACCAAAGGTGAAAGAATGTACCTTCAGTTTCTTTGCATTTCCAACATTTATTATCGGGCAAATGATAAATTTTTGCAAGCTTGACTGGGGTCATGTACCACCTGTGTATCATTTTCATAATATTCTCTCTTAGGGCATTACATGCCGTGAACTTCATACCTGTGGTCCATAACTGTTCCCAGTCAGCCATCATAATGTTATGTCCAACATCTTGTGCCCATTTAATCATAACAGATTTCACTGTTTCATCTTGAGTATTCCATTTCAACAGCAAGTTATACATTCTTGACAAATTCTTAACTTTAGGATCTAACAGTTCTGTTTCCAGTTTTGATTTTTCCACCTGGAAGCCAATTTTCTTGTCCAAATTGTATGCCTCCATTATTTGATAATAGTGAAGCCAATCTCGCACTTTATTTTTTAATTTTTCAAAGCTCTGCAATTTCAATTTATCTCCCTCTTGTTCCAGAATTTCCCAATATTTCGGCCATTTGGCCTCCATATTGAGCTTTTTCTGAGCCTTCGCTTCCATCGGTGACAGCCACCTTGGAGTTTTATTTCCAAGTAGTACAAGAACTAGGCTGTTCGAAAACTGAGGGACCACTGTATTTATTTTTCCCAATTTGAACTGTATTTATTTCCCCCGATTTGAACTGTATTTATTTCCCCTCCCCCCTAGTGGTGAACACAGACACACACACACACACACACACACAAACACACAAAATACACACGTGGCCAGAGTTTCCACTTTAGGGAGATTTTTTAAAGCTGGATTCAGCAAAAATCAGGCAAGACGTGTGGCAGCCCTAGAATGAGAAAGAACTTTTAAAGAAGACTGGGAAAGATTTGTGGAATATTTGAAAAATCATTACAAACATATTAAAATGTTAACAGGATTTCAGCAGTATGAAGTATACTGGAACAAAAAGTGAAAAAGAGAGAAAATAGACTATGCAGTGGTAAAGGTTTAATAAAATGAACCATGGACGGGGAGAAGGGAAGTCAGTGGGAAATGTATGGTTTGTACATTTGCGGGTGGGAAATGGGAAGGGCCATTTATTCAGGTGGGGGTAAAGTCCATCTCCATACTTCTTAAACTTCTGGAATCAAGATCAGGCTGAGGATCCAAGAGCTTCCTGGGAGCTCTTCAGAAGATTTATAGGGTGTTTAATGCTGTGAATCTTTACCTACAGTCAACCCATATAACTATGCAAGTCCTATATGACAAAATGCCAATAGGTCTCCAGTGACTTCATTGCAATGGAAGCAGAACCTGAGGGCATTCTGAGCCCCTGAACTCCTCAAAGCTTGGAGAATTGGGACACACAAACACACACAGAGACAAACAAACAAACAAACAAACAAACACACTCGTCGAAGTAGTTAATTACCAGGTTACAAGGATCAGAAAGAAACTGTCTGGAAGATAGAGAGAGCTGCAGCTTATAGGACGCAGCAATTGCGAAGGGAAGTCTTCCCCATCAACTTACGTCCATGCCAAGGAAAAGCATCACTTGCTTGAGGGGTGGTGAACCTGTGACCCTGCAGACGTTGGCCATGGTGACTAATGCTGATGGGAGTTTGGAGTCCAACAATATGTGGAGAGCAGCATGTTGGCTACCCTTGCCTCAGACAGAGATTGTGGGGCTGGAAACCATTGCAGAACAGCCAGAACATAAATACAAGGAGCCTAGCAAAATACAAGGCCAGGAAAAAGTGATTTGGTTATTTTACTTTTTGTTGTGAAATTGGGTAGAAGTCTTTTCCTTACACTTCTAGAAGTGAAAAGAACCAGGAATGACCTCTAAAATGTTGGGATATTGGGGAGTTGGGATGGGGGCTCTAGGCCTCTTTGGCATGTGGAAAACTATCCTGGCAGGGAAAACGCGTTTCCTGCTGTTTTTCTAAACTAAGGAAGTGTTGCCAGGAGATGTTATATTGACGTCAACTGTTGCTTTGCTGAGAACATGATTTATTTATTTATTTTTAGTACGGTATATAAAGTTAAAACAAAACTGAAAATGAACAAAAGTATCTGAAGATTGAAAGGGGGTGAGAGCAGAACATTATGGCTGAGGTAAGAACCCCTTTGAATAGGGGACATTTTCTATCAATCCCCACCCAGTCCAAAATACCTTCCCTTTGATTGTTTTCCCTTTGACTGTTTTTTCAAAGTAAGAATTGCCACTTGACTTGCTGTCTGTTATACCCTGCTATCTCTGGCTACAAGCCAATGTGCAGTTAGGAGCAAAGTGTCATTGAACACAGTGAGACTAACTTCTGTGTAAGAATGCTTAGGATAGTTTTGTCTCTAGCTCAGAGCTTTCCAAACTGTGTGTTGCGACACATTCATGTGTCGGCTGGAGTGTGTTGGTGTTTTCACGCAAATGGTCCCTGCGCTCCTCCTGGGCTGGAAAAGGGTTGGTTTAACCTTCGGTTTGCTAGTCAAACTTAATTACTGTGTCACAAAATATGGTCTGAGGCTCAACATCAAAAAAAGAAGATCTTGGCCGCTGGGCCCATCACCTCCTGGCAAATAGAAGGGGAAGAAATAGAGGCAGTGAGAAATTTTACTTTCTTGGGCTCCATGATCACTGCAGATGGTGACAGCAGTCATGAAATTAAAAGACCCCTGATCCTTGGGAGAAAGGCGATGGCAAACCTAGACAGCATCTTAAAAAGCAGAGACATCACCTTGCCAACAAAGGTCCGTATAGTTAAAGCTATGGTTTTCCCAGTAGTGATGTATGGAAGTGAGAGCTGGACCATAAAGATGGCCGATCGCCGAAGAATTGATGCTTTTGAATTATGGTGCTGGAGGAGACTCTTGAGAGTCCCATGGACTGCAAGAAGATCAAACGCATCCATTCTTAAGGAAATTAGCCCTGATGCTCACTGGAAGGACAGATCGTGTAGCTGAGGCTCCAATACTTTGGCCACCTCATGAGAAGAGGAGACTCCCTGGAAAAGACCCTGATGTTGGGAAAGATGGAGGGCACAAGGAGAAGGGGACGACAGAGGACGAGGTGGTTGGACAGTGTTCTGGAAGCTACCAGCATGGGTTTGACCAAACTGCAGGAGGCAGTGGAAGACAGGAGTGCCTGGCGTGCTCTGCTCCATGGGGTCACGAAGAGTTGGACACAACTAAACGACTGAACAACAACAACATAAAAAGTGTTTCACCAGCATGAAAAGTTTGGAAAGCTCTGCTTTAGCTCCTTCTCCCTGCCTTTCAAGTCTGACTTATAAAAACTGTGCTGAATAATCACAGGATCCAAAGGTTGAAAAATTCAACTACTTGTGGGGTGGGGGAAGAGAGCGAGGCTCCTGCAAGCCAGGGATACTAAGTTTTGATTTCTGGCAAAAAGAGAGCTTGGAATGAAATCCACGATAATAGCAGCAACTCAGTAAAGTGCTGGGCTCTGTACTGTTTATATGCTTGTAATTGTAAGTTTTCTTGACTTAAATGTTTTTATTTAAGTTTGCTTGACTTTCATTTTTATACTTTATTTTATTGTGCAATAGTTGAACTGATTTTTGTTTCTGCCTTTGGTTCATTATAAAACCAATAAACATTTCGTCTTTTAAAAAAAGAGCTGGGAAGGGAAACAAACCTCAAGAGCAGGAAACAGCTAAGAATAGGGGGATTTCCTCAGTGAAAGGGGATTTCCATCTGGCCTTGCAGCATCTACAGTGGTACCTCTGGTTACGTACTTAATTCGTTCCGGAGGTCCGTTCTTAACCTGAAACCGCTCTTAACCTGAAGCACCACTTTAGCTAATGGGGCCTCCTGCTGCCGCTGCGCCACCTGAGCACGATTTCTGTTCTCATCCTGAAGCAAAGTTCGTAACCCGAGGTACTATTTCTGGGTTAACAGAGTCTGTAACCTGAAGCGTTTGTAACCCGAGGTACCACTGTATTGGATGGGGCAGGAGGTGATGTGGTGCTTTTCTCAGGCTTAAAGAACATGAGAATAGCTTGCATCCTGTTCTCATAGTGCAGTGGTGGCAAACCTATGGCACTCAGGCCTCTCTGTGGGCATGTGAGCCATTGCCCCAGCTGGTAGCTTCCGTGCTTCCCCAGCTGAACAGTCACGATCCAGCTCCTGTTCCCGTGCAAGCAGCAGCGCTGCCTAGCGGAGCAGCCTGATCCCACTCCTAGTTGCCCGCCAGCAGGAGCAGGTGGGGCGGGGACATTCCTTGCCTGCTCGCTTGCCACTCAGGCCCAGCCTTCCCTCACTCAGCGCCGGGGCTGCCACAGCTGGAGAAGGAAGTGGTTGCTGTTATAGCGGCAGTGGCTGGAACCAGCGCTGGAGGGTGGCAGGTGCCTGCTTGCTTGTCGCCCGCCCCCCTTCCCTCACTAGGAAAACGGAAGTGTGGCACTCAAAATGGAAGTTATACTCAGAACAGAGCACGTTCGGCTTCTGAAAAAGGTTCCAAAACCGGAACACTCATTTCCAGGTTTGAAGTATTCAGCTTCCAAGTAGTTCGAGAACTAAGCTGTTGGAAAACTGAGGTGCAACTGTATTTATTTTCCCCAATTTGAACTGTATTTATTTTCCCCAATTTGAACTGTATTTATTTCTCCCCCGGTGGTGAATACATACACACACACACACACAAATACACACATGGCCAGAGTTTCCACTTTGGGGGGATTTTTTAAAGCTGGATTCAGCAAAAATCAGCCAGGACGTGTGGCAGCCCTAGAATAAGAAAGAACTTATAAAGAAGACTGGGAAAGATTTGTAGAATATTTGAAAAATCATTAGAAACATATTAAAATGTTAACAGGATTAAAAGTGAAAAAGAGAGAAAATGGAAAATATAGAATATGCAGTGGTAAAGGTTTAATAAAATGAACCGTGGACGGGGAGAAGGGAAGTCAGTGGAAAATGTATGGTTTGTATTTTGGCTTAATATTATTGTGCAAATTTGTAAAATTGAAAATGATAAATACAATAAAAAAGATAACGATGCCACAGAGTGAGGTCTGGGATAAATATTTGCCATAAGCTACATAGGTGTGAGAAATCTGTGGTCCTCCAGATGTGGTTGGATTCGAACTCTCATCAACCCTAGCAACTATGGCTAATGTCCTGGGGTTATAGGAGTTGTGGTCCAGCAACATCCGGAAGACCACAAATTCTCCATCCCTGAGCTACAGTATAAAAGAAAAGGGTGCCTCTGTGGCTGTGATCCTATGTATTTGGGAGTGTGTTTCATAGAACCTAGTGGGACTTACTTCTGAATAAACTTGCACAGCTGTTTTACGACGCAATACATTGGCTCACTTACCTCTGGGAGAGACCAGAGCCTGGAGACCAGATTGAGATTTATCGATTGGGTTACCAGCACTGGGCTATCTACGTAGGCGAGGGATATGTGGTTCACCTGACATCTGCAGGTAAGAGCTTCTCATTATTTCCTAGAAAGGGTGGTTTTATGAGAGGGAAGAATAAGATAGAGATCATTGGCAGATTACCCCTGAAGAAACACAGCCCTTGGGGGGGGGAAGGTTCCCCACCACTGGCTTAGGGACTAATTGTTGCTGGAAGTTCTATGTCCTGATACTTGCAATTGTTGTAAGCCAGTTAGAGGACTGCTTTGTAGCCAAGAGATTGCAATCTGGTTGGTTGTAAGTTGTTTTGGGTTGCCTTGGGCAAGATAAGAGTGACTAACAATTTTTTTTAAAAAATAGTATTTGTCAAAACAACAACAACTGATGACTTCTTGAAGACAATGTTGTTGATGAAATGCAGGGAATCCAGGCCTAATGGTCACTGCTTCTGAGTTTCTTTTCTGTCTCTATTCTTGAGATGGGGGTACAGGAAGTATTTTCTCTATTCCCCTATCTGCCGACACAACAACGGCAATGGTGAAGAAAGAAAAGCTTTCAAATGTGGCGGGGCTAAGCAGCTGGAAGGTCAACAACGAGAAGGACAGAAAATATAATGCCAGGCCTGTAAGTGAAATAATTAGCATTGCAAACCAATGTGTTGGGATGGAGATCGACTACGATGTGGAAACGATGAACTGTGAACATTTTGCTGCCATACTACGATATGGCCAACCTGACAGTAGACAGGTGTGTAGAATTTATTCACGTTTTCCTAGTGGCAATCTGTGCTGTGATATTGAAATTCTTTCTAAACTCTTGCTCCTGGAGAAATGAGGTGAGATTAAGAAGCAGTTAATTTACTTTATTTTTATGTAGATTCAATTTCTAACCCTGATTTACAAAGATGAGGAGCAGAACTGAACATTTACTTGGAGTATATTGAAGGACTGCAAACCAGAACAGGAAAAAAATAGATATCATAACTTTAAAAAATAACTTGAGTTCACACATTCATGTCTGAAGGGACAAATGAAAATATTAAAAACTCAGAACTCAGGTTTCCAAATTAATGACAGACTTGTACCCTGATGAAAAATGTTGGATCTGTATTCTTTTAATATAGCCACAGAATACATATTTTTGCACCAAAGCATGTTCTTTTATAAGGAATTAATTTCTAAAGCATATTTTAAACCCAGAGTTAATTGCCTTGGAATTTGAGAATTTCAAATCTGGCTATTTTCTGTCTCCAAAAGAAACATTTAAAGCAAAGTTTTACATCAACTCAGTTGTGAGAAATGAAGGACCATCGGTCGCTGTGAATAAAAATGCTTAAACCTCTTATTTTTTGCAGGCGGAAGTTGTTTCTGTTCTAAGCCGGATACCAGACATGTTCCGTTCGTAAACACCATTAGTTGGTGTTAAATATATGATGAGACATGTGAACAATCTAAAAGACTGTTGGAGGACAATCCTAGGTTGGCTTCTAACAAGATCCCATTATAAAAGAACAAGAGTTATTGAATAAAAACAAAAACATCAAATCAATCAAGATTTAGGTTTTCTGTCTTCATCTATTGGTGTGAATTTTGAAGGATGGCTCTGTTTAAGTTTGTGCATTAAGAATTTGAATGTGAATTGAATCAAAGTTCTCCCTGCTGCCTCTAGATGTGGTAGAGGACACTGATCAACGTTGAAGTAAGGTTCAGTTGCCAGTCTGGTCAACTTCTGTACTTGGAATGGATGCCGCCATCTTGTTTCAGGCCGCCCTTGACACGTACAACGATTCGCTGCAGGCCTCGGTTGTTAAAAATCAATACGTGTCTGTATAAAGAATCCCACAACAGTGTAGCTTGTGAATTCATTGGCATTTGGGGTTTCATAGCCCCCTTCAACGGAGGAGGGGAAAGAGTCTTCTTTACTTGTGCGTTTAGCTGATATCTCAGCCCTCAATCCTTCTTTCTTCACCCCAACTTCCCATTTTCATCTGGTCACAGTTCATTGCTACAGCACTCCTGAAGTAAAATGCCTTGTGGCACGAGTCTGAAATGTAATCACAGACCTTTCCACTTTCAATCTAAAGTTCTCCCTACAGAGTTAATGCAAAAGCCCGCTTCAAATGTTTCGGAGAAAAGTCAGGTGGCCCTTTTGCTGTTCTTACCCTCCTGACTGCCCATTGTGATGTTTAAAACTTGTGTGATGGTTTAAAACTGCTCAGTGTACACTAGGTTCCATTAACTCCGTTTCACGCAGAAGTATTTAACCATGATCTTTTGACTAATCACATTTAGGCTTTACAAGTAATTGAGGTGTTCAGAATTGTTTCATTTTTTAAAAAGCCCTGGTTATTAACCAGTTATACCTGGGGGAAAACTGAGACAATATTTTAGTTGTTACAGGGACACATCATTCAAATTCTATACACATTTCACGGCATAAGCTCCATATCAAATTAAAATGCCAAGATGGCATATTGGGGGAGAAAAACATGTTCAAGCGTTTTGTCACAAAGCTAAGTTAGGTGACTCGTAAAGTACCTCCCACAGTGACCAAGGCTTGACACAAACCACATTTTACTGTGTTAACTTGGCAGATGTAGGTCTGACATGGAGAACCTATTACAAGAACATTCACAAGAGGATTTTTGGGAACTGCTTGTTCTAAAAGAGGACATTGAATTCCATTTCTTTAACCACTTTTAGACTCTTTTTTTTTTAAAAAAAGGCTGCCATTTAGTTAAATCAATCAATCAATCAATCAATCAATCAATCAATCAATCATATTATTAGTATGAATAGTAGTAGCAAACATTTCATATCTATCTATCTATCTATCTATCTATCTATCTAATCTATCTATCTACATCTAATTTTAATTAAATTTTCTGTTTTACAGTTTTGAATACTCATTTAAACATCCTTAAAATATCAGTGACCTCCCTTCTTCTCTTTCTGTGGTTCATTTTGCATACCATAAATCCCTGCTTATTTTACATAAACTAAACCATTCAGTATTCCATTATAACATCAATCAAAACTTATTTACACTGTTAAACTTATTTACACTGTTGCATGCTGCCAACGTTTTCAGTTGTACACAATTATTTCCCATATATCCAATAAACTTTGTCCAATCTTCTCTAAATGTGTGTTCTTCTTGTTTTCTTATTCTATATTGTTAAGTCCGCAAGCTGTCCATATTCCATCAGCTTACGTTGCCATTCTTTAGTTGGGACCTCGATCGTTTTCCATTTTGGGGTTAGTAGCAAACATTTCCATCCTGCCCTTAAATGCCAAACAATTATATATATGCACAGTAACATTAAAACAACACAGAAATCTTACCATAGGCTTACACAGTCTCCTTTTAAAATACCGTATTTTTTGCACCATAACCCTCACTTTTTTCCTCCTAAAAAGTAAGGGGAAATGTCTGTGCGTGTTATGGAGGGAATGCCTATGGGTGGCATGCCTACGGATTTTCCTCCTCTAAAAACTACGTGCGTGTTATGGTCGGGTGCGTGTTATAGAGCAAAAAATACGGTAAACACACCAGGCCTCACTATAGCAGCCCCTCTCCCCACCAAAAGAAACTTGGACAAAGAGGTACCTAAGTCTTTAGGTGACACAGAAAATCAAGCAATGTAAGCACCAATTAAACTTCAAGGGGGACGGCATCTCACAACCAGGGCAGCTACCACCGAGAAGGCCCTGTCTCAGAATACTGAACTGCATACTTCATCTGGAGGCGGAAGAACGAGATGAGCCTCATTGATGGATCTTAAAGCCAAGGTAGGATAGGTTATGGGCTAAATCATGGGTAGGCAAACTAAGGCCCGGGGGCTGGATCTGGCCCAGTCGCCTTCTAAATCTGGCCCCTTGGACGGTCCAGGAATCAGCATGTTTTTACATGAGTAGAATGTGTCCTTTTATTTAAAATGCACCTCTGGGTTATTTGTGGGGCCTGCCTGATGTTTTTACATGAGAACAATGTGTGCTTTTATTTAAAATGCATCTCTGGGTTATTTGTGGGGCATAGGAATTCGTTCATTTTTTTTCTTTCCAAAATATAGTCCGGCCCCCCTCAAGATCTGAGGGACAGTAGGCCGGACCCCTGCTGAAAAAGTTTGCTGACCCCTGTGCTAAATCATATAAGTTTAGCTCAGTTAATCAACTGAATGAATTTGCATATATTCACACATAGATAAAACAATATTACTGAAGGGGGGAAAGGCACACTGTTTTTATATGACACTTATGTGTTGTGTGTGGCGGTGGGGAGAAGAAAACACAGGGGCATAGCAAGGGGCCTTATCTCAAGCTGAAAAGCTACCGTTCAGTTCAGGAACATGTGAATACTGCATCCATGTCTTCAAGCTCCCACCTCTCCTCCAATGTCTGCACGAGCATCACTGCCTGCCACCATTCACACTCTGAACCTTCTACATGTTCTGGCACATGCCAAGGGGTCTGTGAAATCGCACCATAAGTAATTTGTTTATGGAATCCACGATGCAATGACTAGAGGGGTTTGGAAGGGATAAGGAGAATGAAAGCATGGTGGATCAATGGCTATTGGCCATGATACTTAAAACAGAATTTTGAGAGACAGCATACCTCTCTTGTGCTGTAGGACCTTTTCCTTGTCTGCTATTGGGTCCCCAGAGCACAGAGTCACACAAAGTGGCAAAACGACCTTGCAGGGTACCACAGGGTTTATTTGAAATGCATATGCGCAATAAGCTCGCAGTCTGCACACTCAATTCTGAGCAAGCCAGCTTTTTATACATTTGCAGAATACAATACCACCTGATTTCTTGTAAACCACCTGATTTCTGGGAAATTGAAAGTTATATTAACATAGCTGTCAAGTGTCCCTTATTTGAAGGGACAGTCTCTTATTCCAGCGCCATGTCCCGCTGCTGTCCCTTATTGATGGATGTCCCTTAAATGTCCCTTAAATGATGTCCCTTAAATTTCAAAGGAAGCAGCTTCTCTTCCTCCCTCCCTGCCAGCCAGGGAGGAGGGAGGCTCCAACTGTGTTGCTTGGCTGTGTTGCTCACCCAATAAGAAGTCTAAGAATGACTGGGGGGTGGAACTTGCATGCCTTGTGTGTGGCTAGTTAATGCAAGCTGAGGGAGTTTTTGAATGCTGGACGCCATTTTGTTGCACGTGCTGCTGCAAACTTTGCAGTGCAAAGCCAGGCTGGGGAGCCATCTTAAGTTGAGGCTGCATAGGGCTTGTGGTGCATGTGATTCAGATTCTATTCAGTTGAACCTCTGGTTACAAAGTTGGTTGAACAGTGTTCTCGAAGCTACCAGCATAAGTTTGACCAGACTGCAGGAGGACAGGAAGACTGGAGTGCCTGGAACAGGTGAGGCTGCAGGTCCCTTATTTTCAAGGCTGCTGGTCCCTTATTTTCAAATCTGTAAGTTGACAGCTATGTATATTAAGTTTCTATTTCCTTACATGGGCGTATTAGCAACGGGCATTCCTGAGTCCTCCTTATCTCTTTACAACCTTCAACAAAATTTTGAGAGGCCCTGCCAGCCTTGTTCTTATCTTCATTTGCTTAAGCAACACATTCTCCACCTTCTCTGTAACATCTAAGAGAGGAGAAAAAGCCTTGCTCTTCTGGCTGGTGTAAAACCTCCAGGCCTTAAAGGAAGGGGGTTTTGGGATAACATATGAGAGAGGAGAAAATGCATCAAAGAGTTTTTGGGATCATATATAGAACAATATTCTAATGGCCCTTCAGTGCCACTGCAAGAAAAAGAATACTGAATTAAATGGACCTTTCGTCTGACCCAGCATTTTGTCTGACAAAAGCATTTTGTAGCCCTGTGTTCCTTCAGTGGGGGGCAGCAGCTGAGATAGAGCATCTAGCCTAAGGCCAACCAGGGAATTTATAGCTTAATTTATCAGTGCAAATCAGCGGGTCATGACATTTCAACGGCACCAGGGATGTCCTGCTGATTCCTAAACCCTGATTTGCTTTGCACAAGGGCAAACACCAAATGCATCATTTCTACAGAAAGCTGGCACAAACTCGGGATGAAACGGTTGCATATTTTCTAGCTCGTTATGCATACAGGGACATTGAAAGGGATGTTTTCTCTTGCTGCGATTCTGACACACTTTTGGACAGACGGTCCAGCGTTCATGAAGCAGAGGGGGGTGAGGCAAGTCTGCATCCAAGACCGAAACCAAGTGTGATTGCTGAGTCACAGGATACAGCGTGAAGACTCAAATTCTTGCTTGGCATTTGGCAGCTGTCAAAATGATAGGCTTGCTTCACGCTATCTGTCTAGAGCGAACAGAAGCACTTCAAACCAAACCTGTTTCTGCACTTGACATCAGTTACAATTAAGGTAAATAAGTGGAATCTCACGAATCTTGACAGGTGGACAGAGTTCCTGTTTGAATCAGACACTAGACCTTGAACTCTGCTCCTTAAGAGTGATTGGAAGGGCTTTAGCTCAGCGGTAAGAGAATCTGCTTTGCACCCAAAAGGTCCAAGGTTCAATCCCCAGCCTCTCCACATAGGGCTTTGAAAGTTGCCATCTCTGAGTGCAGCACACGGTCAGGCAACCTTAGACCTGGGAGCCTCTGACATTTCTATCCAGCTTTGGGGCTCTTCCTGGGTCACACTCTCTCTTCCCAGGTCACACATGTGATGTTGGTTTCTGTGTGTTGCCACTGTGCAGTGCTTGGAGTCACAGGACTCTGTTTACATTCCTGGGATTCCATACTGTTGGAAGTCTCACGGGAGACGGATGAGACGTTACTGGTTTCCTGTTCCTTTGTTTGTTTTCGGTTGCACTCTGCTCTCACAGAGAGACGATGTATTTTTTTCTGTCTGCGTAGCTTAGAAAATAAAGCATAGCCATGTAGCCATAAATCTCACCACTTCCGCGAGCTGCTTTGATTCTCTGCTGAATGGGATGTGCCTGGAGCCAGAGGCTCAGGTCGTTAATTATCGTTGGAGGCGATTCTGGAGGACTCGGCTGGAGGAGGATGAGCTTTATCACCTCGGTCGAGCGGAGATTCTGATATGTCAATGCCCCTGCTCCACTCCTCCTTCGTGTGCTGTTGACTGGCTGGGATGTGTTTTTGAACTGTGACAATGCCTCTCTTTTGTCCAGTTTGAGAGTTATGTGTGCCTGGCTGGAATGTCACCTATTGCACAAAGATTCACGTCGTTTTGCTGCACTTGCATTTCGCCTCGGGCCCCATCTGGCACAGGCGCGTGGCCCCTGGAAAGTTGCTCAGGAGGGAACATGGCCCTCAGATTGCAAAGGAAGGACAGTGTGTTTGGGGATCCGCCTCCTTTTTCTAGGTGCCCCACCTGACAAAGGGCCGCCAGGTGAATTCGTAGATGCACTAGGTGGGCGGTCTGCAGATGCTAGGATAGTAGAGGTTACTTGGTCAGTCAGTCCTTGTTCACCTTCCACAGGGTTCAAGAGATGATCTTCTCTCCCTTCTGTCCTTAGTCCAAGCCAGACAGTGAGAAGGAATGGCACTCTCTGGCTGCTGCTTTTGTGCCATAATTTGAGCGTGTTTGCAAAATATCCAAAATCTCTTTGGAAAACCTGCCCTTCTACACACACAGCCACTCCCCATTTATTCCCTAAGTCTTGCTGCCCTCTAGCGATAGATGCTGTTGAATTTCAAGAGCACAGTGTCACAGCCCTGTTGATCTTGTTCTTGTGGAATGAGATCGTTTGCATTATTACTCAGAAGTTTGTTCTGAATTCAGTGGACTAAATTCATATCAGTGTGCCTAAGACTGCAGTCTAAGGCTGCATCTGCTCCTTAAATTGTGTTGATATCATTGCCCGAAGAACTACTCTTTGAATTCACAATTTACCTGTTTAAAAGAAATAACACGGTACACCTTTTTAGGTAGCTCACAGGGCTGTCCTGTGCATTTTTATTAGTGCAGCTGTAGGGTAGAAACAAACTCTTATATTGGATTGATTAGGAGTTCTAAATCTTGAAACTGATCAAATCTGCATATTGTTTCCATCCATTTTTAAAAATTGGTTATCCTTGTAGACCAGGAGTAGGGGACGTGGGTGGCGCTGTGGGTTAAACCACAGAGCCTAGCACTTGCCGATCAGAAGATGGGCGGTTCGAATCCCTGTGACGGGGTGAGCTCCTGTTCTTCGGTCCCAGCTCCTGCCAACCTAGCAGTTCGAAAGCACGTCAAAGTGCAAGTAGATAAATAGGTACCGCTCCAGCAGGAAGGTAAACGACGTTTCTGTGCGCTGCTCTGGTTCGCCAGAAGCGGCTTAGTCATGCTGGCCACATGACCCGGAAGCTGTACGCCGGCTCTCTCGGCCAATAAAGCGAGATGAGCGCCGCAACCCCAGAGTCATCCATGACTGGACCTAATGGTCAGGGGTCCCTTTACCTTTACTGGGCAAATACTGGGCAACTTTTGCCCAGATCCCTACGAGAGAAAACGGATTAACAGGTGACTCAGTTTCATCTTCCTGTGGCCCCTAACACATCCACAAAGAAGCGGGAATGCATCATCAAAACAGAGGACAAAAAAAGGGCACAACTTTGCATGAAATTCCCACATGCTAATTTGCATCTCTAACTGTATGCAGTGCTTTTTTCTTAAAAAAAAAATGTTTAGGGATACTCTCATTTTGACTCAAGAAAATCACCATTTTATAGTTCAAATCAGGAAAAATAAATACAGTAAATGGACAAAAGTACAAAGATTCACAAAATGTTTAGGGGTATGCGTACCCCCAGAAAAAAAGCACTGACTATATGTTTAGACATAACTACTATATTCTAAATAGACATACAATATATTTCACAATAGTGAGCAAGACTATGATTGGATGATTGATGCGTGTGCTTGCTCTAGGTGCTAAGTGTTGATGGGCAATTTCAAGACTCCTCCTGCTCTCCCTTTTTAGGGTTTTTTGATCTTTAACCTGATCTGGAACAGAGAGACCTTCAAACAGAGGGCTGTCATGTGTATAATAGGACACGGACGTTTGGCAGCTGGAAAGAGCATAAATGGAATCAGAGCAAGCATAGAATTCCATCAGCGAACCTCTCCCTGGACTGCTGTAAACAGGCTGCTTCAGAAGCCCTTAAGGAAAACCAGCATCAAAAATGTCACTCAGATCCTGTGCTTCCTCAGTCTCATTGGCTGGAAGGAGCTACATGACTGTGGAGATAGTGGGGAAATAGGAAACCTTTGGGTGCAAAAAGGTTGCCCATTGGGCTTTTGCTGACTGACTTAGCTAGTCTTGACCTACAGCAGGAGTGGGGAACCTCCAGACATTAGACTCTCAATTTCCATCACCTCCTGCCGGGGATGATAGGCATTGCGGAGTTCAGCATCATAGGGAGGGCCAATTCTGGCCTACTGCCAGAACCCAGATGGCAGTGGGAGCATCTAGCAAAGAGCTAGTTTCATTAGATGAAAAGGGAAATCTCTCCTGGGTTAGATGTTCAACTTCCTGAGTGTTTGGAGCAGCTCCTCTGATTCCTAATAGGTTCTACAACAGGTGGTTTGATAAACCTCAGGCATCCTTTACACAGAACATGTCCAAATGCTCAAATCACCACTAGATTCTTTGAGTTTCAAAAACAGGCGTACTCTAGATGGAAAACCAAATCTGTTTTAGTAAAAACAGCAGGTAGGCAGTCCCGTGGCACTTAAAAAAACTAATATGCTTATTACCGCATAAGATTTGGTAGACAAGAGACAGATGGAGCAGATATAAGTAAAAAACATAAAGAAAAGAACTCGTTTCATCAGGTTTCCCCTGGCTCTTAATTTTCTGATCACACTGCTTAGTATTTCTGTTTTGAAGTTCTGCTTCATAGTTCATTGGATTTTATTTTGTGTTCGCTTTTTGGGTGTGGGTGTGTGATTTTATTATTGTCAGTTGTGTGAACTGCTTTGCTATCAGTTATGTAAATAAATGAATGGGGGGAGGGTGTCCTAAGGCACAAAAAGAGGGGGAAACCAGCAAACAGTGGAGCCCAAAGACTGCAAAATGCAGTGGTCTATCGATGTGATATGGTTATGTCAAGTCACTGGCAAATGAACATAGCAAATAAGGAAGCATTTCCCCCCCTGTAGTGGGAAAGCCATCCATTACCGTCACTGAGTTTGGAAGAAAAAAAAAATGCTCAGCTATATATTCCTCACTACCAGTAGATCTGGTTCCAGGTTAAGGAGTGTCTGGGTAGGGGTCCATCAATTAGTGGATTTAGTTGGCAGTGGTGGCAAGAACTGTGCACCAAATAGCACTGGGTGGGTACCGGTAAGTCCATTTTAATTTCCATTTTTCCCCAAAACAATTTTTTTTATTAAGTTTCAACATTCAAAACATAATTTCATCTTTTATTTTTGTCGACTTATCAACCCGTTTTCCATGGAGTTGTTGTTTTTCCCCTTCAGCTGCACCCTATCTTCTATCAATCAAATCAAAACTACAATATTACAGTGGTGCCTCGCAAGACGAAATTAATCCGTTCCGCGAGAGTCTTCGTCTAGCGGTTTTTTCGTCTTGCGAAGCAACCCTATTAGCGGCTTAACGGATTAGCGCTATTAGCGGTTTAGCGGCTATTAAAGGCTTAAAGGCTTAGCGGATTAGCTGCTAAAAGGCTATTAAAGGCTATTAAAGGCTTAGCAGATTAGATAAAGGGGGGGGGGAAGCGAAAAAAAACCCTCAAGACTCGCAAGACATTTTCGTCTTGCGAAGCAAGCCCATAGGGAAATTCGTCCTGCGAAGCAACTCAAAAACGGAAAACCCTTTCGTCTAGCGGGTTTTCCGTCTTGCGAGGCATTCGTCTTGCGGGGCACCACTGTACTTCAATTTTACTTCAGTTGCTCATAGCTCAAATCCTGCTCAAGAGTTCATCAAATTATATTTCTTTCAGTAGTCCGAAAAAGGCATTCATAAAACACTCATCATTAGATTCTCTTAATTTTGCCAGTTCTGCATAGTCGATTATCTTACTTATCCCATCTTCTTTGGTAGGAACTTCTTCCTTCCATTTCTGTGCATAATCCTAGCTGCTGTTGCTATATACATTAAAAAAATCTTTAACATTTTTTCTGCCCCTATAATCCCTAACAGAAACGCTTCATGCTTTTTTGATATACTCATTTTAAACATATTTTTTAAAAGATCTAATCATTTATCATTTCCCAAAATACCCTTGCTTTCCTGCAAGCCACCATTTTAATTTCCTATAAAAGGTAAAAGTAAAAGGACCCCTGACCATTAGGTCCAGTCGTGACCGACTCTGGGGTTGCGGCGCTCATCTCGCTTTATTGGCCGAGGGAGCCGGCGTACAGCTTCCGGGTCATGTGACCAGCATGACTCTGGCGAACCAGAGCAGCGCACGGAAACGCCGTTTACCTTCCCGCCGGAGCGGTACCTATTTATCTACTTGCACTTTGATGAGCTTTCGAACTGCTAGGTTGGCAGGAGCAGGGACCGAGCAACGGGAGCTCACCCCGTCGCGGGGATTCAAACCGATACTTCCCCCCAATTGTTTGGGGAATTGTGGGAAATGAAATGGTGGCTGGAAACCAACCAACCAGTACTGTTTGGAGTGTTGTTGGCCGGAACTACTTATAAAAAAAGCTTGAGGCAGCAAAGTCACTCCTGTCAGGACAGATGCCAAGAATGCCAGGGCCAAGTATGAGTGGTCTGCTGACCATCACCCACATAATTTGGTTTGTCCCAGTTTGAATTCATATTCAGTTGCATGCAGAATTCATATTCAGTTGCATGCAGCCTTTTTAAAAGGCTGTACTGAACTGCCTATCTAAAGCAGTTGCTAATAAAACCATTGTAATGGGTTCCCTATTTTCTGGAAAAATTCATAAATAAAATGGTGAAAGGATAGCACTTCGGTGTAAAATGAATCCCTATCATGGAAATTAGGAACCCAGCAGCCCATTCTCTAAAAGTCTACTTTCAGATGCATATTATTTCTTTGTTAATTTCCATACCTCTTTGTAAGAAATTCTTCTGAAATACTAATGTGGCCAGCTGCTGGGTTGGTACGCTTTGCAAACCGAACATCTGCTTAATTCTGGGCTCTGGGTAATTTCCTACCAACAAACAGCATCGGGATATGTGTGAATGATCGCAGCAATTTTATTTTCACAATCAAAGCTCTAAATCTACCTTCATTTTGCATGGATGAATAATACATGTGGCATGTTTCCCTGGACGAGGTTGCATTGCACTTCAGAGAACAGCATGTGGAGCCCTATTTGCACAGCAAAATCATCTGCTATGTTATGTTTAGGAAGCAGCCATTTTCTTACGTGCCAGTTTACAATTGTCCTCAATGAAGCCTCTTAAAGTACATAATCTGTAATTAATGGGCTACCTCCTTCGGTTGTTCTGGAAAAAACCCATTGATTTCAGTGAGAAGTGCAAAAAACTTGTGCTTCCACTAAAATCTGAGGCCACAGTCACACTCACACCATCCATTTAAAGCACATGACTTTTCCCAAACCATCATGTGCACCAAAGTTTACCCTTCACCAAGCTAATAATAATAACAATAACAATAGCAATAACAATAATAATTTATTATTTATACCCTGCCCATCTGGCTGGGTTTCCCCAGCCACTCTGGGCGGCTTCCATAGAAACCAAAAATACACTAAAATACACTAAAATATCACACATTAAAAACTTCCCTGAACAGGGCTGCCTTAAGATGTCTTCTGAATGTCAGGTAGTTGTTTATCGCTTTGACATCTGATGGGAGGGCGTTCCACAGGGCGGGCGCCACTACCGAGAAGGCCCTCTGCCTGGTTCCCTGTAGCTTTGCTTCTCGCAATGAGGGAACTGCCAGAAGACCCTCGGCGCTGGACCTCAGCGTCCGGGCAGAACGATGGGGGTGGAGACGCTCCTTCAGGTATACTGGACTGAGGCTGTTTAGGGCTTTAAAGGTCAACACCAGCACTTTGAATTGTGCTCGGAAACGTACTGGGAGCCAATGTAGGTCTTTCAAGACCGGTGTTATGTGGTCTCGGCGGCCGCTCCCAGTCACCAGTCTAGCTGCCGCATTCTGGATTAGTTGTAGTTTTCGGGTCACCTTCAAAGGTAGCCCCACGTAGAGCGCATTGCAGTAGTCCAAGCGGGAGATAACTAGAGCATGCACCACTCTGGCGAGGCAGTCCGCGGGCAGGTAGGGTCTCAGCCTGCGTACCAGGTGGAGTTGGTAGCTACAATTCCCAGCACCTTTAACCTACAGTTCCCAGGATCTTGGGTGCTGTTGGGGAGCTATGTGCTTTGCCACATGGCTTTAGAGGGTAGGACTTGATTCACAGGGCTGGATTTAGGTTTGATGAGGCCCTAAGCTACTGAAGGCAATAGGGCCCTTTATATGTCCAGCTGTCCTTTGTCAACAAATTGTCGCTGTTTTTTGTGTGGAATATATGCTATATGGTAATTTATGGACCTGCAGAATGTAGGCACCCTATATATAGAAATGAGCCATTTGCACATGCAGAATGTAGGCACCCTATATATAGAAATGAGCAAACCAGTGATATTTTAGGGAGCAGGTTAGCAGGCGGGGCCCATTACTTATATCACAGGAGCCTACACAACACAAAACACTGTTGCTGTATGTAGGTGTGTTTTTTTTTAATCTTATATTTTGGAAACATACATCCAGTTTCCCCCCTTAATTTTTTTTTGGGGGGGGGCCAAGAGTGAGGCCCTAAGCTATAGCTTGTTTAGCTTATACGTAAATCCAGCAATGACTTGACTTGACTAAACCTCTGGCAGAACTTTTTTTAAAATTAGTTTTTGTTGAGGGTTTTCTGTGCGTGTGTTACAAAACAGATAAAAGGTACGTCTATCAATTCGTAAGAGTCTTTTTTCACAGTTTGTTTACATTGAGCGAGAGACATTTTTCTGTCACAGACACCTCGCCTCCCTCGGGAGGTTGTGAAATCTCCTTCCTTGGAGGTTTTCTTAAGCAGCGCTTTAGCTGAGATCCCTGCATGGGAGAGGGATACGGGGTTGGACTAGATGACCCTTGGGGTTCCCTTCAAACTCTGCGGCTCAAGCACCCTGAGGCCGTTGACCAGCTGCAAACCCTCCGGATGGGGCTGAGCTGCGAAAGTTGGGAGAAAGAGAAGTAACCGCGCGATGGAAAGAACGAGCGCAGACACCGGCGCTGCGCCTTCTTCCCCCGACGGCGCCTCCGTCCGCTGCCCGAGGCAGAAGCGAGGGAGGGAGAAGCAGCCACGTCACTGCCTCCTCCTCCTCCTCCCTCTTTCCCCTTCCCTCCTTCCTTTCTCCCCCTCCGTTGCTGCGGGAAGCAGCGAGGGAGCTGCAGAAAGTCAGTCAGACAGGGGAAGGCGGTCAAGCGCTTGGCCCCTCCTGCCTTCTGCGTCGGGCGCTCTGGGAAACTTTTGGCGACTTCTGCCTTTCTAGCAAGAGGGGTGGAGATATTGACCGGACTGGGCAGTCTTGGGTCATCCCTGGGACGGTAGGAGGGTTTCAGCCTTTTAGAAAAGTCACGTCAGAATGCAGCCCGGCCCTGCGCGCGTGTTTACTTGCGAGTCGGCGGGACTCGCCCCCTAGTGAGCGTGCATTATTAGGAGGAGAGCGGGACAGGAGGGGCTTTGCGCTGGAAATCCTATACGCGTGTCTGTTCAGCAGGGAGCCCCATTGAGTTCACACGAACTTGCCCTCAGGTAAGTGTGTCTAAGGGCTGCACTGCTGTTCTGTCAGCCGGTGCCGGGGATGAAAGTGGACCGAAAGGAAGACTCACCCAGACTTGTTTCAGGAGACATTTATCGGTGAGTCAGGGATGGTCAGCTGGCTGGGTAAATTCAGAAGTCGGGTGTGGTAGTACTGATGGCTAGACTCACAAAATCTTTACCATGTGGCTGCAATCTTGGCTGGGCAGTGTAAGAACTGACCAGGAGGAGAATCCAGTGCTTGGTAGTGTGTTGGGGTTTAAGAAAAAAATAAAATAAAATAAAAACTTTTGTCAGGGGTCTTCATCTGTACGTGCTGATTTGCAAATTTTAAAAATATTTCCCTGTTGAGTAGCTAGAAGATGCAGAGCCCTGAAGACTGTGCATTAAAAAACCCTGGCCATGTTGCGAACCTAAAGAGCTGGCTAGCTGAAGCAGCCGGACAATCTTGGAACAGTTCATGGCTAAGTGGAATGGGAGAATGGAGGCCGATCTGTGGCTATAGGGCTGGCACAGAGCTTTAAAGCTGCAGTTGCAGGTCTTGGCATAAATACTGAGGATGGGTGAATGCCTGGCATTTTGGTGTAACCTTTGAGTAAGGCAGTATCTTCCATCAAGAAGAGACGGGGTTGAGGAAGGCACTATGGGGACTGCTTCATCGTTGGTGAACCCCATCGGCACGGTCGGGGAGGTGATTGAAGACACCTACGAGGGAGGTGGTGGCGAAGCTTGCGAGATCCCCGTGGAGGTGAAGCCCAAAGCCCGCCTCCTGCGTAGCTCCTTCCGTCGTGTAGGGACGTCGCGGCCTGGAGGCCTCATCGGAGCCAGCTTCAAGTCCACAGCGTCCGTACAGGAGCTGGAATGCATGGCGGAGTACGAGCGCCTGAAAAAGGAGTACGAGATCTTCCGCATCAGCAAGAACAACGAGGTGGCCTCTATGATGAAAAAGGAGAACAAGCTGGATAAGGAGAACAAGAGACTTCGGGCAGAGCTACAGGTAACTTGAAAGGCTGGGGCAGCCATCTTGGGCTAGCAAAAAGAGGCATAGGTTTACAAGACCAAACATAATAAAACAACAACACCACCACCACTTTGGAATTGGAGAGCAGCTTCTTGCAAGCTGCCAATTTTTCTATTCTGACACTTAGACATTAACAGTCAAAACCATTGCTTAGCTGTAATTTTTCATCCTAGGGAAAACTCTCTCTCTCTCTCAATAACACTGGTCTTTTTTTAGGCACTTCAGAAAACCTATCAAAAGATACTCCGGGAGAAAGAAAGTGCTCTAGAGGCCAAATATCAAGCCATGGAGAGAGCAGCTACATTCGAACACGACCGGGACAAAGTCAAGAGGCAGTTCAAGGTAAATTGCTCCTTCTAGCAGCCAATTCAGGTGCCGGGTGCCGGTAGCTTTTGAAACCAGGAGTGTCCGCTGTGAAACAAAAAGGAGGTATCAATATGCTTGGGGAATATGTACGGGGGGACCTCCCTGCAACTCAGTGGGCACTGAACACGTATGCCGCGCGTCTGTTAATGGGAGAAAACACAAAACTAGAGGAAGGAATCAAATGGAGCATTTTGAAGAAGGAAAAGTGGCCGAAACCCTAAACAGGGCCACTCCACACTGCAAGATTTTGTTGCAGTTCCCATTTGTGTCTACTTATTTTCCTTCTGTCTTTCACATTGCGTCGTGGTGGGGGCTGAGGGTCCTGTTGCTTGTACACTGGACTGTCCCAGCTGGTGTTAGTTTCATGCCAGAATGAAAGGACTCTCACATACTATTAAGTGGTGTTTTATAACAGCTGTAAATTCTGGCTGGTCATATATAGTTAACCTTACTTTTTTATATAGATTTTTAGAGAAACCAAGGAAAATGAAATTCAGGATTTACTGAGGGCTAAGCGGGATCTGGAGGCAAAACTGCAGAGGCTGCAGGCCCAAGGCATCCAGGTCTTTGATCCTGAGGAGTCGGATTCAGATGACAGCTGCACTGAGGTTACCGGTAAGAATTTTAACCTCCTGCTTTTGCCAGTCGTGGGGGGACAGTGTATATAAATACAGTGGTACCTCGGGTTAAGTACTTAATTCGTTATGGAGGTCCATTCTTAACCTGAAACTGTTCTTAACCTGAAGCACCACTTTAGCTAATGGGGCCTCCCGCTGCTGCCGCGCCGCAGTCACGCGATTTCTGTTCTCATCCTGAAGCAAAATTCTTAACCCGAGGTACTATCTCTGGGTTAGCGGAGTCTTAACCTGAAGCGTATGTAACCCGAGGTAACACTGTATGTAGCATAAGATAGACAAAAAGCTATCGGCTTCTATTCCTGGTGGATTTAAAAAACTAGTACATAATATTAACTTTTAAACAATTATAATCTGCTAAATTACTACCCACCCACCCATGAACTCATCACACAAGCCATTTCAAATTGTAGTATCGCTGTACAGTGATCCTCACGTGCACCACTGCCAACAGATGCTATTTGGCCCCCAAATGTTGCACCCCACCCCAAACTCCTAGCGGTGCAAGATTCCGTGGGTCTTAGGTGCTTCCCCAGTGTTCATGTTTCCTTTTGGAAATGAGGCACAGCAGAGACTGCGGTGTCTTTATGATATAAAGTTTTACCTACATATATATACAACCTAAGCCTATGATGGAGGGGTTGCAGCATTAACACCCCAAAAAGGTCTTAATTTTCCGATAGCTCTAGTCTTGGATTCAAACAGGAATCAAACAATTGCTCTCAAATACTGTTCTGACTCTCCAGCTTGCTGATTTAATTCTTGGTCACATCACTGCAACTCAACTCCTAAACCTTCTAACTATTTGCCATCTCACACAGAGCGTCTTTCCTTTGTTTCCCTTAATGGCCAATCACCCAAGATATTACATCAACACCAGAAGCTAGCCTGGGTTATACAATGATAATAATCTGATTACGTTTTAAGCTGTTGCCTTACATTACTAATAATGATGATGATGATGATAATAATAATAATAATAATAATAATAATAATTTATTTATACCCCGCCCATCTGGCTGGGCTTCCCCAGCCACTCTGGGCGGCTTCCAACAAAATATTAAAATACAGTAATGCATCAAACATTAAAAGCTTCCCTAAACAGGGCTGCCTTTGATAATTCATCATTTGATTTATGTTACACTGATTAAATTGTTGCATGTCGCCTAAATGACTAGGTAATTGATGACCAGTCTATGTAAACAATAGGTATCCATCAGTAAATGCTTGTTTCATTTTTAAGCCACTGGAGCTCAGACTGAGTATTGGACTGGCGGTGCTTTGGGAAGCGAGCCTTCCATGGGCAGCATGATACAGCTTCAGCAGTCCTTCCGAGGCCCTGAGTTTGCACATAGCTCCATAGATGTGGAAGGGCCATTTGCAAATGTCAACAGAGGTAAGGGCTTGGTTCTCTCTGAAGCAAGGGTAATTAAAATTTTAAAAGACCCGAGACAAAATCTTGCAGTGTTGTATCACTTCAAGGCAAACTGTGGCTGAAATGCGGAGTCGACCTGCAGAACAATTCATCTTTTCATCAGTGTTTTAGTTATATCATGTACCAGCACAAATTCCAGCTTCTTTGCAGATGACCTGTAGTGGCAATTGAGGTTTAAACTGGTGAAATAACGATTGATTGATTGATTGATTGAATGAATCTTCCCTCCCTATCCTGAAATGGGTGTTGTGTTGTTGTGGTTGTTAGAAGCATCACTTTTCAAATTCAGAAGTCGTATGTGTGTCTCTCTTTGTGTGAAGCCACCCAAAGGGACTTCTTTTCTTTTTAAAGAGAGCACTACGGCACACGTACTTGGTAGCCCAGGATATTTTCATTCGCTGCTACGAAACGTGACATTCAGTTTAAAGAAATATTGATGAATGAACAACATTTTGTGGACCTTAAGTTCCAGCCTGGCAACATTGACAGGCCATGCCAATTGCATACCGTCCCCTGTGGCTGCTGGAAGAGCATGGTGGGAGGGATGGACTGGCTGGCCTGCATTAAGCCGATTGGTGGTTTTGAATCGGCTAACAATGTGTTTGTGTGTGTTGTCTTTTCTTACGTTTGCAGATGACTGGGATGCAGCTGTCGCTAGTTTGCTGCAAGTCACTCCCTTGTTTTCCCACTCTTTGTGGAGCAATACAGTTAGGGTGTATCTCATCAGTACGGAAGAGACTCAGCAAGAAGTAGACATCTTCATACAGGTGATAAAAATGCGTGCAGGATATACTAGTGATTTTCGACACTTTTCTGCATTCTGTTGCCACAACACTTTGCAATCTGCTTCACATGGACAATAAACCGTATCCTGATTTCACAGTTTTCGAAACAGGGAACATTGCCCAGTTAGTAGAGCCTGTGTTTTGTATTTATAAGATTTCTAGGTTACTGCTTGCCATTTTCCAGTTTAAAAGTAATTTTGAGTCATATTGCTGAGCGAGGTGTCTGCCTCAAGGTATAGAGAACTGCTACCCACCAGAGTAGACAGTATAAGCCTTAAATATATTACTCGGCTCATAAATAATGTGGCTTTTTTATGTCATATGGTGTGAAATTTTCTGAATTTATGACGTCTTGGTGACCTGGTGTGTGACACAATGAATCACTTCAGTGCAAAGAGTGTATTATTCTGGCTGTGTGACACAGCAACTTTATTTTGAATTTTGGTTTGATCAGAATGTAACTTCCATCCACCTGGTTGTAGTCCACACTGTCATTTATTTACCTATCTACCAACAAAATCTCAGTATAATGTACAGCAACTGGATATGTGTTTTATTATAGTTATGCTTAGCTTGAAATGCCCCTGGGCCTTTGCAAACCTTTTTGAGAAAGGGAAGTTCAAACCCCTCCAAACCAGAACTGCTGCCTTCACTTTGAACCTACCCGATCACTAAAATCAATGTTGAAATCTGGATTCTGCGACCATTGGAGGTGCAGTGGGTGGGAGGTCCAGTGTTGTGGAACACTCTTCCAACAGGGGTCCGTCCGACACCATTGCTACCCATGTTTCGTGGAGCAATGAAAATACGGCTGTTCTAGTGAGCTTTTGGGTCTTACGTCAACTGATTTGAAACTCTTCTATTTTCAACTGTGCGTGAAATTGTGCTGTGATCTTGGGTATTATTCTTGTGCTTGTATAATATATTATTTTGGTCTTTCAGTACTATCTTTGCTCGGTTGTGTGGACCAGTTTGAGTATCCTTGTATAGAAAAGCGAGTTATAAATTATTGTAAGTAAATAAATCTGAGAAACGAAAGAATGGGACTGTCTCTTGGCATGTCCTTGGCATCGTCCAGAGTGTCTTGTAGCTAACTGGAGAGAAAATAAATCGATTTAGGAAGGAAGGTGGTATCCAGCATGTCAAATGACTCTCAGGCTTACAACCCACTACTAGTAATCATTTATGAATGACTGTGGCTGAGAGTAGACTTAATGGTTAACAGTGATTACTGCTAGCCAGAGTTTCTTGTGTTAACCCCGATTAGAGAAACCCAGCGAAACAATGGCTTAGCTTGCTCAATCTTGTTTTTTGTGATGGCAATTTAGCACCCATAACAAAACCCACGTTTTCCTCTTAACTTTCAGAAATACTCTCCCAAACTTCGGAAATATTGTGAAACAATGGAATACTTCTTCCAAGCTGTCCATTTTCCAGTAGAAACCGAAAGTACTTTCCAGGCTGTGAGAAAATGGGAAATTGAGAAAAGCTCTTTAGCCATTTTGTTCTTGCATCTGAATTTGCCAAGGTGAGTTAGCAGCTTAGGAAACCGTTAAACAGAAACAGGCAAGTACATCAGTAAAAGTGGACTATGTCACTAAGATGTTCCTGGGTATATGGAATATATTTTCAATCAGTTTTGTTTTTAAATACTTGAATACAGAACCTGCCTTAAACCAGATTAAAAAACTCAGTTTGTCTCAACACCACAGGTTTTCTAACATATTCCAATTGAAGTACGCTTACTTTATTCAGATGTATACACCAGAATTCTTCCTAGAAAGAATACTAAGAGCGCAATGTCTAATGCCTACTTACTGTGTTTAATGGGGTTTATAGGATTGCAGCCTAAGGGTACTTTTCCTTAAAAGACCCATTTGGTTTTATTTATTTTTGTGTCTTTCTTTACAACTCTGAATCTCAGTACGTTTTTGCCCTCAGTTTTTTAAAGGCACGTTGCTTGTTTTGTGATAAAAAGGCTTGTCCCTTTTTGACTGGAGCCTTTTGTAGAAAAAAGTGCACCCTTGCGGCTGATGTTGATGAAAACTGTGTGCTACAGCAGAATAGTATATAGCACAAAAATGCTGGTTTTTCAATCTAGCTGCCTGCTGGATGAGTGCGAAGAAGCCTTCTTGAAAAACCCTGAAGGGAAGCCCCGGCTTATTTGCCACCGACTGGAAGATGGACAAGTCGGTTCGGATTCTGTGCAGCGATTAGTTGAGCAAGTTCGTTATGTGAACAAAACAAAGGTAATCAGAGTGTGCTGAAGGTTGGTACATTTATCAGTTTTCTTATTTTGTAACCGTTTGTAGAAGCTGGTGTTAACATAATTTGTATGTGATGCCTTAAATAATTTTTTTTTAAGGATAGTGCATGCAGGAAGATAATGAAATAGCACACATTCAGGCAATTGAATGCAACCTGATCGTGCAATCCCAAATCAGTTTTGCTTCCCAGATAGTTGTTTACTGTCACGCTGCAATAGTTGTTTCTGTCTTTAATATAAATATCTAGTGGAAAAAAGGTTGAGGTTTCCAAAAAGAGATATTGCTTCTAAGATTGCTGTGATAGTAATATTTTTCACCTTGAACCCTAATGAGGAAGGATTTTTATTTTTTATTTTTTGGCCTTTAAAATGTGCTTTTGTTTATGTAGTTCAGTTCTGGGAAAAAATGTTCTGTCCTTAAAATTAATTTGATTCAAAGAATGAAGATACTTCGAATTTCTCTTCCCTACTAGCATTCATTTTTGTCTTCTGTCATTCCTGCTCTTTGTACTACAGTACTGAGTTTGAAATGGCTGTGATTGGGTGGTTATTGCATAACGGTGCAAATTTTAAATACAGCCCTTCATCCAAATATGCAGATTGGCCTGATGATCCACACCCTTTGAAAAGCAACAACCCAATTTAATTCTTTTTGTGATATTTAATTTTAAAATGTAAACAAGTTTGTGTATGTTTGTAACGAAGCAATTTTTAAAAGGAAAAGAGTAGCTCATCTAGGCTTCCTATGGAATCAGGAGATTGAATTATTGTTGCCTAGGAGAGTAGTATGCTGAACTGACTTTCTGTTTTTTTAAAGTGTGCAAATCTTTTCTGAATAAGATGCCCCAGGTCTGTAAAAACAACTTACTTCTATCTGGAGACGTAGTCTTTTCAGAATCATTTCTCTCTCCTCCTACCCCAGATCATCAGCCATATGGGAGGAGAAGAGGAAGGAGCCCGTGAAGTCTATAATTATGTGGAAAAGACCATAAAACAGGTATTTCCCCAAAGGCCAGTTGTCTGGGGGAAAAGCAGTGTATAAATGCTGTGATTTTTTTAAAAAGGAGTAAATCAACATGGGGTTCTTGACTTTCGTTTGCATAAATAGGGGTTGCTTCACACATTGCATTATTATATACATATCTAAAGTATATTTTAAAGCATCTTATTTAAAGCCAGAGGGGGAAACCAAAAGCATTTGGCTTCAGCTTTAGAACTAATTGCAGGTTTAGGTAATATCCAAACTTCGGGAAACTGTGGGTTGCTTGAACTGTGGTTGGTGAGAACAAGCAAAGATCTGAAATCATGATTTGTCCCCGGCTTGTTCTCAATAACCACCCTGAAATTGTAAAAAAGAAGAAGAAGAAGAAAGGTAAATGACCCCTGGACTCTTAAGTCTAGTCAAAGGTGACTATGGGGTTGCGGCGCTCATCTCACTTTCAGGCTGAGGGAGCTGGTGTTTGTCCACAGACAACTTTCCAGGTCTTGTGGCCAGCATGACTTAAACTGATTCTGGCACAACGGAACACCGTGATGGAAACCAGAGCACATGGAAACGCCGTTTACCTTCCCACCAGAGTGGTATCTATTTATCTACTTGCACTGGCATGCTTTTGAACTGCTACGTTGGCAGGAGCTGGAACAGAGCAACAGGAGCTCACTCCTTCACGGGGATTCAAACTGCCAACCTTCTGATCGGCAAGCCCAAAAGGCTCAGTGGTTTAGACCACAGCGCCACCCATTTCCTCCTGAAATAGAACATCAGCAGAATGGTTTGTTTGACATCAGAAGCTTCCAGTCTCTTTCCTTGTATGCTCAGAAGAGGAAAAAACAGAGAAAGCGTGTAAGCCCAAGATTTGCTGTAGTAGGAAAACCATGGTTTTATGTTAAGTTTGAACTGGACTGATGGCAGGACATCCCTAAAACACATGAACTATATGAAGAAAGGATGATTCCACCAAAGCCCACCTGAATTTGGTGGTGGAGAAGTCCTTGGGGTAGATTTAAGCCCCAGCACCTCCTTCTTTAGGGACGCGGGTGGTGCTGTGGGTTAAACCACAGAGCCTAGGACTTGCCGATCAGAAGGTCGGCGGTTCGAATCCCCGCGACGGGGTGAGCTCCTGTTGCTCGGTCCCTGCTCCTGCCAACCTAGCAGTTCAAAAGCACGTCAGAGTGCAAGTAGATAAATAGATACCGCTCCAGCGGGAAGGTAAACGGCGCTTCCGTGCGCTGCTCTGGTTTGCCAGAAGCGGCTTAGTCATGCTGGCCACATGACCCGGAAGCTGTACACAGGCTCCCTCGGCCAGTAAAGCGAGATGAGCGCTGCAACCCGAGTCGGTCACGACTGGGCCTAATGGTCAAGGGTCCCTTTACCTTTACCTCCTTCTTTGGGCACTGACCACTTCGTAGACAAGAGTCACTCACTGCTTCTTCATAGGATTTGTTTTTCTGCTAACATAGGATATACTGGGCTGTGAAATTACACAACTGGAAAGGAAGGGCGCAACAGACAGTGCTGAGCCTTCCATTCCCGAAGAGGAAATTTTTGGAGACGTGCTGTGGGATGCTCACGATGAACAAGAACAGATGGAGGCCTTCCAGCAGGCGTCCAGTTCAACTTCTGAGCTTGGATTTGAGAAAGTAAGTTTGTGCCCTATTTTAAGGCAAACAATAAGTGTTTGTGTCTGTTTTTCTTCACTTGCAGCAGGGCTGCCACTCTTGCAGGAGGAGTGGGGTTTGCAAACATCCCCGGAGGCTTTCAGTCTTCAGGCTGAAGGCGGCCATATGTCTCAGGCAGACGATTCGGTTGGTTCTGGGACAATTGCCAAATGTGCCTATACCAAGGAGAAAATGTAATGATCGTATTCCAGCTGGCTGTATGCTTCCTTGCTATTGAAGTAACAAGTATAAAAACTTAACCTTAAGTCTAGGCTGCTCCCAGACAAAGGTTTTCTGAGAGCTTTCCAGCAACGGTGCTCATTCTGCCAGTGCAAAAGGCAAATTGGGGGACAGCACAAGGTGGCTCACAGCTGACAAAAAACAAGTGAGCATGTGCAACCTCCTCATTCAGGTGTATTTCAAACCACTTGAGGATCAGAGCCACAGTGCAAAACCAGTTATGGGGGAAATCTATTGACTTGGCAAGTCTCTAGTGGTACCTCGGGTTAAGAACTTAATTCGTTCCGGAGGTCCGTTCTTAACCTGAAACTGTTCTTAACCTGAAGCACCACTTTAGCTAATGGGGCCTCCCACTGCCGCCGCGCTGCTGGAGCACAATTTCTCTTCTCATCCTGAAGCAAAGTTCTTAACCCAAGGTACTGTTTCTGGGTCTGTAACCTGAAGCGTCTGTAACCTGAAGCATATGTAACCCGAGGTACTACTGTATATGTTAGGTCCCTTTGAACAAGATAATCTTTAAAACAAAATGCTTGATAACTGTACGAATTTTAACTGAGATCCTGCACCTGCTTACATGCAAACCACTGCTGTTAAAATTAACAGGAACTGCTTCTGAATCTAAAGGCTGAAGGTCCTGTTGACTTTCCTGGCACTTAAAATATGTTTGGGTTTTGCTGCATTGTACGCTATTTCTGCAATACACTGGTTTCTTTCATACACAGAAATCTAAACAGAACACTGTTGGCAAGAAGGGCACCAACTCTATGTATACATTCCTTTGCACATGGAGGTGTGCTCCCTCTGTGTTTTAATCAAAGGGGCAGCACATGCGCAGGGGAGCTGGGTGTTCAATGGAACATGCGCAGGGGCCTGGATTGTGTACAATGGCTTGGCTGCCAAGACTCCAGAAAGCATATTTGAAGGGGGAAATGTACAGTGGTACCTCGGGTTAAGAACTTAATTCGTTCTGGAGGTCCATTCTTAACGTGAAACTCTTCTTAACCTGAGGTACCACTTTAGCTAATGGGCCTCCCGCTGCTGCCGCGCGATTTCTGTTCTCATCCTGAAGCAAAGTTCTTAACCCGAGGTACTATTTCTGGGTTAGCGGAGTCTGTAACCCGAAGCGTCTGTAACCCGAGGTACCATTGTACTCACGTTAGAAATGTAGCTCATGGAATAGTGGTGCTCCTAGAGTTCAAAAAGTCATACATTGGAAGAAATTGTTTCATGCTAAGTGAATTTAAGAGTTTTGCGGATGTATCTTTTCTATCACATTTACATAAATCAATGTTGGAAGGATTGCACCTGTTTCTGGGTATGTTGAATTTCAGTATATTGGCTGTAAGAGGCGATTCTGCATTTTGGTGGGGAAAGGGGCCTAGGCTAAAAGCAAAGCTGTCCCTCCAGAATTTTGAAGAATCATACTAAATCCTTTAGTTATAAGAGCATGTGCTATGACACTTCTAATGACGTGATGGTGAGAGACCCTTAATTGAATGTCTGACTTTTTTTTTTAAAAAAAAAGGGCAAAGGCATCCAGACATTCAAGTCTACTTGTGAAATATTTATGTGGTTTGCATATGATGGTTAGTGGTTTGCTGTGACCATGCCTTAGAGAGCTCTCTTGCTCCTCCCACTCATGCATTGAGGAAATAAACAATGATCCCTGGCTCAGACATAAGCACAAAGCCAGCGGTCTTTACTTGCTTCCTCTGTCCATGAGTCGGGAGCAAAAGAGCCCTCTTATCATGGTAGCCTATTAACCATGTGGTGTGTGAATGGGGCCAGTATTTGAGAAAGTAAACTTAGCTCAGCTCTCCACTGAGTGATGCTGGCTACTACGTTTGTGAGCTAATCTGTGACCAAGACAGTGTCCTTAAGAATACTAATGTGGACACAAGCCAATTAAATTCAGCGTGACTTAGGAGTCAATGTGGTTAGAACTGAGCGTTTGGGGGACCCAAGATGCTGTTATATCTTCTTCTTAGATCACACAGAGCCTCAAGATCAAATAGATGCTTAGATTTTTGAATCACTCTGTTTCTTGACTTAACCCCAGAGCTCTTTGTTACGATGCCTGATTTTTGTTTGCAGTATTACGAACGCCTGAATGACTTGGTGGCAGCTCCAGCGCCAATCCCGCCCCTTCTCGTGTCCGGAGGACCAGGCTCAGGAAAATCTCTCCTTTTGTCAAAATGGTATAGTCTTTTAAGTGTTTTCCTTCTTTGTTTTTACTGTGGGTCCCCATAGTTGCACCCAATAAAGTTGCAGGATATAACGGAGAAAGTTCACAAGAGCAGCCTTTCAGAGCTGAACCAGATATGCCAGTCCTAGCGTGACAGCTAAGGGGACGTAATGAGGGAGCAGTTGCCTTGCTTAGAGCTGAGTTAGTGTTCCCTAGGGACCTTCTTTTGCAAAATGGAGTCAAAGCTGGACTCTAGCTCCTATAGTGGGACAGGATCTGTTCCTGCTGTGTCTCCTCCTCCTCGGCCTTTCAGTTCTGTGTGGGGTTTTTTTAACAACCCCACCCCCCAATATTCCGTAGCGAAGATGGGGAAGCCATGATCCTCTGGGTGTTGATTTCCCTGCCTAAATCCCATGGACGCTGCTGAGTAAGAGGTCCCAAGTCCACAAAATAGCTCTTGGATAGAAATAAACCTGGCAGATAGAAGGTACTCTGCAAATGTTCAAAAGCACGGTCCTTTTGGAAGCCAAGAGAAACTATTTCTCTTGGAAATAGGACCCTTGTACCTACGGGACTGCCTCTCCCGATATTGGGGATGATGGGATGGTAGTCCAGCATCATATGGATGGCCACAGGTTCTCTGTCCTGCTTCTATTGTGGCCACGCCCAAGTGTTTTGCCTTTCTATGGGTCGGAAGGAAATCCTGCACATGCCTAATAACTGCAGGGTCAGGTTTTTGCCATCTTTTTAGTGGTCTCAAAATGGTTGAAGAGCAAATCTGAGGTGGCTGGGAGGTGATCATACAGACCTTCCTCACCCACTGATTAACTGCCTCTGTCCTGTTGAGAGAAATCATTCGGCTGATAAGCCCCATAAACACGAATCCCCTTTGGACAGAGTGGGTTGTCTCCAAATAATATGCTGTACAGACTTTAAGTCCAGACAGTTGGCTGCTCCTGTTTGTCCACTTTCAAAATATGTGTATACACCCCCGGTTCCCTTGCAGCAAGACATGGATGGTCAGAATGGTCAATTTGGCTAATGCCCCCTGAAAGCACAGTGCATTTATAAGTGCTGTCAACAAACTCAGTGGCAGGGCACATGTTGTGCATGCAGAAGGGGCCCAGCACCTCAAGCCGGGCTGGGAATGAACCCTGCCTGAGAACTAGTACAGTGGTACCTCGGGTTAAGTACTTAATTTGTTCCGGAGGCCCGTTCTTAACCTGAAACTTAACCTGAAACTGCCAACCTAGCAGTTCGAAAGCACGTCAAAGTGCAAGTAGACAAATAGGTACCGCTCTGGCAAGAAGGTAAAAGGCGTTTCCGTGCGCTGCTCTGGTTCTCCAGAAGCGGCTTAGTCATGCTGGCCACATGACCCGGAAGCTGTACGCCAGCTCCCTCGGCCAATAAAGCAAGAGGAGTGCCACAACCCCAGAGTCAGCCACGACTGGACCTAATGGTCAGGGGTCCCTTTACCTCTACCTCTGGTTACGTACTTAATTCGTTCCAGAGGTCTGTTCTTAACCTGAAACTGTTCTTAACCTGAAGCACCACTTTAGCTAATGGGGCCTCCCGCTGCTGCCACGCCGCCGGAGCACAATTTCTGTTCTCATCCTGAAGCAAAGTTCTTAACCCGAGGTACTATTTCTGGATTAGCAGAGTCTGTAACCTGAAGCGTATGTAACCTGAAGCATATGTAACCCGAGGTACCACTGTACTGGGCTAAACGGACCAATGGTTTCAACTTGGTGCAAAGCATCTTCCTACATTCCTATACTGGTCCCAATATTTCCCGCATACTGATCATCCTTCTCTGCTCATTTTTTTTTTACATTTAAATACAGCCGTCTCAAAATATTAAAAACAGTAAAAACAGTAAACTAACATTCCAAAAGATCATTAGCACTATTTAGATGCCGTAATGCAACTTTGAAAATGTATGTTCACGAGAAACCCATCTTCTCCCTTGTTTGTCTCTCCACCTTCTCCCTAGGATTCAGTTGCAACAGAAGCATTCGCCAAATACTCTCATCCTATATCATTTCGTTGGGAAACCTTTGTCTAGCAGTTCAGAGCCTGCGCTGATTCTCAGACGTCTCACTTTAAAGGTATTTCAAAAAAATAAAATAAAGTAAAAATTGGGCAGGGCAGAATCGTCAAAGTCTTTTTAAGGACCTGAATGCCTGTGTGCTAAAGAAAAAGTCAAGAACTATTTTAATGGGCCTTGAATTTCTGATTTGACAGTAAGCCATCAAATGGTGTACTGTGAACATTCTGATCCCTGGCAAGGAGGTCATTCCCATTTTTTCCTTCTCTGGGCCTTCGGGTCAACACGGGATTGCAGCGAAGCAAAGGTTAGGCTTAGTATGTTGAATCTTTGACCACGGTTAAGCCCTCTCCTTATTAACCATGGGGCGTAGCCAAGATTTGGCCTATGGTTACAGGTTGTGGTTGAGGAGAAGAGGCCTTAACCATGATTTTGGATGACATGTTAAGCCAAATGCTGGCCTAGCTGGTCTGGTGGGCTGCATTAACCCCCATAACATGGAGAAGAGCAAAATGGCTGCATTTTCCTTCTTGGGAGCCAGTTAAAGATGGACTTCATGTGATATTCGGACGTGAGCAATATCTGCTTTGTCTCAAATGCCATGAAACTGCAAAAACAATCTCTAGGACACTGAAATATATATATATCTTAGGAATACCAGTTAGTTCATAACAAAAAAACAACAACCCTGAGAGTTAATGCACTGAGTAATATGTTTTCCTGGCTATTCCCAGCCATCTGGACAACGAAGTAGAGACAGGTGGTATTTCGTCTGTTTGAGGCTCCAGGCAAACCCAGTCGGCGTTTTTCAGTTGGCAGCACACTGCACTGCTGCTGAGCTCGTCTCTCTTGATTTAGATACATGCAGTCATATTTTTAAAATAATACCCTAATTCGGGGACCCGAAAGGAGTGTGAAGGCAAAGTGAATCAGCGTCTACTGTTGAAGCTGGGCTGTTCTGGCCTTGTGAGCTGCCTGGGAAGGGAACCATATGCAAGCCATTCTGCGAAGTATAAGTGTAGCAGTTGTTTAAAGATATGACTGTTCTTTTTTAAAAAAGACGATGGTTCATTATGCTTGGCACTGATTCATACGTGGGTCCTCGGTCCCCTCTCCCTGCCACCCAGGATGTTGTGTGGTTCCTCATATGCTGGGGAATGCCAGGTCAACCACTGGGACAAAAACGGTGATGTAGCGCTTATAATGACAGAGATCACTTTTCCTGAATCTGTGCCAGTAAATCAACATTCTTCTCTACCCATCCGCCTATTTTGCATTCTACGGACTATTCAGCCCCACTGGGAAGAAGCAGGTACATTCTGCAAAGGTCTACCATCCCATCATATACAGACAAAAGTTTTAATAGGATACCGCTAGGGCTAGGCAAGAGATATAGATATAGATAATGTTGTTGTTTAGTCGTTTAGTCGTGTCTGACTCTTTGTGACCCCATGGACCAGAGCACGCCAGGCAATCTGTCTTCCACTGCCTCCCGCAGTTTGGTCAGACTCATGTTTGTAGCTTCGAGAACACTGTCCAACCATCTCATCCTCTGTCGTCCCCTTCTCCTTATGCCCTCCATCTTTCCCAACATCAGGGTCTTTTCCAGGGAGTCTTCTCTTCTCTCTCTCTCTTTCTCTCTAAATACCCAGATCGAAGTCCATATTGTGATATCGGTTTCATAATTTTTGACCTGGCAGTATATATTGAATCATGGTGTGTGCGTGCGTGTGTGTGCTATGCAACAATCACAATGTGAGGGAAACCGCGAAGCCAGCCAATTCTTCTCTCAATCACAAGAGGAGGTGCTGGGGAAAAATCACAATTCAGGAAAAACCGTAAAGCCAGCCAATGCCTTCTACATAGCTCCATCATTATTTCAGACATTGTGATATACCGGTATATCACAATGTTTAGCTAGTGATTTATCACAATGTTGAAAAGCAGATATTGCCCACCATGACCTATTATGATGCAAGCAACAATTTGTAGCAAATTTATAGGACTGGGCAGTCAGTGATAGCATAATGTGTCAGCGTCCAATTCTCAGTACTTTATTCTCCTTTCAGGAGAATAAAACCAACCTAATGCTCTTCAATCCTGACACATCATAAAAGACTATATTTAATTTCAGCATCATTCACGTATCTCTGGAAAGAATTGTTCATCTTCCTATTTTGATAAAATCATTTTAAATAGATGGATACGGTATTTTAATCCGCTTTTTGGTCCTCTTTACAACGAAAATGTAATTAACAAGAAATAGCATGGGGTCATATATTGCCTTTAATTTACTGTTTCTGTGTGTTCCCTGCTGGAAAATTAGGTAAAGCATATTTTACTCACATTTACAATGTTGTAGCTTATGCAGCATTCCTGGTCAGTCTCACCTTTGACACTCGATCCTGTAAAGCTATTAGAAGAATTTCCTCGTTGGCTGGAGAAACTTTCTGCTCACCACCAAGGCGGCATTATAATAATTATTGACTCTATTGATCGGATCCAGGTAACATTTGCAGTATACTTGACTTGATAACAGTACTGAAAAATGAATTTAGAATTGTATTGATTATTGTGCATTAGCTATTTCACCATTCAGCCTTTTCGTTGCTAATGGATGATGCTTATTCGATATTACTGAGGTGGTTTTTTTAAAAAAAGTTTGGGAGTGGTGGGCCTAGAACACAACACTGACACAACACACACAACTCTTGCAACGCATTATGTAGAAGGGGGTGGGGGAAATTATAGGTGTTTACTGCATTCCAGTGGCCACAGATACATAGACTTGGAAAGTGAAAACATATGCACCATTTCAGGGCCAGATTTAGGGTTAATGAGGCCCTAAGCTACTGAAGGTAATGGAGCCCTTTATATGCCCAGCTGGTCTTTGTCAACAACAAATTGTCCCTGTTTTTCGTGTTGGACACGGGTGGCGCTGTGGGTTAAACCACAGAGCCTAGGACTTGCCGATCAGAAGGTCGGTGGTTCGAATCCCTGTGACGGGGTGAGCTCCCGTTGCTCGGTCCCTGCTCCTCCCAACCTAGCAGTTCGAAAGCACGTCAAAGTGCAAGTAGATCAATAGGTACCGCTCCAGTGAGAAGGTAAACGGTGTTTCCGCTGCTCTAGTTTGCCAGAAGCGGCTTAGTCATGCTGGCCACCTGATCTGGAAGCTGTACGCTGGCTCCCTTGGCCAATAAAGCGAGATGAGCGCTGCAACCCCAGAGTCGGCCACGACTGGACCTAATGGTCAGGGGTCCCTTTGCCTTTACCTTTAAACCATTTTAACCATTACCTGAAGGTAATGGAGCCCTTTATATGTCCAGCTGTTCTTTGTCAACAACAAATTGTCGCTGTTTTTTGTGTTGAATATATGCTCTATGGTAATTAATGGACCTAACAGGTATCTAAAGCCATTTGCACATGTTGCCATGCAACCAGTCCATGCAGAATGAGCAAACCAGTGATATTTTAGGAAGCAGGCTAGCAGGCAGGGCCCATTACTGACATTATAGGAGCCTACACAACACAAAACACTGTTGCTGTATGTAGGTTTTATTTTATTTGTTTTTATCTTACATTTTGGCAATGTACATCCATTTTTTTTCTTTAATTTTTTGGGGGGCCCTCAAGAGAGTGGGGCCCTAAGCTAAAGCTTGTTTAGCTTATACGTAAATCCAGCACTGCACCATTTTTCTGTTGGGGGCTATAGGAAATCCGTGCATTTGTGACTTATGGGGGCTGCTGAAAGGGAAAAATCAGGGGTGTAACAGTTGTCCTGCGGTGGGGTGAAATCTGTGTTCTGTTCAGCATGCTTATGAGTTTGAATTCAACTCTTTGTTTCTCAGCAAGCTGAAAAGCATATGAAATGGCTGATTGACCCCCTGCCAGTGAATGTGAGGGTCGTAGTGTCTGTGAATGTTGAAACTTGTCCCCCAGCGTGGAGGTAAGTTTGTTCTGGAGATGCTCAAATGCAATCTGCTTAAACTGTTCAGTTGGCAGGAGACAGGAGGTGCCTTTAAGTTGTCAACAAAGCGTATTCTGCAAGAGCCTCTTCAGTCACAAACTTGATGCTCAAACGGTGCTTGCAGCATGACACCCTTTCCCAATACAGTGGTACCTCTAGGATGGGGTTGTGCAGGGTTGTTAAGGCAGCAGAGAGCATTGTTGGCTGCCCACTCTCCACCTTAGAGCAGATTTATGCCACAAGGTGCCATAGGAAGGCACTGGACATAGTAAAAGATCCATCGCATCCTGGTCACTGTCTCTTCGAGCTCTTGCCGTCGGGACGGAGATACAGGACGATGAAGACAAGAACGAGCCGTCTTAAGAACAGCTTCTTCTCCAGAGCGATCTCGGCCCTGAATGGGAAGCCCGGACTTTGAAAGTCATCTAATCTCCCTTGCTGTATTATACTGTATTGATTAATTAGAGTTTTTATGGAGCAGTCAAGTAATTTCGTTGTCCCCGAAGGGGGCAATGACAATAAAGATATTATTATTATTATTATTATTATTAAGAACTTAATTCGTTCTGGAGGTCTTTTCTTAACCTGAAACTGTTCTTAACCTGAGGTTTTTATTTTTAATTTATTTAATCATTTTTTTCAATGCAAACAGCAACCACAAAAAACACATACAAATAAAATCACAATAACACTAATAACACAATTTAACAATTCAGATTTGAGTACTGATATACCTATAACTACACCTTTTTAACAATATTTCCCCACGTCTCCTCCCCCTACTTCCCACCACTGTCCGCCTTATTCCTTCCAGATTTCGTCATATTTATCCATTCTTAATTTGCGTTGATATGCAATTCGTTTGTATGTAGCTAGTCTGTCCATATTGTCAATCCATGTACTCAGTGGAATCTTTTTGCGGCTCTTCTGATTCATCAAAACAAGTTTTTTTGCTTCTAATATGGCACGGTACATCCATTTTTTTTTACCCCTTGTAATCGCCCACGTTTCCAGTATATAATTTAGAATTAAATTCAAATCCCCTAAATAACAATTTCTTAACCTGAGCCGCGCCACCGGAGCACGATTTCTGTTCTCATCCCGAAGCAAAGTTCTTAACCCAAGGTACTATTTCTGGGTTAGCGGAGTCTGTAACCTGAAGCGTCTGTAACCTGAGGTACCACTGTATAAGGAACAGGGCAAGAGAGAGATGTAGGGGGAGCCACATTGCATTTTCCTGCTTGGGGAGGGAAGGATTAACTGCGCTGAAAGAGGCCTAGGAGATGATTCAGAAAAGGCATGTATGGTCCTGGGACTCTAGCACTTCAGAGTGCAGGTGACAGGCGGCTTGTTTACTTGCTCTCGTATCAAAAATGCCATGCATTTTAAAGCTGTCTCATGGGGGGGGAGAAGGCTAGGTTGTGATTCATCCTTGCGTCAAAGCTTTTGTTATATGCAATGTTGTCTCCACATAAACTGCATTCAAATAGGAACCCCTATGCACCCAACCCTGAATTATGAATCATTGACAGACCCGGGAACTGGAAGGCTAAATTTTCTTTTGTTGTGTTCGGTGTGCCTTACTTTTAGGAAAGTGTGCATAGAATTGGCAGTCTTAATCTGGGCATTTCCATTTCTCAATTTTTCCAGCAACAGAGCAATACTAGAAGCAGGAGGCAACCTGACTGCTTTTCTTTTGATGGTGATGGTTTTATTATTATACGCCACCCATCCGACTGGGTTGCCCCAGCCACTCTGGGCAACTCCCAACAACATATTTAAACACAAAAAACCTCAAACATTAAAAACCTCCCTGTACAGGGCTGCCTTCAGATGTCTTCTAAAGGTCAGGTAGTTGTTTATCTCATTGACATCTGATGGGAGGATGTTCCACAAGGAACATCCACTACCGAGAAGGCCCTCTGCCTGGTTCCCTGAAACTTCACTTCTCGCAGTGAGGGAACGGCCAGAAGGCCCTTGGAGCTGGATCTCAGTGTCTGGGTTGAACGATGGCGGTGGAGACACTCCTTCAGGTGTACAGGGCCAAAGCCATTTAGGACTTTAAATGTCAGTACCAATGCCTTGAATTGTGCTTGGAAACATACTGGGAGCCAATGTAGATCCTTTGGGACCGTATTATATGGTCCCGTCGTCAGCTCTCAGTCACTGGTGTCTAGCTGCCGCCTTCTTGATTAGTTGTAGTTTCTGAGTCACCTTCAGAGGTAGCCCCATGTAGAGTGCATTGCAGTAACCCAAGCAGGAGATAACCAGAGCATGGACCACTTTGGTGAGACAGGGCACAGGCAGGTAGGGTCTCAGCCATCATACCAGATGGAGCTGGTAGTCAGTCTCCCTGGACATACAATTGAACTGTGCCTCCAGTCTTGAGGTAGCTGCAAGCACTTCCGTGGCAGTAGGTAATGCACACCCAACAACAACAATTTAAAAGTCTCAGTGGTGGTGATGGTGGAATGAGTCCATAAAATGTGTGGGCCACTTAGGAAGGTGGTGCTTAGTCTCCCTATCATCAGTGATCATTTGGGCATGATGCAGTACAGTGGTACCTCGGGTTAAGTACTTAATTCGTTCCAGAGGTCCGTTCTTAACCTGAAACTGTTCTTAACCTGAAGCACCACTTTAGCTAATGGGGCCTGCCGCTGCCACCATACCACCGGAGCACAATTTCTGTTCTCATCCTGAAGCAAAGTTCTTAACCTGAGGTACTATTTCTGGGTTAGCGGAGTCTGTAACCTGAAGCGTATGTAACCTGAAGCGTATGTAACCAGAGGTACCACTGTACAGTCATACCTCGGGATGAATACGCTTCAGCTTAAATATTTCCGGGTTGCGCTCCGCAGCAACCCGGAAGTAACGGAGTGTGTTACTTCTGGGTTTCACCGCTCGCGCATGCGCAGACGCTCAAAATGACGTCACGCGCATGCGCGGAAGTGGCAAAACGCGACCCGCACACGTGCAGACGCACAGTCGCGTCTTACATTCGCTTCAGGATGCGAATGGGGCTCTGGAACGGATCCCGTTCGCATCCAGAGGTACCACTGTATGTGCAATAGCATTTGTGCAGCCACATTCGCTGTAGCACTGCAAGATGCAGCTGCTGCATAACCTGGAAGAAGAAGGTTGCCCCAGCAAAGTTATACAGCTAGGGAAATGTGGCATCCTTCCAGATCCTGTGCAACAAATGAACAGCCACTGTGATTGTGCTGCATGGTAATCTAATCCCCGGAAAGGTCTCTCACCCCTTTTAGGTCTTTGTGCAGCAAGGTTGATAATGGCTGGAATGTACCGAGGAGTAAAGAAGTGTTCCATTCATTCTCTTCTAAGTGTTCCCTCTTAGAAGAGAATGGTAAGCCTCCTCCGTATTTAGGGCTTTGAAATACAACCATTATCTCCAAAAAAATTTTATCTCCTGTGCGCTAATCTTGGGTATGTGCATGTAGGGACTTGCAGTACTTTGATATAGTCAGACTGCATAGATCAAAACTATATTGTCATCCAGAGCTCAATAGTAAAGGCTTCAAATTGTGTATTAGATTTTTTTAAAATATACTGTTCTGGTCTTTGAATCTGTTCTTTACAAGGAAGTGATTTCCACTCTCTCACTGAAAGGTTGTGGCCAACCCTTCATCTTGATCCATTAAATGCGAAGGATGTGAAATCTCTCATTAATGAAGAATGCAGCTGTGCGGACCTGAAACTGACAAAAGAACAGGTATTGATTCTTTATATGTGGGTGAATGCTTTAGTCTGGGAGATGTTATCTACTGTCAAAGTGAGAGTCCTTGACTCAGGAAGAAAACTCCTAAAGCTCTACATGGGTAACTAAATTCTTTGTTAAAATGAAGCAAAACGCTGTAAAATGTGGAAAACCAATAACTGTAATTCACTCAAAGGGCTCGATTCATCATGCATAAAATCCCTTTGGAATTATTTGGTTAAAAAGGTAAAGGAACCCCTGACCATTAGGTCCAGTCGTGACTGACTCTGGGGTTGTGGTGCTCATCTCGCTTTATTGGCCGAGGGAGCCGGCGTACAGCTTCCGGGTCATGTGGCCAGCATGACTAAGCCGCTTCTGGCGAACCAGAGCAGTGCACGGAAAGGCTGTTTACCTTCCCGCCGGAGTGGTACCTATTTATCTGCTTGCACTTTGACGTGCTTTCGAACTGCTAGATTGGCAGGAGCAGGGACTGAACAATGGGAACTCACCCCATTGTGGGGATTCGAACCGCCAACCTTCTGATTGGCAAGCCCTAGGCTCTGTGGTTTAACCCACAATTATCTGCATATAATTGTGTGCTTGCATTTCTTTCCTACCTTTTCTCCAAGGATCCCACCCATTTTGTCTTCTTAATAACCATGTGGGGTTGACTTCACTGAGCTTGACTAGCCTAAGGTCACCGGGTGGTTATTTGAACCTTGGTCTCCCAGGTCCAACAGAGTAACCACTGAACCACACCAGCCCCCACTCCACAAAGCTTTGGCTTTTGTAGTGTTAGATAGTTGAACAAGGAGAGAGAATTCTGATCATCTACATATCTATTTGCCAAAAAGTGTTAGCAGAATTTTTCACCTTACTATCACTTAAGCCGTCATTAGCTCAACCCAAATATCTCATCAAATGCAAGGCAGCTAAACTATGGTTTGGTATGTCTGAATTGGCAGATCATGGTTTGTGATCAGGCAGCAAACCAGAAACTATAGTTTAAAGTGTTTTTTGCACACCATGGCCTGGGCTACAGCCAGAGTAATTTTGACAAAAACCTAGTTATAGTAATTGTTGTACCTCAAGAGGCCACAACACTTTAGAAATCAGGGTATTTAGCAGATGGAGAAAAAAGTAAGCAAGTCACTGTGAACCATGGTTTGCTGGTATGGCTTGGAAAAAACATGGTTTGGGTTCTAAACTATTAGTGCAAACCATGGTTTGACACGATGTGTGACCTGAATCACTGCATTCTTCAAACTAAAACAGTAAAAAAAGATTGTGGAATGAGTTCCCTGTGAGTAAGCATTTCTCTGAGTGTGACAGTTTGTAGAGAATACAACATAAGTAAGCTCAGCAAGCTGCTCTCTAGTTTGTCCTGTTCTTTCTCTTTTCCCTACTGCAAAAAAGATAGTCATCTAGAATGATGGCAATTGATATAGTAATGTGGTTACATTGCTTTTTTTAAAAAAACGTCATATAATTTACATTGCACCATCCTGAGTATATTTTGTATACTGCCCACAATGTGTTGCTGTTCTTGTGCTCTCCTTCATCCTGTATATTTGTGCAGAATTTTCAGAGCCTCATAGAATATTTAATGTTTGTGTTCAAACCTACTCTAGGAGAAGAAGCTTGAGAAACATGGTCATTCTGCTACAACTTGCAATGCCCTGTATGTCACTCTCTTGGGCAGAATGATGGCTGGGTATGTTGAAATAAATACAGAAACTGTAGTGCTTCGCATGTGTTCTGTAACCAAAAACTGTGGATGAAAAGTTAAAAGCTGTGTTTTTGGAATCCAGATCCACTAAATTCAATGGGACTTCATCACTGTTTTTAGTGGGATCTAGATTTCACAGTGGCCTGATTCAGATATAATGCTACAATATTGTTTTAGCGCTGCATATGAACTGATGCGGGCTTTAAGATCCTGTGTGGAGGTCTTCCCCAGAGGAATATAAATTTAATAAATATAAAATTTAACAAAAAATAAATTTTAAGGAACAAGACTCAGACTTGGTTGTCCTCGTCTTCTTTTGAAACATCCACTTCCTGTTTAAAACTAATCATAGTTTATCACGACATATGAACTGGAGGGAACTCTGTCTAGTTTAAACTATGACCTGATTTAGAATGTAAACTAAAACCATGGTTTAGCGCAAGAACAGAGGAGCTACCGTGGGTTCATGATGTCTTACATCCTTCTACTCCTCCTCCCACTAAACTTGGACAAAGTCTAATTTCACTTTCCACAAAACCTGGCTTGTTGCACGTGCACCCAGAGATCATCGGTTAAAACCAACTTTGGTTAGTTAAACAAACCAGCTTCACATCCCATGGTTTGAATTTGGCTTGTTAAAAAACCTGATGTGTTTGTTGGAAATCGCCACCCCTGGTTTGTACCTTGTGTCATGGACTGGCTGGATGCAGAGGAATGGGCGGGGGGGAGAGAGAGACACCAGCTGGGGAACCCCCCCAAGGGAAGAAGACTCAGAGCCAGGGGATTGGTGGTGGGATGACAATGAGTTGTCCGGAGGGAGGAGAAAAATCTGCAAAGAAAAACAAGCAAAGAAACTGTTGTAATTCTTGACAAGTGTCAGCAGCAAGGCTTATATGGAATCACACCATAAAACATTCATCGCACAGATGTTTATGAACAATCCTTGTTTTTGTTATATTTAGGACTCAGCTTGAATATAATAAATAATCTGCCTTGCTTTAAGTGTTTTTGTGCTAGTAGCTTTAATCTTTTTTTAAAAAAACTTAAAACTCTTACTTTATAGGATTTTTTTTCTAACCTGAAGGCATTTTGCTTTGTGCCTGATGTTTTGATTCCCAGCCTCCCAACCAAATTTAGAAACATACACCAGCAGATGTTTTTCCAGTTGGGCACAGGCGTGGCTGAAGTCCATAATAAATAGTCATTTTCTGTAGTAATTTAAATACTCGGTTTCAGGTGGAATGTGTGCTTTCTTTTTAAATCCTTTGTTTCCTCCTCCCCCTTCCCAGTGCTGGAAGTGCAGAAGACATTGACGTAATCCTTCAGAAGTTTTTGCAATGCCAAGACACAGTGTCACTGTACAAGCTAGTTCTGAATTCAGTCGAAGAATCCTTGAAAAGTGAAAAAGACAAAAACCTCATGAAAGAGGCAAGTTACGAAGTCTAAAGAAGCTCTATTTTTTGGGGGGGGTGTGAAATGCGTATGTACTTTCATAGAAACAGTTTTTCGTTAGTAAAATGAAAAGCACAGGGTGGTGGTAAGCTCAATGGCCCCAAGTCCAAATTGTAAAATCCACATTTAGATCCCCACCTTTCGCCACCATGTTCAGTTGGTTATAACAATTGTACCGTAGTCTGTAGCACAGAGGGTTAAAGATGCCATATTCTACCACATGGCAATGTTGGCCTCACTTTTGTAGACCTTCCCACATCTCAGCAGATTTCAAGGACATGTACTACACACATAGTTTCTGCAGAACATGGACACATGCACAGCAACATGCATGCTTTATAATTTAGTAGATCAGGCAAGCAGTGCTTCATTAAAACAAAATTAAGTGCTTTACGAGAAGGCCCTGCCTTCAGGCTTGCTATCTAAAAATAAACTTTTCCATTCCAAAGTCAATGACCAAATGCACATTCAATGCAATTTGATTTATCATGGAGTTTTATTTGGTCTGGCAAATAGGAAATTCTGAACAGCTGAAATGCTGACATTTTAAAAGTCAGCGCTTGTTTAAAAGATAAATCCGTTCTCTCTTCAGTGCTCTGTTGTAGGTCTGCAGTGGCTAAAATCTTTTGTTACGTCTCTTCAGATAAAGTATCTATTTAATTTACACTAATAAGACAAAACATTTGCAGCAAACACAATTTATGTTGTAGCCAGTTTTCAAAAGCAGTAATTGATAAGTTTGCAGTCATGTTTTCATCTTTCAACTCTTCTGAAAGAGCTAAGATCAAAATCCCTTAGATCTAAAATCTTGTATGTCTGTCAGTCATTCTGAAAGCTTCTTATATTGTTTAAAGGTAAAGGTAAAGGGACCCCTGACCAATTGGTCCAGTCGTGACCGACTCTGGGGTTGCGGCGCTCATCTCGCTTTATTGGCTGAGGGAGGCGGCGTACAGCTTCCAGGTCATGTGGCCAGCATGACTAAGCCGCTTCTGGCGAACCAGAGCAGTGCATGGAAACACCGTTTACCTTCCTGCTGGAGCGGTACCTATTTATCTACTTGCACTTTGCTGTGCTTTCGAACTGCTAGGTTGGCAGGAGCAGGGACCGAGCAACGGGAGCTCACCCTGTCGTGGGGATTTGAACCGCCGACCTTCTGATCGGCAAGTCCTAGTTTCTGTGGTTTAACCCACAGCGCCACCCGCGTATTATATTGTATTGTATTATATTATATTGTTTAGGCACATTTAAATCTCTGTGCTGAGATTTTTATGAGGTTACTTTTCGTTGTGGGAACAAAACACTTTTTTAAGAATGTAGACAGAACTTCCTGGAGAGCTGTCCATCGTCTAGATTCAATGCTAATGCTTATTACGTTCATTGTTTCAATATTTTTTTAGCCTGATCCTGAAGCATCTACTGGTTTAGTTCTGCTGCTGTGCTGTATTATTTATTACTGGTCACACGGCAGACTCAGAAAGCAGTGGACGATACATTTTATTAAAATTATTTGTATGCTTGCGCTGTAGATACTTTGCCTCATCAGTGTTAGTCACAATGGAGTCAGCGAATCAGAACTGATGGAACTATGTCCTGCGCTGTCATGGGAAGTGCTGGCCTCGTTAGTTTACAGTTTGCACAAGATGTGCTTTTTGACGTACGGCTGTGGCTTGTTAAAGTTTCGACACCTTCAGGTAAGATGTTCTTGCAAAGGCATCTGACACCTGCCAGCTTCTTATAGAAGGCAAAATGAAAGAATATATGCATCTCACTCCTCCTCCTTGCATTTTCAAATATTTTCTACAAAAAGAATCTTTTAAGATCCATTCTGTTTCACATATCATGACGTTTGTGCTCAAGGAGAGAAAAATTATAGTTCTAGTCCTGTTGGGAAGTTTTGTCTTCCTCTTTCTCTTGCACACAGACATACCCCAGGCATGAGGAATTATGTTCTTAATGTAAAATACATTCCAGATTTTTTGATTTCCTTGCCTTACTAGGCTTATATTAAGCAGTTAAGTTATGCAATATACCAGCCTTGGTTTTTCTTCATTGCTTTCTCTGATGAGACTTCGAAATCCTCAGTTCACGATTTACTAATCTGAGAGATTATTGCTGCAGTCCTAAACCTATTTTATTAACTGAACCCCATTGTACGTACTATGACTTACTGTATTTTTTGCTCTATAAGACTCACTTTTCCCCTCCTAAAAAGTAAGGGGGAATGTGTGTGCGTCTTATGGAGCGAATGCAGGCTGCGCAGCTATCCCAGAAGCCAGAACAGCAAGAGGGATTGCTGCTTTCGCTGTGCAGCGATCCCTCTTGATGTTCTGGCTTCTGAGATTCAGAATATTTTTTTCCTTGTTTTCCTCCTCCGAAAACTAGGTGCGTCTTGTGGTCTGGTGCGTCTTATAGAGCGAAAAATACGGTATTTCTGAGTAACATGCATAGGATTGCATTGTAACACACACTTACCTGGGAGTAGGTCTAATTGAACTCTGTGGGGCTTACTTCTGAAAAGATATGTGTAGAGTTGTTCTGCAATTTATACAATGCAACCATTGTCTTCTGTGTGTTTTGTGTGGTTTTTTTTAGGCTTGGGAGACTGTCAAGCTGCAATACATGGAAGAAGGTCAGAATGTTTTTGCTACTTTCAGAGAAAAACTCATAGACTACTTCACCATGCAACTAAGGTAGACTTTTCAGGAAATTAGAAAAACAAATAATTCAGTATTTCCTATACAGTGGTACCTCGGGTTAAGTACTTAATTCGTTCCGGAGGTCCGTTCTTAACCTGAAACTGTTCTTAACCTGAAGCACCACTTTAGCTAATGGGGCCTCCTGCTGCTGCTGCGCCGCCGGAGCACGATTTGTGTTCTCATCCTGAAGCAAAGTTCTTAACCTGAAGCACTATTTCTGGGTTAGCGGAGTCTGCAACCTGAAGCATATGTAACCTGAAGTGTATGTAACCAGAGGTACCACTGTAGTTGACAGATGGTTTTTATAACTCAGTGGCTAAAAGTCTGAACTGTAAACCAGGAAGTTTTCATCTCAGATTTCACTTCTGCTATAGACTCAGTGGATAGATTTAGGCAAAGCTTTAACTTGGGACCAGGGCAAGATTTTTGCAGTAGGGTCTCAACTTGGTTTTATCTGCTTTTTTTCATCTTATGTTAAAGGTGTTTTAATAGTTGTTGTTTTTTCAATATCCTTTGCTTAGCTGCTTTGGGTGCTGTTTTTTTAGAAAGGCAGGATATAAATTGAAACAATGTGGTTTTATCCATCTAAGTTCCACTCAGAGGAGACCTACTGAAAATAATAGACCAAAGTTAGGCATGTCTATCAATTTCAGTGGGTCTGCTCTGACTATGACTAGTATTAGATCTAACCCAATACATTAGATAGACTCTATGCAGCTAAGGCATTTTGCAGAAGATGTGTTGTAATATTGCCCAATGTGGATGACTATTTTATCAACCCCTGTATTTTGCTTTCTGCTCTCCCATCAGCGAAGAGAGAGTGACTTGGAGGAGTGCGGATGAACTCCCCTGGTTGTTCCAGCAGCAAGGGGACAGGCAAAAGTTGCAGAAGTGCCTGCTGAATCTCTTTGTGTCTCAGAACCTTTATAAAAGGTAAGAACTATGTCTTGGTTTGCAGGTTCTTATTGCTAGTGTGTCATTTCTAAATAAGCACATGTTCCTAGAAATACATACAGACACGCTCATTCCAGATAGAAATATTGAGTAACATCATGAGTATCTAATTCAAGCACCCCAGCTGCTCAAGAGTTCTTAATTCCCCTTCCTCGGTGCGAATAGCAACAGAGGCTTTGGTTACATTTTCTTTTTGCGCCTTATTTCCCCCATATTTTTTGGCTCGTGCAAGGGAGCCCTGGGTTCAAAAGAGAGGGAACTGCCAGGACCTTTGATGCTATTGTGTCAGGACTGGGGAGAATGAAAGAGAATCTGATATGTGTAGTAAGCGGGAAGACTCTGCAAAAGATTGTGGTAGTCAGACTTTGGGGGAACGAACTAAAGTGTGTTTTTTCCTCAGCTTTTGTGGGACTGACCAATAAGGCAGAACCAATGGCTGTGTTGATTCATCATGCTGAGCCATAGGTGAGAATGAGCCTTGGGCTCATGTAAGGAAGAGTTCAGAAACCTTATAGAGTTGAGAAGACTCTCTGGTAGTAGATCTGGGAAAGACCTGGCCTTGGAAAACTGCTTTCAATGGGAGTGGACAGCGCTAGGCTAGATAGCTCCTTTTGGTCATACATGTTTATAATTTAACATACTTAAATGGTGCAGCTCTTCTTATACGGTTTTAGAGGTAGTTGAATTAAGCAGCAAATGACAATTGAGAGAGCCCATGTGTATACTTGCGAAAGAGTTGGCACGTATACTGATTGTGAGGGGGGGAGTGTCATTGTGCTGTCCTAGAGACCTCTCCCAAAACTTTGACACATTTTGGATAACTGGCTCACCCAGCAGTTCATAACAAAGCGAGACTCAGAAGCCCTCCTATCAATTGCTCACCATGGTGTAGCTTCATAGGTTCCTGACTAGAGGAGGAGGAGGATTAAATTGGATACTGTTATTAAGAGCTTGATTTCCCCCCTGTGGGGTAGTAATTTTGGGGGGATGAGCAGCCCTCAGACCTTGATGGACTGCGTTGGCTGTTTTAGACCCAGCGTGATGAACATAAGGAGTAACATAGGTGTCCACCAAATGTATTTATGGGGCCAGAACCTTTATTAAATGTTCTAGATATAGGTAGGTAGCCGTGTTGGTCTGCCGTAGTCGAAACAAACAAACAAAACATTCCTTCCAGTAGCACCTTAGAGACCAACTAAGTTTGTTATTGGTATGAGCTTTCGTGTGCATGCACACTTCTTCAGATACACTGAAACAGAAGTCACCAGACCCTTATATATAGTGAGAGGGTTGGGAGGGGTATCACGATAAAGATATTTTTGGGCATCTCACCTCTTGCTTTTTCCTGTAAGACCAATTGCAGTCGTTAACAGTCGTCAACTGGTTTACCACACCTATCAGCCAATCACCCATTCCCACCACCCTTCTGAGTAATACCCCTCCCCCCCTCCCCCCCCTCTCTCTCTATATATCTTACTACAGTGGTGCCTCGCAAGACGAAATTAATTCGTTCTGCGAGTTTTTCGTCTTGCAAATTTTTCGTCTTGCGAAGCACTGTTTTAACAGGTATTAATGGTTTTAAGAAAAAGGAAACAAACTCGCAAGACGTTTTCGTCTTGCGAAGCAAGCCCATAGGGAAATTCGTCTTGCGAAGCAACTCAAAAAACGAAAAACTCTTTTGTCTTGCGAGTTTTTCGTCTTGCGAGGCATTCGTCTTGCGAGGTACCACTGTATATATAAGGGTCTGGTGACTTCTGTTTCAGTGTATCTGAAGACGTCTGCATGCACACAGAAGCTCATACCAATAACAAACTTAGTTGGTCTCTAAGGTGCTACTGGAAGGATTTTTATTTTATTTTATTGAATGTGTTTAGAATTTACTCCTTGGAACTTCTCCTGCATCGTATTTCCTTGCTTGCAGGGGCCATTTTGCAGAACTGCTGAGTTACTGGCAGCTTCTTGGGAAAGATAAGAGCTCCATGGCAGCAGAGTATTTTAGCTCCCTTAAACTTTACGAGCAAAGCTGCGAGGGGGAAGAAAGCATGATCTCTCTAGCTGATCTTTATGAAACTCTGGGGCGATTTCTTAAAGACCTGGGTCTTCTCAGTCAGGTAAGTGCATTTGGTGGGCAAAAGAGCAAATGAAAATCTTATGTCCCACAGTGACACGGCACGGGTATGCCATTTTGCGCAATGTTGGATACACGGAGAACTGTAGTTTTCATTCAAATGGTTCATTATTTTTTGCTATTACAGTAGTACCTTGGGTTAAGAACTTAATTCGTTCTGGAGGTCCGTTCTTAACCTGAAACTGTTCTTAGCCTGAAGCACCACTTGAGCTAATGGGGCCTCCCGCTGCCGCCGCGCTGCCGGAACACGATTTCTGTTCCCATCCTGAAGAAAAGTTCTTAACCTGAGGTACTATTTCTGGGTTAGCAGAGTCTGTAACCTGAAGCGTATGTAACCCAAGGTACCACTGTATTTTTTAAAAAGCTTTATCTATTTTTTTAATGGAGATAACTATATTTATCCCGGGGAAGATTACGGTGGAGGAGAACACCCACAGTCATTCTGTTAGGTCTCAAGAGACCAGAGATGGAATCTTCGGCTCACATCAAGCCTCTTAAAAGACAATGCAGACCAATCTGGAAGTAGTCCGTTGAAGGACTGGCATAGTTGTGGAAAGTGATTGGAAAAACCTGTATAAGGTGTACGCGGCATCTCCCAACACCCAGAGAAAGCAGTGTATTATTTCCTCCTTTACAATGTATGGAACTACGTTTTTATATGGAGTCAAACAGACAGTTCGATTCACCTAGTGGAAAGTTTTCAGAGTCATAGTATCATAGAGTTGAAGGGAGCCTGAGCATCATCCTGTCCAATCCCACTACAATTCAGGTATTTCAACATGTGGTCTCCCATCCAGTTTAAAACTGTACCGGACCCTGCTTAGCTTTGCAAATGTCCTGGCACTTTTATTGCAGCACCACTAGGAAGTGGCAGGTGGAAAGGTGGAGAGCTTTTAATAGAATTTCTTGGGCGACCCCACCTCCCTTTTTAAAAAAAATTATTTATATATATATATATATATATATATATATATATATATATATATATTCTTTTATAGGCCATTGCTCCTTTGCAGCGCTCGCTGGAGATTCGGGAGACTGCCCTTGATCCAGACCACCCCAGAGTTGCCCAGTCACTCCATCAGTTAGCTGGCGTTTATGTGCAATGGAAGAAGTTTGGTAATGCTGAACAGTTGTATAAGCAGGCTCTGGAAATCTCCGAAAATGCTTACGGGACTGAACATCTCAGGGTCGCTCGTGAACTTGATGCTCTCGCAATGTTGTATCAGAAACAGAACAAGTAAGCACAGCCAGTTTTCTCCTTCATCTCTCTCTCTTTTTCTCCTCCCTAAGATGTTGCTCCAGAGTGGCAACTGGGCTGCAAAATCTGTGGGGCAAAGAAATTTGGTTTTGGGACACTGGAAGGGTAGTTTGGGGAAGGAGGTTGTGGAAGCCTTTAGGCTGGGGAGAGAGCCTCCCTCTCTTTGGGCGGACTAGTATGGCAAGGGATGTATGCTAATGATGCTTTGATGTTCAGCATTATTTTATGTCTCCCGAAAAATTATAGAGTGGGATAGGAGATTGGTTTGAGGCAGAGAGTACTGTTAAATTGCCTGGTAGCCTTCTTCTTTTCGGTCATCTGTACCAACTGATTTTGTGGGTCTTTTGAAATCAGGTTTTAAGGGATTTGTTTTTGTTGGGCTTCACAGATGCTTGCTTCCATCCATGGGCCAGTTTAGATATTTATGCTCATGTTAATGTGATACAGTGGGTGTCGAATTACACCCGTGTCCCACATCTCACCTGGGCACCTGCAACTGTGCCTAATTTCTGTAATCCATGCAGCAATTGGAATGAAAAGAGGAAATGTGCTTCTGTTTATACAGAAACCCAGTCACTGGTGGCTTTTTATAGGCAGCGGCGGCTGCTGTGTCGTCCTCCATATATAGGCCATTACAGTACTGAAACAAACCCTGACAATACTTGCTCATAAAATTGCACCCCAAGAAGTCAAGATCTCCCACTAGCCTGGTGAGAAAGAAGGGTTATATCTCCCCGTTAAAAGCACTGTTGAACTCTTAGTAAGTTAGTCAAACAAAATCGTAATTGATTTTATTCATTTTAGATACGAACAAGCTGAACAGCTAAGGAAGAAATCCTTAAAAATTCAGCAAAAAGCTGTGAGACGTAAAGGAAGCCTGGTAAATGTTTTATTCCTTTGTTATATGGCTTTTGCTATTTCAAGGCTTAAAATATAGAAGGTCAAGGCAGTGAGTTTCTTAATCTCCTTTTTAGTATGGATTTGCTCTTCTTCGCCAACGAGCCCTGCAGCTAGAAGAGCTCACTTTGGGAAAAGATACGTCCGATAATGCTCGGACGCTTAACGAGCTCGGAGTTCTCTACTACCTCCAAAATAATCTTGAGTAAGTACTGATTCTGTAACAACCTACACGGCTTCCTTTCTCTTAGAACTGGCTGGGAGGGTACCATTATTCCTGGCAGGAGCAATGCCATACAAGTTTTGTAGCCTGCGTTCCATATGGAAGAAGGAACATCAAATATACAAACTCAGGTTTCAGGTTTGTGTCACTGCTGCATTTCCTACCATTTTGAAGGAAATGGCCAAAAGGATTGCAATTCCAATGTGCAAGTTGTCAGGAGCTCAGCCTACACTCGAGTAGGACCCTGAAAGAGACACACGCCCGACTGGCATGTTCCCTCCCTCCTCGTCGATTGTTCGGGAGCTTCATAAGCTTTCTTCAGCCTGAACATCACAGCGACCGATGCCAACAAGCATCGGCACACTTAGGGATCCGCAGAGTCTTCGCAGCTTGCGTAACAGACCTCAGCAACTCAGCTTTTGGCTAATCTACTTTATTTACATATAAACACACACACGGAGCACTGCAACATGGCTCCCTCTCTCTCTAGCATAGTCTCCGTCACTTCCCACTCTGTGGAGTCAAAACATATACCATCATGTGAAAGACAACAATCCCATGACTGCAACCATGGAGCAGGAATTCTAACACAAGTATCTTCCTACATGGACTTTGGGCCACTTCACACCTATCTACACCAGTTTCAAAGTTATAAGGCAGCTTGATTTTTATCAGCTTGGACCGAAGCATAATTTTGCAGCCAGCATTATCCATATGCAGGTGACACGTGAGGCAGGGGGCCAGAATCTGCTGGACAATCCCAATCCCTCTCTACTTATTTTTCCAGATGTGTTAGGCTTCCTCAAACTCAGCCCTCCAGATGTTTTGAGACTACAGTTCCCATCATCCCTGACCACTGGTCCTGCTAGCTAGGGATCATGGGAGTTGTAGGCCAACAACATCTGGAGGGCCGAGTTTGAGGAAGCCTGTGTTAGGCATTGTGTTCTAAATGTGTATGCTTAATTTCAACCCTACCCCTAATTTTCATGGTGTCTGTTATGTAGAGAAGGGCTACATTATGCACATAGTGATATCAGATGACTTCAGGACCATCAGGAGAAAGACTGTCAAATGTGGTCCTAAATGCAGCGTCTGTTATCTTATTGGGGTTTTGAGTTTTCTGCTTTGATTTTTGATAAAATTAGCAGATGCGTATCAGGGCAGGTCCAACAAACATTGAGCAATCACAGGTCCTGGGGTAAGTGGTGGTGCAGTTATGGGAATTGCTGTGTCCCTGGCTACCTAGATCATCTGTTTCATTTGCATATGCAAGCACATTTTAAGGACAGTGGGTATTGCTCATGCGTGGAGCAAACTCTTGAATGAACCAGCACTTGCAAACATGGTTAGGCAGAAACCTTTTTCCTTCTTGAAAGGAAAAGTCAAGGGTTGACAAAGCAAGCCAAATTCCTTGCACAATATACTGAAGGGTCACGATTCTTCATCAGCAGTGGAACACACTGGCTTTGGAGTAGAATTATACCATCCTGCAGCACTGGTAAAACAAAGGATGTACAACTGCTCTGCAAGTTCTGGTATGAGCTAATCCACTTTTGATGGATGCATTGACTAAATCACTTACAGTTCTGCGTTTTCAGTCTCGCTGCAGCAGATTTAATGGTTTCCCTTACAACGGACATTCTTCTAGGACAGCAGAGCTTTTCCTCAAACGCTCCCTGGAAATGCGAGAGCGCGTTCTCGGTCCTGACCACCCAGATTGTGCCCAGTCTTTGAATAATCTAGCAGCCCTCAGCAACGAGAAGAAGAACTACGACAAGGCAGAGGAGCTGTACGAAAGGGCACTGAACATCAGGAAAAGAGCGCTGGCCCCAGACCACCCGTCTCTGGCTTACACGGTGAAACACCTTGCTGTGCTATACAAGAAGATGGTAAGAGCAATAGATGTGTGAATGCGCTATTCATTTTAGGTGTCAGAAGCTCTCACCTAGCTTGGGGCTTTACGCAGTAGCTTGCGGTGACAGTGCGGTGGAAATAACAGAAGCAGTATAAATTATGCCAAGTAAATTAAGTCCAGAGTAATCGCACAGCGCTGCAAATAGTGACATTTTCATTTGACTTCAACCAACGGTTGATGACAGCATGGATTGAATGTGCAGCATTTCTAAAAGGAAAGAAGGCTATAGAGATCTGTCTCTCAAGCTCACGCTTGCTTTGTTTCCTAGGGGAAGCTTGACAAAGCTGTTCCTCTGTATGAGTTGGCTGTTGAAATCAGGCAGAAATCTTTTGGTCCAAAGCACCCGAGTGTGGCCACTGCTTTAGTGAACTTAGCAGTTCTTTACTGCCAGATGGTAAGTTTTCTCTGCCCTCTCCTTTTATACACAATATCAGGGATGGTTAATGAATGATGTGCACAACATATGCCACAATTCAATGTAGCCAATAAGAAGAGGGGGAAAAACACCAGATTAAAATCTCTATTGCATCTCCCTGAAGTAAATATAAAATGCTGGTTTTAAATAGGATTAAAAATGTGTGTTTTCACATTAATTGGAAGCAGATACAGAGGCACAGCATAGTATTATCATAAGATCTCAGGGCGGTTCACATTTTTGTATAGCTGTATACTACTTTTTGTAAGGGACGTGGGTGGCGCTGTGGGTTAAACTACAGAGCCTAGGACTTGCCGATCAGAAGGTCGACGGTTCAAATTCCCGCAACGGGGTGAGCTCCCATTGCTCGGTCCCAGCTCCTGCCCACCTAGCAGTTCGAAAGCACGTCAAAGTGCAAGTAGATAAATAGGTACCGCTCCGGTGGGAAGGTAAATGGCATTTCCGTGTGCTGCTCTGTTTCGCCAGAAGCGGCTTAGTCATGCTGGCCACATGACCCGGAAGCTGTCTGAGGACAAACGCTGGCTCCCTCGGCCAATAAAGCGAGATGAGTGCCGCAACCCCAGAGTTGGTCACGACTGGACCTAATGGTCAGGGGTCCCTTTACCTTTACTATAGTACTTTTTGAGCGCAGCTGCCAATGTCTTTCCCCATTCCACTTGCACAAGTCCTTGCTTGCTAGCAAACCCCCAGAGCATGATGGAACCTGTTAAAAAACCCATAAGCAGAATCCCACAGGTATTAGGTTGGCTCGCTTACCACTCATCGCTGCCCTTGCCCAAATCCTCTGGCATGCAGCAAGATTTCTCTCTCACACACAGCAGTTTGGATATGAAACAGCAGGGTTATTATTTTCTCAATGTTTTCCTTCACCTTCCTCCCTGACTGCCACACAAGTTAGTTCACAGGAAGGGATGTGTGTCTTCTACTTGTCATAATTCGCATCAGGCAGATCAGGCTCCCTAGCAAAGCCCTTACTCACATGGTTCCTTTGAGTTTCACAGAGCACCCTTTCTTATCTGTTTATAGCACAGGACAGAATAGGTAGAAAACCCCAAGGGACACTTTACATTGGAAAATTCTCCTACGCAAACCTCACCTACCATACAGTTTCTGTTTTTTGTGGTTTTGCTTGCAAATGAGGATATCCAAGTGCTCTGTAATAGCTGGCGATCTTTGAAGAAGACTCATGACTTCTTCAAATGTTTTTCTTTTTTGGCAGGCAGGCAGGGAGACAGACAAACTCTGGCTGAAATATTTGGTGTTCATTGCTTACATTGTATTCATTCCTTTGGATTCAGTCTGCATTCAGGCCAACTTATGAGCCCAGCTTTTCTCATCTTCAGGAGTTAAGCCTTGCACAGCCTGTTTTAATTCTTTGGCCTGGTGTCCTGGCTTAATTTATAAAAGTTGCAGCACCCGTTCCTGCCTTCCAGCTCTCAGATTTTTATCATAACCTTAGCCAAAATGTGAGAGTAGTTACAAGCTATTCTCCTAGGCTCAGACATCTTACGGTTTCCAGTAGTTGGAATGTAAAATTTTAATGAAACTTAAGTGTTCAGCTCAGATCTGAACAAACACTTTTGGCAATACCTGTTATCTTTTGTGCCCTAATACTTCTAGAAAAAACACTCTGAAGCCTTGCCTCTTTACGAACGAGCGCTGAAAAATTATGAAGACAGCTTTGGGCGTATGCATCCTCGTGTGGGAGAAACATTAAAGAATTTGGCTGTGCTTAGGTAACATTTAATCTAACCAACCTACCTTGTTATTTTAAAAAAGTGTATATGTTCACTACTTGCTTACTGAATAATCCTAGGTTCACACACCAGATCTTTGCACCAGAGCAAAAGCTGCAGTATGGTGGGAGGGTGGGGGGTTCAGAAATACCTGACAAAGTTTCTTTGAAGCTTTTTAATGTGATACAGAAGTAGTATATTTTGATTTGGGGGTGACTTTAATCTCTAGAAAAGTGGGAAATACGAGTTAATGTTTGATAACTTTTTTCAGTTCTACTACTAATCTGCAAATGTTCTGGAATAGCAATGTGGAATGTTTTTTATTCCTTTGTTTTCTCTCAACCCCCCCCCCCCCAGCTATGAGGGAGGAGATTTTGAGAAGGCTGCCGAGCTCTATAAGAGAGCTATGGAAATCAAAGAAGCAGAGACTTTGTTGATTGGTGGCAAGGCAGCGTCCCGTCATTCATCCAGTGGAGACACCCTCAGTTTGAAGAGTGCTTTCTCTCCCAATGTTTTTTTGCAACATGGACAAAGGTGATGATAAGGTAAAGGACCCCTGGACAGTGAAGTCCAATCAAAGGCGACTATGGGGTGCAGCGCTCATCTTGCTTTCAGGCCGAGGGAGCCGGCGTTTGTTCAGACAGCTTTCTGGGTCATGTGGCCAGCATGACTAAACTGCTTCTGGCACAATGGGACACCGCGACAGAAAACAGAGCGTATGGAAATGCTGTTTACCTTCCCGCTGCAGCGGTACCTATTTATCTACTTGCACTGGCGTACTTTCGAACTGCTAGGTTGGCAGGAGCTGGGACAGAGCAACGGGAGCTCACTCCGTTGCGGGGATTCAAACCGCCAACCTTCTGATCGGTAAGCCCAAGAGGCTCAGTGGTTTAGACCACAGCGCCACCCACATCAAATGGGTTTGTCTGAATAAGAGGAGGATGGCAGTGCCCTGAAACCTTTCCCCCCCCAGTATTGCCGAATGTTTTGCAGACTGTTCCACACAGTTAAAAAGTAGTTTTAGTTATATTGACACTCCAGTCCTGCATACATTACATGGATTTAAGTCCCATTGATTATAAGGACAGGTATCTACTTGCACTGGCGTACTTTCGAACTGCTAGGTTGGCAGGAGCTGGGACAGAGCAACGGGAGCTCACTCCGTTGCGGGGATTCAAACCGCCAACCTTCTGATCGGTAAGCCCAAGAGGCTCAGTGGTTTAGACCACAGCGCCACCCACATCAAATGGGTTTGTCTGAATAAGAGGAGGATGGCAGTGCCCTGAAACCTTTCCCCCCCCAGTATTGCCGAATGTTTTGCAGACTGTTCCACACAGTTAAAAAGTAGTTTTAGTTATATTGACACTCCAGTCCTGCATACATTACATGGATTTAAGTCCCATTGATTATAAGGACAGGTACGTATATAATCTATAATACCTTTCTTAGGTGCAGAGTCTTTCCAGCAAGAGAAAGGAGGCTCAGGTGAAGCAGTAATGATAGAGGTGCAGAAAGATGGAGGTTCTTGATTTGAGCAAAAACAGGGAGATGCTTCCTGATTGGGGCAGAATGCTAAGTTGCATGCCTCCCTTATTTCCAGCCAAGTAGAGTTATCCAAGGTGAGTTATCTTCCACAAAAGGAACAGAGGCTTCCCCTTGTTTTTAACTCGCTGAACTCAAAACTGTCATTTGTCCTGCAGTTTACAGAGGAAAGCCAACTTCAAACTGGGTTTTATGATGTTCATTTGTTTCAATAGACCATAGTTAAGCTTAACCAGGAATTTTGGTTTGGACACAACACAATTGAAAGTGATGGCTAATGAACTCCTTGTGGCTGCACTAGAGAAGATAGGGAGTACACAAGCCCAAGGCTTATTCGTGTTACATAATAATGAGGTTTTTTTTAGTTACAGCACCTTCTTTCCTTGACCAGGTATAAAGGATTTGTTGGGACTGAGCTGTCAATCTGTAATGTCTTTTCCTACTTCTGTTGGATTTAATGTGACTCTACAGTCAGAGCTTTTGATACCAAGAAGAGGGCCTTCTCGGTGGTGGCGCCCGCCCTGTGGAACGCCCTCCCACCAGATGTCAAGGAAATAAGCAACTATCTGACTTTTAGAAGACATCTGAAGGCAGCCCTGTTTAGGGAAGTTTTTAATGTTGGATGTTTTATCATGTTTTTAATATTCTGTTGGGAGCCGCCCAGAGTGGCTGGGGAAACCCAGCCAGATGGGTGGGGTCTAAAGAATAAATTATTATTATTATTATATCTCCAAAGTGGAGAGAAAAAAGAAAAAACATTTGACTATCAATCTTTCTGTAAATTATGAAATTTAAAAGCAGTATTTGTAGCTGTCCAGTTATACTTCCTTTGAGATATACATTAAATTGTGAGGAAGTGACACTCTTAACTGAATAACCTGCTTTGTGTTTGCCACATATTCAAAATCTAGAGCCGGGACTCAAAGACCATGTACCATGTACTCTTGAGCTGTGTGGGGTGCTTTTCTTTTGACCTTCAGGAATGTCTTGTGTGTGGGACAGACACACAGCTATAGTTCGCGGTTGGGCATGAAGAAATACACCATTTATTTTAAAAAATTATACACATTTGAAGGCTTCCTAATTTCCCTTATCATTTTTTGTTCCATCTTACCTGGTTCTATACAGCTTTGCTTTCTCGCAGTTAATATATTCCCCTTGATACGTGGCACTCCGCACAGGCCCTTTTAAGTGTTTACCCTAGCACAGCAACCATATTCATGCATGCTTATTAGCAACCCCCACTGAAAACAAATCATACTTATGGGTGATTATTGAACAGGGCTGCAGTAAAGTAAGTATTAAATATTCCTTTCTTTGTATTAGGCATCAGGCTGAAGCAGTGGTAGCTTAGAAACAAATGGTTCAATTAGTCTTAACCCTATTTGTTTGCACTTCAATAATAATTTAATCTGAAATGTTTATAAGCAAGAAGCAGGCCTTTGGCAACAAAACTTGTATATGGTATAAACTGCACCAATATTAGTTCTGTTAAAGCTGAATTTTAGAAATGTTGGTAGTCTAAATTTCAAAACTCTTGTAACAAATTTAATAGTTGTCAGTTGAGCACAAAGTCCTGAGGTAGAAAGCAATCTATAAAAGCACACAAGTAGATAACATATTGGTTGGTTGATGCTGAGCTTATTTTAGTAATAAAGTTTATTTCCAAGAAAGTAACTCACAGGAAGGACACACAAAAATGCTGTTGTAAAAATGCAAAATGGAAACAGAATGGAGTGTGGTTGAACAAGTAGTTGAAGCAATTAATTGTGGGATTGCCTAGAACCATCAAACTTCCAAACCATTATTTTTGCAAATCTGTCTGAATCAATTAATTAATTATGTTAATCACCAGTTAATGACAAAAGCATTTCTCCAGCAGACTTATCCAACTGACCGTACAACATTCAGTCCAGCAAGCATAACCTGTAGTTTATTGCTGGTGGTTTAAAAATAGTTAGCCTTACAGCCATTGATTCTAAATAGGCTTCTCTTGGATTGCAGCTTCTTTGTTTACTAAATATATACCTGAAATATTACTTAAGCAAATACTACTAAGGTGACATTATTATAAAGCAACTGGCAAGAGACCTTGTAAGTGCTGAGCGACTGCAAGTGTCATTAACCCTGCCTAACTTTCAATTTTTGGTTGACCTGCCTGGATTAGAAAGGGAATTAAATGCTTTGGTGGAGGAAGCCCTGGCAACTTCTGCTTCCCAGAGCTTTTTATCCTACACCACTTGAGTGATAATCTACAATTGAACATAACAGACTAGATCATTTGCCAAACTTACTCCTAGTGCAGTTTTCTCTTATCAATTCAAAGCAACTTTCACCTCATTGCTTTATTTTCTTCTTATTTGGAAACTGAGGATTTTAGGCATGATGGCTCAAGAGCTTTTCCAAATTCAGTATTCTCCCATAATGGTATATCGGTGATAGCAAATTTTAGCATTCAATGCTTCCTATTACACACTGCATGGCCAGAGGAACCAGATATTGGCTCGTCCCACATTTTCAGCCCACTAAGTCTTCCAAAAGACTTCTCTTGCGGCTAACAAAAGTATACCAAACAGTTACTTTTCCATGTAACGGTCATATATAATTGGCTAGGGTGTATGACAATGATAATCATTTTTTAAACAAGGCTCTCTCTATATATTGTATAGCTTTTCATTCTTCTAACCATAAGCTTAAGCAGATCAAGTGTTACTATTTTAGACACTTTTCCAATCCAGGCATCCTAAGGAGGAACTGATTACGCTCAACAAATTTACTCTCACCTGAACTGGGCTTAAAAGGCAGCGTGGCATTGTGTTATAAATTAAACCTGTCAGCTTGCCTTGGTTTTCACTGGACCCTCATACCATAAAGTCTTCACATAATTAACAAAAAGACAACATGACAACGCACTATTCATGAAAGACTAAATCTGTTACACATCACTGGCTGCTGAAATTACAGTAATCTCGAAGTGTTCTTTTTGCTAGATGCTCTTCATCTTAGCCATAAGTTCTTCTAGACTTTCTTCAGATTCTGGAACAGTTTCCCCAGTAACAGCGTTCTCTTCCTGGTGAGGGGAGAAGAGTAGTAAATGCCTTTACACCTTTTCACTATAGCCTCAAATCCAAAAGCTCCAACAAGCTTGGCGTGCTGAACACCACACACATTATAGTAAAATAGGCCGGATACAAACGTAATTAAATACTAACACCTGTCAGTCACCCAACATCACCATCATGTCAGGGGACTCATTCTTCCTTCCTTGCATGGCAAGTATAGAAAATCCAAGCTTAGTCTCGCCAGGCTGAAAGTTACCAATGATCAATGCTGACTTCAAACTCCACCTTCTGCAGCGGTTGGCTACGCTACTGAATCCCTATGGGGGAAACTCAGAAGTTCATCCCAATGAGCTTTAGTTAAGGCTTATCAGGTGATATAGCATCCTTCCACAGGCAGAAGGACACTTCAAGGCTGCAAACTGTGCACTGGCAACTGCATCTCTGCATGCCCTTTGCCTGATATCTGGAGGCCTCACAAGCCAGAGGTTCCCACCCCATTGTAAAGCAAAGGTTAGCGAAGCACGTACGTGCCAAGTGAGCAGAGGCTCTCTCCGCCAAGGAAGCTACGACAGCCAAGCTTGGAAGGTGCACACGTCAAAGTGTGCAGTGCTGCTCTGGCTATGACAGCAGTTGTGGGCTGTTAGGATTGTCCTACTTTCGTGTATGAACCTGGTAGAGACACATGCCTGACTGGCATGTACTCTCCCTCCTGGTCGATCGTTCGGGAGCTTCAAAAGCTTTCTTCTGCCCAAACACCACAGCGACTGATGCCAAGAGGCATCAGCACACTTACGATTCTGCAGAGTATTTGCATTTCGCACAACAGAACTCAGTAGCACTGCATTTTGGCTAATCTACTTTTATTTACATATAATACACTCGGAGCATTCTGACTTAGCTCCTTCCTCTTTCTCATCAGACAGCAAAGAGGAAAAAAAACCAAAGGACAATAGTCCCACTTTCCGGAACACAGTAATACAAAACATCCTGTTTCCATCACTTCCCACACTGTAGAATGAAAACATACACCGTCATGTGATACGACAACAATCCTATGACTGCAAACACGGAGCACGAATCCTAACATCAACTTCATTGACGCACACGATGGAAGTGAAGACTGCAGAACAGCAGCACTGATTGCTCATTCCCACATGCAACTTGACAAGTTAAAGCCAATCCAAATAAAATGTTCTTGACGTTAGCTAAAAACAACTTACCACCTTGTTTGGTATTGTGTATGCCATCGTGATTCCTTCTGGAAGATCGAGAACTGGACCTGAAGCAGCTTTTAATTCTTCCTCTGAAACTTCCGATACCAACTCTATCCCTGAATAGCCCCAAACACATCAATGCAAGGGAAAGCATTAGTGCAGATTAATGGTATACACAGTAATTGTCTACAAATACAAAAAAGTTACAGACTGAACTTATGTTTCAGGGCCGATAAAGACATTACAGTGGTACGTCCGGTTACAAACGGGATCTGCTCTGGAGGCCCGGCTGAATCCCGAAAACTTCGTAACTGGAGGCGCCCTTCTGCGTATGCACGGTGAAACCCGGAAGTATACACTTCCGGGTTTGCCGTGGCCGTAACCCGAAGATTCTGTAACCAGGAGGTTACGCAACACGAGGTACCACTGTACTTCTTACAGTCAAAAACCTCTTCAGGCAATTGAAAGGGCAGGGAGTAGGGCTGTTACCCTCTCCCGTGTTGGACAGGCCCAATGGATTTGGGAGCAGTGGTAATGTTTAGGGGTTTTTAAACCCTAATTAAGCATAACATGCCAAAGTGGGTTCATAATGTGGGATACCCTTTCATGACAATAATAGATCGCAATAGCTTGTGCTGCTGTCACAACTATGTCCTCACTTACAGCTACCTGCTTTTTGGGGCAGGGGCTCAATTGAAATCATTCACAAGAGAGAAAGCTGCTTAGGCTGATGGGCATTTTACTAGTTCCAAGAGTTGTAAGCTAGCAATTTGTATTGTCTTAGTATCTTAACTCACCCCAATCATTCTCTTCATGAACTATTTCTTCTTCCTGTTCAATTACTTCTACTTTAGGATTTTCTGCTGCTTTTTTCTGTAAATACAAACACAGTCACAAGTGGTTTTTCTTCCCACTCTAAATAATGGGAAAAGTTAAATAATTATATGCTAGAGGCCCATTCAGAATGACCATACTAGGGTAAACAGCTCCAAAGAGTTCATGCTACATTTTCTAACTTCCGCTGAACAAGTTATCCACCCCTTTCAAGGAATTGGAAAAGGAGCCTGAACTCTTTTAGCTATTTATTTTACCTTGTACTCTTCCTGCTGGTGTCTACAGTTTCTGTCATCGCACTGTGGATTTGGCTTCATCGTCATGGAGGGGAAAAAATCCTGCATTGCGTTATAGCCAAGGTAAAAGCTCACCGTGCCAAAATTCAGTAAATATCTGGGGGGAAATGCAGGAAGGATAAAAGAAGAGAACAGTTTATTGTTTGCATGTGTCAGACGGAAGACACAGCCCTTTGGTTCATTATGGGTGACATCCAATGATGCTTGCCTACTTGCGCAACAGAAATCTTGCACAACTGGAGTTCTCCTTCAGCACCTGCGCACCCCGAAAATCTGCTCTGGAGGGTCCCTAACTATCTGCAGCAAATATAGGAGGGTGTGGAGGGAACAGATGGAGAATGCACAAGGACACAGCTGCTCACACTACTCTGGATCTCACCCAATATGCTTGATGTAATTCTTTTGCCATGAACCAATTCCCACTTAAACTTTTTTTTTTAAATTGAGGCATCTCAGTCACTTACTTCAGGACGTTTTGAACAAGAAGACCGGCGACCACTCCCATAGTGGTGGGAAGGCTGGCGGCACAAACTCCCTCCCGTTTGAGCGTTTTCTCATCTATATTTGCCGCTACAACAAGTGGAGGTGCACACTAGCCAAAAAGGGAAGAGGAGTTTGAGAATCATAAAAGGGGCATTTGAAAAACCCACGAACAGGAGAAGGATCCAACAAAAATGACTTTAGATTCCAACAACTTTCACTTCACCTTAGAAGGGACAGCACAATGGAACTTAGAAAGCATAACATCACATACCGCAAAACAAGCCGATTCACCAGGGATGATGAGTTGGATATGGCCAGACACAGCGTTTTCGCTCACTCCAGATTCCATCCATATTTGTCCAAGCTCATTACAAGCCTTAAAAAACATAAAACACGTACTATTTATACATGCATAAGTTGCACTTGCTGCAAAAATCTAAACTGCTTATGGATATAAGAAGAGCCCTGCTGAATCAAGCTAAAGGCTTATCTCAGGGGAGGGGAACTGTCTAGATCTTGAGCTCCCGCCCCCCCAACTGACCGGTGGCTACTTTGAAAGATGAGCCAGGACACCTTTGCTGTAAAATCACCTGCCCGTCACCATGACATCAGGCGACCCAAATTCAAAGGCAAGAATCGGTACCACACTCCTGGTTTCCAGGTCTGAAAATGAACTCATTGTAGGGGAGTTGGTCATCTAAAGAATTTCAATTGAAAATACAGTGGTGCCCCGCAAGACGAATGCCTCGCAAGACGAAAAACTCGCTAGACGAAAGGGTTTTGCATTTTTTGAGTCGTTCCGCAAGACGAATTTCCCTATGGGCTTGCTTCGCAAGACGAAACGTCTTGCGAGTTCTTGCGAGTTTGTTTCCTTTTTCTTAAAGCCGCTAAGCCGTTAATAGCCGCTAAGAGCCGCTAATAGCCGTGCTTCGCAAGACGAAAAAACCGCAAGACGAAGAGACTCGCGGAACGGATTAATTTCGTCTTGCGAGGCACCACTGTAAGTTCTTAGGAAAGCAAAACTTCATTTGAGTTTTGTGACAGACTTCAGCAATCCCTCAAACTTCTCAAACCAGATCTGGAAAACGGATCCCATTCATGTCCATGTCACAGAAGTCTGTATTCACCCAAGGATGAAACTGAGGTCGCCAACGAAATGCAGTTCAATCTCTAGTATTACTGTTTTTGTGTATCCTGCTTTCATGTAACATACAGAGGCTCAAGGCACGATGATACTGCAAATGCACCAAGCACAGCTACTGTGGAACAGCCATATCTTTTCAGAAGTGGCTCGCTTGGGAACCCTCTGCCTCCCCCACTGAGATGGCACAGCAGCCATACCTGCTACAATGTACTGGGTACGAGATCCACAGCTTCTAGCAATAGGTGTGCAATGTGTACTTGGGTGATAACAGGAGGCATGTGTGCGTTGCTGTTGCTACACTTACTGTGTTAATTGCCATGCGTGCTTCAAAATTATCCACGCAGCTCAATACAAGATCAACAGGTTTCCCTTCTTCTAAACCTCCGTTGCTATAAATAAAAAGGGGAGAAAATGGAAATATTAAGGTTCCTTGCAAGAAGATCAAGGAAGCTGTTTTACCATGAAACTCTCCATTCATTATTAGCATGGAATCCTCCTCTGCTCAAGGGTTGCATCTTCTCCTAGGAAATCTTACATGGCCCACATGCCAGCAATGGGCAGGGCCAGAACGACAAATGCCAATTTAACCTTTGTACAATAGGCTAAGGGGATTGGGCCGGCCCCGGCCCCCGGGCCTTAGTTTGCCTACCCATGGGCTAGTTGCTTAGAGACCCCTCTATCCTCAATCCAAGCTAGGGAGAATCATTATAAGAGTTAAAGGATTATTTCCAGCCAGATAAAAGCCCTCAAGGATGGGGTAAGGCTAGGCCAGACCAGACAGCAGTGTGGCCTGGGAGAAAGGGTGTGTGGCCTAGAGAGTCCAAAGGCCAAACAGAGAAGCCTGAAGCATTTGACCCCCCAGGCCTGAGGTTACCAACCCCCTGATTTAGAGAAATGTGAATCAGTACTGTTTCGTTACGACCACCGCTACCAGCCCCCGAAAGATATGTTACCTGATCCTGTCCATAAAATGTTGAAAGTTGTCCACAGTTGTGATGTTGTAGTTATGTACTTCGAACTGCACATCGGGGTTGATGTTCCTTAAGGATAAAACAAACACTGCAGCTTTAACACGAACATCTCTGAAAGGAGCCCCACACGTTTGTGTTGCAAATTCTAACATACTAAGGTTGCAATCCCATGCTCTTCCTTGGGAATAAATCCTACCGGACTCAGAAGAACTTCCTTCCGCATAAACGTACGCAGCATGATTTATTTAAGATTAGTTTCTCATGAAACTGATGTTCCGCATGTCTGAAGTTGCATTCCATAACTGGATGTCACCTCCCACTTTCACATACCTCAAAGTGTGCTCTGCTGCTTGCACTTTACTCAGTCCAGCTTGGTGGGGTTGGAAAAAGAGCCTGTTCATATTGGCCAGCTCCACCTTATCATAATCAAACAGGAGCAGCTAAAAGAAAGATTACAGTGACACATGAATGGCCTTTGGTCAGGTTCACGTTTAGGACAGACAGGGTCACAGCCCTTGGGCTAAAAAATATTATTCCTACGGATTCTAAAGTGGCAAACATATTTATTTCTAAAACACCTGAAATTCAGTTTTAAAAGACTGTGATAGTTTAAGTAAAATGAGATTCAAACTTTAAATTCATCACAGACGCCCATCAGCTTTAAATAATAACTTTTTAAGGGTTACTTCCACAAGAAAGCTCCCATTTGTCTCTCATGTGCTTCTGTGGCAGAGATAAAAGAATCAGAGAACAACAGTACAGTGGTACCTCGGGTTAAGTACTTACTTCGTTCTGGAGGTCCGTTCTTAATCTGAAATTGTTCTTAACCTGAAGCACCACTTTAGCTAATGGGGCCTCCCGCTTGCACGATTTCTGTTCTCATTCTGAAGCAAAGTTCTTAACCCGAGGTACTATTTATGGGTTAGCAGAGTCTGTAAACTGAAGTGTATGTAACCCGAGGTACCACTGTACTGGAGATCGGGGGGGGGGGGGGGGTTGGATGTAGGAAACAAAGCTTCAACATTGATGTTTGCTCTTTGGCCATGGGCAAGTCATTTCCTCTCTTCCTAACCTACCTGTCAGGGAACTGACATCGGAGCTAGAGGCGGAGGGAAGGCTCTCAAATGATGCTGGAGAAGGGCCCAGCAGGGAGAGAGGCAGCTCCGCAGATGGGGAAGCAAATCAGCGCTACACCAGGGATAAGGAGGGGCTGATGGGGGAATCGGCGAGAGGGCTCCAGGACTCTTCACCGGACACCAGCGGGGAGAGCACTGGTCCTCCGCTACCCACGCCCTCCCTGCGCAGAAGGCTTCCGCGCAGGGAGAGTAGGAGGAGACTTGGTGTCAAACAACTTTTATGTTGGAAAAGATTTAAGAAACGCCCACTGACGGATTCTGCTAGCGACTGAGGCAGCCACAAAGTGAAGGGGTGCCCAGACTGAAAGGTTTACCAAGGCAACAAAGCCTGGAGAGGCGGCAACTTACGCACGAGCAACCCATACTCATTATACTACCCTACAGGACTGTTGTTAGAATTAAATGAGATAAATCCATGTATGTTGCTTCAACAATTTTAGAAAAATGAAGTACCAGTATAAGAACCAAAAAGGACATGCAAGGAGAACTGTGTGTCCTAAAATGCACAGTAAACATACTTCCAGGAGCCTCTGCCAACTACAGCTTCTAAACCGTCACTAATCATCATGTAGGTTACCACCCTTTACCCATTACAGAGGCCACTGTGAAGTTGACAAAGGGAAATTAATCTTTCACCAAAGCACCACTGATTTTACTCAGGACAGTGTTGTTATAAGGAAGAAACGTATTATTACCTTACCAATGCCACATCTTGTCAGCATCTCAGCAGTTACGCTGCCAACTCCACCAACACCCACCACCGCGACAGCAAAGGAGCGGATTTTCTGCAACAAGAAACCAACACTGGTAAGCATTTTGTGCCATGTGTTTACATCGTTAATGCAAACTTCTATAAGAAACATTATCCCACCTCATAGTCTTTCACAATTCCCATTCTTTTCAGCGCCATCAGGCGACTAGAGAGAGGGAAGAAACAAAAACACTTTTGTCAAGTGCGCTTCATTCACATGGCACAGCTATTTCAAAATCAAAAGGAGATTAGCAAATTCCATGGTGCAAAATTGAAGTGCGCTGAAATCCCTGTTTGTCTTGGATATTTCAGCAGCTCCAGATCTCCCACAGTGATTAAATTAAGTATGGATTCATTTAAGACATCCTGGAACATAAACCAACAACCTCCAGGTTGGTGAAAAGGGCTAAACGGAAACACTTTGAAGGTGTGTACACAGCCTGTACATGCCACTAATTTCTGTGCTGCCACTAGGAATAGCCATTACTTGCCTCTTACTGTTCCATTACAGTAGCTGAAAATGCCATACCACTTCTTGACTGGCTGTTAAGGACTTCCATCTATCCACTGACACAGGGCTGCCATATTTCAAAAAGTTAAAAAACCAGGGCTGCCTCTGAAGAGTTCTGAAACTCCAGCTGGTGCAGAATTCAGCAACCAGGTTGCTCCCTGGGGCAGGCTGGTTTGAGCACACAACACTAACCCTAGCCCAACTGCACTGGCTACCCATGAGCTTCTGGGACCCAATTCAAAGAGCTGGCTTCAACCTATAAAGTCTTAAATAGCTCAGGACCGCCGTACCTTAAGGACCACATCTCCCCATAGGAACCAATGTGGACCCCGCAATCTTGAGGCCCTTCTTTTAACCAGAGGTTAAGAATAGCTGGGCCAGAGTGCCGAACTAGGATCTGGGGGCCCAGGGTCTGCAAATCCCAACTCAGCCTTTGAAGCTGACTCGGAAACTACAACTAATCCAGAATGCGGCAGCTAGACTGGTGACTGGGAGTGACTGCTGAGACCGTATAACACCGGTCCTGAAAGACCTACATTGGCTCCCAGTACATTTCTGAGCACAATTCAAAGTGTTGGTGCTGACCTTTAAAGCCCTAAACGGCCTCAGCCAGGTATACCAGAAGGAGCATCTCCACCCCCATCGTTCAGCCCAGACACTGAGGTCCAGCTTCTGGCAGTTCCCTCAATGCGAGAAGTGAGGTTACAGGGAACCAGGTAGAGGGCCTTCTCGGTTGTGGCGCCCACCCTGTGGAACGCCCTCCCATCAGATGTCAAGGAAATAAACAACTGACATTTAGAAGACATCTGTTTAAGGAAGTTTTTAATGTTTGATGTCTTATCGTGTTTTTAATTTTCTGTTGGGAGCTGCCTAGAGTGGCTGGGGAAACCCAGCCAGATGGGCGGGGAATAAATTATTAATATTGTTATTTTACTTTGGAAAACTGTTAAAATGATATATAATGAAATTCAATCAAGGGGATTTGAGGAAGTCACTTAATAATGTTACCAAGATTTAAACAGGATGTATGTTTATTATTATTTTTTTGGAAAATTAATAAAAAAAAATGGAAAAAATAATGTTATTTTACATGAAGGTCACTGGGTGACCCTGGGCCAGGTAGCCTATAAGCTACCTCGGAGGGCTGTTGTGGAGGTGGTGTAGGGGGGAGAACCTTGAGCTCCTCCTTGGAGGGAAAGGGCGGGATCACAGAATGGTAGAGCTGCGTGGGGCCCCCACCCTACAATGGTCATCTAGCCCAACCCCCCCTGCAATGTAATTCACGACCACTCTCCCCTGCCCCAAAGACCCGCTCACCTGTACGGGTTGGAGTCGGTCACCTCCGGGCTCATCTGCTCGATCCTCGCCCGCCGGCCTTGCCCGCCTCCTTCCCCCCGGCCCAGCTCTTCCTCCAGCTCCCGGACGCGGCGCCGCAGCTGCTCCACCAGCTTCTCCGAGGCGGCCATGGCGATCCCTCAGCGGAAAGCCCGCAGTACCGGCTGCTCAGCCCAACCCCGCGCCGCCGCCGCTGCTGCCAGAGACACGTCTCCCCAACCGGCGCTTCCGGGAGTCACGGCAAAAGGCTTCCCCCCGCGCAACGCAGCGCCGGAGACCACAGTTCCGGCCTTCAGAGTTCTCTCTCCTTTCAGAAAGTTGCTGCGAGTTTCAGAGTCCGGGGGTGGCGGGCGAACCGTTGGGTGGGGAACCTGGTTGCCCCCCCCCCCTTGCAAGCAAAAGGGCGGCCAAGGAGGGGCAGGCGGGGGAGCAACTGCCCCCCACAATAAAAAAATAACTGAAGTTCTCTACCCCCCCACCTATAAAGCCTGCCCCACACCAAAACCAAAATCCTGGTTGCCCCCCTTGCAAGCAAAAGTGCGGCCAAGGAGAGGTGGGCGGCCAGGGGGGAGCAACTGCCCCCACAATAAAAAAAAAACTTAACGGGTTTCCCCCTCCCATAAAGCTTGCCCCACACCAAAACAAAAATCCCGGCTACGCCCATGAAAAGGGCACCATTTTGCTTTGCCCTCATCCCCCGGGTTTTGCATTGCCTTGCAAGTGGATTTAAGGGTTGCAAGCTGAGCAGCCCCCTTCCACGCAAGACTTGGGAGTGGACCCATTGAAGTCAGTGGACCTGCTCTCTAAAGCAGCGACTAGGTCTGGGCTACGACACCGCCACCCTTGAGGGGGGAAAGCCGATGAAAGAATTATTTCAGTCAGAGTTCAGCTCGGTCTCCAGAAAAGAGCATGGTCTGAGGCGCAGGGGCAGCAGCCCAAACAGCTCTTTCTGCTCTGGGTGAGGAGGAGGAGCGTCTTTGCAAACGCTTTGGAGTAACTTCACAGGCAGCCCTATCGTTTGGAGGTATGTCGCCTTTGGAGGAGCGGCTGCAGCGACCTTTGCGCTGCAATTATTATTTCACCCCACCGCCCTCTTTGCTCTCGCCTCCAGTGTAGCAACAAGTCAGCGAACCGGTTCGAGGCCGCGACTCCGCAGTTGGAGAGGAGCCTCTGCAAAATGGCAAGTGAGCCCGATACCACCGAAGTGAGGAAGCCGCACAGATTTGACCAGGGAGCCTTGGAGAGATACCTGTGCCGGCACCTGCCGGGCTTCCCGCAGCACCCACCCGAAGCGCTGAGGGTCAGGCAGTACAGGTAAGGATGGCAGCTTCGCGGAGCAATGGTGCTCGGAAATCAGGGCACTGAATTCAACGAGATTCCTGCATTGCAGGGGGTTGGGCTAGATGACCCTCGGGGTCCCTTCCAAGTCTACAATTCTATGATCCACCCCCCACCCCGGCACAAGAATCGTGGGAACCGTAGTAATGGGCAGGACTTTTTTTCAGCCAGAACTCTCTTCAACTCCGGATCCCTCTCAGGTGGGCGCCATTGCCATTAAAAGAGAATAAGGAAGGTGTTTACGCTGAGTTCTCAAATTTCATTCGTGCCCTGTGCAATGCTAAAATTTGGCACCCTGGGCCTATTGCGCTCCATTCTAAAGCGTAATTGCTGCGTCCCCGGTGACAGCCCCCAAGACTCTGCAGTGCACCCAATGACCAGACCGGTTGCCGTCCCCTAAACCCACCTCTGCCCCCAGGATTCCTTGGGAAATAAATTGTGCTTTTAAGTTCACGTGTGTAAACGCTTTGGTAAACGCTGATAGCGCTGCAGCCTTAGGACTCTTAAATCAGTGTGTGGAGAGAGATGGAAAGGAGTGCGTTAAGCTGCAAACATTTCACTGAAATCTGATAGGATAAGATTGGTTTCCTTTCTCCTGCACATTCTTCCTTATCCCCTGAGGTACCCTATACAGTGGTACCTCGGGTTACATACGCTTCAGGTTACAGACTCTGCTAACCCAGAAATATTACCTCGGGTTAAGAACTTTGCTTCAGGATGAGAACAGAAATTGGGCAGCAGCGGGAGGCCCCATTAGCTAAAGTGGTGCTTCAGGTTAAGAACAGTTTCAGGTTAAGAACGGACCTCCGGAACGAATTAAGTACGTAACCAGAGGTTGTTGTTGTTTAGTCGTTTAGTCGTGTCCGACTCTTCGTTACCCCATGGACCAGAGCACGCCAGGCACTCCTGTCTTCCACTGCCTCCCACAGTTTGGTCAAACTCATGCTGGTAGCTTTGAGAACACTGTCCAACCATCTCGTCCTCCGTCGTCCCCTTCTCCTTGTGCCCTCCATCTTTCCCAACATCAGGGTCTTTTCCAGGGAGTCTTCTCTTCTCATGAGGTGGCCAAAGTATTGGAGCCTCAGCTTCACGACCTGTCCTTCCAGTGAGCACTCAGGGCTGATTTCCTTAAGAATGGAGAGGTTTGTTCTTCTTGCAGTCCATGGGACTCTCAAGAGTCTCCTCCAGCACCATAATTCAAAAGCATCAATTCTTTGGCGATCAGCCTTCTTGATGGTCCAGCTCTCACTTCCATACATCACTACTGGGAAAACCATAGCTTTTACTATACGGACCTTTGTTGGCAAGGTGATGTCTCTACTTTTTGGTACCAGAGGTACCACTGTATTTTTAGAAGTGTGAATTAAAGAAGCTTGAATAAGTTAGGACATCTCCAGTAGGTGAACAGTAACCCCCAGATCCCCCAGCTTCTATCCTTTGTAGAACCTGAGATATGAAGCAAAACGTAAAGGCACATTTTTGTCAGAAATAAGTCTGTTTTTGCCTTTTCAGTGTTTTACTTCCTTCCCCACCTCCACCAAGGACACCCGTGTCATCTATTTTTATGGAAACATTCCAATATATTAAAGGAGGCAAATCTTCCATTCCTAGTTATACACAGCACATATATCCATGATTCTTTTTCTCCCATGTACCCCTCCCCTTCCTCTCTCCCCAGGTTGCTGACAAGTTCTGCGACTTTAAAGCAGACACTCTAGGCAGTTTTTGGACTCCCAACTCCCATTAGCCCCAGCAAACACTGACAACATCTAAAGGTTTTCTCACGCATGCTTTCAACCAGCCCAGTGCTGCTCTTTGAACCTACGAAAACCCAGTGGTTCAAAGAGCAGCACAGGGCTGTTTGAAAGGCTTTTTTGAGGCCAGAAAAGTGTTATGTAATGTTATTCGGCTTCTCAGAGTGGTGAGAACACTTGCTTATCCAGGTGATATTTCATTTGGAAAGAGAGCATTTGAAAAATATTGGCATTTTGTAATATTTGCACTCATTTACAAATGTACAGGCTGTTTATAGGTGGAGAGCTTCTAAACCAGGCATGGCAGTACTTGGCCCTCCAGCTGTTTTGGGACTATAACTCCCATCAACCCTAGCTAACAGGACTAGTGGTCAGGGATGGTGGGAAATGTAGTCCCAAAACAGCTGGAGGGCCAAGTTTGGCCATGCCTGCTCTAAACAGTCCACCAGATAGCCAGTCTATTTGCTCTCAAATCAGATCTCTAGGAAGAAAGCCAGCAGTCTGAAAACCCATATACAGCTCTATGTATCTTTCTGGATCTCACTCACTTCAGTTTGTCATTTGTTTTCCCCACAGCTACACAGATTACAATAGTTTTAGCTAATGGGGGAGGAGACAGTAATGCCTTCCCCCCCAAAATGGCTCTCCAACTGTTTCCTCATTGTGGGCCATTTACCTGTAATTCATCTAACAAAGGAGAGACTTGGCAACTTTGCCAAGACTCTCAAGGCGGTCTCTCCTGTTGAAATGCCCAATTTTACAACAATCCTAGCCCATTTATGGTTGTAGCTCCACATATAGTACTGACCTGTCTATCCTGGTTGTGTTTGAGCAATCCCCAAAGGGAGGAACAAAGGACGCAAAAAGGCAAGAGAGAGACACTGTTGTTATCTTGGACCATTGCAATTAATTAACTAGCTTTGAAACTGTGTTCCAGAAACCCATACCCTACTAGCAATACACTTGTTGTTTGTAAGGACCAGCTAACTTTTTTTTTTTTTTAGTGAGTTATAGAGTCTAATTATTGCTCTCTGAACTCATAGAGCACACTGCATTCTGCTTTTGTGCTGTTTTTTCCCCTCAGCACCAAATCTGGGGTTGTTATGGCTTCAGAGAGAAAACTTGCCTCGTAATGAGCAGATGTGCTATGCGTGCTCTGAACGTCGACTCCAGATTTAGTATTTATATTTATTTATTTAGATTACATTTGTGAATCGCTTCCCATAAAGTATCTTGAAGCAATATTGGGGTAAAAGCATCAACAATAAAAATTGTTGTATCTTACAGAATAAAAATAAAATAAAATCAATTTCAGATATAAAAAAAAGTGTAGAATCCACTGGTATGCCTCCGCTGAAAAGGCTTGCCCCAAAATATGTTGCTTTGATCATCAAAGCAATTTGCTTGTGCAAGTGTTTCATGAGAAAATTTCACAGGTGTGGTTGTTTTTCCATGCACCCAGACTTTTAACTAGTTGAACCAAAGTTATTAGATTTGGTAAGGGTGGACAACCTAGGGTCCTCCAGATGTCACTGAACCAATAAGCACAAAACAACCCCTCTGCAGTGCCACAAATCCAACTCGGTGTAACGTTTGAAAATGTTGATCGCTTCTCCTGGCTGGGCAGTTATCTTTCCACAAGGGGTGACATTGATGCCAAAATCCAGCATCGCCTGAACTCTGCAAGCATGGCTTTCTCCAAGTTGAAGTGCAGAGTGTTTGAGGACCAGGACATTTGCAGGGAAACCAAAATGCTTGTTTGCAAAGCTATTGTACCACCAACCTTACTGTACGCTTGTGAAACATGGACCACTTATAAGCGCCATCTCCAACTCCTTGAAAGATTCCATCAACTGTGTCTCTGAAAAATGTTCCTTATCACTTGGGAAGACAAGTGAACTCATGCCAGTGTACTGGAAGAAGCAAAGATCACCAGTGTCAAAGCAATGATTCTTCAACATCAACTTTGTTGGACTGGTCATGTAGTTCAGATGCCTGATTATCGTCTTCCAAAGCAACTACTCTATTCTGAACTTAAAAATGGAAAGCGTAATGCTGGTGGTCAACAAAAGAGGTTTAAAGACTCAAGGCAAATTTTAAAAAAAATGGAGTATAAACACTGACAACTGGGAAACACTGTCCTGTGGGTGCTCCAATTGGAGAACAGCCTTTACCAAAGGTGTCGTGGGCTTTGAAGACGCTCGAACTCAGGACAAAAGGGAGAAAGGGAGAAACGTGCTAAGAGGAAGGCAGGCTTGGCAAACCCTCACCATGATCAACTCCCACCTGGGAACCTAGGTTCCCACTGTGGAAGGACGTGTGGATCCAGAATTGGCCTCCACAGTCACTTGTGGACTCACTGTTAAAACCGTGTTTATGGAAGACAATCTTAGTTGGCTACAAGTGATCGCCAAAGAATAAGAATAAGACTGGACCACAACTCTTATCATCCCTGACCATTGGCCATGCAGGCTAGAGCTGATGGTATATGGTCCAGCCACATCCAGAGGACCACAGATTCCCCATCCCTTTTTAATCCCTGGCTTGGTATCTGTTGCCTTTCAGTTCATTTCACTTTTAATTTGTATACTGCCTTGCTATATTACTATACACAAGGCAGTTTATAGGCTGAAGAAACAACAAACAGACGGCAAAGATCACACAAGTATTAACAAATCTGATCCGGTACAAAAAAAGTCACAATAACTTTAAAATAAGCAACTTATATCCTATAAAGCAATATTCAACAATCCATTGGAATATAATGGTAAACAGTAAAATTAAATATCAGCAAATAATAATGAAACAGTTTGCACTTATCAATTACAATAAAGAATTAATAAACTAGAATCAATAAAAAGTAACGGCAAGTCACAATGCATGAAATACCGCAAAACATACAAAATCATGTAAAAGGCTCAAACTAAGAAACAAGGACACACAGCTTATACTTTTATTTTATTTTTTAATATCCCTGAACTCCTATTCTCTCTTCCCAGCTGCTTCTCAAAGTGCTGGTCTGGGGGAAAGTCCCAGGGCTGGAGGGTGGGGCAAAGCAGGTGGAAAAAGCCATTGCTTGATGAACAGCAGAGTCTCTCCCCTCACAGTTCTTCCTCTGGAGCAGCTCTCTTAGGAAGCCTCCTAGGGCTGGAAGGTAGGCCAAGATAGGTGGGAAAAGCCATTGCCTGATGGGCAGCAGAAAGTCTCTTATTCATCACTACATTTCCATGGCCCAAAGAGCTCAACGTGCTGAATTTTTGTTTGCTGCCCTAGGAATCTCCTTCATTCATACCTCGGTAGAGTGCGAGACTCTTAATCTCAGGGTGATTCTATAACCAGCATGTGTTGGGTTGTACTTACGCTTACCTTCTTAAAATGTTGTAACTCACTTGGTGAGCTTTTGTGTGTGTAAAAAGTGACTAACAAGTTTTAAAATTAATAATAATAATAAGAATGCATATCTTTGCTCACATAGCTCAGGGCAGTCAAACCCAACTTTTTACTTGGAAAAAGGCCTCAAGACCTACGTACTGAGGAAGAAACCTCATGGCTCACTCCTACCTCAAGCTCATAAGGTAAATTTGCTGTTGTAAAGCAATCCATTCATGAAATATCTTTGGCTTTTGTTTGAAAACATTGATTTGGTTAGCAACAGGGTGGAGAAGGAGAATGGCTCCTTCAGTTGACCGTAAGGACTAGGCTCGCAGGTATAAAAACAGAACTGCTACCGTCCAGGTTTGCCCCTGATCTTGCGTTCCATTTGCTGCTAGATTTGTGTCGAGGATTTGTCAGTAGCTGGCGTTAACATTTGTTACTAGCAATGTGATGTGGTTGTGTTATGGGATGGAGTTGGTGCAATGTGTTATGACTTGGTGGTTGGGGGTTTCAGAGTTTTATAGACCCCCTCCTATGACGTGGTGTATGTCTGGAACCACATGTGTGTCCACCACATGCATGAACTCGACGTGAAGCTCCGAGAGGGTTGGAACCTTTTGCGTGGAGCCATTACATGCACCTGTTAAAAAGAAAATGTGATACTGTGTATATCTTTAACCCTCATGCCCAGTAATGAACTTGTCACATAAGGAAGTAGGGCAAAAAATGGTTTATTACGCGGAAATGAAAAGAGACAGAGCATATGGATGTTTCGCATATGCGAGCAGCAAACACTCATTAGACACATACACACCTTAATTCTAAGGAATAAATAGAGTCCCTAACTACCCCTAAAGAGTGAGTGCCACAGGCTCACATTAAAAAGAAAGAACTATAAGAGAGGGAAGGGTGTACACCTGTTCTAGAGGCACACAGAACACAAAGTCGGGGAATTAAGCTTCCCCTTTAAAATCCTAGGTCCACAAGCCAACATCCTCTCTCACCTGTGCCTTTGGTTGTCTAGCAAAGGATAGGATTGATCCTTAAGAAATAAAAGAGGGGGGGGGGTTCCTGTTTGAGCTGTGAGACAATGAACCATTCAAAATCTGGGGTTTGGGTATAGCCTGAATCTAACAAAACTTGGTAGAGAAAGGGGCTTCCTGAATGACTGAAGAATGAAACGCCCACATCCTTTGAACTGTTGTTTACTCCTGGGATAAAAAAGGTAAAGGGACCCTGACCATTAGGTCCAGTCATGGCCGACTCTGGGGTTGCGGCGCTCATCTCGCTTTATTGGCCGAGGGAGCCGGCGTACAGCTTCCGGGTCATGTGGCCAGCATGACTAAGCCACTTCTGGCGAACCAGAACAGTGCACGGAAACACCTATTTATCTACTTTCACTTTGACGTGCTTTCAAACTGCTAGGTTGGCAGGAGCAGGGACCGAGCAACGGGAGCTCACCCCATCACAGGGATTCGAACCGCCGACCTTCTGATCGGCAAGTCCTAGGCTCTGTGGTTTAAACCACAGCGCCACCCGCATCCCTCCTCCTGGGATAACTCCGAATTAAGGAGGGCACAGCCTTAATTTTGAGGAGACCACACATTGATCTATACATGTACCTTGAAAGAGATCCCATTGTCTCTGTAAAGTCTGGCTCCTGCTTACAGGAGGGCGGTGGCCAAATTTTGCTGAAACAAAGATTAGTACGTTGGTACTTTCTGCAACTATTGGGGTCCAGATGGTAGATATTCATTCCAGGTCACATCTAAGATAATAACCTGTATGTCCTTCGCATGCATATTTTATATTAAACTTATGTCAGCTGAACTGATCCATAGAAATAAACCATGTGAAATGGCTAGATTAGCACCTGCCTGCAGGTAAGAGCCCTCACTTGTATTCAGCTCTTGAGCCACAGAGAGGAAAGGAATATACGGGTGTTATTCTGGTTAGTGTGTTTGGTTTTTATTGGCTGTTACATGTGTGAGATTGATGTAAAGCTGTGTAATCAAAAAAGAAATATAACCCTGGTAAGGTTGCATATTTGGTGTGAGTGGCTAATGAAAGTGATAAATTGCGAGAACTGTTGTGTGGGTGGAATGTCTATGTGGGCTTGTTTAACAAATGATACGGTTCTTCATTTTAGACTTTTGTATTGGCGTGGTGATTGTTACGTGTATGGTTATTGTCCTGTGTCGTACATCTGTGCATGTGGACTTTTCTTCTTCTAAAGTTATCGAGATTGTGTTTACTGTATATTTACATATTTGGATTTTTTTTAAAAAAGTAAATTGCTTCAATATTGTTAATAATCTATAAATTACTTAAATGGGCAATCAGATAGCACTTGCTTACATTTGAGTAAGTGGTAACGATTGTGATTCATTTCTAATGGCTTCATTGCAGCTTTAAGGATTTGTGAATGCTGGATAATAGGCCGGGGTATTTGAAGTAAGCTCCACTGAGCTCAGCTGAACTTGCACTCAGGAAATTTGGTACAGGGTTGTAAACTTAAAATTGCAGTCTTATGCATGTTTGCTGGGAGTCTGCTCCATTGAACTTAGCTGGGCTTACCAGTGAATAAACTTCTATGGGATTGTGCTGTAAATCTTGCTGAAACGCGTAAGAATTGCCAAATTCTTAAGTTCTACTGATCTGAATAGGGCAAGCGCATCCATTTCTGTGGATCACAGCTTTTGTCACTTAAGCTCCTATCACTCACATTATTGTATATCCTACCATAATCCTGTTCAGGTCGACAGAGAATATCAGGTTCAGAAAGCCTTGTTTGCCGTTGGATTTCCAGTTCCTGAGCCTCTCTTATACTGTAGCGATGCTTCTGTGATTGGAACGGAGTTTTATGTGATGCAACATGTACAGGTTGGTGCTTTGATTGCAACAGCATTTATTGCACACACTTTTCCTGCTCCATGGGCAAATTTAGCCCAGAATGCTTAAAAACAGAAGAATGTTCCCACTGAACCAGATCAAAGGCCTATGAAGTCTAACGTCTTGTTATTACAGTGACCGAGAAGCCCTCCAGCAGGGCATGAGCACAGTAGCCTCTACATAAAGCACTGGTCCCCTCCCACCCTTGTTCCTGAAATAAATCTTTATTCCTCCTCCTTGCTTCTGATGTAGGTCTTCACTTCACCAGTGTTGGTGCTGACCTTTAAAACCCTAAACGGCCTCGGTCCAGTATACCTGAAAGAGCGTCTCCACCCCCATTGTTCTGCCCGGACACTGAGGTCCAGTGCCGAGGACCTTCTGGCGGTTCCCTTGCTGCGAGAAGCCAAGTTACAGGGAACCAGGCAGAGGGCCTTCTTGGTAGTGGCACCCGCCCTGTGGAATGCCCTCCCACCAGATGTCAAAGAGAAAAACAACTACCAGACTTTTAGAAGACATCTGAAGGCAGCCCTGTTTAGGGAAGCTTTTAATGTTTGATGCATTACGGTATTTTAATATTGTATTGGAAGCCGCCCAGAGTGGCTGGGGAAACCCAGCTAGATGGACGGGGTATAAATAATAAAATTATTATTATTATTATTATTATTATTATTATTATTATTATTATTATCCCTTCTTCCCTTGGTTGGTGGGGGGTGCATTTTGTGGTTCACCTCAGGTGCCAAAAGGCCTGGGACTCCTCATCTGGATCAGGACCCTAGAATATGGGAAGAGGGGAACTCTTTAAGCCTTTGCCCCTTACTGCAGTTCTGATTCAGATCAGCTCTATGGTGCTTGCAATATGCATTGCAATAATGTTTCTTTTAAAATGGATGGGCTCTTTTCCTCTTCTCTTCAATGCATATTTTATTTGTGGGGGGGGGGGGTGGCAATGAGGACCACAGCCAGGAGCAAAAGATTAAAGTCACAAACACCATCCCCTTCCAATTCGCGAAAATAAATTCTGCATTCAAGGACAGAACTATGAAGTTATGATCACGTGTTGTTTTCCCCTAAGTATGTTACTAATCCGATCTCTTGGTTTATCTTCATTGCTCAACTAAGGCGAAGCAGCATATCTGTGTCTCAGTGCTTCTGAAAACCAGTAAGACAAAGTCATCACTGACTTTGTAATTGATTCTGAGCCGATATATTAGGCTCTATGTGCACTATAAATTTAAAACAGTATCGTACCATACCAACAGTCATGGGTTCCCTCAAAGATTCCTGGGAACTGTAGTAATAATAATAATAACAATAATAATAATAATATATTTATTTATACCCCCCCCCCATCTGGCTGGGCTTCCCCAGCCACTCTGGGTGGCTTCCAACCAAATATTAAAATACAGTAATGCACCAAACATTAAAAACTTCCCTAAACAAACTGTAGTTTGTTAAGGGTTCTGTGAGACCCCTCTTCCCCAAATTTCCCTGGGAAGAGTGATTTGCTGTTAACCCATCTGTAAGAATTGTAGCTCTGTGGGATGAGGGGAGGGATACAGGTCTCCTAACAACACCCAGTACGCTGAACAAACTACAGTTCCCAGGATTATTTAGGGGCAGCCATGGCTGTTTAAAGTGGCATGATATTTCTTTAAATGCACAGTTCAGATGGTCTGGTGCATCTTGTGTTTTAAAGCTGTAATCCTCCCTATTTGCTTCTCACCCACCTTGTATTTGGCTCCTGGTGTCTTTAGGGTCGCATCTTCCGAAACGCTGCGTTACCTGGCATAAGTCCAGTGGAAAGATCTGCTCTATACATAGCTGTAATAGAAACTCTGGCCAAACTACACTCATTCAATGTGAATTCACTGGGACTCCAAGGCTATGGAAGAGGACCAGGTTACTGTAAGAGGCAGGTAAATGATCTACAAAACCTTTCCAATGTTTCAGCCTCATTGTATGACTTTCTTCACCATTTCTTCTTCTCTTTGCCATTTACAGAGTGACTAACTTCCCTCCACACACACACACTTATTTTATTTTATTTTATTATTTTTTGGTGTCAGGCAAAGGATACGTATTTCAACTCTTAAACAAGGAAGTTAGCTTTCTGCAAGTCTTGGTTAATATTTAAGTGGTTGGTGCCAGCAACTAATTTACAGAAGCAGCAGCAGCAGCAATGGCCAGAGATCAATGGTCATTTCCAGTTTGATTTAACTGCAGCTGCTGATCAAGCAAATAGGTTTTCTGCAGGTCTCTTACACTTGCAGTTCTGCTTACACAAACACACCCCAACAGTGTTCACTTTGCCCTTTCTTTGCTCCTTCTCCTCTTACTTCACTGCTGATGTTCCCATTATCAGTTTTCCACAACAGAACACACCTTTACAACACCTGTGCTTCTGACTCTCATTAAAAAAAACCCCATTTGAATTGTGCTACTCATTTGCTGTGTGAGGAAGTGTTGCCTTTTGAAAGAAGGAAATAAGGCTATGAATTGTATGGATTAGGATAGTGGTTCCCAAACTTTACCCCCCACGGAGCACTTGAAAATCGCTGAGCGTCTTAGCTGACCACTTAACGATTTTTCTTCCCCTTGCAGCAATTGTAATTCACTCTGCTTGATGCTGCATTATTTTAAAAGGTTTTTCGTTTTGATTTTTTGCTTCATTGGTTTCTTATAAATTGCATTTTATCCTATAACAAAGACAATAAAATGCAATACGGGAAATGAAAGAAGCAATAAAAATTAACTAAAAATTGATTATGATGGATGTGCCCTCTTTCGCCTTCAATCACAAATCCATAGACACACTGCAGACTGCCTGAATGAAGTCCATGATCCACATTTTGGGAACTCCTGGAGTAGGATCCAAAAAAGTCTGCAATCTGCTTTTGAAAGCAATATTGTGATATACAGTGGTGCCTCGCAAGACGAAATTAATCCGTTCCGCGAGAGTCTTCGTCTAGCGGTTTTTTCGTCTTGCGAAGCAATCCTATTAGCGGCTTAACGGATTAGCGCTATTAGCGGTTTAGTGGCTATTAAAGGCTTATCGGTTTAGCTGCTAAAAGGCTATTAAAGGCTTAGCGGCTTAGATAAAGGGGGGGAAAGCGAAAAAAAAATCTCAAGACTCCTAAGACATTTTCGTCTTGCGAAGCAAGCCCATAGGGAAATTTGTCCTGCGAAGCAACTCAAAAACGGAAAACCCTTTCGTCTAGCGGGTTTTCCGTCTTGCGAGGCATTCATCTTATGGGGCACCACTGTAATCCAAAAGAGCCATGGGAAAGTCCTGTAGCACAAACCTTTCGTCTGAGCTTAAGCAATTTATTTTTTGATCACAACCATAACATTTTCCCTTCAGTTAGGCCTCCGTCTAACATATATTTCCCCCCATCCCTTACTGATTTTGTTTTCAGGTATCAACTTGGAGAAGGCAGTATCAAGCAGCAGCTCATGCAAACATCCCAGCTATGGATGAATTGGCTGAATGGTTAACCAGCAACCTGCCTGCTGGCGATACTGAAGAAAAGTTGGTCCATGGAGATTTTCGATTAGACAACATCATATTTCATCCAACAGAGGTATCGTGCATACGGCTTCAGTTAGGCTTGTAGCATTTCCAGGACTATGTGCATAGAGCCCTGAGATAAAAGTAGTCCCTCTTATTTCTGTGTGCTTCGTAAGATATTGCGTTTTCTGCCTCTGGGGAAGATGTCCAAATACTTTTGTGTGTCATCAGAAGCAAGTCACGGTTGACATTGCTCTACTGGTTAGGCGCAATTTGTTTAAATTTGTCACCAGTGGCCACTCTGAAAAAGGATTGGAATGAATGAAAGAAAGAAAGAAAGAAAGAAAGAAAGAAAGAAAAGGCTATGGAATGCTTTGCAAATGATACAAGAATAAAGGAGTCTGTTAGAAGGGGGGACATTTCCACTCAAAGATTGGATGGTGCTGAGGGTGACTCATGCAATTGGTTTCCAATTCTCTAAGAGTATGTCTGCATAATCCTTTTTGTCGTGCCTCAAATTTATTTATTCCATAGGTTTGAGTCAATTTGGTGCCATTACCCTCATGGATCACTCCTTCACCATATTACATAAAAAAAGGACTTGAAGGACAACCCCTCCCCATATAAACTGTCCCAGACTCTGTGTTCATAATCTGAGGCCCTTATTTGTGTGCCTTCTGCATCCGAGGTCTGGAGGGCCTTCTCTGTAGTAGCTCCCAGTTTGTGGAAAACTCTCCCCGGGAAGTTTGCCTAGAGCCTAAAATATATATAATGAAAACGTACCTCTTCAACTAGGCCTTGGGCAGATTAATATTCTACAGCCTTTTAAATGTGTCTGAGGGAAGAAGGGGGTATTATTTGGCTGTTTTGTTTTACTGATTTACTTGTTTTTATCGTGACAAGTAGACAATTACGAGAAAAGACATTGATAACAATGTTCCTCTCTGAAGGAGGCCTCTTACTGCTCAATTAGATATACAAATGTCTTTAGATTTAGAAAGGAACACTGAATTATATTTTATATTGCTAATAGAATAATAGACTTCAGAGATGTACATAGAGATGTTGTAATACTGAACAGAGCCAGCAGTCATAGGAATCGACCGCCGTGCCTGGGAAGCTTTCCTGACTTCTTCTGAGTGACATGTGCCAGAATGTCAGGGAAAAGGACAGTGTGAAATAAAATGCTTAAGAATGAGGGGAGAAATTTAAAATCTGGGCAGTTGAGCTGTAACCTCTAGGCGTATCTTCCTCGTGGTTTGAACCGAGCTGAGAAAACCAGTTGGGCATTAACCCTGTAAATAAATTCACATAGTTACATAACTACCCTGTGGGAGGGATCATTCTAAAAAGAGCCCTCTAAAACTCCCCTCCAGCCTCTCTGTGCTACCTCTTTTGTGAGTGAAAGTTGAGTCCTTTTTGCGCAAGCAACAAATGACGCAACACTTGTAGAATAAAGTCCAAATCTCCGCTTCGGTTTCATGACCATAACGACAGTCAGTTCAGGCTTTGCTCTGCAATCGTCCCCTTAAGTGCAAATTCTTTCCACAAAATACTAGCCCGGTAAAGTAGCAGCATGTTATACAGGGCACTGATACAAAGGTGGTGGTGTTTTTTTTTGCAATTCTTGCTTGTTTCAGTGGACCTAGCCCTTGCCTAGTGGGCTGTGCCTCTAGTTCTGAGAGGTTTTCCTCAACCTTCCATTGCAAAAGAGTAATATCCTTATTCAGTGTGATGCAATAATAATAATAATAATAATAATAATAATAATAATTAATTATTATTATTATTATTTATACCCCACCCATCTGGCTGGGTTTCCCCAGCCACTATGGGCGGCTTTCAACAGAATATTAAAATGCAATAGTCTATTAAACATTAAATTATTATTATTATTATTATTATTATTTATACCCCGCCCATCTGGCTGGGTTTCCCCAGCCACTATGGGCGGCTTTCAACAGAATATTAAAATGCAATAGTCTATTAAACATTAAAAGCTTCCCTAAATAGGGCTGCCTTCAGATGTCTTCTAAAAGTCTGGTAGTTGTTTTTCTCTTTGACATCTGGTGGGAGGGCATTCCACAGGGCGGGTGCCACTACCAAGAAGGCCCTCTGCCTGGTTCCCTGTAACTTGGCTTCTCGCAGCAAGGGAACCGCCAGAAGGCCCTCAGCGCTGGACCTCAGCATCCGGGCAAAATGATGGAGGTGGAGACGCTCCTTCAGGTATACTGGACCGAGGCAGTTTAGGGCTTTAAAGGTCAGCACCAGCACTTTGAATTGTGCTTGGAAACGTACAGGGAGCCAATGTAGGTCTTTCAAGACCGGTGTTATGTGGTCCCGGCGGCCGCTCCCAGTCACCAGTCTAGCTGCCGCATTCTGGATTAGTTGTAGTTTCCGGGTCACCTTCAAAGGTAGTCGCACATAGAGCGCATTGCAGTAGTCCATTCCAAAGCAATTATTGGACACATGTGGATGGGGGCTTGATACAATGCCAGAAAATAATGGGTGCAATCAGAACGAGCCCTGGGCTTGCATGTTTTGTGATTCTCTTCCCCCATCACTTCCAACTTAGTGGCAAACCCTCATTTGCTTTTGCCTTGATACTGGGCAAACAGTGGCATATGCAAACTGCAGTTTACAGGCAAACCAAGATTGCAAACCACAGTTTTAACTGCATAATAATTGCATGGTTTTGCCATTTTCTAAATCTCTTAACATTGAGACAAATATTGGGGTGGCTCCCGGCATCATGGAATCATAGTGAGAGACCCATAGAACCAGTCATTATTTTTTTAAAGTGACTCTTTAGAGATGGTAACACCAAGGTTGCAGGTTCGATCCTCCTATATTGCAGGGGGTTGGATTAGATGATCTTCAGGGTCCCTTCCAACTCTACAATTCTATGATTCTTTTAAAAAAATGACAAGGGTGTGGAGGGTCACAAAAAAACCACCTTGGGGGCAGGATGCAGCCAATGGAACATGATTAGTTGCTGTTGTTTAACATGATAGATATAAATGCTTGTATGTAAGTTTGCATCAGTATTTTGGAGTGGCTGCCTATGTAATAAAAACAAGCTTCTCAGAAGTTGAATGAATGGAAGCAGGGCACTGAAGATGGACTGGTGTTAATGGTCCCTTTATACTAGAGCCTTGTGTGTATGCTGGAGTCAGTGGTTGGGGACTGCTGACCTAATCCAGCCCTTGCAGAACGGGTGCCCTCCAGATGTTGTTGGACTACAACTCCCATCAGCCCCAGCCAGCTTTGCTGCAATCCAGCAACACCTGGAGGGCACCAGGTTGATGAATGTTGATCTAAACCTTTTCACCATTGCCACTGGTTTCCCCCCCCCTGTATTCCTCTCTTTCCAGGCCCGTGTTGTGGCAGTGCTGGACTGGGAACTTTCGACTATAGGGCACCCTCTGGCAGACTTTGCTTACACTGTTTCTCTCTGGTTTTGGCCCAGATCCCTCAAACATTTGCAAATGGCAAATTTCCAGTATATAAACAATATTGCAGGTATGCACCCATCTTTCTTTATATGTTCTATGCCTATGTATTGGGGGGTCACCAACCTTTGGGGACCAGTGAGCTGAACGAAGGTTCTCGCTAGAGCGATGAGAGCCACTGGCTACAAATTTTAGGGTTCCTTTATTATATCATTTCCTTCATGGAGAAGAGAAATGGATTTGGGATAAGGAATTTTTATAGTAGATACTGTCTTTCCACCGGGGTTCCTGCCCATTTCCATCTTGCAAATTAAGGGTTTGAAAGACTACCATCCTAGTGAAGAGAAACTGAGCTGGTTGTCTTTTGTCTGCTCCCTGCCTTCAAATTATCTCCTAACATTATCTTGATGGTCTCCATTCAAGGGGTGGATAGATTGTACTTGGCAACTAAATTTGCATGTGCTGATTTTTATGCAAGGAACTCAAGGTATGCCTAGATGCCTTTCAGGAGCCGAGGCTGTGGTCAGACTGGTACCAGGGGCACAAAAATTCATGATGGGGTACCTCTTGTCATATTAGGTTATACCACTTACCTTGCATGTGCCACGATCTAGTAATAATCCACAGAATAAGTTCATATGGACACACACACCTTTTCACAACCAGACTTTTTTTGTATTAGAAACTCAATAGGGTAAAGGAAGTTCCTGCTGCCAGCTCCACGTGACTGGCAGGCAACAACACACAGCCTGACCAAGTGGGATTATCTCCATTGCTCCTCTCTCTCCCCCCCCACCAAAGTTTTTTTAAAAAAAGGTTTAGCTGTGGGGTAAAGGAATTACCAACTGCCAGCTCCATGTGACTGGTAGGCAACAACAGCTCAGTGTATGCGTATGAGATGTGGGAGCATTCTCACATAAGCACTGCATTGGATACAACCTGTTAGTTATCTCAGTTGGTACAGCATGAGACTCTTAATCTCAGGGTTGTGTGTTTGAGCCCCATATTAGGCAGAAAATTCTTGTTTTGCAGGGGCTTGGTATAGATGACCCTTGTCGTTCCTTCCAGCTCTATCTCTCTATGATTCTATGATCTGATAGCTATATTGCTGCATGAGAAAATAGATGCAGTACTAGTACAGTGGACGCTCGAGTTGCGAACTTGATCCATGCGGGAAGCACTTTTGCAACCTGCAGTGTTTGCAACCAGCAGCGCCGCATCTGTGCACGTGCGAGTTGCGATTCAGCACTTCTGCGCATGCGCCATAACCTGGAAGTAACCCGTCCTGGTACTTCTGGGTTCGGCACGGTGCACAACCCGAAATCGCGCAACCCGAAGCGTCTGTAACCCAAGGTATGACTGTATATCTATTTACACCCCTGTTGCATACAATTAAGACAACAACAACCCTGTGTAACCGGCACACCAAAGCCAAGTTTTCACATTATTCCGTATCAATTTCCTAGGAATTCCTTCGGCTGAAGAAGTGATCGCGACGTACTGTCGCTGCAGAGGTATCAGCGCTGCTGTGCCCAACCTGAATTTCTTCCTTGCTCTCTCGTATTTTAAAGTGGCTTCAATAATGCAGGTAATAGTTGTGGCTATAACCTGCCCATTTTAAACATATTTTAAGTTTCAGGGAGAAATACTGCAAACCATACTCCTACATAATGTTAGTGAAGTTTTTTGAAGTTCAACAAGAAATTGAGCGTTACTTTGATATGCATATTTCCTAGAATGTGATCAGATATGTCTCAGGCATGTGTCAATTACACAATTCAAATGCCCCTTAACATTCACATGAACACAAAATTTAATAACTGGGTGGCAGCGGGGAACCAGTCCTGTTTTTGGCTCACCTTAAACACTGGCAGATCCAGCTGTGAGATTTTGCGGGGCTAGTTGAGATTATTACTACTACCATACTTCATATTTAGGGACGCGGGTGGCGCTGTGGGTTAAACTACAGAGCCTAGGACTTGCTGATCAGAAGGTTGGCGGTTTGAATCCCTGCGAAGGGGTGAGCTCCCGTTGCTCAGTCCCTGCTCCTGACAATCTAGTAGTTCGAAGGCACGTCAAAGTGCAAGTAGATAAATAGGTACCACTCCGGTGGGAAGGTAAACGGCGTTTCCGTGCGCTGCTCTGGTTCGCCAGAAGCGGCTTAGTCATGCTGGCCACATGACCCGGAAGCTGTACGCCGGCTCCCTCGGCCAATAAAGCGAGATGAGCGCCGCAACCCCAGAGTCGGCCACGACTGGACCTAATGTTCAGCGGTCCCTTTACCTTTACCTTACTTCATATTTAGTTTTCCATTGCCTACAGGAGCTGGATTTTAGCCACCCTGCAGTGGGTTTGTGTCAGTGTCCTCAACACCCCAACATTTTAAAAAAATAAACAGCTCTGGGACATCAACAACATTGTCTTACACTGAACGTAACGAGAGAGAGAGAGACATTGCAGTTCTTTGGTAATTCAAGAAAACCTTTAATAAAAAGTATTTCAAAATAAAATAACAAAGGTCATTATATATTACTTTAGCTAGTAACAAACAACAGCTCTCCAAATTTTATATTTTATCAGTTGTTTCAGAGGCAGAATTGTTTGGCTGTTCAGTACTAAGTGTTGTGCCATTTCACAATTTCTACATGACATATTGTTTTAGCAAGTGGGGTTCTTGAATGAAATAAAAAGCCAAATCACATATACTTTTGTTTATATGTTCCTTAGGGCATCTACGCCAGATACCTTCAGGGAAATTCCGTTGCAGAAAACAGCCACAAGTTTGGCAGTATGGTGAAACCTTTGGCAGAAACTGGATTACTGGTATCAAAAAAGTAAGAATGGTTTATTCAGAATATTTTTTAAAAAATGGCAACGAGTTCACTCCAAAGCAGTTGAGGTCGTAGTGTGGTGTATTGCATGAGGAGTCGGGGAGATGAATTTGTTTCTGCTTTAAGGCTATGTAGCTGAAGAAAAATGCCATTACTGTCCCATTTGGGTTTTTCTTCTAGAACATCTTTTGCCACTGAGAGTCAGCCCTGTAGCACAGGAGAATTATTCCACCAGTCTAAAGAGGGCAAAGAAGTGCTTGAAACGGTGAAGGATTTCATGAAGAAATATGTTTTTCCGGCTGAAATGGTGAGACATATTATGTAGCATATTCAGAACACTGGTAGTAATCAGGCACAGATTGAGAGCCTAATCATTGATTAGGAACAGAAATGTGCTGAATTTTGCCCTGGTTTATTAAGATGCAGACTGGTGAAGTATTGGCAAGAAAACTGAGCCAAGCCACTTGTTTCTCTAGTATATGACTCAGCAGTACTGATTTGCGGTTGTCAAAGTAAGACACAGATTTAGTTGCTATTGGCGGCTCTAGCAGAGATGGGGAATCTGCTGCTCTCCATCTGTCGTTAGTCTTCAGCTTCCATTAAACAACATGGCTATGAGCAGTGATGATGAGAGTTCAAGTCAAGTACAGCTTTGGCTTCCCTGCTATCAGGTCTAGTTCCTCCCTCAGTGCCAGAAGGCAGAGGTGATCCCATGCAAAGGTTATTAGGACTCCTGTATCATTCATAGTTTTACACAGAGGCATAGGTGCCAGATCCTGGGGGCCGAGGCACTTTCACACACCCCCAAATGTTTTTTTATTAGTTGGTGGGCCCCATCAATTTTCAGAAGGCATTTGACTCTGCCCCATGGTACATCACAATGCCATGCTCGCAACATCGGGATGTTGTGCGACATCGGGTCTCAATCATCTTGAGAAGTTGGTGCCTCTACAGAGAGGGGATTTTAGCTGGTGCAATCATCGCTGGCCGCCAGGACCAGCTGCAAGCCTGAGTCGCCTCATAACAAAATGTGGCCTGGTAACTCACCTCCTGGGCTGGTGTCCTCACCCCAGGGGCATGCAGTAGCAGCAGCATCTGTTTTCTAAATCGGGCAGCTAGGAAGTGCCTGCCATTTTAAGCCCACCCAAAAAAAAATTGACCCGTGGCATTGTGGGAAATTTTAATGGTGGATAGCTTTCAGACCCAGCCATCTAGTGCAGAGGCCCCAGGACAGGCATAGTGGTGGGCCTTTCTAAGGTCCAATGGTACAGTTAGGTAAATTATACTCTAGACATACAAGTACTCGGGTTAAGTACTTAATTTGTTCCAGAGGTCTGTTCTTAACCTGAAACTGTTCTTAACCTGAAGCACCATTTTAGCTAATGGGGCCTCCTGCTGCCGCTGCGCCACCGGAGCACAATTTCTGTTCTCATCCTGAAGCAAAGCTCTTAACCTGAAGCACTATTTCTGGGTTAGCAGAGTCTGTAACCTGAAGCGTATATAACCTGAGGTACCACTTTACAGGTACCACTTTACAGGCTTTACAGGAGTCCTTTTATTTTACAGTGGTACCTCGGGTTACAAACGCTTCGGGTTGCAAACACTTCGGGTTACAAACTCCGCTAACCCAGAAGTATTACCTCGGGTTGAGAACTTTGCCCCAGGATGAGAACGGAAATTGTGCGCCGGTGGCACAGCAGCAGCGGGAGGCCCCATTAGCGAAAGTGGTGCCTCAGGTTAAGAACAGTTTCAGGTTAAGAACGGACCTCTGGAATGAATTAAGTTCGTAACCTGAGGTACCACTGTATTATTTTATTATTTATATGATGCCCATCTGACTGGGCTGTCCCAGCCACTCTGGGTGGCTCCCAACACAATATTAAAAGCACAATAAAACGTCAAACATTAAAAAATTCCCTGTTGTACTGGGTTACCTTCAGATGTTTTCTGAAAGTCATATAGTCATTTAGATGTGTGAGGGAAATATTGATTCACTATTCATCCAGTCTGTTGGACTTCAGGTGCTCACATTCACAATTCTGTGCCTTTATGACTCTTTCCTCCAATTACTCACAAATCTCTTACCATATGAAAAGCAGAGTAAGTAGCAATCTAGTGAAATGTACTGAGGGGGGGAAAATGCACTGATGTGGCTTTATTGGCTGTTGTGTGTTCTCTATTGATGTATTTTATTTTCCTAGGAAATGGTGGAGTATTACGCCAGAAATAAAAATTCGCCAGACGTATGGAAAAAGCCTGCCGTGATTGAGAGACTGAAGGTGCTTGTATTTTTTCCACTTTGTGGTGTTAATAATGGAAGGAATTACCTGATACAGTCCTGTAGCTGTGCAAATGTCACTTGAAGAATAGCTTATCTGATGTTTGGGGATCTTATTCCAATTAAAATGGCAGGTAAAGTTTTGAAGAGAAAGAATAGTTTATCACCCTGATCCACAGGCCTGATAAAACGGCGACACTTTTGCTTTAAAGCACTTTAGGTCAATTGATTTCAACTGCAGGCAAGCCTAGGCCAAATTTCTTCTGCAGTTTCACAGGCTTACACTCTGGGCCGTTAATCATAGATGTTTTGCTGAATAACACTGTGGAAAGACAGAAATCTCTGCAATGTGTAGTTTTTAATCTTCAGTTTCTATAACCAAGAAGGAAAAAATAATAATTTCACACTAAGACACCTAGTCACGAGTTAGATGCTCTGACTCATTTGGACTTCCTTAATGGAATTAGGTTGGTTGGAACCAGAGTTTAAGAACTGGTGTGTATATATATGAGAGAGAGAGAGAGAGAGAGAGAGAGAGAGGAAGGAAGGAAGGAAGGAAGGAGAAAGAAAAAGAGAGAGAGAGAGAATAAGTGAAGCTGTTTATGGCAATGCCAGAACCAATAATTTGGCTTGGTGTTTTCTGAGTGCTGTCAATCAGATTGGCATTTATTTTATTGGGATTATATTAAAATACGTATATTTCCCCGAATGCTGTAAGCATCCCAGCTCTTAAATTATTTATTTTATTATATTTAAATATTATATATCTCCCTTCTAGCTAAAGTATTAGAATGGTCGTTCAGTGCCACCATGACTCGGCTGATCCCTCTTACTTCTCTCATCAGGAAAGGGCCAAGGCAGAGGGTCTCTGGAACCTTTTCCTGCCAGGGGTTAGTGGTCTTGGCCAGCTGGACTATGCCTTAATCGCAGAAGAGACCGGGAAGTGCTTCTTCGCGCCCAACGTGTTCAACTGCCATGCCCCAGGTCAGTGAATTGTTATGACACTCATACCAGGGATCGTAGAATCACAGAACTGTAGAGTTGGAAGGGACCTCAAGGGTTATCTAGTCCAACCCGCTGCAGTGCCAAACCTGGGAATCGAACCCATTACCCTGAGATTAAGAGTCTCATGCTCTAACCAACTGGGCTAATCTAGTATCTGACAGGGAACCTTTCTCAGCTCAAGTGCCACGCTTTCTCCTGAGGGACCGCATGCCAGAGACAGATGTGCATTAGACCTTTGACTGGTTCCTACAGACACCATTTGCACACCCCTCATCCTACATCTAGGAAGGTAGAAGCATTTTCAGAGTTGAAGGGCAGATTCCAGCCAGGCAAAAAACACTCAAGGAGGGTGCAAAGCAGGGCTGGTGACAGACGTGACCTTGGGAGTTGTCCTGGGGGCTGGATAATGAGTCCTGAGGTGCTGCATCTGGTTCCTGGGCCTAAGGTTTCCCATCCTTGCCTCTATGCAGTGATCACTGTGTGTCTGATGGAGCGGGAATTGCAACAGCGTCTTTTCTGTTTGTCTCCCCCCAAGACACAGGAAACATGGAGGTCCTGCACATGTATGGGACCCAAGAACAAAAGAAACAGTGGCTGGAGCCTCTCCTAGAAGGGAAAATAAGTTCTTGCTTCTGCATGACAGGTAATAGTTTCTTCTTCTCCTCCTAAAACTAAGGATTGTGATACGGTGCTACAAAAATCCTCCAATAGGGACTGCATGGTGACTTCTTACATTTGTGTTACATACAGAGAAATATAATGGTTTTAGTATTGATGGTCCACAACAGTTCCTCTGTAGTATTTTTCCAGGAATATCTTTTCTTTATCATTTATATCTGCTCCAATTATTATTTCTGTATGTTTGTCTTATTTTTATACTGTTTTTTAATAATTGGAGATATATATATGTTTTGTTATACAGTGGTACCTCTGGTTACGTACTTAATTTGTTCCGGAGGTCCATTCTTGACCTGAAACTGTTCTTAACCTGAAGCACCACTTTAGCTAATGGGGCCTCCCGCTGCTGCTGTGCTGCACAATTTTTGTTTTCATCCTGAAGCAAAATTCTTAACCCGAGGTACTAATTCTGGGTTAGCGGAGTCTGTAACCTGAAGCGTATGTAACCTGAAGTGTCTGTAACCCGAGGTACCACTGTATAAGTGTGAAATTCAATAACCTGTAAGAAACATTGCAATAATAAAACAAATATAGCTTGAACCAGATTTAAAATATTCCCTGTCCTTCTCATCACCGTTCATCTTTCTACATCACATAGAATTGCATGTTGATAAGAATTCTCAACTAATAAATATATGTCTACATATATATTTGAGCTCTTTGACATTCTCCTTAGATTAACTTAGAAACAATCTGAGACAGTGGTGGCAAACCTATGGCACGTGTGCCAGAGTGGGCACTCAGAGCCTTCTGTGTGGGCACACGCGCCATCGGTCAATCTGCGCCGTTGCTGGGGGTTGGCAAAGTGGGCAGCTGCCCCCCAACCACTGGGGGCAGGAAACTCTCACTAGAGTTCCTTGGCCCCCCATGCCACTGCGAGCCAGAAACGGGTTATGTTTTGCTTGTGTGAGCCAGAGATTGTCTGTGGCGACTGGGCGGGAGATTATTGCCTGTTGTCGATTGGCTTCCTCTGTGTTAGTTGGCAGCTGCCTCCCCCCAAAAAGCTCAGCAAGCCTGGACATTCCCCCCAATGAAAGCTCAACAACAGTGTGCAAACCCCGCCCCCCCCAAAGAAGCTCAACAACTCAGGGTACTTTGTGTTGGCACTTTGCGAGAAATAAGTGGGTTTTGGGTTGCAGTTTGAGCACTCAGTCTCTAAAAGATTCGCCACCGTTGATCTAAGTTCTTCAGCAAAATAAATAGTAAGGCCACTTCCCAAACCAATCAAGAAGGACAAGGAAAAATGCCAACCAGTCTGTGTGGTCCCCAGAAGTGCTTTAAAACAACTGTTGTTGTTTAGTCGTTTAGTCGTGCCCGACTCTTCGTGACCCCATGGACCAGAGCACGCCAGGCACTCCTGTCTTCCACTGCCTCCCACAGTTTGGTCAAACTCATGCTGGTAGCTTCGAGAACACTGTCCAACCATCTCGTCCTCTGTCGTCCCTTTCTCCTTGTGCCCTCCATCTTTCCCAACATCAGGGTCTTTTCCAAGGAGTCTTCTCTTCTCATGAGATGGCCAAAGTATTGGAGCCTCAGCTTCACGATCTGTCCTTCCAGTGAGCACTCAGGGCTGGTTTCCTTAAGAATGGATAGGTTTGATCTTCTTGCAGTCCATGGGACTCTCAAGAGTCTCCTCCAGCACCATAATTCAAAATTAAAACAACTAGGGGAACATTAAAGGTAAAGGGACCCCTGACCATTAGGTCCAGTCGTGGCCGACTCTGGGGTTGCAGCGCTCATCTCGCTTTATTGACTGAGGGAGCCGGCGTACAGCTTCCGAGTCATGTGGCCAGCATGACTAAGCTGCTTCTGGAGAACCAGAGCAGTGCATGCAAACGCCGTTTACCTTCCCGCCGGAGTGGTACCTATTTATCTACTTGCACTTTGACGTGCTTTCAGACTGCTAGGTAGGCAGGAGCAGGGACCGAGCAACGGGAGCTCACCCCGTTGCGGGGATTCGAACCACCGACCTTCTGATCGGCAAGCCCTAGGCTCTGTGTTTTAACCCACAGCGCCACCCATGTCCCATAGCGGAACATTAAGCAACATAATAAAAAGGTAAAGGGACCCCTGACAATTAAGTCCTGTCGCGAACGACTCTGGGGTTGCGCCGCTCATCTCGCTTTACAGGCTGAGGGAGCTGGCGTTTGTCCGCTTCTGCAAACAGTTTTTTACGGGTCATGTGGCCAGCATGCCCAAGCTGCTTCTGGCAAAACCAGAGCAGCGCACAGAAACGCCGTTTACCTTCCTGCCGGAGCAACATAATAGAACCACATAAATAGACACATCATCTGCTGAGGGTGGTGGGGACAGACAGACTGCCTTTTCTCCTTGCAGACCACTGATGCTGCTTCTATCACCTCTGCTTGGTGATAAAATGGGCTAAGTTAAATTCTGTTTTCAATTATTCCAGCTGCAGTAAGCCATGATTGGTATTTTGTTTGAACAGAACCTGGCGTCGCTTCGAGTGATGCCACCAATATGGAATGCAGCCTCGAGAGAGATGGAGACAGCTATGTGATCAACGGCCAAAAGTGGTGGAGCAGCGGTGAGTAAAACAAAGTTTTCCAGGAATGATGAGGTCAATTCTATCTCAGAATTCTGTCCTCCCTCCCATGTTTCCGTATTGACTGCATGAGGACTAAGAAAGATGACTTTTATTTTTTTCCTAGCGTCATGCTTGAACAAGCCTTTGCATTTGCATGCTAGATATTCCATTATATTTTATCTATGGATTAAGTCACATGGGACTCCAGCATTAAGGTTTGCTCCTGCACATAGGTGAACTGAATCCTAGGGACCTTTTTTTAAAATAATAATAATAATATTTATTACTTTTATAGATTACAAAAAGAGAAAAAAGAAAAAAAAACAGAAAAAAAGACAAAGGAGGAAAGCAAAAAGAAAAAAACAATACAATACAATATATAAACAATGCAAAACACAACCTAAACTCAAAACTAAACACATTAAACTAAACTAAACAAACCCCACTCCCTAACCTTAACCCTAAATGAAACAAAACAAAAACAATTTAAAAACATACATCATCTCTTTTCCGTACTCTATCTTTCATTCCCTTGTTTCCTCAACCTCCTCTCACCTCCCTTTTTGTATTCCACTTCTATTAATTGTTTCAGCAAATCCTTTCCATCTTTCTCCATTTTCTATCATATTGTAAATAACGTATTTTTTAACCTTATTTTCCATTAAAACTAAAATACCTGTGTATGCTTAACTCCTTATAACATTTCTGCTAAGCCCATAAAAAATCATTCCACCCTTTTTCTATCACTCATTAGTTTTACCATAAGTCTATATATAAACTTTAAATTTTCCAATCTTCTTCCACCATCTCCTCTCCCTGGTTTCGGATTCTGCCAGTCCTTTCCGTCAACTCCTTAAAGTCCATCAACCTGGTGATCTTATGTCCGAGGCTCTTAACTCTTTTCCAAGTCCCTTCTGCAGGTCTTCTTCATTTTCTTTAATGCTAAAGAGCAAATCTCGGGGAAACTCCAACCTGTCAATCCTTTTCTTCCTTCTGAACAGATCAGCCAAATTTCCATAGTTAAAGCTACAGTCCATAAAGTATTTCAAGGCATATTTCAAGATTCCTCCAAGTCCAAAGGCCCCCAAAACTTCAATCTCCTCCAGGCCCGAGTCCATGTCCCAAAAGTCAGTTAATCCCTGCATAGAGGGATCTTTCCAACTTTCCTTCTTTAGTCCAAGCCGGGATCCATTCCTCAGAATCTGACTTTTCCTAGATTCAATCATAAAAGGCCTCAACTTATAGTCCTCAATTTGCTTCTGTAAAGCCACGGATCTCACTTGTATTACTTTATGTTCAACAACAGCAGCATTCTCCTTCTCCTCCTTCTCCTCCACCATTTGTCCTGCCAAAATGGATTCCTGTACCAAGTCCTGGATTATTTCTGTGTTGGTGTTCGCTTTTTGACTCAAATTAGTTACTTTCTGTTCCAAATTATCAACTTTAAAAGTCATGTCATCCATCTTCTTGTGAAGCTGTCCCAGCGAACAGCTTATCTTACATAAAACAGTCACAATGGCCTCTCCTGTCAACATTTTTAAATGGTCCAAGGTCACTCTCTGGTTCTCAGAATCCTTATCTGCAGCTGGAAATCCCCAGTTAGACTCCTGTAACAGTTTCAAAAGCTCTCTCTAGAGGGAAACAGTCTCCACTTGTATCAGTTCTTTCAGGCACAACTCAAGCATTAAAGATAAATTTTCAGTTACTTTTCCTCTTTTTTAAACGCAGAGGAGGACAATGGAAACAGTATCTTACTCTTATTTAGCTAGCTGTCAAATCCGTTCTGTCAAATGCACTCTCTCCAAACGTCATCTGGCAGCCCGTTCCCAGGTTCAGAGCAGTGGTAATTTGATTTTTCACTCTCTCCTGCAGGCTCACTAGATCCAAAATTTCCCCCTCTTCTCCTGCTTCCAAGGGGGGGTTTGTATTTTAAACCGATGGAAATTTAATCCTTTGCCAAAAGCTTTCAAAGACTTTAACTTGTAACGTCTTTGCTTCAGTCTATTTACAAAAACGGAAGGCGGACTTCCTGTTTATGACCTCCCACTTCAGTGCCAAATTAAAGTATTTAAAAATCCAATTTTCCGATTTACTCACGAGTAGTTGTTTAAAATCCAATTGTCCACAGGAAAAAGTCAGCGCTCTCCAGCAACAGCAATGCGGCTTCACTCCGTGAAAAAAGCAGTCGATTCAAAGCACCGCACCACTCATCCCACGTCGCTCCGGATCCCCAAAACAGGGTTTCCCCGCGAGTAGGGGAGGCGCAAAAGGTGCCAGCCGAGTCCCGGGTTCACAAGCTTCTCCCGCTTGTGATTTCAATGGGTCTCCACCTTCGCCGTGGCGGTCAGACCCTGTTTTTCACGGAGCAAGTTCCTCCCAAACGGAGGAGCTCCGCCATTGCCGGAGGCGCCAACCCGGAATCCTAGGGACCTGTTCAAACTGAGTGTTGTATAAATAGTGGAGAAGACACATTAATTGTTCTGAGTCTCAACCCTGTGCTGCGTACATGTAAACCAGTGTTTCTCAAACTGGTTTTGGACTACAATTCCTATCATCCCTGATCACTCATCCTGCTAACTAGGGATGATGGGAGTTGTAGTCCAACAACAGCTGAAGTCTGGGAACCCCTGATGTAAACCAATGACTCCTCTGGAATATATTTTACACACAAGTTGTTTAACAGTGTGTGAAGCTACAGACGTATCAATCTTTTGAATCAGAATAGTATGTGATGCTAATTAGCTGATATCTCAAAACTTCTGCAAGGCAATAAGGGACCCTCCTGAATTTTGAGTTTGAAAGATTCCCCTATAAAAACAATAAACCCATAGTAGTTCAGGGATCGTTTTATACACATGGTTCCTTTCTCTTCCGTTGAAGCTCTTTTATTGTATACAAAAATGAAGCATAATATATATTAACATAATACAATAGGAATAACAAAACATAAGATTGTGTTGTGGGTGACTTAATGGAAATGCTGTAGGTGTCGTTACGTGACAGTTCTAATCGTATTAGGAAATTCTACCCAGTAAGGCCTGCACTTCAAATTCCATTACGTGAAGGAATAAGGTTCCCCACCCCCCCAAACGAAAAATTACTGTACAAATATTTGTGTAAATAAGTGTTTAGGTGTATTCTTGTCCATATAAGTATCCAGATGCATTCTTGAGCAGCACCTGAACATGACATCCCCATGTCTAGTATTCCTCCTTTCAGAAACACAAGGCCACATGTTCCCCATGTACTGATGCCATTATCCTATGCGTTTTCTGGATTCCTGTTCCTTGTAAATTATCGGGGGGGGGGCCAGGAGAAAACTTAGCACAGGATTTATAGCAGGGCTTGGGGAGAAGCATTGATCCATTGGGGTTGTTGGACTCTGGCTCCCATCAGCCCCCATCAGTATGGTCAGTGGCAAGGCCATCTTATGCATATCCGGCGCCGTGGTGCAAAGATCCTGCCAGCGCCCTCCCCTTTCCCAGAGCTGACCTTTTTTTAGGGCTGGAGGAGGCGGGCAGCGGCTGGAGGGCGGCTTCACCGGTGGGGAAGAGGCAGAGGCTGGACGCGACACCTCCTGGCTCAGCTGGCCGCTTCGTGCCACGGTGGGCATGGCAGGCAGCACACTGAGCGAGCGGGCCTGAGCCGAGTGAGAAATGAGAGCGTCAGCTCGGATTTTCCCCTTTTAGCCTTCTGGTGCCCCATAGAATTTGGTGCCTGCAGGCTAAAAGGGAAAAAACCTAGCCGATGCTCAGCGGGAGCAGTGCACGCACCCTTGCTCACTCAGCGCGCTCGTTCGGTGTTCCCCAGACTCTCATCTGGCGCCCTCCAGAACCTGGTGCCACTAGCCTCGATGGGTAAGATGGGCCTGGTCAGTGGTCAGGGATAATGGAAGCTGAAGCCCAACAACAGCTTCCATTATCCCTGACCACTGGCCATACTGATGGGGGTGGAGTCCAGTGCTTCCCCACCTCTTCTTATAGGATGATTTTATTTTATATAATAAGAACAGGCTTGCCACTATCTTTCCTGAGCCATGCTTCTCAAGGAAAAAACAGCCTTTAGGAAAATAGCTATTGAGTGATTCTACTCCCTCTATCTCCTTGCTACTATGCAGGCTTATTTCCACTTGAACATTTCATTAGTATGTATTATTTGATGTTAGAAATAATGTGCAACATTTCCTGTATGCATTGATCAGCCCATTTAAACTAGGTTATGTTGTCAGCAGAGAGCAGGTACGCTAGGTCCAGCTATCTGCTCGATTGGAACAGCTTCATCCTACCACGTGAAGCAATCGCAGTCGATATTCAGTTCTTTTATCAAGGATCTCTCTGTGTCAACCCAGCACAGCCAGGCATTGACTGGCTTAAGCGAACACGGATTGCTTTCCTTCTCCCCATTTTCTAAATAGTGAAGCTACTGGTCTCTTGCCCAGAATCTTCATAGTCCACAGGAATTTCTTCATTTGCTGCGCTCTGCTGCCTTCTCCAGTAGCCGCAACGCTTTGCCATTTTGACCATGTGCATTTTGAAAGAGGCTCCCATAAAAAAATAAAGGATGGGGTTCAGGCAGCAGTGGAACAAAGCAATGCTGTTGGTCACCTGGAATACGATATCGATGGTTTTGCTCGTGCTGCAGTCTGTAATCAGCGGGTAGATAATGTCGATGGCTTTCCAAAGCTTGACGATGTTATAAGGCAGTTGCGTGACGATAAAGACCGACACCGCCGCGACAAGAACTTTCAGAGGCCGGCATTTTTTATCACTGGGGCTCGAAATGAGACTCTTGGCCACAGCCGAGTAGCAAACCAGCATGATGAGGAAGGGCAGTGCAAAACTCAGCAACATTTCTGCTATTTCGATGGTTACATTAATGACGTTCCCCGTGCTTTGAGGAAATGCGGGAAAACATGAAAGTCTGTTGTTGAACTCCACGACTGTGTTAAAGACGAGTTCAGGAATGCAAAGGAACATGGCGGCTGCCCAGACAAGGAAAGACGTTTTGACGCATTGGTTGATGGCCCCTGGTTTAGCTTGGGATTTGACAATGGCTTTGTATCTATCGACGCTGATGCAGGCCAGAAATTGCATGCTAGCACTGAAGGTCATTGTGTAGATAGCGGACGTGATCTTGCATAAAGGGATTCCTAGGACCCACCCGTGGGCGGCACTCGCAGCCCAAAAGGGAAGAGTGCAGAGCAGTAACAAATCGGCAATCGCCAAGTTCATGATGTATACATCCACCCTGGTCTTTAGTTTTCTGATGTAGGCGAAGAATGCCACCACTAGGGAATTCCCAGCGAGCCCAACGAAGAAAACGACAGAGTAGAATGCCGGTAGGAACGAGGTGATGAATGCTCTGACCTCACCTTTGTAGCAAAGCATTTCGAAGGAAGCGTAGTCGAAAGTAGTGTTCAATTCATAATCATCATAGTGGTACCCTTCTGTAGAGAGCTCCATGGAAGAATCTGAAAGACAGGGTGGGGTGGAGGGAAGTTAATTGCACCCAGTGGATGTTAGTTTTCCAGGAAATTTTGGATTGGGGGAATTTCCTGTACAAATTAGGATGATTTCCAGCTTGCCTCAGAAGATTTCTTGATGCCTTACAATGTGATTCAAGGATGATGATGATGATGATGATGATGATGATATATTATTTCTACCCCGCCCATCTGGCTGGGTTTCCCCAGCCACTCTGGGTGGCTTTCAACAGAACATTAAAAACAGAATAAAACATCAAACATTAAAAACTTCCCTAAACAGGGCTGCCTTCAGATGTCTTCTAAAAGTCAGATAGTTGTTTATTTCCTTGACCTCTGATGGGAGGGCGTTCCACAGGGCTGGCACCACCACCGAGAAGGCCCTCTGCCTGGTTCCCTGTAACCTCACTTCTCGCAGGGAGGGAACAGCCAGAAGGCCCTTGGAGGCTGAACGATGGAGGTAGAGACGCTCCTTCAGGTATACCTGGCTGAGGCCATTAAGGCTTCAAAGGTCAGCACCAACACTTTGAATTGTGTTCGGAAACATACTGGGAGCCAATGTAGGTCTTTCAGGACATGGTCTTGGCGGTCACTCCCAGTCACCAGTCTAGCTGCCGCATTCTGGATTAGTTGCAGAAGGGTGTTCGTTTCACTTTTGTTTAGTAAAGGGAGATAAATACCTTTTGTTACATCAGAAAATGTACTGAGATCCTAGAGAGTGATCTAATTTTACATGTTTATTTTACTTTTATTTCATAAAGAAAGCTAAAGCATTTGAAACGGACACACTTGCGTAACATTATATTTTTGCAGCTGGTATCCATTCATTGTTATGAATGAACAATGTGGGGAGGGGATTTTGCTCCACGTCATTGGTGGCATTTGGAAATAGATTTTAAATACTTGAATCAAAGGCTCCAGACAAACGCTGTAATCTTCAATGGCTCTTACCTGCATGCAGGTCTAAACTAGGCATTACAATGAATAAACACATGGTTGTGGGTAAACATAGCACCTCCTCTCCCCCATTCCATCCTTACTATTACAACAGCCTCCAACCATTAGCAGCCAACTCCTAGGGCCGAGTAGTCTCCCTCCCCCGTAAAATATTTGAGGGGGCCGGACCCCTCCAAAGTTAGTGGGCATTGCCATTCCATGCGTCTGTGCACTGCAGCATGTGATCGCTTATGCAGGGTAGGGGTTTATTTGCCCTCCCCCCCACATTTTATTCAAGTTGGCACCCCGGGGAGCCAACGATGTGAAGTGGGACCATGTCATCAGAAAAGCGGTCTCTCAATTTAGATGATATTAATTTGTCCCAGTGAGCAAAGACCCAGAATCACGCCAAAAGAAAATACATCAGAAAACTTATTAAAAGTAAATGGTAAAAATTGCAAATATGTAGAATGAAGACAATGTAAACGATGCATTTATAAACAATGATACAAAATAAACAGTGAGCTATATAAAAAATGATTGCAGTATAATAATATAAGCTTACAGCGAGACTAGTCCAGGCAGTAAAGCCCTGCAGCTTTCAAAATTAAGATAAGGCAGGAATGCCAAACCTGCGGCTTTCTTTCAACGGTTTGCCCTTGAAGTTCTTGGTCCAAGTAATTAATTTCAGCTGAGTTGGCGGAGGACCCACTTTACTCCTGGGCTGTCCTTTTTGTTTTCCTGAAGCTGCAAATGAGCAGATGGATACAGGAAGTTCTTTTCTTAGATGTCGGCGGCTAGATTCCTGAGAGTCTCAAATTGTTCCTCAGTGCGCCCGTGTGAAATCTTCCAACATCTAACTAATTGTAGCCGGTGGGATTTCTTTCGCTGATCGACAAAGATCCCAAGTATTATTTTTTTTAAAGTCGAAAAGTTTTCTCTTGCTCTACCATGTGTGCCTGGGGATATTCCAGCCTCCCACTTTCCTCCATAAACAGCTAGGTGACTGCTGTGGCTGGTTGGAATGGCTGGTTTCCAAGACTCTATAATACTTTTAACAGTGGTGGGCTTTGTTATTTTCCCCCTGGCTGCTTTAAATTTGGATTCCTGCATTGCAGGGAGTTGGACTAGACAACCCTTTTCCCTTCCAACACTACAATTCTATGATCATCTGCCTGTCCCCTAGTAACCCCATCCTTTTATCTGTGTGCGTTTTATCCCCCTTGGCTTCTGTCTTTGGGCAGCACTAGTGCCATGGGATGTTTGAGAGCAGGATTTTATCTGTACAAATAAGAGGTTAGAGCACCAGGAGGGCTTCACCCTTCCAGTTGCAGGCAGAGCAATGGGCACAAATTTAACGATCAGTACAGTAGTCTTGCGTCCTTTTTGGGTGCCCTCCAGCTGGGAAGGATGCAGCAGCTCATGGCACCCTGTGCCCCCTCCCAAAACTGCACCTGGGGCAACAGCCCCCCTCCCAGCCCCTCCATGCTACGCCTCTGGGATCCCGCAAGGAAAAAGGACCGTAAGCCTAGTAGTAGCAGCAGAGCACATGTTTTGGTCCCAGCTTTAATTCCCAGCGTCTCTCTCTTGTAAACGCCAGAGAGCCGCGGCTAGGTCACATCTGTCCTGCACATCTAGAGCACTCTGATGCCACCTTAGCAGTCATGACTCTCCCCCCCCCAAGAATCCTGGGAGTTGTAGTTCGTTAAGGGTAGTTCGTTAAGGGTGCTGGGAACGGTAGCTCCGCGAGAGTTCTCACAGCAACTCTCAGCACCCTTCGCAAACTGCAGTATCCGGGAAGCCACTTGAGGGAACACACACACACACACACACACACACACACACACACAGCAAAAGGTCACTACAGACTGTTTTCTAATCATTTATAAAAATGATAAAATGAAATTGCTGACCTGTTTTCCTCTTTTCAGGATCTGCTTCATTGAACTCCTGTGCAATGCTGTTTTGGTTTCTGACTCACAATTGTTCTCCAGAACCACCCCGCCTTTTATTTCCATTCTATTTCCTCCGCCCACCCTCATTTGCCAGCAGCACTTGTGCTTTCCTGGAAAACATCTGTTTCAGTTGAGCCAAAGGGCAGCTCCGTTTGCTGGCTCAGCGTTGCCTTTTAACCTGAAAGACAGAAAAAACTTTGTTGAAAACCCAGTTATTGGTGTGGAGTTTCGACAATGGGAATAGGATTGAGGTAGAAGTTTGGTCAGGGTTGCTGAGCATATTTTAGCTCAGATAAGGGCTGCGTATGCACCATGCCTTTAAAGCACATCTCTTTCCCGCCCAGCTCCCCTAAGAATCCTGCGCACTGAAGTTTGCTGATGCAGGGCTGATCAGTGGCAGTATGGCCTATAGGGCAGGTATCTGGCTTTAAATGGAGGGTGCCCCATTCCCCTGCTGCAGCACAACTGTCAGGTTATACTCAACACAGTCTGCTAAAAATTGTTTGCATGCCTCAAAACGGTATTTCAAAATATTACGTTTCATGCATCCTAACAACCAGACCAACAAGTCAGTTAAGCCAGTTTAAATCTGGCTGGTTTGTGGATCATTTCAGACAGCTGAATGTGTGGGATTTCCACCTTAAGCTGCCCTTTCCCGAATCTGACTGTTGGTCTATAAAGTCCAGTACAGTCATAGCTTGGTTTTTGAACAGCCTAGTTCTCAAACGCCTTGATTCCAAAACGATCAAAACCTGGAAATGAGCGTTCTTTTGGAAGCCGAACATCCAACAGGGCTTCCGCAGCTTTTGATTGGTTGCAGCAGCTTCCTGCAGCCAATCAGAAGTCGCGCTTTGGTTTTCGAACATTTTAGAAATCAAACGGACTTCTGGAACTGATTCCGTTCGACTTCTAAGGTATGACTGTACTGTCTGCTCTGACTGGTGGTTGGGTCTCCAGGTTTTCTTTTTCCATCAGCTGCTCTTTTTAACTGGGGACAGAATTTGCTTTCAAGTACATAGGAATGTCATTTCTTGCTAAATGAGATGGGATTAGCATCACAGCCTTTTAGCCCAATCCTAAAACTGTTCACTGGGAACTTGCCCATTTTTTAGGAGCTGGAAACCCAGACTGCAAGTTTGCTATTGTGATGGCCAGAGATAAAAACACATCTGCATCCAGGTAAGAAGAAAACCATGGTAAAATGTTAAGCCAGGTCTGAAAATGGGTCCATCTAACTCGGTGTTGTCTCTGCTAGGAGTTCCCAGACTGTGGTCTGAGAGCTGCGCTGCAACCTGTCTGTGGATTTGTGGTTGAAGATGGGAGATGGCACATCTATCACATTAAATATCCATATCGAGTTTCAATTGTATTTGTATTGCTACTTTCTTATATTCTATTTTTATACAAAAGCAGTATCTCCAAATGCAAGACAGATGTTCTTATGAACAGAGGAAGCTCAAGAAGGGCCATGGCATGCAAGAAGAGGCTGTCACCACTGCAAAGTGACCAAGGGGGAAGACCACCTTGTGTCCTTCCTGGCTGGCATGCTGGGGCAGAAGGTGCTCGAGTCAGTCTTATGCAAGTGCATGCATGCAATTGTACAATACCTTGCACGAGCCTTATCCTCCGGCATCCGTGCTCACACTGGCTGAACCTGGACCAGTCAGTAGCTATGGCACTGAACAAGACACCTCACTGCCTTCCCATCCCTGCCATAGAAGGCCCATAGGTTAGTTATGCTTTGCATACTTTGCAAGCCAAGAGGTTCGATCCTTGACATCTCCGTGAACTGCTGGAAATCCTGTGGAGCTTTTGCCCATCAGGCGCTGTGGGTTAAACCACAGAGCCTAGGGCTTGCTGATCAGAAGGTCGGCAGTTCGAATCCCCATGACGGGGTGAGCTCCCGTTGCCCAGTCCCTGCTCCTGCCAACCTAGCAGTTCGAAAGCACATCAGAGTGCAAGTAGATAAATAGGTACCGCTCCGGCAGGAAGGTAAACAGCATTTCCGTGCACTGCTCTGGTTTCGCCAGAAGCGGCTTAGTCATGCTGGCCACATGACCCGGAAGCTGTACGCCGGCTCCCTCGGCCAATAAAGCGAGATGAGCGCCGCAACCCCAGAGTTCTCCGTGATTGGACCTAATGGTCAGGGGTCCCTTTACAGACCAGAGAGGGGGAACCTTTTTAAGTCTGAGGGACATATATCCTTCTGGGCCACCCTCAGAAAGGGGCCACACTGCGGTAGAGGCGAAAGCAGGCAGAGCAACAAATGTGCGGGTTACCTTTGTGCAGCAGGCAACACATTCTCATGTCCCTCTATCTTGCCAGAGTTCAAGGACACATTCCAGTTAGGCAAAAATAGTGCAAAGCGGGGTCGGTGAGTGGCAGGGCCTCAGGAAAGTTCCAAGGGCCAGATTGAAAGGTCTGAAGGGCCAGATTGAGCCTCCAGGTCTGAGCTTCCCTATTCCTGGTGTAGACAATACTGGACCAATGGCAGCTTTCTGTGTCCATTAATACTCAGCAGTTTCTGTGTTCATTAATACTCAGCTGCTGCTCAAGAGGTAGAGGTAATAAAGGTTTAGGTGCCAGATTTCTAGTTTCAGTGCCTCTCTCTCAGGGCTGGATTTAGGTTTGATGAGGCCCTAAACTACTGAAGGTAATGGAACCCTTGATATGTCCAGCTGTCCTTGTCAACAACAAGTTGTCACTGTTTTTTGTGTTGAATATATGCTATATGGTAATTTATGGACCTAAAAGGTATCTAAAGCCATTTGCACATAACAAAATATGTATTATATCAAAGTACATCCAGTTTTATTTTCCTTTAAAATTTTTGGGGCCCCCAAGAGAGTGGGGCTCTAAGCTATAGCTTGTTTAGCTTATACATAAATCAGGTACTGCACTCTCTCTCTCTCATCTCTTTTTTTTAAAACTCACAGTTAATTCCCAGCACCACTTTTTTTATTTTTAGATATAAACAGCACAGTATGATCATTGTGCCAATGGATACACCGGGTGTCAAACTTATAAGGCCTCTTTCAGTCTTTGGATACTGGGGTAAGTTGGTTTGCCAAATACATATGATCATCATTGTCATCATCAAGCTCCTTCCAAGCACTTGGATTTGGTTCCTAGCTCTCAGTGCCCTAACTGGTCTGAGCTATTGCTTTAATTCAGGCATAGGCAAACTTGGCCCTCCAGATGTTTTGAGACTACAATTCCCATAATCCCTGACCACTGGTCCTGCTAGCTAGAGATCATAGGACTTGTAGGCCAAAAACATCTGGAGGGCCGAGTTTGCCTATGCCTGCTTTAATTTAAACCACTAATTAAATGGGTGTCCCTTACTCTCTCGCTCTGCAACTGATGCTCTGTCACTGGATTGGAGACACTTAAGACTCACAGAATCGTAGAGTTTGAAGCGACCACAAGGGTCATCAACCCCCTGCAATGCAGGACTATTTTGCACAATGTGGGACTTGAACCCAGGACCTTTGATTAAGCTCTACTGACTGAGCTGTCCCATAGGTCAGGGCTCCCCGTAGCTCATGGAGCTGCTACTGTTGGGCTGCTATACTGTGCATACTGGATATAGAAAGGACGAATCACCACAGGCGCAGATCCTGCAGCTTTAAAATATGTACATACTGTACATACTGGTCCGTGGTTCGAATCCCCACAATGGGGTGAGCTCCTGCTGCTCTGTCCCAGCTCCTGCCAACCTAGCAGTTCGAAAGCACATCAAAGTGCAAGTAGATAAATAGGTACAGCTCCGGCGGGAAGGTAAACGGCGTTTCCGTGCGCTGCTCTGGTTCGCCAGAAGCGGCTTAGTCATGCTGGCCACATGACCTGGAAGCTGTACGCCGGCTCCCTTGGCCAGTAAAGCGAGATGAGCGCCGCAACCCCAGAGTCGGCCACGACTGGACCTAATGGTCAGGGGTCCCTTTACCTTTACCTTTATATACTGACGCTAGCGATTTCCCTCAGCTGACACTTGCCTTTGTTCTTTTCACAACTTTATAGATTATTTCAATGGCGGACATTTTGAGGTGCATTTTAACAACGTCCGCGTACCTGCCTCTCATTTAATCCTTGGTGAGTCTCAACATTTCTTTGCTAGAGAAGTTTCTTTATGTTTGATGTTTTATATATGCTGTAAGTCGCCCAGAGTTGGTGGGGAAGACCCAGCCAGATGGGTGGGGTATAAATAATAAAAAGTATTATTATTTATTATTACAGAGCTCTGCAAAACTCTGCTGCAACCTCTTCCCACCTGGTGCCCTGTGTATGTTTTAGGCTCCAACTCTGATCAGCCCTAGCTAGCCTGGGGTTGGTGGGAGTTCTCATTCAAAACATCTGGACAAACTGACCTCGTCTATGGTCATTTTTTTTCATGTTCCCATGTATCCCCACTGAAACTTCAGCAGTCTCTCCACTGTTACATGCTAGCTATGGAACAACACCACATTAGTGGTGCAGATGGAATCTCGTTCCCAGAAAGGCAAAGAACCTTTCTGTCTCACTCTGTCTCTCTGAACCCAGGAGAAGGAAGAGGATTTGAAATCGCGCAAGGAAGACTTGGGCCAGGCCGCATACATCATTGCATGCGGTCCATAGGGGCAGCTGAAACTGCTCTGCAGATCCTGTGCAAGCGTTCAGCCCAGAGGGTGGCATTTGGGAAGAAGCTCTACCATCATGTGAGTTGTCTCTCTACTTCAGTAGGTGTAACTCTTTTCTTAACTCAAAGGTGTGTCAGATCCAGTGACAGGAGGCGTAGCTAAAGCTTCAGTAGCACGCTAGGAAGCAGAATGTTTATGTGCTAGATAAGAGACAATTTTGAACTGTCATGTGCCCCCCGCCAGCCTTCAGAGGTCCTGACCTCTTTTCTGAAGGTTGGCGGGGGCGAAAGTCTTTGTCCCCCCACCTGCCTTCAAAAGCTGTCCAGCCAAGGCTCGCGGACCTCTCCGCAAGCAGCGGCAGCGCTGCCGCTGCTTGCGGAGAGTTGCCGGCATGCCGAGCCTGCGCGCGCTGAGATCAGCGCGCCCAGGCTTCGCGGACCTCTCCGCGAGCAGCGGCAGCGCTGCCGCTGCTCGCGGAGAGTTGCCGGCATGCCGAGCCTGCGCGCGCTGAGATCAGCGCGCCCAGGCTTCGCGGACCTCTCCGCGAGCAGCGGCAGCGCTGCCGCTGCTCGCGGAGAGCTGCCGGCATGCCGAGCCTGCGCGCGCTGAGATCAGCGCGCCCAGGCTTCGCGGACCTCTCCGCGAGCAGCGGCAGCGCTGCCGCTGCTCGCGGAGAGTTGCCGGCATGCCGAGCCTGCGCGCGCTGAGATCAGCGCGCCCAGGCTTCGCGGACCTCTCCGCGAGCAGCGGCAGCGCTGCCGCTGCTCGCGGAGAGTTGCCGGCATGCCGGAGCCTGCGCGCGCTGAGATCAGCGCGCCCAGGCTTCGCGGACCTCTCCGCGAGCAGCGGCAGCGCCGCACGCTGCTCGCGGAGAGCTGCCGGCATGCCGAGCCTGCGCGCGCTGAGATCAGCGCGCCCAGGCTTCGCGGACCTCTCCGCGAGCAGCGGCAGCGCTGCCGCTGCTCGCGGAGAGCTGCCGGCATGCCGAAGCCTGCGCGCGCTGAGATCAGCGCGCCCAGGCTTCGCGGACTCTCCGCGAGCAGCGGCAGCGCTGCCGCTGCTCGCGGAGAGTTGCCGGCATGCCGAGCCTGCGCGCGCTGAGATCAGCGCGCCCAGGCTTCGCGGACCGGAGATTTCCCTATGGGCTTCGCCTTGCGAAGCAAGCCCATAGGGAAATTCGTTTTGCGAAGCGCCTCCAAAACGGAAAACCCTTTCGTCTAGCGGGTTTTTCGTCTTGCGAGGCGTTCGTCTTGCGGGGCACCACTGTAGATGGACCAATAGTCTGATGTTGCGCAAGGCGGGTCCCTGTGTTTTCCTGCTGTTCAAAATATCTCATGAACGGAACCACTGGGCAGCAGGGACTGGGAAAAAATAAAATAAAATTGAGAATACAGGCTTCCTCTCATTTATGCAAGGGTCACGGTGCATGTTACGGGGACACGGGTGGCGCTGTGGGTTAAACCACAGAGCCTAGGATTTGCCAATCAGAAGGTCGGTGGTTCGAATCCCCATGATGGGGTGAGCTCCTGTTGCTCGGTCCCTGCTCCTGCCAACTAGCAGTTCGAAAGCATGTCAAAGTGCAAGTAGATAAATAGGTACCACTCCGGCGGGAAGGTAAATGGCGTTTCCATGCGCTGCTCTGGTTCGCCAGAAGCGGCTTAGTCATGCTGGCCACATGACCCGGAAGCTGTACGCTGGCTCCCTCGGCAAATAAAGCGAGATGAGCGCCGCAACCCCAGAGTCGGCCACAACTGGACCTTTACCTTACATGGTGCATGTCAGCAGAGCATGCATAACACCCCATTCTGCCCCTGCCCTGCCCTCTTCCGGTGCTGAACATGGCGTTCCAGTTGCGATTGCACATGCATTGAATGCGCACAAAATGGGAGTTGCTTGTAAAGTCTTTCAAAGTCATTTAGCTCTTATAGTTTCTATCACCGTTAGCAAAAATTGCTAGTTTTAGCATGCATCGGTGTACTGTGGTTCACGAGCATGGTTCTTCAAATCAGTGACCCAGTGTGGTGTAGTGGTTAAGAACAGTAGACTCGTAATCTGGGGAACCGGGTTCGTGTCTCCGCTCCTCCACATGCAGCTGCTGGGTGACCTTGGGCTAGTCACACTTCTTTGAAGTCTCTCAGCCCCACTCACCTCACAGAGTGTTTGTTGTGGGGGAGGAAGGGAAAGGAGAATGTTAGCTGCTTTGAGACTCCTTCGGGTAGTGATAAAGCGGGATATCAAATCCAAACACTACTTCTTCTTCTTCAGATCATCTTCCAACTGGAGGTATGTATTCTGATACTGTCCAAAACTGCAGATCTACATTAAGTATCCACGTCCAAGTAAGACCACTAGTAGAAGGTTCAGTGAGATAGGTTGCGTTACTTAAGCGGGGTGCTAATTTTCACGTTTCTTTGGTTATCCTTACGACTGCAGGAAGTTGTCGCTCACTGGATTGCTGAATGCCGCATTGCTATCGAACAGGCAAGACTGCTGACGTTGAAAGCAGCCAGCAAAATAGATGCCATGGGCAACAAAGAAGCCAGAAAAGAGGTAACAGGGCAAGTGCTGGAAGCTGGAGGAAATAGCATCCTTGTTAGCAGATGTGTCTTAAGTCAAGGGTAACTGGGGTGGAGTCCTCCAGAGGTTGTGGACTACAGCTCCCATCATCCTTGACCACTGACTATGCTGCCTTGGGGCTCGTGGGAGAGCACTATCTTAGCTTTCCTGACCTAGGAAATAGAATTCCACCATCTCTGCCAATAGCAAAAAAAAAATCCATTATTTCATACCTGGACAATCCCACCTGTGTGTACAGTTGTACCTTGAATCCTGAATGCCTTGCAAGTCGAACGTTTTGGCTCCTGAATGCCGCAAACCCAGAAGTGAGTGTTCCGGTTTGCGAACGTTCTTTGGAACCCAAATGTCTGCTGCGGCTTCTGATTGGCTGCAGGAACTTCCTGCAGCCAATCGGAAGCCATGCCTTGGTTTCCAAACGTTTTGGAAGTTGAACGGATTCTGTTTGACTTCCGAGGTACGACTGTATTTTGGCAAATACAGCAACCTTGTAATTTTTCTTGGCGAACATGTCGTGGATTTAGTGCAAGCAGCCTTGGCTCAGGGGCACAGCATCTATTTTGGATGCAGAAGGTCACCCTGCCTGAAAAGCCCCTGCCAGTCAGTGCAGGAGGACCAGTGGTATGACTTGTTCCTACACATGGCAGACCATTCCAATAAGACTTATAGCAACCACCACAGTCTTCCAGCTTTCAAGAAAGCAAACAGAATTTGATCAGGAACTGCATTTTTTGTTTCAATTCAATGCTGTTTCATTACCTTTGTGCCGTTATCTCCAGGGAGCACCCAATGGGCTTCATGGCTGAGTAGATATTTCAGCTTGGGTCTCCTGATCTGAGTCTGACCCTCTAGCTATGTGCTACAAAGATCGCTTTGGCTATTCTTATTCAACTGTGGCTATCGACAAGTTCAACTGGAAGATCACCAAATTCTCAACAATCAGTGTTCTTGCTTTAGCTGGCTGGATTAGATTGGCTCTGTATGATCTGGATTTTCTCAGAAACAACTTTTAGTAAGCACTCTAGAAATGACAACCTCCCACTACACCAGCAAGCATGCTGCCTTTGTCTATGTTGTCATGCACCCAGAGTCGTCCTGGCTTTTAGGCAAGTTGCAAAACAGCAAACACAAATGCTCACAAATGTGTCCAGTGGCATGGGGGTGCTTCGCATGTTTTCTGAATTGCAAGCCTGCTTGTTGTCATAGGGTTTCGCTTGTTTGTTCATGAGGAAATCTTTTTTAAAAAAGCTTTTCTTCATCTTTACAGGTTGCAATGATCAAAGTGGTGGCCCCCCGAGCAGTCCTTAAAGTGATTGACTGCGCCATTCAAGTTTGTGGAGGTGCCGGAGTCTCTCAAGACTTCCCATTGGCTGAAATGTAAGTGAAAGTTACTCTTAGGAGAGGCTAATATTGTAAGCCAAACACATCCCACGAGCTGTGTGTGGTGGCTCAGTAGAGGCTCAAAGCTCCTCCTTTAGCTGCCAACACACAGGCGTCGTGTCAAGCTCCTGCACATATAGCTCCTGCACAAGCTCCTGTTTGCACATAAAGCTGAGCCATAGTTTACTTTAACCATGGTTTGTTGAACAAACCACAAGTTGTCTTGCAGATGAGATAACAAGCCTTGTTTCTCCAAAGCTTGCTCTTGCTTTGGGTCTCAGTTACTTGGAAGCACATGGGGTAAGGTGGAAGAGGTGATCCAACAAACCATGCTTAATCTAAGCTGTTGGGACTGAATTAAAAAATTTCCTTTGCTCACATTCTAATCTAAAAAATTAGGATTTTTTTTTAAGGTATAGTAGCTGAGCTTAGTTTTATCTAAAGAATGTATCTAGTGCTCTCTTATTCAAAAGTTGCTCTGAGAGTAATAAAAAATTAAAATTCACAGTACAAGCTTTTGAGCCATAAGCGTTATATGCATTTATGGTCATTTAATCCTGGGAATTTTGCCCTAGCAGAAATCCATGTACAGTATAGTATCCCACAACTTTTGCATGGTGGGGTTGGTTGGATTTGACCTACAAAGTCCTTTCCAAAGCTGAATCGGTATATGGCATTATTTTTATAAACTGCTTGGAGGTGTTTTTGTTTCACAGTCAAGCAGTGTAAAAGTGTTTCTTAAATAAAAAAATGATTCTGCTGAAGATGCACATTTTAAAAGCCCCACTGACTGCGCTGAAAGAGCCAAGATGCTTATGAGACTTACAGCGGTTTCCAACTTGTTTGCCTCCAGATGTTCCTGACTACAACTCCCATCAGTTTTGGCTAGCATAGTCAGTGGTGAGGGGAGTTGTAGTCTTGCAACATCTGGAGGGCACCAGCTTAGGCTAGAGTATGAGGTCTGTATCATCAAAAGCTGTCCTTGGTATGTTAAGAGAAGGTGGGGAGTGACAGAGCATGAGACTTTTGATCTCAGGGTTCATGGGTTTGAGCCTCACAATTCCCTTCTAACTCAACAATTCTATATAATTAGAGGTAGAGACCTAAGGTATAAACCAGCAAGCCTTCCTGTTGTGGTGTTGAAATGGCCAGACCATCTGCAACTGCTCTGTCCTCCTGCAGGTTTGCCTACATCCGGACGTTACGCATAGCAGACGGGCCCGATGAAGTTCACCTCTCACTAATTGCAAGACAAGAGCTGCAGGACCAAGCCAAACACCTGACTGCACATCTGTAATATTTTGCTTGCTTAAAGTCGTGATGGTACCGCAATCATTTAAAGCCATTCTCTTTCTTTAAATTAGGCTGAAAGCTTATGGGGCAGGGGACTGTAGATTTGACACTGTTCTCAATTATGCATATTTCTTAAGTAAACTCACTCTTACTAATTCTACTAGCAACAATTCTTTTACTGGTCTTTCACTTGATGAATAATGTTCTTGCAGACAAAATGGCTTCACTCTGAACAGAGGAGAAATCAAACTTTCTGCTTACGTGTTGGGCCATCTAAAACCAAGGGGGAAGGTTTAGAATAGGCCTGCCATCAGAATTTTGATACAATTTATGCAACCCACCAACTGCAGGGAAAGGTAAGATTCCTACTCAATTGCACATTGGGTTTTGCCTAAAGCTCCTTCTGTTGTTTTTTTTAAAGCAGGGGTGGGACATTTATTCAGCCCCAAGAGATGCATTCCCACCAGTGTTTCTCAAACGGGAGTCCCCAGCTGCTGTTGGACTACAACTCCCATCATCCCTAGCTAGCAGGACCAGTGGTCAGGGATGATGGGAATTGTAGTCAAGTAACATTTTGTGCACCATCTAAGATGCAGGTTTGGTTCTCTCGCCCTCAAAATAGATTTCAGGTACCTCATCCCAGAACCCTCATTTTCTTTCCAGCCTTACAAAGGAATAGAACAGCAGAAGTACAAGTCTGTCACATTAACAGTTCAGTTCCCTTTATTTTTTAAAATTTTATGTACATACGAATGATCTGTATAATGTACATTCAATATAGAAAGTTTTATATACTGGATAATGTATAGAACATATCACAATTACACTATGCTTTTTATATATAACATGTTAACGTCATTTTTAAATAGGTTTTTTTTTTTTGCTGCATTTTAATTTTTCAATTTGGTAAAGCCAGTTATACATACAAATATCTTGTTAGGTCTGGTGAAGGAAATGTTAATGATTGAGGAGAGAGGCAAACACCAAGTCTGTCAAGTTTTGGGAGGATTATCTTGTCCAACTTGGAGAGGAGTAGGAGGATCAAGTGATTTAGCCCAATTTCTTCGAGACTGCAGTTCAACTTCAGTCATGCTTAGCTCATAAAATACAAAAAACTAGGAAAAAGTGTTTCGATTCACAGTCTTGTAAACAAAAATATAAAGGAACAAAAAATGTGCTTACGTACAGCAAGAAACAAAACTTCTTGCGTACCCCTTTAGGCTGATCCCCAAAGTACTTTCTTCTTATGTTACAGTGTGATAGAATCGTGGAACCTTGTCTTTCCCCCCTAAAAAATATATATTCATAGAAAAAGGAATAACACTGTCATGAAACTGGAAAGGCAGGCAGAAATCTGTTTCGGTGGACAGGCCAAGGAATGGGGCCTTCCTCACCCCCGCCAGTCTGTTTCGGAGTCTCTTGCATTTCATGTCCTTTAGCTGTGGTCTCCAGCTTCGTGGTCTACTGGAGGGGGGACACTGGGCAGAACCGATGAAGACCTCCCTGCAGTAAGATAGCCAGCAACTCCAGGACCTGTACCAGGGGGGAAAGATAGGAAGGAACAAACAGTTTTCTTTAAAACGCTGTATCATTAACATGAGTGTTTTCAAAGTTGTTAGTTCTGATCAGACAAACCAGAGTGATCTGTCTTACCCATGACATGTGTCCAGCTTACATTTATCTAGATTGATACCCGTTACTGGAGATCAGATTTCCATATCACCAGTCACTATGTTATCTAGGAGTTATGTTTTAACTCAACTGCAATAATATATCCACAAAAATATACATATACATATACACATACACAAACACACATACATGTACCAGAGGTTTTCAAACTATGGTCAGTCCGCAGAAAGGTTGCAAAACAGACAAGATTATCTGAACTTCACCCTAAACTTGATTTGTTTTTTAGGCTGTTTGGACCAGGGCAGGATGATTAAACTGGCCAATGAGACAGTGGGTCAGTTGTTTACATAATAAGCCTACTAGCTTTGTCGATTAGAGGTACCTCTCATTTTTTGCAACAATGCTAGTGTGGAAGCAAAAAATGTTGCTTGCTTTCATAGTTAATCTATCCATCATATTAGAAAGGCAAGGCTAGATTGTTCTTTTGCGCTATAGAAGAAAATACTAAATGGCCCGTTGAGACTCCTTGCAAATTTTCAAGTGGTCTGTGTGGGGGGAAGAGTTTGAGAACCACTGATACGTACCCTCAGGCACCTACCATTTGGAACTCTGATGTCACAGTCGCAGGGGAATAAAAATCACGAGTTCCAAAACGTGGCATTGCGCAATGTTCTACAACAGTCACATGTCCGCTACAACTGTATTGCCATGCACCTAAGGAAGCATTTCGTTCTAGGAACTGCGCAGATGCACCATGCACTGAGCAAAGTGGTATCTACCTGCTTTTAGAGAGTGCTAGAGAGAAGTTTAGCAAGCTGCCTGCCAAAGGAGATCTAAAGCCCACTTCTGAGATGAAGAGGACTGCTACCAGATAGAAGGGAAGGAGAGGAGATACCTGGGGGAGAAAGAAACCAGACGCAAGGGAAGTACAGACAGCAAAGCACTTGGAAGCAAAAGTGAAGCATCACCCCACAGTGTCCCGAGGAGGTTTGTAACGGACACATTAATCATTTGCCCCCTTCAAATTTCTACCCTGGATATGTCCAGAATTAAAGCTGAAGTCCAATTGGAGCATCCATTGCTCCTTGCGGCCCCTTTTCCAACCTTACAATTCTACAATAAAATTAAGGGGACTGAATTAAGGTGTTATCCCAGAATAAACAAGCCACGTGATACACAAAAGAAGGGAAACACAACAGGAAAAGCCTAAATTAGAATGTTTACTGACCAGTGAGGTATCCTGCTGTTTGAGTCTCAGAAATGAACAAGTCATGTTTCTGATCTTTGAAGGCACTCCACACAGAGGAACGAGACAGTATTTCATTCACCTGCAAGAACAACAAAGCTCAGGAAACGTTTGTTTCATTTCCCCCGCTGTTCTTTATCTATAACTGGCTGCTGTCATTATGAAGTTGACCCTGCCATTAGCAGCAGCTTTTGTAATTGCACAAATCTGGAGCATTTTTATGGGGGGGGGGGGTCGTCAAAAATACAAAATGCAGATACTGAAAGGAATTCAGGGTGCTTTACCTGCTCTCCATACTGTAGACTGCGAGACATAGATTTCAAAGCTTTAACGATCTGAGCTTTCGTGGCCGAGGGGCTTTCCAGATTCTCAAGACCGACGCCTTCAAGCAATCGCAGGAGATATGGAACCAACTCTACTTTCAAAGCCTGCAAAACAAGATTGCAGTGGTACCTCGGGTTACATACGCTTCAGGTTACATACGCTTCAGGTTACAGACTCCGCTAACCCAGAAATAGTACCTAGGGTTAAGAACTTTGCTTCAGGATGAGAACAGAAATCGTGCTCTGGCGGCACAGCAGCAGCGGGAGGCCCCGTTAGCTAAAGTGGTGCTTCAGGTTAAGAACAATTTCAAGTTAAGAATGGACCTCCAGAACGAATTAAGTACTTAACCTGAGGTGCCACTGTACAGGGTACTTAATGATAGTCCAAGGGCATTCCAAAGCAAGAAGTGCTCCTATCCGCCAGGGAGGTGATGAGCCTGCCTCCTAAAATTCTTTGCTCTCCTGCCTAACTCAACAACTCAGGTCATCTCAAATATGGCCACCCAGAACCACTGCAAAAAGACTAAAGGATGAATTCACCACCTTCCCCAACGTTCTAGCAGTAATTCCACATGATTTTATGGTAAAGACAACTCCAGCTCTAATAGACAGATAGGTACAGTCGTACCTTGCCTCCCGAACGCTGCAAACCCAGAACCGATTGTTCTGGTTTGCGAATGTTCTTTTGGAAGCCGAACGTCCAACGAGGCTTCCATGGCTTCTGATTGGCTGCAGGAGTTTCCTGCAGCCAATCAGAAGCCGCAATTTGATTTTCAAACGTTTTGGAAGTTGAACGGACCTCTGGAACGGATTCTGTTCAACTTCCAAGGTACGACTGTATTACCAAAATCTTCATCAATGACTGAGGAAGTAATAAGTGGCATGTACCATTGGAATTAGGCTTGCCCTGAGATGCAGGATTATTGCTGTACACAAATGCCTTTTTCTATACCAGATTCCTTTTCTGCACAAGCATGTGCCTCTGGCCATTCAATACACACTGCTCCTACTGTTAAGGTACTCCAAACAGCAAATGTTAGGAACTCTGCATTTAGTGTTGCACACAGAACTCGGCTAGTAACTCAGGGAGATATTTGTGGTGTATTACGGATATCAGCATGCATGGCAACATTCCTGTGGTGTGGTCACTCTTAGAAAATACAGATACATGTGTGAGCGAATGAGCAAGGATGCATGTTAATGCAAGGACATTCCACCCGCAGCTTTGCAAAGCGAGCCTCACTTTTTCTTGTTGCCCTAAGCAACAACAGGGAAATTCCACACCACTCCACACAACACCATGAAGCTAGCGTAACAAATTGAATGGACACATATTTAGATTGCTATACAAACGCCTTTAAAAGGCACGGTTCCGGCTTGCTTACTTGGACTACAAGATCATTTTGTTCCTTTTGAAACATTCGATTAAGTGCCTCGCAGGCTACTCCAATCGTATCTGGACGTTTCTTCATTCCATTCATCACGGGTCCAATGGTCTCTAGCGCTGCCATTGAGCGAACACAAAGCTGTGGAGGGGGAAAGCAGTTTGATTTAGGCTGTTGAAGATTCTCATTTAAAAGATGAGGTTACAAGACCCCGAGAAATGTCTAGCACAGGGGCAGGCAACCTAAGGCCCGGGGGCCGGATGCAGCCCAATCGCCTTCAAAATCCGGCCTGTGGACGGTCTGGGAATCAGCGTGTTTTTACATGAGCAGAATGTGTCCTTTTATTTAAAATGCATCTCTGGGTTATTTGTGGGGCATAGGAATTCATTCATTTCTCCCCCCCCCATATAGTCCGGCCCCCCACAAGGTCTGAGGGACAGAGGACCGGCCCATGGCTAAAAAAGGTTGCTGACCCCTGGCCTAGCATACCAACTTGAGTTAACACCCATTTTCCAACCTGGGCTGCAGAAGTAGTAGGCAACATTCCTTAAGGCTAATTGCTGCTAATTTTCCATACCCTGGATTAATTCAAACTATTGGCTGATAGAGAGTTCAAACAACTAGGCAACCAACATATTTTAGGGCACCACATCAGGATAGTGTTGGGGTTGCTACATACTGAGAGACTGGAAGCAACAGTTTGCCTGCAATGTAAATAGGTTGAAGCATGCATGGACCTGATCTCTTCAACTGACCGAGTTGACAGTTTTATATACTATGATCCCAGCTGGAGACAATCTAATCTAGGGTGTAATATGAGTTAAACTGAACCCTGCTTTATACTGTGCCTAGCTAGATTTACCATCCCTGGTACTGGTTTCAGGGGGGGAAACATTTGAAATCCAATCTACATCATCAGGAACATACAACAAGCACCTGAGATGAAAGTTCTTCCAGCAAACAACAACACAATAAATCCATATCCTCATACCTCATTATCAGACAGCATGTGTATGACACGCATTGCGCTTTTCGGAATGGCGTTGTTCTTGTGATTCAGGGCCTGGAGAATCTTGGGAAGATGACCAAGAGGGGGAACTTGGTCTGCCAGCTGAGGCTGAGCACTAAAGAGGCACACCGTCGCTGTTGTTAAAGTTTCTAAAGTTTCCCCCTGTTTCGGAACACAAAGCACAGAGCAAGTCAATGAAATTTCCTGCTCCACTATTGAAGTCAGTCAACAAGCGGCCAGTTTACAATCAACCGTTTAATGACACTCAGGAGTCGCATGTATGAACATCTTGATTAATTTGTGGGAATGCAGGCTTATCTTAAAGCTTATCTGTGGTCTAAACCACAGAACCTAGGGCTTGCCGATCAGAAGGTCAGCGGTTTGAATCCCTGTGACAGGGTGAGCTCTCGTTGCTCAGTCCCTGCTCCTGCCAACCTAGCAGTTCAAAAGCATGTCAAGTGCAAGTAGATAAATAGGTACCGCTCCGGCAGGAAGGTGAACGGCGTTTCCGTGCGCTGCTCTGGTTCACCAGAAGCAGCTTAGTCATGCTGGCCACATGACCCGGAAGCTGTCTGCAGACAAATTCCCTCGGCCAGTAAAGCCAGATGAGCGCCGCAACCCCAGAGTCATCCGCAACTGGACCTAATGGTCAGGGGTACTTTTACCTTTACCTTTAGGCTTGTCTTGTTAAGAAGCAGAGAATGACAGCCATAACCTGAATAAGAATAAGAACCTCTTCAATGTACTGAGCAGTTACCGTTTCTTCGGTGAGAATCTTGTATGGGGAAAACCCAAACTGCACGCACAGATCTAAATGCGTGTGCGTAAGCTGTTTCGAACAGCTGCCTGATCACTTATGCAACGGCATGCCGCACAACGGCTTGTGCTAGGATGCATTCATTTAGTGGCCATTCATTCGTTGTTCTTCAAACTAAACGAATTGCTCTCCTACTGCCTTTAACCACCATGGGTTTGCTGCTGTTATGTGCCAATTATTTCACAGCACAAGCCTAGGCAGGTTTACAGAGCAAGAAGCAGAACTAACCGCATCCTTAAAGGTCTTTATTGTAAACTGCTCAGGGCAAGCTATTCATAAATGAAACAAACAGTGGTAGGAAGTAGTAACAATAATAGCAGCAGCAGCAGCACCTTTCAGTGGACCGGAGCTCGCTTTCACAAATTCAGTTGCACAAAGCTAACACGCAACCAATCAACTCCACTTACATGGGGGTTGTTTTTCTCCAGGAGTTCGGTGAATTTTTCTAACAGTGCAATGAGAAATTCCCTAGGTTTTCGCAGCACCCAGGCCGGCTGGGCAATAAAGATTCTTAGGAAGACCCCTCCTACAGAAAGTTCACCCTCTGCTTCACCGTACACCACAGCAAAGTCCTCAGGCAGCTGGATCAACGAGAGAAAAAAATGTCACTGAGTTCGTGCATTAGGAAAGTTACATTTGGTTTATTAGAAAGGGAGGGTGTGAGCCCAACTACGGTGTGAGCCCAACTACGATTATAAGGGTCTGTAGCAATGCAGAATACTTTGCAGCAGGGCTGTTGAAGCTGCAGCCATCCAGTGGATGCTGGGCTCCTGCTTCCATAGGACCAAAAGTAACATGACGTGGTCAGAATGGATGGGAGTTTTAGTGCAGGAACATCCAGAGTTTCATAGCCCCCCCCCCCCCCGGGTCTCTGTCCTACCGTGCAGTTTCATGCTATTAGTCATGGTCCAGCGAGATAAGACTGAGCAGTAGCGAAAAAGAGAAAATGCAAAAGGATACGAAGGAAAATCACACCCATGCTTTGTCTTAATTTCCCCCTTAACGTTTAAATTTTGCTTACCTTCCAGTTAATATCAGGGTTGTCTCTCTGTAGTTTAAAGTGCCTTAAAAAAAAGTCAGAAAACCCATTAACAAATTCTTCTGCAAGCAAGGGCTAAAAATGAATTAAATTCTAAACGCTTCCCTCGCCTGAGGTTAAAATCAAACTGGCTTATTTGCACTCTAATCGCTTTTAGCAATTTTGATCAATACAGAATATCTGGTTATATTTTTTGCATTATGCTGCCTGGAATAGACCCTGTACTACAATCCCAGAGGATTCCAAACTGAATCTAATCGTTGGCTTTACAGTTCTGCTACGTTTTACCACGAAACTGACTACAAAAGTACAACCATTATTCACCACAACTGTAACATACTCTAGCATCATTTCTCGAACAGTTGTAGACACTTTCTCTCTGGAGTTGTCATTCCATATCAACTCTGGATTTTCATGCGTTCCTTCAAAAATGTGAACAGCAGCTTCAGGGTTATCTCTCATGGCATCCATAAAGACACCAGGTAGAAACTTCATTAGGGTAATTCTAACCTAGAAAAGAACACACCAGATTGCAGATTCTGTCACCACTAACAAAGGTTTCCAGTGAATCAAATGAGCAGCTTGTAATACTGACATTTAGCAAAGCACGGGGAAAATGTTTTTGAAAGGAATTTGCCTTATCAACACATAGCAATTCTTAAACCTGTGTGGGGAATGCCTTTGTATGGCTGACTACTGAACTTGATGGATGGGCATTGTGAATCCCCATTGTTCAGCCCAGACAGAGATCCAGCTCTGACAGCCATCTGCCTCTTTCCTCGCTGCAAGGTGACAGAGAACGAGGCAGAGAGCCTTCTTGGTAGTTGCACCCGCCCTGTGGAATGCTCTCCCATCAGATGTCACGGAAATAAGCAACTATCTGACTTTTAGAAGACACCTGAAGGCAGCTCTGTATAGGGATGCTTTTAATGCTTGATGTCTTACTGTGTTTAATGTTTTAATTCGCTGGAAGCCTCCCAGAGTGGCTGCGGCAACCCAGTCAGATGGATAATATAATATAATATAATATAATATAATATAATATAATATAATATAATATAATATAATATAATATAATATAAATATAATTTTAGGTTTCACAATTCATGAAGACTAAGGCTATCAATAAGGGGATGCGGGTGGCGCTGTGGTCTAAACCACAGAGCCTAGGGCTTGCCAATCAGAAGGTTGGCGGTTTGAATCCCCATGACGGGGTGAGCTCCCGTTGCTTGGTCCCAGCTCCTGCCAACCTAACAATTCCAAAGCATGTCAAAGTGTAAGTAGATAAATAGGTACCGCTCCGGCGGGAAGGTAAATGGTGGTTCCGTGCACTGCTCTGGTTCGCCAGAAGCGGCTTAGTCATGCTGGCCACATGACCTGGAAGCTGTACGCTGGCTCCCTCAGCCAATAAAGCGAGATGAGCGCCGCAACCCCAGAGTCGGCCACGACTGGACCTAACGGTCAGGGGTCCCTTTACCTTTACATAAGGCTATCAATGGCTACTATGCCCACTGTTGGAGGCAGAATGCCTCAAGGAACCCGTTGCAGGGATTCACATTTGGGGAGAACGCTGCTATACTCCTGGTTATGACTTCCCACAGGCATGTGGTTGGCCATTGCGAGCATTATATGCTGGGCCAAATGGGCTGCTGGCCTCATCCAGAACGGCTCTTCTTATGTTGCCATGTTTTCCAACCAGCATGTTGCTCTACAAGACTAGTAGCTTGCAGAGAATGAAATGTAAAGCTTGCACCACGTGAGGGTTGTTTATTTGAAGTGATGCACATTGGCTGCATCCACACAATCAGATCTTGGATTGAGAAGCCAAGCTACGAACAGGAAGGCAGCCACTTGGCTCTCCCCACCCTTCACGTTAAGTGGAAAAACCAAGGCAGGAAGACGTCGCCAATTCCTCTTGCGTCCAAACCAGGAAAACTATGACTAATGGCTTCCAAATAAAGAATGGCAGTAAGTCATATTTCAAAGCTGGCTTATGTATCCTGGTTGGCTAGGAAGCTATTAATCATAGTTTGCTAGCTTAGGTATAATGGGAAGCCATGGTAACAGCAGCTTCATGGCTTGTTTCCCAGCCCATATGAAGGGATGATAAAGATGAATACAGCCTGTGTAATGTTAACTCCTAGTACAGGGTTGGACAGTATTTTTTATAAGCATGTTGCAAATCAAGTCTAACAGACATTGTGCTATTTAGTGTTAAAAGCATGCTTTTAAAAGGGCCAGTTACAATGTCCAAAAATGAAGCAAAACACACTCACCTTTGGACCAACCAGCTTGTCGGCTGTCATTTTAGCAAAAAGCTCTGCGGTCTGAGATCGAACTTGGGGATGTGTTGAGTTGCAGAACATATCAAGTAAGTAGATTAAAGCACCTAGGAAGGGACAGAGAAACAGAGGGCCTTATGGCAGCCTATGAATATTCTGACAGATAAAAACAAATGAACTGTTGCCTCTTCCAATCACAGTAAGTTTGAAACATTACTTTTGGGTAATGTTTCAACAAAGAACAACAGCGCTCACTGTACCTTTTGCCATGGCCTCTTTAACTATTTTGGTACTGGATGTCAAAGCATACAGAGTTTCCAGAACAAGCTGCCGACCTGCCAAGAGGAAAAACCGTGAGCGAAACCCAGCTTTTGTGTGTCTCTATTTAGCAAAGATGAAGTAAAAACACAACAGGGCTTGTTTAGAGTTGGACAATGGGGCCTGCACTGTTGCCTAGTTTAGCTGGCCCCTCAGGAAAGAGCTGTTTATGAGGCGAAACAAAAGCCTTCCATGGACTGAGTTCCAAAGTCAGCAAAGGTACTTAAAAAAAATATCCTATGAAAGATCAGCTTAAGTCAAAGAACTAAGCACTAGTAGAATTAAAATATATGCATATAACAAAAAATCACATACATATACAATACAATAAAAACATCACAGGTCTAGCCTTTCCCTTAAAAGCTAGTCCCTAATAGAGAAATAAGTTCCAAAGGGCTGAATGTGTGGTAAGATGCCTTCATTCACAAAATGGGTGTATCCTGAAAACATACTGAAAGTATGACCTAACGTTCACTGAGGGTTTTTCTCTAGATCTATTTTGAATGCCAAAGACAACACCCCAACACACGCAATTTTACTTCATTAGTGACCTCCTATAATTTCCCCAAGAGATCTGAAGTCAGAGGGCAAGATCTCCAGGTTAGAGAATATTTGTCTCTACACAGGCCTGAGATCTCAATGCCCTTCCCAAGTTGGAGCCACAATTCTATATGCATGCTTGTAAGGGGGGGGGGGGAGGAGTTTATCTTTTTCTTTTGGTATCTAAAGAGTTTTCTAAACGTGTATTTTTGTCACTGAATAAGTAAACTCACGCTCTACGTACTTGAAGGTAGTGAATGTAGGAGGGCTAGTAAGTTGGAAAGAACCATTGCTTCTGCAATATTATTTACACATTCTTGGTTACTAGTCACTATGTTCACCACCTGTGAAAGAAAGAAATAAAATAAAATAAAATAAAAACTGCTAGACTGGTATGGAAGCAGCTAGTTGTCAATCTTGATTCCTTCAAGACAAGGATTTTCTACATATTGATTGGATACATAAATTCAAGCTTTGCTTCCAGAAAGGCCGCTCTGAATTTGCTGTGAATATTTATAGCAGAAAATGTCTTTCAAAATATCTGACCAAATGCTGTTTTCAAACAACAGTTTAATTTTGCAACAGAAGGAGCACCATCAGGCAAAAGCCATGACCCTAGTTCTCTATCCCTTCCCAACCCAGCATCGCTGTCCCTACCCATTCAGAACGAGGTCAAAGCAAAGGCTTCATTTGCCCTTGGCGAGGTAGCCAAATCTGATTTGTGTAACGACAGATATATGACCTGTGATTATCTGGGATCCTGTGGGCTGAAAAAAGACTCCCTGTCCCCCAAAAATCTGACACTTAGCCAGCTTCTTAGAACAGGCAAATAGGTGTGGAAATGTAAGCCGGGGGGTGGGGGGAGTGGATATTCGTGTATAGGGGTGGGCGAGGGAATAACCGTTTTTTAATACTCTGGATAACAGTGTCGGTGCAAAGATATCAGTCACTTTTGCCAAGGCAACTCGGGCCATTGCTTCTGCCAAATGATGCAACTTCTGGTAAGAGATTAAGACTGCCACTGTTGCCTTCAGAAAGAACATTTGGACAAATGTCATTGTGTTCTACTGCCTGCTAAATGCACATTCCTTAGTACTATTCACATAGTCTCTGAACTGAAGATTTAAAGTCATGTACGGTAGCTATTTTGATGCCCTGCACTCTATTCTCTAGCTACAAAGCCCAAAATCAGAATCATTACTGGCTGAGTGTAAAATAACGTCCTTACATTTGTCATAAAAGTGAACACCGCTTTGATTAATCTACACAATATATTCCGAAGTAAAGAACTTTCTCCTATGGCAAGAAACTTTTATCGCTTTGGTTTTTACCTCCAGAGCCAGCTGTTGGACTTGACCAGCTCCGTGGACACGCAGAAGGGAGAAGATTAACTTAAAGTGACCTATGCATTCACATTCTGAACCTGCGTGGAGAAAAACAGCTGCTATGGTTAAAGTGGACTAAACTAAAGCACTTTCAAGCAAAGGTATCTTAAAAACATTTTTTAAATTAAAAAAAACCCACCTTAATCAGCTTAAACAGCCATTTTAGTTTGGTGATAAGCTGTATGACTAAGCATTCATCTAAAACGTCCAAAATCTAAAGTGAGGTTTCGTTTGACAGGAATGTTTAAGGTGTCTAACATGCCTCACTTACCTGGGTTGTGTTTGATTACATTTCTCAGAGCCTCCAAGGCCATCTCAACCCTTCTGAGCCTCTCTCCATGTTGGTTTGACTCCACTTTCCCTGTGTGAGTCATGGCCATTAATGTATGAAGGTACTGGGCTTGTGAGCCTATGTAATCCAAGAGGCTTGCAGCAAATGATTTTGGAAGCTGTAGGATAACAAACAAGCAAGAAGGAAAATTAAAAAGATAGATAGGAAGTAAACATTTTGTTGCTGCTGCTTAACACAGTGTATCCATATTTTACAAACTATTTACAATTAAGGGATGAACAATCAAATGCTCTATCAGGATACATCACCAGTAGTGTTTCAGCTTCATGTGGCAAGGCTTCCTCACAAGATTATAACAAAGGAAGGGTAAGACTGCTATATAAAAGTCTAGGAAGTTCTATAGTATAGGGTTACTCCATTCTGAAAAGATTGCTTTCCCATCGTTTGAATTTTTTAACGAAGAGTTATAACAAACATGTAACAAAATTCAGAGGGAATGGATATAGATCCTCTGAACGTTTCTGCTGTGTTGATGATTTACTGAGAACAAATTAGTACATCCTATATTTTGACAAGGAAAGGAGCTTCAATATCTAACATGTTTTGTATTGGTATGCAAAAAAGAAGAAGGGAAAAAAAGGGATTAACCAATTTAAAACCAAAAGACTTCACCAAATAACAAGAAGTAGAATCTTACCTCCAGTTGGAATGTGGGGACTTCATTGTAAACTCTAACAAAAATCTCTCCTACAATAAGCTCTTTTGCATGATCACTGAAGATGAATTCAGATCCATAGCTTTTATCACAGTCACCCTTTAGAAAGTAAAAATCAATTGAATATATTTGCAGCTTCCCATAGTAAAAACATTAAGCCGAATGGACGCAAAAGCAGTACAGTTCCCCAATATGAATTGTCTACTTTAAGCTTGGAGCCATGAAGCGGGGACAGAATTTGATTTCAGTTCTCATTTCCTTTGCAAGAAAAGGCTAGAAATGTAAGCAGGTGAAGGTAGGAGGAGAGTTGGCCAGCACTTGGGAAGATATCTATTACTTCTGTCCTTTCCCATGGCTGTTGCTAATTCCTGCACAGGTCGCACTTTAACCCTCAATGATCTTTTAACACGTGTGGTGCTACAACAGGAATCCTGCAACCAAAAGCAGGTTGTTTTGAAATTGTTCTTTTACCTCCAGCTGCAGAACTTGAATACGTATGACAATCATATTCAGCTACAAGTGATTGCCAAAGAAAAAGAAGATGATGCTAAGCAAGACCTGAGCTGTACTACTGGCAAAGAAAGAGCTCTCGATCACTCAATTGAGGGCAAATGTCTGAGGGAAAACAAGTTACCCCTCAGCCCCTTGTGCTGCTTCAACATCTTCTCCATCCAGAGCAATATGAGATGCAACAAAGGGGATAAAGGAATCAGGAAAAACTGTCTCCTCCACCTCTGCCACCAAGAGCCTCTCCTGGTTTTAGGTCATGTCTGAACTGAAGGAGCCTTTCTGTTCACTGATGGCGAATTAGGATCAGAGTTATTTACATTTGCTTTTGTTAAAGGATGCTGTTTACAACATGAGACCATAAATGGAGAAATGAGGGGATGAAATCTATAAATCCCATGGGAGGACACCAAACTTTTGTGGCCTGGTACAGTGGTACCTCGAGTTACATATGCTTCAGGTTACATATGCTTCAGGTTACAGACTCTGCTAACACAGAAATATTACCTCATGTTAGGAACTTTGCTTCAGGATAAGAACAGATATCGCATGCCGGCGGCGCGGCAACAGCAGGAGACCCCATTAGCTAAAGTGGTGCTTCAGGTTAAGAACAGTTTCAGGTTAAGAACAGACCTCCAGAACGAATTAAGTTCTTAACCCGACGTACAACTGTACATTAAAAGAAGCTGGCCATGTGGCTTTTGTACACCTCAGTTTAATGATTCTGAAAAATGCAGCGACAAGAATTACTTGCTGCTTCTTTCAGTTCCCTGCCTCAGAAACTCTCAACTAACAAGCCCGACAATTTGAAAAAGTGCCTCACTCTTTTAATCATGCTTTCCTGCTGAGATTCCAAGAACTCAAGGAGTTCAGCTCTTGTCCGATTGTTCCAAATAAGGTACGGGCTTTCTGTGTTGCTGTTCAGCATTTTCAGAATCTAGGTTAAGAAACAGTTATGGCAAGACAGATTTGAATGCAAGACGAATATTTCATTTTTTCTACAGCATCTACATCCGGCCAGCTTAATACCACTACAAAACCACTGTAACCCTTCTAGCTTTCTCAATGTGCACGTTATTTCCTCTTATTTATTCTTTAACACGAGTCTATTTGGAATTTGCTCTTAAAAACTCCAGCTCTGGCTAGATGCACACTTTATGATTTCAAGCGCTACCGAAGTAATCTGAAACAGTCTCTATTCTGCAACTATTGAGTGCAGCAAGCACTGTTTCTCTCTTCTGTTTGCATGCACACACACACAAATATTCCTGGTTTGCCATATGCAGTAGTCACTCAAAAATACTGTAGCAGCAATATCATGAGAAATAGCCCTTAGTATCTGGCAAGAAAGACACGACAAGTTAGAAATAGTAGGATGACTACTGTACGAATCAGCACATCTCTATTAACACTCCACTATCTTAAACAAAAATCCATTGGCTGCAACACAGAGAACTGAAGGTGCTCGCAAGTGCCTCAATCAAGACTCCTTTTCTAAATTACTAAATTTTCATACTGAACTTACATGCTCAGCATACTTGTCAAGAAAAGCGGAAAAACATTAACATGGATATTAAAATGTTCTTGTACCTCGGCAGGATTGACCACAGCAAGTTTTCTTGCAATATAAGGCGTCAGCATGCCTGCAAGACTTTTTCTGATGGTTGGGTTTTCAGGCGTAGCTTGTTCTCCGGGAAGATATCCGCCAAGACGGCTCAAAGCAAGGAGGCTAAGCTTGGCAAGGGTATTGGCTACTTCCTGTTAGCAGAAAATAGGGAATCAATCTCATGCATAGATTTCCTGAGTAGATGAAGAAACAAGACCACCCCTCCTTCACAAGCAATACTGCAAAATAAAATGGACACAACTTGCAAAAATGTCATTGCCCAATTTAGGGCGACTGTCATTTGCCATTGTGTCTCCTTATACCCCACTGTGCACTATTCAGGAGGGTTCTCTAACTCTCTAGAGGGGCTTTTTGGGTGCTGCAGAGGGGTGTGTGTGTGTTTTTTTTTTAAAGAATATAAAGAAGTTCCCTTCTTCAAACTTCCTTTTCTCTTTGGATCAAAGCTTGGCACAAGCAAGCACAACTGATCTTGAGAATGTCATTTGAACCACACAAAAAAGGCTACAACACACATGCAAAGTTTTACCTAAAAACACAGCACATTAAGCAATGTGTGTGATTTTAAGATAATGACTGTAAGTTCCTACAGCCATCTTAGAAATGCTGCTCAGGATATATTTAAAGCACAGCAGTCTATTCACAGTTCCTTATTATCATTACCTGCTGATTGGAATCTTCACTCTTCTGAATCCCACTCTCTTCTAGTGTGTAATCATAGTTGAAGATGTAGCCGAGCAAATACCACAGAACTCCAGCTTGAAACAGATGCGTCTGTAGCCAGTAGTCCACAGCAAAGGAGCTGACACACTCGACCCCTAGGGAAGCCACGCGGGGAATGTTCTGAGTAGGAAAGAAAACATTTGCTTTGGGTGAGAAATGCTTCAGTTCAGCAGGAACGAGACAAGCGGTGTTTCTGACATAAAAATGACAAAATGCAATAGTGGCACGTTCTTCACACTTTTTGTTTCTTGCTTCTGCAGTGTAGCGCTTTAATCACATTGCAGAATAGGGTAAACAGAGTAAATAAGAATATAATAGGGTAAACAGAAGGACTGTGTCTGTACATTCCATTGGACAGTGTGCAAACAAAACTGTCTACATGTCCCAGGAAGCCTTATGTGAACTGGGGCTCTGAAAGGAAATTCTACAGCTTTCAAAAGGAAGGCAATAGGCCCAAATGATTGCATCCACTTAATGGACACTCCTGAGGTTCCACAGAAATGGGAGGCTAGAAAAGAAAGATAGAAGTCATACAAGAGCTTACCTTGCCATAATACAGTACTCTGCAGAGATCCTTGATGATATTTGGCATTTCAGTTATTTTCTCTCTGCAATCTTCAAATTGGGCTGCCACACTGTAACATTTACTTACATGCCCACACACCTATTAAGTGAAAAATGCGAAGTCATATGGCATCGGGACAGTGCATAATAAGATGCACTACAAATATACACGCTTCAGAAGTTGAAAAGGAATGATAAAGAGCTCCCTGGAAGGCAGACACAGCACTGTAATTTGCCAAGTGATTACTTCTTTCAGTCTTGTGAAGCATTGTTACTTCTTTTCAATTTATGAAGTGTCTAATGTTGGCACCTGGGACGTGGGTGGCGCTGTGGGTTAAACCACAGAGCCTAGGGCTTGCCGATCGGAAGATTGAATCCCCATGATGGGGTGAGCTCCTGTTGCTTGGTCCCTGCTCCTGCCAACCTAGCAGTTCGAAAGCACGTCAAAGTGCAAGTAGATAAATAGGCACCACTCCGGCGGGAAGGTAAACGGCATTTCTGTGCGCGGCTCTGGTTCGCCAGAAGCGGCTTAGTCATGCTGGCCACATGACCCAGAAGCTGTACGCCGGCTCCCTCGGCCAGTAAAGCGAGATGAGCGCCACAATCCCAGAGTCGGCCACGACTGGACCTAATGGTCACCTAAACATTAGGAAGAACTTCCTGACAGTAAGAGCTGTTCGACAGTGGAATTTGCTGCCAAGGAGTGTGGTGGAGTCTCCTTCTTTGGAGGTCTTTAAGCAGAGGCTTGACAACCATATGTCAGGAGTGCTCTGATGGTGTTTCCTGCTTGGCAGGGGGTTGGACTTGATGGCCCTTGTGGTCTCTTCCAACTCTATGATTCTATGATTCTATGGTCAGAGGTCCCTTTACTCTTTACCTTTAATGTTGGCACCAGAAACGGGCTGTGGCAAAATGGGAGAATGGTAAGGTACACATTTTGCATGTGGAAGTTCTCAGGTTCAGTCTTTGGTATCTCCATTGTTAAAAGAAACTATGCTTTAATGAGAATAAGCAGATTGCTGGTACACACCACTGAAATTGCAGCTGTTTCCTTCCTTCCCTGTTGCTGCTGTACCACCAAAAACAAGCCATAGCTTCTTGTGTTATCCGAGCCTGGAATGGTGGTTTGTTTCTCTCCAAACCAACCACGAGCAGGTAGCCAAGGTTTGTTCTTATTCACATTAAACCATAGTTTATTTTATCTACAGTTTTAATATGTTGTGAGAACCATGTTAGTGTAAATAGTTAGAACAGTTGCCCGAATCTGGTCTCCTATGGCCAGTTCACATTTTAGTTCACATTCACACATATGCTAAAACTTCCATTACTGGATTATTTTGAACACTTACCTGAACTGACATATCATCTGGCTTACTAAAGTGTGTCAGGACAGCAACACAGCGATTAAAAGCCTCCTGCAGAATCTGTGGGGATAGACAGACATGTTTTCCCCCTGAACACTGTCAGCAGCAAAAGTTGAAATGATTGTTTTCATTTAGCAAATATTTCTCTCCGAATTTTCGGATGCCATTTTAAAACCACAATGTAAAATTTAATACGTCAAATGCCTACTTGTTAGAGAAAGAGAAGTTCAATTATTCCAAGCCAAACCAATAATCTGAAATTATCTGGCGTAATATTAGCAACATTTTTTAGAAGCCCAGTTATTGTTTCTTTTGCTTGATATAAGTTAGAAGTTAATATTTGTGTTTTTAAAATAACAATCTACTTGCTTATTCTTAGGCAAATTAAGCCAAAGACATGAAATATTCAGCACTGGTTATGCAAGCTTACAGAATAGTCAGCAACAGCAGTTCTGAGATGTACTTACAGCTAGCTAGAAAATATGAGGAAAAGCTGGCTTTGCAGACAACACCCAGCCAAAAAGGGTTATTAAAATGCATTTTGCAAACCAGAGCTTAATAGAAAGGAAGAATAAAACTCACTCTCTGCAAAACATAACCCACAGGAGGATTTTGAGCCTACCTCAATACCATTCTCTCTTCTTAGTTCTTCTGCATTAAGTGCTGAGCAGTTGACAGTGTAGAAAGCTAACTCAGTAGCAGCAGGCAACAGGGGAGATTCTTTGGAGAACAAGAGGTCATCTGAAGTTTCTATTGTGATTGTCTTAATCAACATGGGGTAGCCTGCGTATTTATAAGGCTTCAAATCTTGAAAAGAAAAGAATGCCAAGAATTAACATGCACATGTGAATCAGTCTCATGGTGACACTTACTCTATATCAAACAAATTATTTTATGGCTTCTTACTTCAAAGGCCAACAACACAGGAGAAAGGAGAAGTGTAACACAGAATGCACTAAACAAATTAGCTCCTAACAAGTATTGAACAAGGTTGAATTCCCCAAAATTCTGGGCAGCTCCTCGGAAAGTATACAGGTGAATCAGAGCAGCATTTGGAAAATAGAATCTCAAGGCTCTGTTTTGAATGCAGACTTTCTGCTTTAGAACAAGTCCTAGGTTTTCTACCAACAAAGGTCCACCTATTAATCAGTGGAGACTGGGTGATTTTAAATTGCTGGAAAAAAGAGTATTCACTGCATTCAAAGAAATGTCCATTTTGGGCTTGACTGTAGCCTCCAAAAGTACAGGGGCTGCCCCTCCTTCAGAAATCCACTCTCCAACAAAACCAAGGTGATGCACCTGAGAAGGTAGAGCTTGATAGTTTGCCACATGATTTGTATCGGTTGTAATCAGTGAGCTCCCAAATAAGCCCAAAGTTTTCAATAACACATAAATGAGATTTAGTATTTTACAGAACAAAATTATGTCTTCAGATGCTAAGTATAATTACCATCTTTGTGTCTGTTGAAAAGGATGCTTTGAGCTTTCAAAATTAGAATTATGTTCTCAGGATCTGGACCATCCACCACTTTGGCTGACTTTGTACACAAAAACTCATACGCTTTATTCACCTTTTCAAACATATCCTGCAAATACAATGCATGTAAGGAAGCAGATATGAATCCAATCTCAAAATAAATCAGCTGATGTTGCAAAAGAAACAGGTCAGGATTTTAAGAAAGACTGTCTTCTACTACATAATCTTCAAAGACACGGATCTAATTTTGAGCTATTTTAATGTTTTTCTGACTTTTATACCATACTCTTCTATGAAAAGTCCTACACGTACACACACAGTAGGACATCAGAGTTAACAAGAAACGTAAGTACAACCTATTCAGAACAGCCATGTGTACAGACAGCATCGTACACAGTATTCTAGTATTTGGCTAAGGATTACTTAATGTAAAGCAGGGATGAGACCTGCAGTCAGGTTTCAGAGTCCCCTCCCAACCTTAAGTTGTACAGCAAGAAGGGAAAGGGTCTTTGAAGTTGTGCAAATTGTGCAAGTACGACTTCTTCCCTCACAATCAGATCAAAGCAGAGGGAGAAATTAACAGACCTGTATTCCTGGCAGATGTGCTAAAAGTAGTCCATACAATTTTGGGAATGCAATTACATTATGAAGTCTGGGGCTCAAAACAGTTGCGGTTAACGGTTTCCAGTTCAGCGATGTGCTGACTTCATTTACATTCTTCTGCCGGGATTACAGAGATTTGCCACATTCGCACAGAAAGGACAGATAAAAAGGGCATTGGGAGAGAGCTATTTCCCCCCACAAGAAAATGGAAGGTGAAACTTGAATGGAGTTACTAAAAATGAAATATATGCTTCTTGTTACCATGGGGAAAAGGTGTGTGTGTGTGTGTGTGTGTGTGTGAGAGAGAGAGAGAGAGAGAGAGAGAGAGAGAGAAAGAGAAAGAGAGAGATTGTGTGTGGGTCTGGCAACTTCCACTACTGGAATGTAATGGGATCCATAACTCAAAACTGTTTCCCCTTTCTGATGTAAAAAAATATATATTTAAGAGCTTTAGCAAACAAACAGTTGCACTTCTATTATGCAGGAATTTGTGCACAAATGGGCTGTCCTGATGACATAAAAGGAGAGACTCTGCACATCTGAACAAATGCACACTTGAATCTGCTCCCCCCATTGCAGTAACTGGGATAGATCCATGTATACAGTAGAGAGCCTGTGCTCAGACACCAGATCAGACCCAATACATCCTATAGGCATAATATATATTTAATACATAGCACTTACTCGACCTTCTGGATTCTTGTCAGGGTGGTATTTCTGGGCCAGTCTGAAATAAGCCTTCCTGATTTTGCTCTCATCGTGCCTGTAAGATACATATAGAATTTGCTTACCTAGGATTCAATATGCTGTCATTCAGTCGGGGGGGGGGGGGGAATGTAACAGATTTCAAACTAAACTCTGGCAGAGGTTATTTTGAACGGCAGATTTTAGGTCACTTTCCAAAGCACATTTTATGAGTTAGCTACGAATGTTATCCAGAAGATCTAGGCCAGTCTGTCTCTTATTTAATGCTGAGTAGGGGTGGCAGCGCTAATGGTGCATTTTCAGTGACTTTTCAGCACTGCCGATGTGACAATAGCAAGGCCTGTGTAAACTATTATGGCAATCCGGTCTTGGAAACTGGATTCCCCTGCATCCTCTCTGCACACTGCTATGTGGGCTCCTGCGCTTTAGTTAACTGATATGCCTCCAAATCAATGGGTCAGCCTGGTCTGAAATAGAGGTGCTCCAATGCTGAACTATTATACTATCGTTCCTGTACAAAACTTCAGCCATGCCAGCTGTTCTTCCGGTTCTAGAACTTAAATCAGAGGGCAACCAAGTTTAAATGATGCAAGATACACGAGCCAAGGGTCATTTATATTAAAATGTCAGTGGAACCGAAGAGCACATAACTTACTGTCCTTGTCCCTTTGGGAGATGGAGAACTTCATAAGCGTCATCTATTGACATTGTGGGTGCCTTCTTATCCACCTCCTTCTTCCAAGCATCTAGGGTATCTTTTAAGAGTTTAACCTGGGCAGGGTGGTGGGGAGACAGAAAATTCCAAATGAGTTCTTCTAATGTAACTTCCAGATCTTCCTGGGGTGGGGGTGAGGGAGAGGAAGGGGGAGATAGCTGCTATTACTCAGCCACCTAGGCCCTCCTCTCTATTAGAAAACCTGCAATATAGGAGTTTTATCTCTTATATTTGAAAATTTGAACATACTCCTTTATTTATTTTAATTTCATTGATGCTTTAACAGTAAATTGGTACATCCATTTCACAATAATCTTCATTATCCTCGTTTTTATTCTGATCATATATGCTGGGATCTTTTCTGTGAACCACCCTGAGACTTCCAGGTACAGGGCGGTATATATACTCAATCAATCAATAAATTATTATTAATAATAATAATAATAATAATAATACATTATTCAACTTTCCCACCCCAGCCCTCCCATGGGTTCTCTTTTACTCTTAGCTGTGATACGCATCTTTCTCTACCTTCTAATTGATTTAGCTGCTGTTCGTCGATCTAGTCCTACTTGGGAGATTTATGAAACTGTTATAATTCTTTAAACAATCTCCAAAGTTTTCCCACTCCTCTCTTATAATATTGTTTAAAGAGATTGTTTGGAGATTGTTTAAAGAATTATAACCGTTTCATAAATCTCCCAAGTTTCTTATCTTTGCAGTCAACATCACTAACTCCACATATTCTATTAACTTATTCTGCCAATCCTCTTTTGTTGGACTGTTTCTGTCCTTCCACATTTGTGCATAGGCTATTCTGGCCGCAGCAGTTGTATAAAGAGCAAGATTTAATGCATTCTTAGGTATCTCACCCTCTATCATACCCAAAAAGAACATCTCGGGGTTTTTTTTTGGGGGGGGGAATGTCAACCTCAGCATCTTTTTTATTTCTGTGTATATCATCTTCCAATATCCCTTAGCTTTCGTACATCCCCACCACATTGAACACGCTCCTTGTTTAAACTTAACTGGCTTTGAAACTGTATACTTTAAAACAGAACTGTTAAGATCATGGCACACTCAAGATGCCAGTAAAGCAGTCATGGCTCTCGCAGTTCTTTGACTTATTTCCCCTTTTTATTTTTCAATTCTGCTTTGCTGCAGATCGAGGAAGAGTGCAAGACATTTGACTTACAGGGTCTTTAATTGGCCAGTCAGGAAACCGAAGTTTATCACAAAGATGCCTGAGGTAATAGATGTTACAAAACAGCTCGTTCTCCAGCTGAGGATAGTTGATTAGCGGTATGGGGCAGTACTGGTAAAGCGCTCTTGTGTTACTTTGAAGACGAGGGGTGAAGTCCGCAAGATGAGCAGCAATCTTCTCTATCATAAGGCGCCTGTGAATTGCAAAAGGCATTTTGAAGCAAACAATCGCTAACGTTCTTCCAGATCACTAAACGATTAAACCTTGTTATCTGTGGCAAGTCACAAAGATATCAGATGAATTTAATTACAGTCAGCAAACTGAAAAAAAAAAGGGGGGGGAATATTGATGGTGGTGGTGGGGAACCCACTTCTTTTGCTGGAAGCGTATAAATCAAATTACCTCATTTCACTGCTCCAAATAGCTTCTGGAGTGTCGAATTCGCCCAAAAAAATTTCAGAAAATTTTTCTGGTTCATAGTTTTCCAAGTAACACACCATAGCTTCCGGCAGGATGTGTCCAAGAATGCTTCTCTGAACTATATCTTGCCCTTTCATCTAAAAAGAAGAAGATGGATGTAAGTGTGAAAATGAAATGAACACGCTTTTGCACGTCTTTACCGGTTGCTTTTGTGATAATGGAGGTATTAATTTTCACAAGCCACTATGTGCAGCACAACTTGCAGAATCACAGAGTTGGCAGGGGGACCCTGAGGGCCATCTAGTCCAACCCCCTTGCAATACATCAAGAGTTAGGAGCCTCAGGCGCAGAGTCCAAAGGCGGCCCTTCATGCCTCTTTATTCCACCCTCTCCATAGTAAGTAAGTAAATTTTTATTTATACCACGCCCTCCCTGGCCAAGACCGGGCTCAGGGTGGCTAACATCAAATATCAAATACATTAAAACACAATCAAACAACTGATTAAAATACAGCTTAAAAATTAGAATCAGGATAAAATTAAATGACTGCCCATGAATTACAACTATAGGGGTTGGGAAACTCAAGTATTCATCAGGGCCAGCTATCCATGTTTGTCCCACATGAGCCGACAAAAGGGCCAAAGGGGTAATTTACAGGGTCCTGCAGAGGGGAGTCAAACTGGGTCCAGACCAAAGGCCAGGCGGAACAGCTCCGTCTTGCAGGCCCTGTGAAAGGATGTCTAGTCCCGCAGGGTGCTGGTCTCCTGCGATAGAGCGTTCCACCAGGCTGGGGCCAAAGATGAAAAGTCCTTGGCCCTGGTTGAGGCCAGTTTAACCTCGAGGCCCAGGACCTCCAAGATATTATTTGTTGACCGTAAGGTCCTCCACGGGGCATATTAGGAGGCGATCCCGTAAGTATGAGGGTCCTGGGCCGTATAGGCCGCACCAAGCACTGTCTTGGTCTAAAACCCCTACACCCCCGACCCCCAGTACTCTTCCCCGGCTGGAATGTGTCATCGAACCATGAGAATGCCTTTATAGGAGAAGGAAAAGCCTCTGACTTTTGCACGGATGGGATACAGTCTGCTATAAAAGCCAGATTCTCTGCATCTGGTCTGCCCACCCCCCCTGGGGCATGTGGGCCCTGCAAGGCTGCCCAGAAGCGAATGGAACGAGCCCGAAGGTTTATTGCCCTTGCTGTACAGTGGTACCTCGGGTTACATACGCTTCAGGTTACAGACTCCGCTAACCCAGAAATACTACCTCGGGTTAAGAACTTTGCTTCAGGATGAGAACAGAAATCGTGCTCCGGTGGTGCGGCAGCAGCAGGAGGCCCCATTAGCTAAAGTGCTGCTTCAGGTTAAGAACAGTTTCAGGTTAAGAACAGACCTCCGGAACGAATTAAGTACTTAACCCGAGGTACCACTGTACATGTGTACCCAGCAGTGAGCGAGTACAGCATTGCTGTCTTGGTCTCAAGGAATTTCAACTCCTACAACTACGAACTGCTCTGCGGCTTGCCTCCACAATCACATGGCAGCACAACTACCAACGCATTTAACGCTTACGAGTTGTCTCCACATTCATCTCCACCAAAACTTCCTAACGCTAAATTCAGCTACATATTTCCAACTGTTTGGTTAAACATTGTTTAGCTAACAGCGCAACAAACTTTTGTCAGTTTGCCTTTTAAAAGGATCCAGCACATTCTGAAAAGAGAGAGTTGTTTCAGATAGCAACAAGACCCCCCAAACAGACATTTTCTCTGTTTAAATGCTTATACTTAGCGCATACTTGGAATTGACTTGTTTTGTTGAAGCATTGCCAGTTTCTTTTGTAATATTAATTGTTGCTTACCTCTTCAGACTTGAAGGCCTGCTTCGAATGTGTATACTTCAAAAACCTAGAAAATAATTCATATATACTTTTAGCTCAATGGCATGAGCTCAGAATGCAGGTTAATGGGACTATAAAACTTGCACCTGCCCTCTAATCCGTCTGATTCTTGGGCTCTCACTGGCCATCTAGCACTAAATACAGCCCCTAGGGACTCTCTCTTCATCAAACGACCCCTCACTATCACCATTATACAAGGTAGCCTGGTTTCTTTAAGGTGGTCCAGAGACAAAAAGTGTAAAACGATTTTATGACTTAAAATCTCTCAGAAACGAATGCCATATCCTTGCATTCACACTTAGCTGGTGTGAAACTCTATGTTTAAGTAAACATACAACAGATGCTAAACATTTATTGCTTTCACCTTGCAACGGGGAGCACGTTGGAACCGGTATACATCATGATGAAGAAGAATACTCCACTGAGGTAAAGGCGAGGTAACTGTGGGTTGTCTTGCATGATGTAGAAAAGCAATATGGCCACTTTCTCAACAAGAATGGGATCAAAGGTCAGCAGCAGCTGCAATGCAAAAAACAACAACTTAACATGGTTTTAAACTGTGCATTTCAGATTAGGGCTACTGCTCCCAATCAAAGTTCCAAGATTTCTTCTCTTTTCAAAAAGCAAAATATGCTGAAAAGCAAGCCATCTAAATCTTGACGATCAGACTGCAGATCAGCTTACCTGAATGATGTGAGGAAGGCAAGTGCTGTCAGAAAGGAGCCTCTTCACTCTGGGCAAAGGCCTTATAATGGCATTATCCTGGTCTCTGAAAGGGAAGAAGTTTCCCTAATCAGCGTTTGAAGTGCACAATGGCCAGCTGGTACAGTGGTACCTCAGGTTAAGTACTTAATTCGTTCCAGAGGTCCGTACTTAACCTGAAACTGTTCTTAACCTGAGGCACCACTTTAGCTAATGGGGCCTCCTGCTGCTGCACCTGCACCGCTGGAGCACGATTTTGGTTCTCATCCTGAAGCAAAGTTCTTAACCCGAGGTACTATTTCTGAGTTAGCAGAGTCTGTAACCTGAAGCGTATGTAACCTGAAGCGTATGTAACCCGAGGTACCACTGTACTGTAAAACAGGGTTACCCTCAAAGTGGTTGATACGGACCTCCTCAGGTCGATGGAACTGTGTAGGGAGTGAATAAAGGCTATGGGTGTTTGTGTGAAAAGAGTTGGTAAGGACCCCAAGGATCATCTAATTCAACCCCCTACTTTCCCAACTCCCCCCCACCCAACTTCATTGTTTACACCTTACCTACTGGGGAAATAGCTACACATTGTGACAAGCATGTTGAGGATAAGTGTAGCAAGGTCCGTCTCATTCAACACAGCTTGCCCAGTGGCAAGTAGACACCATTTCAGCTGAGGGATAACTTGCAGCGGACGCCATCCATCCATGCCCTGGGCCCAGCACCTGGTTTTGGAAGTCAATACCCCTTTGGTCCACAGTTCCTGCATCTATGTTAGGAATGGATTGCCACAGAGAAAACAGAAAGCCATAATGCAGTTGTCTCTTTTAAACTATGTCTTTAGGAGTTGTGCTGAAGGCACTTTCGTTCCAACACTACCATACCCTTTAAACAACTTATCCCTAGATATCATATCAAGGCACCACAGAATTTTAGCAAACCTAAGAACTTTTGACCCAACCAAAATGGACAATCAAACAGGTTATGGATCCGCTGAGGCTACAAATGGAAGAAATTTGCAATGCAAATAGTGCCAAATTACTAAGAGGACTAAGTTTTTAAAAAGCAGTTGCTAGCAAATGCGCAGTACAAAAACAAAAGACACCAGTCAGGATGAAATTGTAACATCCATTTAGTGAATGGGGAAAAAAATCAACTGAGCACACCCTGACAGCCATTCTTTGTCAAATTCTCCCAGTTCTGCAGGCCCAAATGAAGGGATTAATGGGAGGTACTGCACCTCTTAGGGATGCGGGTGGCGCTGTGGTTTAAACCACTGAGCCTAGGGCTTGCCAATCAGAACGTCGGCGGTTTGAATCCCCGCGATGGGGGAGCTCCCGTTGTTCGGTCCCTGCACCTGCCAACCTAGCAGTTTGAAAGCACGTCAAAGTGCAAGTAGATAAATAGGTACCGCTCCGGCGGGCAGGTAAACGGCGTTTCCGTGCGCTGCTCTGGTTCACCAGAAGCGGCTTAGTCATGCTGGTCACATGACCTGGAAACTGTCTGCGGACAAATGACGGCTCCCTCGGCCAGTAAAGCGAGATGAGCGCCGCAACCCCAGAGTCGTTCGCGACTGGACCTAATAGTCAGGGGTCCTTTACCTTCACCTTTTTATTTACTGCACCTCTAGGGAATTATCAACCAAGAAGTCGGGCATCTTCACTCCAAAGCCAACCATACAAACCACACAGCATGTGCTGACTTGGAAATTATACCTGTTATTCATGAAAGCTGAAATTTCCAAGAACAACAATGGTTGAATGAGATATTATCTATAAGCACATCCTTTCCTCAAGTGTTACAGGGGCATGTTGTGCCCCCCTGACATGCTGCTCTGAAACTCCCTGATCATTGGCCATTTGCCTGGGGCTGATGGAGCGAGAGCTCCAAATATTTGAGGGGGACCAGAGGGAGGAAGGTTGTTCGAACAACGTTGTGCTTTTTGTGTTCGTTACCTTTGACTCAAAAGGCGCAACCGCCACTTGAAAAGTTACCTCGTTAAAGCTGTAAGGACCACTCCTCTCTTTGTCTGCATTGCCAAAGTACCACTCTTTTTCACTCTCTCTCTTCATATCAGGTGATGCTTCAATTACATTGCTCTTAAAAACGAAAAACAACAACAACCCCATTTAGAGTTAGAAACAACACACACACGAACTACTTTCACAGCACCGAATGCTTCAGTTTGAAGCTCATTTCATAGAAACTACAATGTGGCTAAGCAGCTTTTTAATAACCCACTCCTAAATTATATACATGGAAAGAAAAGAAATTAAAGATGTCCTACTTGCAACGGCACGGTTGCCCTACTTGTGTGAAGATGGGCAAGGGTAAGGAGGTCCACGAGGATCCGAATGCCATTTGAATCCATAAGCTCCTTGACATTTTTCTGCAAGAAAGGGAAAACAACGGTCACGTGTGTTCAATTATAACATAAGATAACAAGATTAAGTGATTTAGTTAAGCATAATCCATTAACTTCATGCTACACAATTATCCAGACAGGCTACTTAATAACACTAATACACACAAATACATAAACTGATGTACAAACAAATACGTCAGAACCTTTAAAATTAGCACACACTTATAAAATTCACAGATATATTCTAAGAGCCATATCTATCAATTTTAATGGGGGGGGGGGACCCCTGATGTCTATTTTTATCTTATTCCTTAATACAAGAATAGAATTTGTTTTATGGATTTGGGACTTTTAACTGAGCCTATCTCTAAAAGATCAGGACAGGTAAAATAAAAAACACACATATGAACTGTGTTTGTCCATGAAGCATCTAAAATACTTTCTTAAAGCCAGTGGACTGACAGCTGGGGTAGCTCAGTCGGTAGAGCATGAGATTTTTAATTTCAGGGTCATGGGTCCGAGCCCCACGCTGGGCAAATGATTCCTGCATTGCAGGGGGGTGGACTAATAGCAAATACCAAATAAATAATTGGTGAGACTTTTATAGGCCTTTCTGTTCCATATTAGTGATTCAAAGGGTAACAAACTAGAGTGGCTTATGATTTTCCAACCAAAGGATCGTACCCTTTGTGAGATAAGGAAAATGTTGGGTGGAAGTGAAGTTACAGGGAACCAGGCAGAGGGCCTTCTCGACAGTGGCACCCTCCCATCAGATGTCAAGGAGATAAAGAACTACACAACTTTTAGAAGATATCTGAAGGAAGCCCTGTATCGGGAAGTTTTTAATGTTTGACATTTTATTATTTTTTACATTTTGCTGGATGCCACACAGAGTGGCTGCGGAAACCCAGCCGGATGGGTGGGGTATAAATGAGAAAATCATTCTTATTATTATCTCCTTGTAAGACATGCAATATTCTCTCAGCAATTCAACATATCTAATGACATGGTTATTGATCAAAATTGTAATATCTCCTCCAATTCCATAACACAAATGAAAGAGAGCGGCAAGATGTGTGGAGAAGGAGGCATTTATGAGCACCCCAAGCTACAATAAATACTGCAATAAAATATAAATTATTTTAAATTTATTAAAAATGGCACAATTTATGCAGAAATGGGAGGTTGCTCACCTTGTTGAGAATCAGCTTGTTTAGGAACACTATCAATCGGTCCCGCTCAAGTCTATCAGTGCACTAGAGAAAAATACAAAACATTTTTAAATAGGAAAAAGTCTGAGAAATGTGCTACAATGTTATTTATTTATTTATTTATGATTAAATATGCTGTTATGTTGAAGGCGCAATCATCCTCTTATCTCCAAAATCTGTAAGCAAAACTAAACACTCATCTATTGTTATACTATCAGTGCTAGAAAGTGATCTATTGTACTAAAATGTGGATGCACAAAAGCAAAGCAGATCTACAGCTGAAACCAGAACTGAAGCAGCCGTAGGGATTGCTCTCCAAAATGCACCATTTTAGCTCCTTTATTTTACTGTTCTAAAGTGTAACAGTCAAAAAAGGATCAACACAGATATGTCGCTTGACCAGGCAGAACACGAAAAGCTTGTTGTCATTTTTTTATACTTAAAACTTTACACCGTTTGTTTAGCTTCCTTAAAAGTTGAAGGTGCAAATGCTACAGTTAATCACATCCACTCTGAAGTAACTCAGAAAGGTTCAGTAAATTATAAAATTCTCAAAATAAGTATTTATTTTTTTAAAAAAACTTTGTTCAAATACAAGTCTGAAGGACAAACCATAGGTCACTGACCATGTTCAGAAGTAGCATTATTGTGAACAAACCTACCTTCTCCCAGACTCTCCCACAAGAATCTTTTGCTGAAGTTTGGCTTCAACACTAACTATGGTTTTAAAACATAGCGCTATAGCACAAACCCCAATTCAGAAAAAAAAAGTCAGGGTTCAGCAGGAGCCTCTGAAACTCCCCCAAGCCATGTAGGAGGGGGGAGAAACAGGTCAACCTCAGAGGAGGCTAGAATTAAACCATGACATCTCACCAGAGCAATCAGTGGCGTGCGGTGAATTTTTTCATAGGGGAACAGTTAGGGGAAGAAACACCAGCTTGTAAGGGTGATTTTTCAGGGGCGTGGAGCTGATGTCACGCCTGTGATCATCGCACCTCCCTCCCTAAGTCAGGCAGAAGCTTCCTGGGGTTTGGGAACGAGGCACCATGGGAACAATTAGGGGACTAGTCTAGTCCTCTTAGTCCAATGGCCACATGGCATTGTTAACTGGAATTCCAAAAAACAAACTTCAATATGCCTGCTCTGCTCTCCCAAATTGTATGTAGTAATTTAAAAAATGCTTACCCTCTCCAACATCCCTATAATATATTTAGTGTCGCTAAACGGGCCAATCTCCTCGTGGCATCTTCCATAAACAATGGCCAAGGCTTGCAAACAGAGGCATTTCATACTTATTTTAGGAGTGAGCAGGAAACGGTGATACAACTCATTGAAAAATTCATACCTGTAGGAAGAAAAAGGTAGAACAAAAGGTTTATTATGCAGAAAATTAAGATTTCAGAGGGAATATTAAGATAATAGTAACTCACGATTTCTTTATCGCTCCACTGTCTTCACTTTCATCTTCTTCCAACAGCAATCTCAAGTAATAATCCCCTATTTTGATTTCATCCGACAGGCATTCATACTTCACCTTTTGAAGAGAAAAATAAGATACAGGAAGTGAGCAAAAGTTCCTGACATAATTGCTAAGGAATCAAGGTTGTGTGGTGGGAACATAACTTTTGAATGAAGTTCCAGAATCAACAAACTGGTCAGTTATAATACTCTATTTTACATTTTAGTTTGTAAGCTAAAACATACAATGAAGAAAAACCCACCATACATATATGAATCTCATCAACAGAGAGAGAATGGATTGTGTTTGTATGTGCCAGAAGATTAGCTTAAAATACTCAGTTTAAGATATTCAAGATAAGCTTTTCTGAAACACCTACGTATCAGGCAGTTTTCTACACCTGATAATAAATATGAGGTATTATTTGACTAAAATAGTCTGATCGATTTAAAACGTTGCTTTAAAAGAGGACCCCAATTAACTGCATAAAAATATTAATTGTAAATAAAGAGTATAGATGACAAACACCATCTTAGAAGCGGTGCATCCCTCGTACACAAAAAAGGGAAGGGGGAGAGCTGTTATATCAGGGTGCTTGCTATGACACAGCCACAACATCTAAAAGCAAAGTGCATGTTTTCTTCCTTTAGAACTGTTGTGTTTTAATGATTTCATTTAAACTGACAAAAAGAGCTAGGGCTGCAATCCTATCTGGGAGTAAAGGTAAAGAACCCCTGGACAGTTAAGTCCAGTTGAATTCAACTATGGGGTGTGGCGCTCATCTCGCTTTCAGGCCGAGGGAGCTGGCGTTTGTCTGCAGACAGCTTTTTCGTGTCATGTGGCCAGCATGATTACATTGTTCCTGGTGCAACGGGACACCGTGACGGAAGCCAGAGCGCATGGAAACACTGCTTACTGCTGCAGTAATTTATTATTATTATCTGGGCAGAATGATGGGGGTGGAGACGCACCTTCAGGTATACTGGGCCGAGGCTGTAGTACCAATTTATCTACTTGTGGTAGTATGCTTTCGAACTGTAGCTGGGACAAAGCAATGGGAGCTCACCCCATTGCGTGGATTTGAACTGCTGACCTTACGATTGGCAAGCCCAAGAGGCTCAGTGGTTTAGACTGCAGCGCCACTTGCGTCCTTATCTGGGAGTAAGCTCCACTGAACTGAAAAGGTCTTGTTTCAGATTAGAAATGCTCAAGTAAAATTAGAGCAACGACAAAATAAAATCAGTAAGATGAACTGATTAAATTTCTTTGCTATAATGACAGTCCCAGTAATTACTATAAGCAGGAACTGCGCGGATATAAAATTTTCATTATGTAAAGGTCACTGAACTGTATAAAGCTATTTCTTTTTTTCTTTCATATAATTTTTATAAACTTTTCTGTTTTACAATTTAAAATACTCATTTCACATCCTGAAGTTATCAATGACTTATCTTCTTCTTTCCATGGTTCATTTTACATATCATAAATCCCTGCATATTTTACATAAACTATACCATTCAGTATTCCATTATTGCATCCATCCAAACTTATTTACACTGTTGAATTTATCTCAATGCTGCCAGCGTTTTCAGCTGTACACAATTATTTCCCATATATTCAATGTTTTTTAATCTTCTTTAAATGTATGTTCTTCTTGTTCTCTTAGTCTACATGTTAGTCTGCAAGTTGAGCGAGGTCCCAACCAAAGAAGAATGGCAACTTAAGTTGACAGAATATACAGACTATATAAAGCTATTTCAAACTGAAGCTTGCTTTTTATTCTAGCATCTGTAAGTAACAGCACATGTATCCAGGTATCAATACAGGGATGTTCAAAATCAACGATGACTTTACATGAAACACAAGCGCTGTGTAAAGGCGTACCTCAAATTCATGGTGATTCCAGGAGATGACATTAGCACTGCCAAGTTCTCTGTCGATCTGAAATGCCCGCATCTCAGACTCCAGGGTATCTCTTAATTCTTCCCGTGTTTTGAAATTCCAAATCAAATTGGATCTAGCATGATCTTGGAGAAATCTTAATACAGAAACACATGGGAAGCAGATTGTGTGTAGCATTTAACTACATGTTATTGGGGGGGGGGAACTAAGTTTCTGAATTTAAAGCACCCACCCACTGGTAACAGTACTGGAAAGTATCAAACTGGCAACCGTGTCTCACCAAGGACTAAACTAATATGTACTATGTAGTATATTCTGCTACATATATCTACAGATCTGAAAACTGCTCAGCAATTAGCATTCAAGCTAGCCAGTGTCAGCATCGCCCTTGAGCCAGTGTCACCAACTGGACTCATCAACTCCAGCCCCGACTGGGCTAGGCGAGCTGGGTAGCACTTCCAGAGACCACCTTCTGCACAGGAACAGGTCATAGTGCTGTGGACTCACAGCTTAGAGTTGTGAGCACCGGATTCACTTCCACAAGAAGACAGTCGTCGCACAGCAGAGTCTAGCAGAGCATAAACGACTCGGAGAGCAGCTCTGTAGAATATCTTCTTTATTCTATCTACAACTATAATACACAACTATATACAGAGCTAAGTGAGGTCTAAACGAAAAATGCTGAACTGCACTGAGTGTCTGCAGCTGCTCTTAGCAGCAACCTTATCTATACACACGATCTCTCTCTAACACTCAGTCTCTCTCTCTCTTTCTGCTCTCTTTGATGTGATGCTGGAGCGGAATAAGTAGTGAGCAGAAAACCGCCCCTCCTCTCTGGAGAATCACCAGAGAACATCAGCAGATTCTTGGATATGGGAGGGGTGAAATCTCCTCAGCCAGATGCTACTCTATACCAACTACAGTGGTACCTCCATATATGTTCGCCCCGTCCAGCATCCATTTCAGCGGACGTCTGCGGCAAACCAGGAAGGGCTTACATCTGGGTTTGCCACTCACGCATGAGAAGCGCTAAATTGCGCTTCACGCATGCGCAGAAACACAAACTGCTCCACGTGTTTGCACAGAGCGGCGCTTTGTTGAGCGCACTTTTCGTCGAGTGTCTGGGGCTCTGGAATGGATCCCGGACTCAAAACAAGGTACCACTGTATAGTTTTAAAGCCAACTTAAATCAATAACTTGAATGTTTGAACAAATGTAAAATAATTTAAAACTTTTTGTAAAATGTTGTATTGCCCGCTTTTGGTGTTGTAAGGCAAGATATACATTAAAAAAAGAAACATAAAGTATGTTTCAAACTTGTAATCCACACGCTAACTAGCTCAGGATAGCAAGTAAATAATGCTGACAGTCAGTTCAGGCAGTTTCAGTCCTTTTTATTGTATGTGTAGCTTTGGTGTAGTGGTTAAGAGCGGTAGATTCGTAATCTGGGGAACCGGGTTCTCATGTCCACTCCTCCACTTGCAGCTGCTGGGTGACCTTGGGCTAGTCACACTTCTTTGAAGTCTCTCAGCCCCACTCACCTCACAGAGTGTTTGTTGTGGGGGAGGAAGGGAAAGGAGAATGTTAGCCGCTTTGAGACTCCTTTGGGTAGTGATAAAGCGGGATATCAAATCCAAACTCTTCTTAAAGTTACAAACTATGTGCTTAAAGTAATGCATGTTTAGGTGATGCACGTTTAATAGGAATTAAGGGCAACAATCCCCAGAACCACTTAATGATATTCCCCCTGCTGTGTTTTAAAAATGGCTTTACATCCTCCTTCTATAAAAGTGAGCATCTTTTTGAAACTTGAGGAAACCTCAAAAGGTTGCTTGCAACAAACCTCGGCCGCTGCTATTTAAAAAAGCAGAGTGCGCATTCCATTGGCGCATGAGTATTCCTACCAAGGTTTCTCTAAATCTTCCTAAAGTACACTTCATTTCTGCAACGCACATTTCACACAAAAGTGGCACTGCTCCAATTTCGATCTGACACGCAGTTCTAATCTATACCAAAATAGGGGGCGAGGGCCTGATCATTGCCCTCTTGGGAAACCTTCCAGGAGCCATACATGCTTTGGGGGCGTGGAGTGGAGGCAGTGCTGGAGACAAAAGTGGGCAGCACAATGAATGCAGATTTTACCTTTGTACCTCGTTTTGACACACATTCAAACATCCCTCTCTATCCTCCATTCTGGCAAGCACAAGTCACTATCTGAGTTCCAGGCCACATTCCAGCCTGGCAATGGAGAAGCAAGGCCAGTGAAGATTTGTGACCGAGGGAGGGGTCAAAGGGCCAAAGAGAGGTTGCCCATCCCTGGGCTAAAGCAAAAGAATTGTACCTGTAATAGAAGAGATCCCAGTTTGATTGTATTTTTATCCTTTGCCTTCGTTTCCTCAGGATGACTGGCTTTTGATTAACGTTCTGCAAAGGAAGATTTGTGAATCCAAAACTGTCAACACGCTGTGAGATGAGATCGCATAGATTCCAATAAACTGAACAAAAAGTTAAATGTGTTATGTTCTACTCCAAGACAGGTCTGTCTCGATGCTAAAAAGAGACACATTTTTCCTATCTTGTTAGAAAACAAGAATAAACAACTTTACCAGCATGTACCAATCATATAAAAATTAAGAGAGCAAGGGCCACTTGACTGTGACCTGGCTATCTCTTTGATTACACTTTACTGCCAATGAGTCCAACCTCATTGGATCAGGTACTGCGGGAACAATGCAATAAGACCACAACTGTGTTACAGAATAAATGTGCATGCAGGAAAGCCACATCTTTAGAGTGTTACCAAAATGAATGGGAATGACAAGACAATCATGCCTGTTAAATCTGGAATGGTGTAACTAGAACTGGACGGATGGGGTTTAAATTAGCGAGTAGAGGATTACTTCCTTGCAGAATGGAGATATAAAGGAGCAGCTCAGAAGAATGCAAGCCAAACTTGAACAAGAAATAGTTCAAACTAACGTATACAGACAGACAGGTCACTACATGCCAGGTATAATTCAAGGCCATCTACACTCTACAGAAGGGAGTAAGGACTCAAGACTCACCATATTATTTCTGTCCTGGTAGTATTTGGGAAGTAGAAAGAAAAACAAAAGTTGAATTTTTAACAAAAGCTCCTCTCACATGTTTGAATACGTAGAACAATCATCTACAAGAAACCTTCCAAGGTAACTTCATCACAGAATAGAATCCTCAAATTCACCCCCAGATTCTACAGCCCATAAGTAGATAAACTCAGGCCTATTTGGCAGTTAACAGTAAGGCAATGTAATGTAGCTCTGGAAAATCTAGCTACAGTCCCCATATCATGTGTTATCTGCTAAGCAACTCAACAGAAAGACCACCTTTAAACCAAAACGGAAGCCATGCCCCATTGCTCTGTCACATAAAGTTTTGATTTAACGGCTATATAATTTGATGTGAAGCTAAGTAGTTTTTTGGTCTTCATTTATTTCAGGTCAAGTGCTTTGGACAAAGTACTTGCATACGATGCCCTGCAAAAGATGCATCATCCCTTATTCCCTGCCAAGTCAACAGCAAGTCAAATGACAAGCCCTCACACAACAAAATGAAAGCACATTTGACAAACAGGCCATTGTGATTTAGACTTCCGTTTTCCAAGATGCCAAAGTGCAGAATGCCAGAAGAACCACAAGTAAACAAAATTCACAAAAGAATACTAAATAAGAGCATGGGAAAGCAGGATCCAGATCATAAGCCTGGAAAGAGGAATCCAAGAGGGAGCAGGGATCTAAATCACACCATTGCCCCTCCACACTTATCTAACCACCATTCATCAAGCACCACTAACAGTACATTTGGCATCAAGGAAGAGTAACAAATTTTACCACCACGCAACAGGCACAGAAGGCTGTGAAACTTCACAATTACTACAAGAAGGAAGGTAGGAAAGAGGTAAAATGAATGGACAGCTTTGGTCCAATGTTACTGAAAGTATTAGGAATGGAAGCACCAGGTCATGCATTCTACAAGGAGCGTAGCAGTTGCCCAAGCTCAAAAGATGAAAGTATGGCAGGAGAACTGCAGAACTCACACTATTTTGACCTTCTTTTTTGAGACCAACAAAGAACACTGATGTTCATTATGCAAGTCCAGCCATCACCTTTAATGGAGAAATCCTCTCCCCCACCCCTGCAAATTTCTCTTTGGATAAAAATGTATTTGGATCTTAATTAAATGCACAAAGATACCAATAAAATCAAAGCTCTTCTTCGTTAACGTTTCGGGTGGTACTATAAAAAAAAGCAGCATTGGTGCTCAAAGTAAAAAGGCAGAGGATTAAGCGTATTACCTCTTTCTGAGCTATCCCCATTTTGTCTCTCCAGTGCATCAATACTAAATCCACCTTCTCTTTGGCAAATTTTTCAACTTCTTTAGCAGCTTTTCCTGCAAGCCTTTGCCACTCTGGCACTTTATTAAATTTTCCGTATTGATCCTGCAGAACAAAGCTCATCGTTAATCCAAATTAATTTCACGGGAAATGTGAAATGAAACACTGAAATATTACAATGATTATATCCAAGGGTGCCTTGTCCTCAGATCATGCACCATGTAGGGCACTAAGCAACAACAATGCAAAGGAAGGGAATTCCAGCCTCTTAAAGGTGGAGCATGTCATACTTACATTTGCAATTTTTAAGTTATCCCTAATATGCATCCGGTCAGCATCTTTTTCAGGAACAGGGTCGCTACTGTCCAGGTATAAGAGCAGGCCTGCGGGCTAAAACCACAAAAAAGCTTCAAGTTTCTTGAGTCGAAGAACATATGTTTATTAACAAAACCAGAGTGGTGCATGCTCTAGTTATCTCCCGCTTGGACTACTGCAATGCACTCTATGTGGGGCTACCTTTGAAGGTGACCCGGAAACTACAATTAATCCAGAATGTGGCAGCTAGACTGGTTACAGGGAGTGGCCACCGAGACCACATAACACCGGTCTTGAAAGACCTACATTGGCTCCCAGTACGTTTCCGAGCACAATTCAAAGTGTTGGTGCTGACCTTTAAAGCCCTAAACGGTTTTGGCCCAGTATACCTGAAGGGGCGCCTCCACCCCCATTGTTCAGCCCGGACACTGATGTCCAGCTCCGAGGGCCTTCTGGTGGTTCCCTCACTGCAAGAAGTGAGGTTACAGGGAATCAGGCAGAGGGCCTTCTTGGTAGTGGCGCCCGCCCTGTGGAACGCCCTCCCATCAGATGTCAAGGAAATAAACAACTACCTGACTTTTAAAAGACATCTGAAGGCAGCCCTGTTTAGTGAAGTTTTTAAAGTTTTATCATGCTTTTAATGTTCTGTTGGAAGCCGCCCAGAGTGGCTGGGGAAAGCCAGCCAGGTAGGCGGGGTCTAAATAAATTATTATAATTATATATATTTTCCAGTAGGATATGAACCCAACTGAATTAAAAAGTTAGCTCTTCCAGAATGGGCTGAAGTCCTGTTTACCAGATAAGCTATGGGACTGATTCTCAGGCCTGCATTCTGGGCTTTCTACCTCTTTGGGTATCACTCACCATTTCCACACAATGTTTATTTTAATGCCTTCCCCCCCAGAATTTTATAGCAGACAACAAACAATAAACCATGACTTATAGTGTGAATAAGCAGCAGGCTAATGAATGGGGCTCAATCATGCCCACCTGCTGGGCATCATGAGGCATCGGCTTAGTGTTGCATACAAACCAGGAAAAAAACTTGGCTTGTTTGGAGAGAAACAAACCACAAGAGCTGGTTCACACCCAACATTAAGCCGAGCCTCATAATTTGTTTCTCCCAGCTCTAGGGAAGAGGAAACTGAGGAGTGTGCACAGGGCTTATTCACAATAAACCATGGCAAACTGGAACATGCAAACTGGTCCAGTAGGTCATTTGATTTAGGATTTTTAAATATATTTTTCCTCCTTAGAGCTACATTGGACATGATTCCAGCTGGTATCCCCCCCCCCCAAGATAAATGGCCCTGTGCCATATCACAAACTGCTTTTCAAACCTTCTCAAAAGGTTTGCTGTGAAGCATGTGGGACTATAAGTTTGAGGAAAAGCTCCAAAAACTCCTTCAATGCACCAGATCTTCTCTCTATTTGGGCTGGGGAGGGGGAAGACTTGCAGGGGATTTCATATACAGAGCAGAGATTAAGAGGCAACCCCAAGTCTCATCCACTGAACCTTTCCCGAAACGTGATAGAACTTGTGGAGTGACACCTGCAGAGCTACAATTCAGAAAACCTGAAGAAAAACTATGCTTGTACACAAGTTTGTGTACATGCTTAAAGGATTCTCTAGATCATGGGTAGGCAAACTAAGGGCTGGGGGCCAGATCCGGCCCAATCGCCTTCTAAATCTGGCCCGTGGACGGTCCGGGAATCAGTGTGTACATGAGTAGAATGTGTGCTTTTATTTAAAATGCATCTCTGGGTTATTTGTGGGGCATAGTAATTCGTTATTTTTTTCTTTCCAAAATATAGTCCGCCCCCCCCAAGGTCTGAGGGACACTGGACCGGCCCCCTGCTGAAAAAGTTTGCTGACCCCTGCTCTAGATCCACCATGAAATCTTCCATCAACATGTGTACATCCAAGCATAACATTTATTCAACACTGGTTTCTACACAGCCTACTTAAAGCATGTGCTGATTAGACAGAGCTGAGTCAACTACAAAACAGCACAAGCAAAATTAAGAATGACATTTAATGTAGACTCTTACCAAAATACGCTTCAACAAGTTTAACGCCGTTGCATTTTCAGCTGTCCAGAGGCCCACTAGATGCCTGCTCAGCTGCCTGAGAAACAGAGATTGAGAAATGTGCTACTTATTTGCTAGAAAATGATTAAACTTCAGACCATGTAATACGTTTCATTGTTTTGCAGCTGCTGTTAAATATATGGAGTCTAACTCCCAACTTAACTGTATTTCTGCTATGCAGCCTACACTTCCTGAAGTCTTAGGGTAGACTACAAATAATTGTACTTAGATTGCAGACTTCTTAATGCCAATTGTGACCACTGGTTATCTGTGGTTATTTTTCAAATTGCCATTACCACAGAACAGTGGTTTTCAGCATGTTCTCTCCAATAATTTTGCCTATTGATTTCTAACCTGCTACCTTCAATTCAGGTGGTCTACTCAGTGGTAGGGTGGGATGGAACAAACCGTTAGTGAGTCAGGTACTGTCTGTGCAGTGACCAGTTCGGAAGGGGCAGGTTATTCAATTAGGAGGTTATCATGCAAGAGGAATGATAGCAAGCAAGCGACATAGACTTACCTATTCGTAAGCATCCTTTGATCTGTGCTTATTGTAAACATAGCAGTGTGCAAATGACGAGGTAAGGCACCTTCACTGAGGGCAAGATCTTGCATTTTGGTTGCTATTTCTTTGTCTCCCTCCTTTGGAAAGACAGCAAGAGGATAACCATGAAAGAATCTTAGTTAAGTTGTTCTGCCTTTAGCTTGCAATGCCAAACAACGGACTGTTTGGAATCAGAGATAATATACTGCTTTCACAGTGTAGACGGTATTTAAAATGAAGGTACTTTATAAAATTATGTGCTTTTTTTTTACCTCTGCTACGTCCCTTGGCTACAGGGAGAACTGAAGAGTAGTTGGCTTTCATATTTTTCAAATAGAGAACGTGGCCATGATGTTTTATTCTGTTTTAATATTCTGTTGGGAGCCGCCCAGAGAGGCTGGGGAAACCCAGCCAGATGGGTGGGGTATAAATAATAAATTATTGTTATTATTACTCCTTTCTTCCAGGCTATTTCGGCACAAACTAATGTGCATTTGTTGGTGGCTGGGTAGGTTTTAGTTTTATGATAGTATCTCCCTTTTGGAGTTAAATGATTTGCCTGTGGTTGCTATTTCTAAGGATGTTAGGTATTTAGGGTTGTTTAGGATTCAAAATTGAATTTTACTGAATTCATTGTATTTCATTCTGTGTGCTACCTAGAATTTATTAAGTTATACATATGTGTGTGTGTGTGTGTGTGTGAGAGACAGTGAGAGAGAGAGAGAGAGAGAGAGAGAGAGAGAGAGAGAGAAATTCTCTGTATATTGGGTTTGGGTTTGCCATCCTTTTGGGGCTTATGGACACATTTCATTTCATTTCAAATTTCAGAAGGGTGTTTCCTAAAGGTGATGAATCAAACCACCCAGTTGGCCAGTGTTACCTTTTTTCCTACTAAATGTTTAGTACAGTGTTCTTTCTCTAAGTTTCAGTAGTTTGGCTGATGTTCTTGCTGTTTTTACAATTACAGTGGTACCTTGGTTTGCAAACAGTCTGGTTTGCTTATGTTTTGGATTACGAACACATCAAACCCGGAAGTGTGTCCTGGTTTGCAAACTTTTTTTGGATTACAAACAAATGTTTTTCTGGAGGCCCCATTAGCAAAAGTGTGCCTTGGGTTACAACCTGTTTTGGTTTACAAATGGACCTCCAGAACGGATTATGGTTGTAAACCAAGGTACCATTGTACTATTTTCCTTATTTGGGCTGAGTTATATAGCCTGCCTGTTCCCGTAGCTTGTCAGTCAAGAGATTGAAGTGATGGGTGTGTGTCTAATGGACAAAGAACAGTCTACGATTCCTGTCTGCAGCCACAAGAGAGCAGCATCGTCCACCATGTTGTGCATTCAACACCCCTGAGAAAACACCCTTAAGATGTGAGCCAACTGCTCCTTCCAAGCAGCTGAATGCAACTGTGCAATAAGTGGTAACAGAAAACTTTCTTCCTGGAAAAAAAAAAGGCTTTGGATGCATGTCTGAGTAACTAAGCCATTTTCATTCCTATTTATAAAGAAGTAAAATATTACAAGATTGCATAGATGCATTACCTCTATTATTGCCTTCATAACCAATCCAGCTCCTTTCACAATGGCCATGGAAGGATGCTGCAAAACAAGTAATAAAAAGGAGTGTATGGATAGCAAAGTTGGTTAGAGCATGGTGCTGATAACGCCAAGATTGCAGGTTCGATTCCCATGAGGGACAGCTGAATATTCCTGCACTGAGGGGTTGGACTAGATGATCCTCAGGGTCCCCTCCAACTCTATGATCTATCATTATTATTTCCCACTACAGCATTAAGTGACCTGTTACAGTAAAGAATTTAGAGTACTGGGGCAGATTTAATACACAGATCTAGAACCACAGCTGTCATTCTGGCTCTTGCTACTTGTTGATGGTTTTAATGGGTTTTCCAATCAAAAGCCTCTCTGCTCCAAAGCTGGACCTGTTCCCATACAACAAAGTTCTTAGCCTACTAAAATGGGAGTTAGTAAAATAATGTGGGACAGCTTGCATTATATGTTATGGCAAATTACCATCATATGGTGTTAATTTCCCTCAAGAGTATTAGCTCAGTTCAAGTAGCAGGAGAAACAAGGTGGAATCTTTGCTGTCTCCTTTCTTAACGTTAAACTCACCTGAAAGAGCTTGAAGAGGGTTCTCCCATTAGATGCAACCATCTCTAGTAACATATCAAACTGCTGCCCTTCCGTCGTCTCACTATATGGAGCACAGAGGGCAAAAGTAAGGAAGTCCAAAAGTGAACTGATAACTAGGGCACCTGTTCCATGTTCCTGAAATTGAAAAAGGAAGATCAGATATGTCAGATAAAGCAGCATGCAAAAATAGATGAATATGCTTTTTTAAAAACTCTCGCTAAAATTGTCTTTGGCTTATGAGCTACAAAGTGGCACGCCCTTGCTATGTCTCACTGCTTCCACTTAAGTTTTCAAATACAACTGTGTATTCAACGGAGAGGCATGATCAGACCAAAACCAAGGCGCAAAACTGAACATTCTTACAAATCTCTAAATTATCTAAACTGTAGGACCTCTGTCCCACATATCCACCCCACCCCCCATAAAACATAGAACCCTTTATTATTTGACTGATGTGAAATATTTACCACATGGGAATTAAATTTCTCCAACAAGTTTTCCAAGAACTTCTTTGAAGAAAGAAGAGATGCTTTATTTAGTTGTTCTTGCCTCAGGTCATAATCATCATGCATAGGCTATGGATAAAAGATAGCATTTCATCAGAATGTAGGTCTCAAACACTCTTAAGGCTCCAGCTAAATGGAAACACATGCTAGCAGGAAATGCATGATAAAAATTAAAGAGTTCATAGTTTGCCTTATTTGTCCCAAAATAACATAGATAGGGGATGCGAGTGGCGCTGTGGGTTAAACCACAGAGCCTAGGGCTTGCCGATCAGAAGGTCGGCAGTTCGAATCCCCATGAGGGGGGAGCTCCCGTTGCTCGGTCCCTGCTCCTGCCAACCTAGCAGTTTGAAAGCACGTCAAAGTGCAAGTAGATAAATAGCTACCACTCCGGCGGGAAGGTAAACGGCGTTTCCGTGCACTGCTCTGGTTCGGCAGAAGCAGCTTAGTCATGCTGGCCACATGATCTGGAAGCTGTATGCCGGCTCCCTTGGCCAATAAAGCGAAATGAGCGCCACAACCCCAGAGTCGGTCACAACTGGACCTAATGGTCAGGGGTCCCTTTACCTTTAACATAGATAGGCTATGCACTTGGGAGGTCATATATCAAGACAACATCCATTCTTTAAATGAGATACACTGCAATATCCTTCTTGCTAAGACGATGGTTCTTATAACGTCAGAAAATCTACTTAAGCTAAAACAAGTCACTCAAGCTTCCTTGTGTAACTAAGGCTCTCCGCCCTTTACTCCTCCCCTGCTCCACCATCAAGGATCACATAATCCCCACACCCGTAAAGGAAGAGAGAAAAAGCTTCTTGCTCCTCTAACATTGTCCCCACCATTGATTGATTAGGTATATAGTATTTAGCCTTGGGGAGAGCTGAATAGGCAGTTACCTGTTTATCACTCAAAACCTGTACTGATGGGGTTCAGATAAAGCTATACAACTCCACATAGTGCTGCTTCTTCCTATGGAGGCTATGACATTGTAGGAATTATAACCCATCAAACCAAGAAAATAAATATCCCATTTTAGCTTACTCGTATTAAGAGTACTCACACACATGAGGGCACATAGCATATCAATGGAAGCGTGAGTTACTCCATCATTGTTCCTTTTAAGAGCTTTCACGACCTTCACTCCCAGGCGCTCTCGAAACCTTTCAAAACATAGCAAAGCATCAGACTGAATACTGAAATAGTAGCATTATTTTGACAAATATCAAAAGCCCTAACTTAAAATGTGTGTAAATAAACACTCAAGCATAACTGACAGCAGGATATTTGGGGAACAGTAAACTTGAACTTTACTAAAAGTTCAGTCAATTACTTTTCTTTTTAGATTTTTCAAAATTATTCATGTAAGCTCAATGGTATGGCCTAGCAGTTGTGGACAGTATAACTGGCAGTAAAAAGAAAAGCTTCTAATAAGCTACAGCTAAATAATTGCTGCCAGGAATAGCAGGGGAAAAACAAGCGCATCGAGACCTTGTCTGTCACGGGAAATGAATTACATGGCTAAGTGCAACTGAGCTGCCAAACTGTGTTCGAAGAGCAAAGTTTAAGAAGAGTAAAAGCTGAGGATCAATGGCTGGAACCGGGGAACACAAAAGCTGTAGCATTACTGAGCCTAATGCATTTGGTCAGCAATCTGGATGGGAGGCCACTGAGAGGCCCATAAAAGATCGGGCGGTACTTTTTATTTAACTAAAGCCACCAGGTGTCCCAAAACCCCCAAGCACAATAAAAGTAAATAGATGTGCAGAAGCCAAAAGGGAAAAAAAAATCATTTCCAGCACTAAACCTCCAATACATTTATAGATTTGATCCAGTGATTATTAGAAAGGGTAACAGTTTTTCTACCTGCTTCTGCACCTTTTAATAGATACACGTAACTGTGTGCATTCTTGCAGCACTAGGTACATAAACTTCACTCTTAAGATCTTTGTAATTACTGCTGTACAGAGTACAATCAAACTTGTAGTTTAAAATGAGTGAAAAACTTGAGGGCTACTTCCAAGACACCATCCTCCTTTAACTGTAGTTAAATAACCCAGCACTGTCCATACATTGTTGGCATCTGCCAGTCTTGGGAGACAATGGAGGAGTGCGCTGTTGGGGATGAAATCAAATCGTTGGTAAATAACAGTGGCTGCTGGGGCTGTAGAGACTGATATGGGAGAGACATGTTTTGTTGCAACTGGGGCAGATAAAGGCATTTGGTTGTGCTGCTTCCATTCTGTGGACATAACCAAGCCAGCATAGACGTCGCTGAGACAAGAGTTTGAAAATATTGGGAATGTGGGCTTGGGAGAGCGCATCTCTGTTTGAGACTCCTGTCACGTGATGCCCCAAATCTCCATGACACAGTGCATGTGGAAGGCATTGAGATGTCGATCTGTGTGGTTGTTTAGTTGTCCACAATTCGCTTCCATAAAGCAGAGTGCTCAACATGCAATCTTCATCTTAGTACTGGTCATCAGCATCACGTTCTCCCAGACCGCTTTGGAGAGGTGAGCCATTGCCATAGCTGCCTTGCCAATACACCTGTCCAGCTCAGTGTTGATGGAGATCTTGCTGGTTATGGTGGAAACCAGGTAGACAAAACTGCCTACCACCTCAAGAGTGTGGTCACCAATGCTGATGCATGGGGTGCTGGTGACGTCCTGACACAGGATGTTGACCTTCATCGGGCTAATGGTAAGGCTGAGCTATCTGCAGGCTTGGGAAAAACTGTCTATACTTCCATCACTGATAATATGTACCACTGAGATCAGCTAACAATAGTGAAGAGCAAAGCAAGGGAGATGGGACAGTTACAGCAGTATTGATGTTGCTTCACAGAAACCATTGTGGAAGACTCAAACTTCAAAATTGGACTCAGAACATAAATAACTCACAGACTATTCCAGGGTTGCTGCTGAAAGCCAAGCACCTACCTTGGAAGTTGAGTGAAAGCAAGGAATCCCGCTTTGGATGCAACTAATCTTCTAACAGCTTGGAACTGGCTTTCAAGCTCTGCAGTTGATGCTGTCATGTCACCCTCTTGCGAGAGCAACGCCGTTATGGCATTGTTGATTAGCTTCTCTTTGTTTTCTGAAAACAAGCCCTGAAGGAAAGCGGAAAGGTGTTAACCCTTTGGACAGGAGCAGAAGAGAAAATGTATAGAAGAATGACTTTTTAACTTACATCTTGTGTCACTGCATGCAGAACTCCACTATAGGAAATGTTGGAGTTGAACCTAAAAACAGCATCTGCAAAGTTGCCATCTGCAACAGGACAGGCATGGATATAAGTGTCAGGCAGACTGATATTGCAGCATGTCAGCGCAGCTTGCTTTGCAAAAAGCTTGCAACGCACTCTTTTCAAATATTAGAAACCGAAAGCAGAAGACTTACTTGGAGGTGCTGCCAAGAACCTGAGATGAAGGCTTTCGACTTCCTCTTCCACGGGCATGCTCAACAAGCCCCACCGCTGCCCCTTGTCCGTTGGTGTCATTTTCACACAGACATCCCTATTTCCAGAGGCTCTTACTCCATCCAGCAAACTGGCTAACAATGAGTCCCTAGGAAAATTGTCCCAACAATTAGCTTTTCCAGCCAATGATGCTAAGCGTGCTTATAAGAATACAAAAACATACACATTTCATTCTGCTAAAGATTATATAGGGCAAGTGCTGCAAACACAGAATTTACTTTAATTTGTTGACTGCCCTTCATCCAAAGATCACAACGTAAGAATGCCTCGTAATAGGAAGTTTTAACTGGATAGTCCTTTCAATACACCCTAACCTGTATCATGGCATTGGAGGGTGAAAAGATCACACGGCAGTTCACAACGTAAGAATGCCGCGTAATAGGAAGTTTTAACTGGATAGTCCTTTCAATACACTCTAACCTGTATCACGGCACTGCAGGGGGTGACTTGAGGGAAAGGAAAGTGACTAAGGCAACATGTTGACATATGGAGACCTGGTAACTAGCTTGTGATTAAGTGAGAGGGAAACTGTGGTTTAATGAATAGCTTTCTGCAAGGTAATAGGAGAGACAACAATACATTTCCCATATCATCATCATCTGCACTAATCTGCAGAGATGGGGAATAAAACTGATAGGTTTAGGTGAGACATTTCCCAGTGAGTCCTTTAAGTATTTTTAAAACTCAGTAAGGACAAAAGCCTACCTGCATATCACATTTTTACTGGTAATTCACCCCTGCCATTCATTGCTTTGTGTATCTGATTTTTCTATTTTTCCTTCTGGGATAGAACTGGATTCTTTAAAAATACAAACAAACAAACAAACAAACAAACAAACAAACCCTAATGGCTATTCCTACCTACCTATACCTATCTGTTGGGAAACTTATTTCAGAATCCTGTTTGAATCCTCTGTAGTTTTTACAGGGTTTGATGTCAAGAAGGTACCGTATTCCCTCCCAGAGGTGGCATAAGCTTAGAATGAATCAAATGTAAAAGCAGCATTGCGACCTGGTTGTAGGAGTGAAACTAACTATGTAAGCACTGCGTGGTTTACCCAAGACATGCCAGTAAAGAACAACCGTTCAAGAACTGTTTAAAAATACCTCTCTGTTGAAGAATATTTTCGGATTTGTCCCTTGATAAACTCTATGGTAAAAAGCTGTGGATTTTCAGAATCGCACACAAGCGCAAATACCTTTAAAGAAAGAGTGTATCAAACAGGTTGTCATTATTCTGCACACTGTATTTAAATGACACACTCAAAGTTTCAGTATTGTAAACGACATACTCTTTGTTTTTTCTACATCCCACTATGGTTGCATTTGAGCTGGTTACAAATCTTGTTGTGTAAACTTCAGATTTTAATAGATGTACAACAGTAGATTTAGATAGCTTAAAGGTTACTATTCCCTCACACCCCATCCAAAGCTCTAAACAAGTTTCCTCCCTACCTCTCCTAAGGGTTTCAGTGTTGCAATATTGTAGGTTGCTGGGTCCCGTTCCACTAAGCACGTTTCTGTAAGAGCCAATATCCTTTTCACTGGTTCCTTTTAAACAAAAAACAAAAATAAAGGGAAGAGGCTTAAATTCATAGTCACAGACACCAAATAAGATTGGGTCGCCATGTTCCAAAGTTCAAAAACCCAGACAAACCCCGCCCCCCATCACACACATTTGGGACACACACACACAAACACCATCCCACATCTCTGTCGCCCGCCTTACTTTTGCTATCTTTGGCTTCCTGCTCACAAACAATGCAAGGTGTGAGGGCGCTGGGCTTGTCCCTAGTCTCTGCTTGTCCCTAGTCCGAAGAAGCACACCCAGTGCCTCACTGGAGAAGCCACTGATGCCACTGCCACCAAAGGCCGCCTGGCGAGTCCACTGCCTGAACCAGATCGCAGAGGCCCTCCGCGATCTGCTGCAAGCACTGGGGCTGCTTCTTCTCAGCACATCCCTAGTCTGCTCGGAAGCCGGTGCGAGCTGAGATGAAGCAGCCACACCGCCTCGCTGGAGGAGCCGCCAAGGGCCACCTGGTGAGTCACCAGCTGGGGTTGCCTTATGTCTGGTTTTTCCCAGACATTTGACTCATTTATGGAAATTCTGCCCGGAAGTTACTGCCACCCGCCAAATCCCAGATATGTCTGGGAAAACCCGGATGTATGGCAACGCTAAAGTAAGAGATTTCACATTTGGGGGCAATTTTCTTCTGGTAGCAAGTAATGTCGATTGCTATGATTTGGGTACAGACTCGGCCATAACTAACTGCAGGCTTCCAAGTGTTTTGGACTATCAATCCCATTAGTCCTGGCCAACACAGCTGATGAGCGTTGTAATCCAATATATCTACAGGGCATCAGGATGGAGAAAGCCTGTTAGTTTCTATGGGTTTGTTCTAAGTATGACCAAGCCTTGATTCAACCCAATGGCCATGATCCTATTGCTTACCCCCTCTCCCCATATGAACGTACCCAGACCCTGAGATCATCTTCTGAGGCCCTGTTCTTACATCTCCTCCATGGGAGAGGTCCAGAGGGTGGCAACATGCGCATGGGACTTTTCTATAGTGGTTTCCCATTTGTGGAATGCTTTCTCCAGGGAGGCTTGCCTCACACCTTCATTATACATCTTTAGGTGCCAGGTGAAAAAGTTCCTCTTCAACCAGGCCTTTGGCTGATTAACATTCTATGCCCCTTTCATAAATGTGTTTGTGGGAGGGCGGGGGTTATTGGTCTGTTTGGTTCTTGTTCTTAATATGCATTTGTGCTTTTGTTTTGCATTTACGCTGTGAACTGCCCTCCGGATGAAGGGTAGTATACAAATTAATTATGTAATTTTAAAAAGTGGGTACAAATCCCCAGAAAGGGTAATATTTTAATCTCGACAGTACCACCAACGTTCATTATGTGACTCAGAAAAAAAAATATCCTAGAATGAATGGCAATTGCCAATCTACCTTAAAATATATAAAAAAGAAGGAAGCTCGGTTCTTTCCATTTGGGAAAAAAACACATAATCAAAGTCTAAGTGTAACTGATCTTTTAATTGACAATTTTGATAGAATTTCTAAATTTTTATTCATTCGTTCATTTAATTTGTATTCTGCCCTTCATCCGTAGATCTCTGGGTGGCTCACAGCATAAAAATACAAGCTAAGAACAAAAACAAACTGAACCAATAATATTAAATCTAAGTAGATGCATGATAAGCAATAGTTACAGGCAATGCATAGAACAACTGCATCATCATACTATGTCTGCTGCCCCCATATTTTACTATTTGATGTTAAAAAGCAACAGCTCCTTAGTTAATGCAAGGGGCATGGCCTAACCTAATGCAACTTTCACTTTTCCCCTTGAAACTTGAAATACCACGGCACACCACCATCTTCTGTGGAAACAATTCTCAAATGTAGTGGGACATGGATGGATGGCTGCCATCCACAAAAGAGCACGTAAAGCCCCATGGACTTACTTAACTGGTTTTCTCTTCTTTGTATCCTAGCCATTTGATGTGTCAAAAATTCATTTTAAAAAAATAATAATTTTAAGGGTAACACAAGGTTGCATACTAATAGTTGTGCACATTCTTTATAGAAGTCGTACATATTCACACAAAGAAACACACAATTCAAGTTCCAGAAGGGATTCCCCCCACCCCCCAAGTTCAGGACTCAAATAACGTATTCACATTTTTAAGCCTTACCGAATGCCTAGGAGATATCTTTTGGACCACAAACTCGGCTAAAGAAGTAATAGATTCATCATTGCTGTATTTTCCAAAGCGAAGCGTCAAATACTGCTCAAATTCCAAAGGTTCCTTCCTTATCCTCAAGGAAATGCCAACATAGTTGCCAGCATGTTCTATTGCACTTTTAATAATTTCTTCCCTTTGCTCAGAAGCAAACAAATGCTGAAAAATTCAAGAGACTTCAGTAAGTTCCTAAGAGCTACAAAAGTGAATACAACAGAATTTGTAGAACTGAACACAGTGAATAGCGATTAGTATGAAATAATTCACAGCTTATCATCTTCTCTCAACTGTCCGGTCACCAGCTGAACAAAAGAATCAAAATATCCAAGAGCCATCAGTGCATAACTGTGTTTTGCTAAGGATCAGTTGTATTTTCTAGCTCAAACACCTGGGCAACTATGCACAATGCAACCACACTTAGAATACACCTCAAAAACACCTCTACAGCTGGAAAACATGCAGAAAAGAGCAACCAAAATGACTGAGAGGATGTGACAACTCTCTTATGAGAAAAGGCTACAAAATTCGGTGCTTTTTAGTTTAGAAAAAAAATGTGAATAAGGAGGGACATGAAGGAGGTGCATACGATTATTCACAGGGTGGAGAAGAGGTTTTTCTTTATCAAGCTACCAGGACACAGGGTCATTCAATAAAGCTGAATGTTGAAAGATACAGGATAGGAAAATGGAGGTGATTCTCTGCACAACACACAGTTACACTTTCTGGCCTTGTCAAATGAACCAAATCTACTGAATTCAAGGTTATTGGTGTCTTGATTTAGGCATAGGTGAAGTTGTAATGTTAGGATACTTACTAGTCTACTAAATCCACCATAAAGTATACAAAAGCCTCCAGCATAATCAGACAGATCAACAAATCCTTCAATATTTCTGTAGTCATAAGAACATAGGACTTTGTTTGTTGCAGGATCAATCTGGTCAATGCCTCCAGGAGTGACTTCTAGAATTACAGGTTTTCTTGTGTCACTCCAGTGATGCTTATAACAGTTGTATCTCTGTGAAAAGGAAGTGGTAGGTAAGGACACGGAAGGGATACACACACACACACAAATACAGTATCACAACTTAGGGGAGCAGTTGCTTAATATGAAGAACAGAAGTCTAAAAATATTTTCTGAGTGCAGCTAGCCATATATTTTCAGTGCTGCAAATCCAACAAGCACATTGGACTCTCTTCATATACCGAGCAACGGGAGCTCACCCTGTCGCAGGGATTCGAACTGCCAACCTTCTGATTGGCAAGCCCTAGGCTCTGTGGTTTAGACCACAGCGCCACCCGCGTCCTGTGAACATGTACAAGCTGTGAAATACTATGTATGAACGCCATTGTCACATAGAACAAGCTACATGAAAATTTCACATTTCCCACTCAAATGCTTTTTTTTGTTTTGTTTTGTTAGTTGGCCATATAAAGGTATTGCCTAAATATGCATTTTGGATTCCCCCTCCACCACCCCCATGGGCCAACACACCTTACTTTTAAAATGTTTTGCGACCAAGGAAAAATTAACACATAAAAGACTGCTCTTACTACCATGAATTAGTGATGTTCTATTCCAAAAAAGATGAGCAATTTAAGGCTGATTTCAATACTGTGAAACATGACAATGAGTTGCACTGGCCAAGAAGGAAATGCAACCTTAAATTGCTTCATAAAATTAAACAGAAAAATAGAAAGTTCCTTTTCTCACACATAAGCTAAGTAAAAATGGCAGGAAGTAAAAGAAACTCTTATGCTGTCCATAATTTTGAAAGAAACACATGGTGTACGCTACTGTAAAATCAATTGACATCTGTAGAAAATAGTTACAAAGAAAGTTAGATATTTCTGACTTCAGCCTTATGCTACACTTACCAAGGCAACACTGTAAAAACCACACACTATTCAAGCATGCACTTTAAGAAGGCTACTAATGTTCACAAATCTATGGGTGGTCATTTTTATTTCAATTTCATTCAGTGCATAGATTTGACAAGAGTACCAAAATCTGTCAAGTCACAAGGCAGGAAGGATGTCAGTCTGAGGTAATTTCATATGTTGAAACTTGAACGACTCTAACTCAAAACATTTCTAGCAGATTATTCCCATTACAATTAATTCAAGAAATGAGTAGAACATGAAAAGAAGACACAATGCCCATAAAGGTAAAGAGTCATTTTAATATTTCTATTCCAACTTCTGATCAAATGATCCTGAATGCCGTTAACGTAATTTAAAAGTTACCCAGTTCCCTCAAGTCTTCCAATGGGTGGCAATGGACAAAATTACCGTACTTTTCCATGGATAAGACTAGGTTTTTTTTTTCTTTTCTGAAAAATAATGTTAAAAAAGGGGGTGTAGTCTTATACACAGGAGCAATCGCTCCCATTTTCTTAATTCTGAGTCCCCCAAAATAGGGGGAGTCTTATACATGGGGGCGTCTTATAGACAGAAAAATACGGTACTTTCCCCCTCACTATTGCAATCCCAAATCAGCTGGAAGTTGAGAGAAGAGTTATTTCTAGCAGGCAGGCAGGCAGGCCTGCAATTGCTCCTTCCTTCGCCAAAGGCTGGAGCCAGTCTAGTCTCCGCCTTACCATGATGCACTTCCTGGCCCTTGAACATCCAAATGGCGCTTGTTTTTCTGGCTGGCAGCAAAGGCCAAAGTCGCATCACCCTCCCTTCCGCAGTCCCAGGGCACCGAGTTACGCAGAGTGTATAGAAACACACACAAAGCACATTTACTAGCCAATTTGGAAATGGGGGGAAAGTATTTCCCCACTCCAATTAAAAGACCTGTAAATGCCTCAGCCTTCAAGGGAAGCAAAATTTTAATAAAAACAAGGTTTGTTTGTTTTTAACCAAAAAATGTGACAAAAGATACTTGCCCTTCCTGTGATTTTTCCTTCAGCAAAATCAGTTCTAAATCTCTGGGGCAGAAAAGAGGGAGGGGAGAAAAAAAACAGAATGAGCGGTAAGCACACCAAACAAGTTTCCGTAAACTATTTTGCAGATAATTCAAGTTCAAGCACATCAAACTGGACCCCTCAGCTCACAGAAGGGCTATTTCATACTTCATACTTGATAATGGGTTTTATCCAATGAATTCATCTGGTTTGTGCAAGAACTTCTGCCTTTACACCAGAGGTTCCTATCCCTCTTCTTCCCTGTATGCCCCCAAATCCTCTCTGGGGATTCCCCATACACTCCATAACAGATTGGGGGTCATGGCATGAAGCAGAGGTCGGCAACCTAAGGCCCATGGGCCGGTAGCAGTTCACGGGGTTCATCTATCCAGCCCATGGCAACCCCTGCCGCCCCCAACTCTTACCAGTGCGGTATAGTGCGGCGTGGCATGGGGACAGACTTACGGGTTGATGGCGCCTGTGCACTCCTCCGGCCTGGAAGAGAGCACGTGTGCACACGCTCCGGCCCATCCTCCAACACATGGAGCGTGGACTGGCCCATCATTCGGTAAGCTTGCTGACCCCTGGCGTGAAGAGATGTTCCACTGCACAAATGGCAGGGTTTCATTGGATGCAACCAAATGTTTTGTATGTGAAAGAACTTGCATAAGCAGAAGCATAAATACTGTTATTCAGCCCATCTATTACATAGCATTGCAAACTTGTAAGAGCACTAGGTGGCTATTTTCCTTTTGATCACTGTTGTTTTAGCCCAACCCTATAGCTTGGCTCCAAAGTATAGCTGGTGGAGGTGTAATTGCTGTCCTGAGAGTTATCAGTAATTAAAAAATGGCAAGCATGTGTTGCATATTGCACTAAAATCATGCATCCAGCAGAAACTGAATGTTCCTCATTACGTTACAGTTAGCAATAAAGAGTGCAAGGTAGCCAGGAATTCAGATTTTTAGAACTAGAAGCTTCCTACCAGGGCTTCTGTGAGGAGTTCTGTTCTGTGTTCTGTAGAAAACTTAAGTGTTTCAGACTTTTTTCCACTTCCCTTACGAAATGTGAGGCTGAATTCTGTTCCTTGTCCTTTGCCAACAGGGCTGATGCTACAGATATCTCCATAAGGCCACTAAACCAAAAGATCAGAGTTGGAGAATGCTCTATTTTATCACCATAGTATCATAAATTCATATATCAACATAAATGACTCAAACGTATACAGAGATTTTTGTCACATGGTACATTGAAAATAAAAAGAGAAAAACAAGTAATAATAATATTTAAAAACAAAACAAAAAAACCATTGCCAACTGACTTCAAACAGGAAGTATTCCATCCTTCCTGATTTAAATTAGTATAGGGAGTCATATTTAGGTATCCATACAACATTTAATGCATTCAAATGCAGAAAGGGAAGTGAGATTTTTAAACCACTGGGTGAGAGCTGTTTGTCTTCCAACCTTAGGCACTATAAGGCTCTTAGCCACTAGGTACATTAATTGTTTGGTTACCCATAAATCATAGCTTTAATCCCATCCTATTAACTTACAAGTGACCCCCAAGAGATGTTAAGGTGCTCCAAGTTTAGAAGTTCTTATACTGGAAGAGTGAAAACAGGAGATTATTTATGCCTCTGAAAACACCGGTAGCAGAACTTCAAGCGCAGAACATCCAACAGCCCAGGTAGGGAGACCATTAGTCAGTGGCACTGTGATAAAGAACTACCACTGTCCCATACTCCTAGGATCAGGCACAGAAACCTATTCTAAAGTTCATCGCCCTTAATTAGCCAACTCTACAATTGCAAGATGCACAAAGATCAAAAAACTGACATCTCCAGTGTGTCCCCTAGTGTCAGAAATCGCAGCAATCTGCATGTTTAATGAGAATGTGATAGTTAAGCCCCAGGCTACCCAAGGCAGACTGCCAACTCTAAATTTAAAATTTATCTATTTTCGTTTTTATTCATATTAAAACTTTTTGATACCAACAGTCCTAGGTATTGCATATTCAGCGTTTCTGTACTCAGTCATGGCACCAAAGGAAAAAAATATCCATAATGAGAAGGCATTAAAAGATCCAGGTGAAATGACACACATTTCACATTGTGATTAAGTCTATAGTCCTTCAGGTTTCCGTCTCCTCAACAACAATCATTGCCAAGCACGGATATCAAGCAATCTGATATAAGACAAGAAAACTAAAGAATTACGCTTGGTAATTTTATAATTCTATTACACCCTCATATCAAATTGCTGATCAACCCCACAAAGCATTTGGAGAGTGTACAAACTTAAGGCAACTAAATATAACATTTCATTTAATCAAGGTCAACAGCTATTCTTCAGTATCTGAAACCAGATACCAAAAATATACTCTTGGGTTCCAAATAACGGCACTACTTCATTCCACATTAATATTAACATTCACTAATATGGATGGAAATCCATATATCGTTGAGAAATGGGCAATGAAAGGATGGGAAAAGTAAACCTTTATTATCCCAACCAGTTATCTTACTGCGTGTTCAAAGGATATCATGAGGTAGTTAATCTGAGCATATACCAAGACATAAGTTAGCCAAATCATTAATGTTGGCATTAACTCATGCAACTCCCTCTAGTCTCCGAACATCCTTCCTCTCTCAATAGGACTGGCATATAAACCAACTCAATCCAGTTTCGGAGATAATACATTTTCATGAAGTTACTATGTATTTGGCATTACCTGATTTGTAACTTCTAATGTGTTAGGATTGTATGTTGTGATGGCATGACTTCCGACTGAAAAGACTCGCTTATACCTAAAAAACAAACCAACAAGAAACAAGACATTAACGGAAACTACAGAATTAGGAGAGAGATATTGCAGCAAAAATCGCTTTTGTTTTATAAATAAGCCATAAACATTCATGAAGCTTCTTTCAGGTGAGTCATCAACATGACTCACCAATATCTGGGGCAAGGAAAATTATCCCCTGCCCTCTTTGGCATGTTTCTAAGAGATAGAAGTTAGGCATTCACTATGGAACTTGAGATCCCACCCTAGAATATACTCTGATGGCAAGCAGGAGTTTGAAATGGGATGCATAAAAGCTGCTTTGCCACTGTTGTATTGCAACACGGATTACGCAGGCATTGCAAGAAGAAGCGTCAGAGCAAATACGTGGGATTACAGTTGTGTGAGACCTGCAACAATATGTTGCAGTTTGAAGCACTTCTATCCAGAGTTCCAGTCACCAACTCATGCTTTCTTTCAATGCATTTTTTCCTATTTCCCCTTCCCACCCTACCCCACCCAGCCTTCTGTGCCTACTGAGCATGCTCAGTCCTCATTGAGCTGTTTGGGGTCCCCCCCGTTCTCTTAAGTGTACCCTCCCAGCCACTAAATAGGTTTTGTTGCTCTGCAAACGTTGGAGTTTCCCCAAAACTGCTGATACCTCCCTCTTGTGCATGGATTGTGCCATATAGGCTACAATATGTATTAATACTCAAAGGGAGTCTAATATTAGTATACTGGATAGTTACTTCTCTATAATATTGTTCTTAAGACACTAAATGCTGTACTGATTAGTTTATCATATGACTTTTGCTGTAATTGTGATGTTTAGCTTATTTTTAATTGCTGTTTTGTTAGCAGTTTTATAAATTGTAATTGCTTCATTGATGATTTGTTAATTTTACGATTTACAGTGGTACCTCCGGTTACAGATGCTTCAGGTTACAGACTCTGCTAACCCAGAAATAGTACCTCGGGTTAAGAACTTTGCTTCAGGATGAGAACAGAAATCGCGCAGCGGCGGCTTGGCGGCAGCGGGAGGCCCCATTAGCTAAAGTGGTACCTCAAGGTTAAGAAGTTTCAGGTTAAGAATGGGACTCCAGAACGAATTAAGTTCTTAACCCGGGGTACCACTGTATGTTGCATTTGTGATATTCTATTCTATTATGTTGTTATTTGAGATTCATTTGAATGAAAAGCGGCATAGAAATGCAATAATCAATCTCTAGTTCATAAATTGTATAGGAAGCAGTTAATAAACTGACCACTCAACAACTGATTGTGTGAAAATGTCCTGAAACTAATAAATTGTTGAAACATAAGCTTACATAAAAATAAGCTATTTAGGAGATCAGTGCTATTTATGATTAATCACAAAGAGATTATTAGATTATTCCAATTCAAATAAATTTTAGCAGACCAGTTTGAAAACTCACAGCTGGATAGCAGAAAAGCTATTGTATGTCATTACCACCTCAAAGCTGTAGAATAAAATAAACTAGGCTACTTACTTTCCCCTCCATGAATGTTTAGTTGTGTAGAAACAGGCCAAATCTTTATTTTCCCTAATTATATTCATTTTGTGCCAGAACCTGTAACAAAATATGCTTGGGATTAATAAAAGCAATTTGCCACAGAACAGAAATACATTTTCTACTGAATACACAATACAGTTTGCTGAAGGGGTTGCTTGTTACTCAAAACGTTGCATAACTATTAGGCAAGAGACCCCGACTGACAATAGTTCAGGAGTTCTCTCACATCTCTTTACTAAGCAGCTTCACATAGACTACACAATTAGGCGATAAAAGGGATTGTACCACTTCAAGGTACTGTACAGCTGCAGCAAACCACTTCTGAATACCTCCTCATGTACAAAAGAACTCCCTGCAAAGATAAATGTAGTATTTCAAGGGCAACCATTGTAGTGCAGCCTTTTGTCTGCTGTACTGTTTTTTATCTGCAGGGTAAGTAGCACAGAGGAGCAGCCAAAATTTGATCACCTATCTGCATTCAGTGATACAGGGTGGAAAATCTTCCAGCTCTCTTTTTTCCAAGTTCTTTAAGTTCGTTAATTACAATGAATGGGTGTCAACTGCAAATATTAGGCAAGCTTGACTCTGTTTCAAAGTTTTTAGGCTTCTTTACTAAATAAACCACAGAGCCTAGGGCTTGCCGATCAGAAGGTTGGCGGTTCGAATCCCCGCGACGGTGTGAGCTCCTGTTGTTTGGTCCCAGCTCCTGCCCACCTAGCAGTTCGAAAGCATATCAAGTGCAAGTAGATAAATATGTACGGCTCCAGCAGGAAGGTAAACGGTGTTTCCATGCGCTGCTCTGGTTTGCCGTTTAGTCATGCTGGCCACATGACCCGGAAGCTGTCTGAGGACAAACGCCGGCTCCCTCGGCCTACAGAGTGAGATGAGCGTGCAACCCCAAAGTTGTCTGCAACTGGACCTAACGGTCAGGGGTACCTTTACCTTTACTAAATACAAGGGAAACATGCTGCGCTGCCACTCCCATCACCATTAGTCAGTAGGAAAAATGGTAAAGAGATTATCGGAGTTGTAGCTCTGCCATAACTGAGTCACAGGTTAGCCACCCAAGCTAAGGATTGTTTTTAATGCAAACTGTAGATTTTTGCAATGCAATGCAAATTTCAATCCCTGCCCCCCGCCCCGGAAATCTGACATTTGTTACTGCAACCTGAAGTTGCTCTTTCCTTCCCATCACCTTATTCAGCAGAGTGTGTAAGTGCATGAAAAGTCAAGTACTACCACAAATTTTTACTGACCGCAAAATATAAGCGTTACGTCTCAAATACTGCAAAGAGACAAAACAGCTTCATTCAGCCTTTTCATACTCAAAGCTTATCTATTTAGAGACTTTGCTCCCATAAATCTGGAGAAATGGATCCAATTCTTTGGCAGTTACAATCAGCAGCATTGTACATGATGTACTTATTATGCAATAACTTAAAGAAGGGGAGGAAAGAGGAAACAAGCATACAGTGCTACTAGGGTAAACAGAGGCTGTAAGGAATATATTTGATACAGGTACAAGTTACTAGGTTACAATTACTTTTTGCCACTATAGCTACAGGCAAGTTTCAGCTTTTCCATGCCACTGGGCAAAATTATCACAAGCTTTCATTGTTCAAAGAATGTCATTTGCAAAGAGCCAGTCAGGCTTTGTAGTATCATATAACCATTTTATCAGATTTGTAGAATATAGTAATTTTCATCATTTCCATCCTAACGTTATTAACCCAGAGGGTCACTCAAAAATAATATTCAACAATATGTGCAATTAATATTCCTTTTTAGAGTTTTAAAATTAGAATACACTCACTAACACACATCTCTACCCAACAATGATCTTAGTTCTGATCTCTTCTCTATTACTGTGTGCAATTTAGAGCTCCATATTTTAAGCCTAAAAAAATGTCACTTATATGGATAATGGTGAACTGCTACTCATTTTCCAATGGCTAGCTTTAGAAAACATTAAAAGATCAGCTGCCACGTGAAGTCAAGAAATGAAGGCTGTTTTAACTCTTCATTATGCTTTAGCTTGTATATAGATTGAAGTTGAATTATAAACATTTCCACCCCACCTTTTAATGTCCAGAAGGGCAACAGATAACAGCACAATGAAATACATAAAAATACAAAAAACAAAACAATACACATTGAAATTCATTTAAATGCTGTGATGCCAGCGATCACAAATAAAATCGATCTCAACAGTCCTGATGAAATAATGATTTTACCAGATAGCAAAGGGAAACAAGGGAGGTGGCCCAAATTTGGTAGATACCAGGACAGTATGTATACTATAAGAACTGGCATCTGTGAATGTCTGGCACAGTAACAGTCACAGGGAGAAGAAAAGGAAGGCACCAGCACAGCTAAGGAGTCTCAAAAGGTGCACGTAATAAAATGTTAAGGCCCAAAGCATGTTGAGTCAGATGACTCAGGAACAACTGATTCAGGCAAGACAGCTGAACCAATTAGGTATGCTCTGTTAAAAACAACCTGCTCAATAAACACCAGTGGAAGTTTAGAGAGCCCTGAGTTGAGAATGAAAGCACACACATACACAAATTTCTTTCTATCCAAAAATTCTATTAGTTTGTGCAGCTTCTCTCACTAAGCAACTTGGTTGCAATGTTCCACTAACAGACCTGGTCTACCAAATTATTCTCCAGTTCAATTTCATTGTTAGCAGCTGCCACAGCCAGCATGCAATTAATGCATTCTCACTTTGAAGAAAAGTAATGCTATCCTCTCCCTCCCTCCAACATGACTTTCAAGATATCTGAGACAGTTGATTTCTCTTTCAAGTAAAGCAGAACACCCATTGTCTATTATACTAATTTCACACACATCCTTCAACCTCTCAGGTTATACATTTGTAATGTAACTTATTATGACTTCAAAGTGAAACTGAATTCCACCAAATCTTTCATTAGATGCAAGTTCCTAATGAGTGGCTACATGTTTTTGATAGCTATTTTAAGTAATCTGAAGATGTGCAGTAAAGTTGGAAGTATCATACACAGCATAATATTTGCTGCTTAAGTGCATCAACCATTCTAACAAAATGAAACAAATCAGCTGTAGAGGTTGTTTGAAGGGAAAAGGTTTCAGGGAAGGAAAAAAGAAGAGCAGAAAGGTGGAGCGTTGATGAATGACTTCTCCATTGACTCAGTCAGTTTGAAAATCAATAATGAATTATTGCCATTCGTGTAGTATAGCATTTGTCTCAAAACAAAAAAAACCCCTGAAGCTAAGAAATCGTGGACAAAGGTCTATAATGTTATCTCATATCAAATGTGTTGTACTAGTTATAGGTCAGAGACAACTAACCTTTGGATCGCTGGATGTTGCTGAACTATTACTATTATTATTTATTAAATTTGTATACCACACTTCTTCTGAAGATCCCAGGGTGGTTCACAACATAAAAATACAAAATGAGAACACAAAATACATAATACAAAAACAAAGGCAAACCAATAATCCTCTTCCCAAAAACACATTTACAGGGCCATAAAATGATAATCAGCCAAAGGCCTGGTTGAAGAGAAATGTTTTCGCCTGGGACCTAAACATATGTAATGCAGACACTAGCTAAGCCTCCCTGGGGAGAGCATTCCACGAATGGGGAGCCACCACAACACAATCCCCATCACCCCTGACTACTGGCCATACTGACCAAGGATGAGGGAAATGGTCATCCAGCACACAGAACCCATTATAAAGGAATAAATGTTTAAGATTGTAGTTCCAAATATTCTTACCCAATAGTTAAGGCCCACCCACTGAACTCAATGGGGCTTACTTTCGAGTAGACATATATAGGATTGCCCTGTACACTACAAACCCACCAAAGCTTCCAATAAGATGCTAAAACAGAGGTCCCCAAACTAAGGCCCGCGGGCCAGATAAGGCCTGAGGAACTCGTTTATCCGGTCCGCAGCGACCCCCACTGCCTGCTCTTACCGGTACAGCGCTGCTGCCCACTTCTGGGTTGGAGGAGCACCAGAAATAGCTTGTATGCATGCGCAAGCGTTATTGCTGGTGCACATCCGGGTTGGAGGAGGCCCGTGCACATGTGCACAAGCTATTTCCAGTGCTCCTCTGACCCAGAAGTGCACCGGAAATAGTGTGTGCCCATGCTTATGGGCACGCGCTCCCCCGGCCCACCGCACGATCAGCGCTGGAGACACCGGCCCGAGGCGCGGTAAGTTTGTTGACTCCTGTGCTAAAACTTGGGAAATCCAAGTTTTTGGGAAATCCAAACCACTAGTAGCATCAAGACAAATAGTTAAACATTTTTACCAAGTTGTATCTTTTCCTGTCTTTGAACTCCACATTGACACTACAAGGCTGATAACCAGGCCTTGGGCTGATTAATATTCTATGTCATTTCAAATGTGTTTGTGAGTGGCATGTTACTGGTTTGTTTTTGTTCTTGTTTTTATTATGTATTTTGGGTTCTCTTGTATTTTTGTTGTTGTGAACCATCCTGTGATCTTCAGATAAAGGGTGCTATACAAATTTAATAATAAACCACTGTAACTGACTACAAGCTGATTAACTTTTTAAAAAAAGCATACATATAGTTCAGAAGAAAAACTGATTTGCCTTATCTTGATCCAGTTTCCAGAATATACTGTGGTTATGCATTTTACACATTAACTTTCATACTTTCCTAGGAGAATAACCACATGGGCTCCTGCATTCATCAAATTATGTATGGAATTAAAAGATACTGCCACTCCCTTGCCAGATGGCCCAATTGCCACAGTTATTTCATTCGCCAATCTACCACAAAAGTTAGCTGGATTGTGGGCTTTCTGGGAAAATGCAGCAGATAAAGAATTACAAGGACAAAAAAAGCAGAAAGCAGCTTACTTCTGGGTGTTAATGATTAAATGATGGCAAGTGGAAAAACATTTACTCAGATACTCATGCATGTGAACATGCATTCAAATTACTCAGAAGGTGGGGGACATTCCAGAATTGCTTTCAAATTATTTGTATCAATTCCTGGATGCCAAAGACAGCACATACATCTTGTTTAAAGTCTATTATATATATTGATTGTTTCTTTTTCCATTCTGGCTCAGCGTGAGAAAAGCAGCTCTCAAGTAGAGTCTCTTAAAAGCCACGGCTTGCAGTGCACAAGTGTAAGTGCCATTTCCTTGAAGAATTACTACTCCCTACTTTGTGGTGAATTATATAAAACACCCTTGCTAACCCTACAATACAAGCCCAAGATTCAAAACACATATTGGATGTGGAACTTCCATTTGGAATGGAACTGAAGATGCAGTTCTCAATCACATCATCATGCAATTCAGGAGCTATTGTGCACAAATTCTGTCCACCTCCCAATAATTCATCTACCTTACCACATTTCTAAAGAAAACTCCAAGGCGGGTGGAAATTAAACGCATATTGACTATACCATTTTTATGTCAGTCAATGAATTTTCTTCCCAAAAGACTGGATGGAGCATGCAAGGAAGCAACAAGCCGTGGGAAAGATGAACTCTAGCCAGCACATGAAAGTTTCTGGCAGGGGTTTCAACCCACCACCTTTGCAGCACAGGGGCAGCCAGGCAAAGGGGGTGCCCCCAAACCATGGGAACCGTTCCATACACATTGATAAGATACAATTGTGGAAGCATGCAGGCGTTTGTGCTTAGAAACACAACAGTTAACATGCTATAATAGTGAGAAGCCCGCTTATCCCCTGTTGCTTTGGCCACAGGGAAAGAAAAAAAGGGGGATTTTGCAAGCTGGGTGCCAGCCTCCCTGGAGCAAATGCGGAAATGAGGGCTAAACACCTGTTTTAATCCCCACCCCAACCTGTTTGCCACCACTTACCGAGGAGAAATAGGGAGGGGGCGCTTACTGAATTGGGGGTGGGGAGAAAAGAGAAGTCACTGGCTCGGATGAATAAGGGGGGAAGTCCGTGTTTCCCTTCCCTCCCCGCCCCCCACTGCATGCAAAGCCCTCGGCGGTTCCCTTCAGTCTCTTTTTTGTGCCCTCCGGGGGGGGGGCACCCATTTATTTACCTGGCCGGGGAGCGGCGCCGTCCAGTCCCGCACCCCCGAAGCCTCGCACTGACAAGAGACGCGGCGAGCCAGCAGCCCCCGCAGCTGCTTCAGTTGCCGCCGAGAGGGCTTCTCCTCTTCCTCCTCCTCCTGGGCTGCAGCCGCTACCCCTCCGAAGCGCTGCCGCCTCCCCTCAGAGCCTGGCTCTGGAGGCCGCCATCTTCGCTCGGGCAGGGGAGCCACCCTCCGCGCGCACGCGCAGTCCAGGCCGAGGCCGCCGCCGCCGCCTGCCCGGCCTGGTCACGCGACGAGCTCAGCTGACCCGCTCAGTTAATCGGCCGCCTTCCCATTGCCTGAGGGAAGTGGGCATGCGCAGAGCGCGCAGCTGGAGGGAGGGAGGGAGGGAAGGAGGGAGAGAGGGGCGGAGCGAAGGGAGGGAACGCCCCACGCTCTGGCCGGGGTCGGAGAGGTGAGGTAGAGTTCTCCTGGGAATGGAGGTTCTCTCTGTCCATTCCCAGGACAATATTTATAAAGGTTTTTATTTATACTTTTCAAATTTATACTTTTCATTAATTTTGCAATCATTTTAACATTTCAAAGTTTAACTTCCTCCTCTTTCTGTGGGTCCTTAAATTAATTTTTAAAAAATCTGCTGCATATCTAAATTCATTTAATTTGCTCATTTAATTATCTACTTTAAATATGGGTACCCCTGCCCGTACGGGCCAGTCGTGTCTGACTCTAGGGTTGTGCGCCCATCTCACTTAAGAGGCCGGGAGCCAGCGCTGTCCAGAGACACTTCCGGGTCACGTGGCCAGCGTGACGAAGCTGCTCTGGCGAGCCTGCACCAGCGCAGCACACGGAAACACCATTTACCTTCCCGCTATTTATCTACTTGCACTTAAGGGTGCTTTTGAACTGCTAGGTGGGCAGGAGCTGGGACCGAACGATGGGAACTCATCCCACCGCGGGGATTCGAACCGCCGACCATACGATCGGCAAGTCCTAGGCGCTGAGGTTTTACCCACAGCGCCACCCGCGTCCCACTTTAAATATAAACTCTTATAAAGCTGCAGGTCTCTCTCAGGTCCATAGGCTTCGTTTCCGATCACTTTTCGGGGAAGAAGGCACGGCCCCTGGGGGGGACGGGATGTATACAGCCCTTCACCCAAAGATCACAGGGCTGTTCACAATACTGAAAATACAAAGTGGGAGCACAAAATGTATTGGCATCCGCCTGTCTCGGGAGACAATGGGAGAGCGCACATTTCAGGGTGGGACATCAAGCCGTTGCAGAGTAACGGCGCCCGCTGTGGCTATAAAGACTTAATACCGGAGAGACATGTTGCAGAATCATAAAATGGGAAAAGGTCACAAGGGTCATCTAGTCCAATCCCCTGCAATGCAGAAATGTTTTGCCCAGTGCTTTAAAATAAAAATAAAAATTATGCCCCATGGGGTGGGGAAGAATTTATTTATTTTTGTTGGATTGTGCTTTAAACTCTGTGCCAGTATCCATGGGCTCAGTTTTGTAAACGATGCCCCCCTGCTCCAAATATTATCACTGTTGGCTGAGCTCATTCATGTATTTATTTATTTATTTACATTTATATCCTGCCTTTTCTCCCAGGAGCTCAAGGTAGTGTTCATCTACCACATGGGTAGGCAAACTAAGGCCCGGGGGCCGGATCCAGCCCAATCACCTTCTAAATCTGTCTGGGAATCAGCATGTTTTTACATGAGTAGAATGTGTGCTTTTATTTAAAATGCATCTCTGGGTTATTTGTGGGGAATAGGAATTCGTTCAGTTCCCCCCCCCAAAAAAAATATAGTCGGCCCCCCACAAGGTCTGAGGGACAGTGGACCGGCCCCCTGCTGAAAAAGGTTGCTGACCCCTGATCTACCCATTAATTAGTGTTCTCTCCCCATTTTCTTCTCACAACAACCCTGTGAGGTAGGTTAGACTGAGGGACTCACTGGCCCAGGGTCACCCAGTGAGCTTCATGGCTGAAGTGGGGTGGGATTTGAACCCTGGTCACCCGTCTCCAGCACTCTTAATTACTACACCATGTTGGCTCAGGTGATCAGGAATCAAGTAGTTTGGCCAGTAGGACATCCCTAACACTCCAAAGGGTGGCTCAGAACAGCTTTGCCCCTCTTTTTTTACTGCCTGTTTTTGAGAGTTCTTCCTAAAAACTTGAAAGCTCGTAGGGCAGTAATGCTTCACTGTCACATAGCTCCTTCCTTTGAAATTGTTACTCATAGGCACTCATTAGCTCTCATTCTAGGAAGATATGATATGTAATTCTCCATAAACTGACCTGTAAATGTGAATGGCAGGGACAATGCTGTCTCTGTTCCTGGAGGTAGCATTTAGCTACCTAGGTCTTTTTTTTCAGCTGGAACTCACTGGATCTGAGTTCCAGCACCTCTCAGGTGGGTGCCATTGTCGTCATAAGAAAACAAGGGAGGCGTTCATGGTGAGTCCTGGCACCTTTTTTTCTAGAAAAATAGCACTCATCATTAGTAACTACTAGGAGTATTATCCTCCATGAATTTGTCTAATCCCATTTTAAATCCAGATACCGTATTTTTCGCTTGATAAGGCGCACCGGACCATAAGGCGCACCTAGTTTTTAGAGGGGGAAATCAAGGGAAAAAATATTATCCTCCCCCCCAGCCCCAAAGAACAAAGAAGCCAAGACAGCCAGCGGGATCCATCGCGCTGGCTGTCTTGGCTTCCTCTTTAGCCACGCACAACCTCTCCAGCCGGGAGAGGCTGCACGTGGCTATGGCAATTCCCCAACCTCCCACAAAAGCCCACAGGAGCCGTGCACCCTTTAAGGAGCACGCGGCTCCTGTGGGCTTTTCTACGAGGAGGGAGAAGGGACTGACTGGCCTCGTCAGTCCCTTCTCCCTCCTGGGGGAAAGCCCGCAAGAGCCACACGGAGCTTGTGTGCAGCTCTTGGGGACTTTTCCTGCCTGCCTCCCCCCTGCATTCGCTCCATAAGACGCACACACATTTCCCCTTACTTTTTAGGAGGGAAAAAGTGCGTCTTATGAAGCGAAAAATACGGTACATTTTCTAGTTTTAACCATGCGCTGTGATGTTCTGCCCATCTGTGGAAGGCTGTCCCCAACAGGGAAATTCTTGAGCATTTTATGCTTTAGCCATCCATGCCAGCAGTGTCAGTTGAAGAGTCTTGCCTGCATTTCAGCCTTTCCCATTTCGTCATCTAAAAAACTGAATTCCGTCCTGGTCTCATCTCTTAGCTCTTGTAATTCGAACCCAGAGAATGTTCCATTTACCTTTGATGCTGGTGGGAAGGAAGGGTAGCGTTGGTGCTGTCAGAAGAAGCTTGCATTTCTCAGCCCAACTTGAGGATCAATTCAGCATCCTGTATCAATTACTTTTACTGCTATGCAAACACAGTTTTCTGCATGAATTCCACTGCCCTTGAAAACAGGTGGTGTGGCGTGTTGCACGTTCAAACTCTCTCATACTAACATCCAAACTCTCTGGACACGCATGTTATTTTTCTGGATGCAAGCAGGAAAAAACTGAAAACCACCAACTACACACTCTCTAGCCTTGATATGGGATTAATAGCTGGCCTTTGTGTATTGTTATGACATTTCACACCTGATCTCTTGGTTGGTAGCAGAAATGCAGAATGCAACGACCAGCTTAACCTTTTTTCCCTTTTATTTCAGAGCTTTCCAAACACATTAGTGTGTCGGCTGCAGTGTGTAGGTGTGTCATAAAAACACTCCCTGTGCTTCTTCCAGGGCTGGAAAGGGGTTGGGTTTAACCTGCGGTTTGCTAGTAAAACTGAATTACTGTGTCATGAAATGATGCATGGCTAAAACGCGTGTCACCAACATGAAAGCTCTGTTTTATTTTCTTCCGATAGTCATTTGAATCATGTTTGGTTTTTTTTTTTACTGGATTTGTTGTGATGAAAAGGGAGTAGAGTCATTTATAGTTTCCAGAACCGCTATTGCAATTTTGAACAAGGAAAAATAGAATTACCCACATCTTTGAATCATGCTGTAGACAATTCATTCACTATTAAAAAAAAATAAGAATTGTCCACTAGGATCAGGTGCTTAGGGCTGCTCTTCTTCTGGCACCATAGTTACTGTTTGCATACTTGCCCCTCACTTTACTTAGAATCACAGAATTGCAAGGGACCTCGAGGGTCCAACCCCTTGCAATGCAGGAATCCTCTTGCCCAATGAGGGGCTCAAACTCACAACTCTGAGATTGAGTGTCTCATGCTTTACCGACTGAGCTATCCTCCATGCCATTGTTGGGGAAAAAAGGTTGCTGTCTTGGAAAGCTCTTGTGAATGTCAGACATCCTCTTACACCCTAGGGGTAGAATGGGAAATCCATGACCCTCCAGATGTTATTGAACTCCAATTCTCATCATCCCCAGCCAGCATGGCCAGTGGTCAGGGATGACAGCAGTCCGGGTCCAACACCACTGGCTCCCCATCCCTGCCCTTCAGAATAAGTCCTACTAAACCAATGTAAACCTTTGGGTGGGGTTGATACGCCATTGCCAGTATATGGATAAAATTTTCACAGGATGGCATTTGTCCTTCCGCCATCTACAGAAAGGACTGTGTTATGGACTGAGTTGAATAGGATCCAAAATGCAGCAGTCTGATTGGTCCTAGAACAATAGGATTCAGAATGCAGCAGTCTGATTGGTCCGCAGGAGCCACCCAATCCAACTCTAGGTGGAAGTGAATCCGCAACCTGATTGGCCTACAGGAGAATCCCAGAATTAGCCAATCACGTGGGGCCCATTGTGTAAATAATGTATATAAAGCAGACATTTCGGGGGAACTTCCATTCCTCACTACTCTGAGCTGAATAAAGAGCATGAAATCCACACTCGACTCCGAGTATATTTCAGACTGTTTTTTAATTGTGTGATAAAAGCAGTGATCAAAGGGATAGAAAAGGAAGCATGCAGTGGAAGGGAAGCAGGAGATAAGAGTAGCCGCTGGGAAGGTGAGAGGGAGGGCAACTGGGTGCCTGTTCAGAGTGAGGGCGTGTGTACGTCTCAAGGATGAATAAAGCAAACATTGCTGATCTACACGGACTTAGATACTGCAAAATGATTGTTTACGGTGCCTGAGTTCAGCAGGGTTGCTGTAAACATAGCCTTGCCCCCAAATGAAGCATAAATGTAGAAGTATTTTCGGGTGCGACAAGAAACAGGAAGGAAGCAGGGATAAAATGCTGGCAGCAGTATATTGTTTCTTCAAGCAACAATAAGATGTCACTGTATTAGCGAGTCATCAGTATATTTATATGGAGTGGATAGGCCTCAGCTGTTTGAAGCTTTCAGGATAACAGGAAGAAGACAGACAATACCTATCAATCTTCTCAAATATTAAATAGATTTTTAGAAGTTGACCAATAGTACTTGTGTGGGGGTTTTTTTGGGGGGGGGGATTACAGTGGTACCTCGGGTTAAGTACTTAATTCGTTCCGGAGGTCTGTTCTTAACATGAAACTGTTCTTATCCTGAGGTACCACTTTAGCTAATGGGGCCTCCTGCTGCCGCCGGAGCACGATTTCTGTTCTCATCCTGAAGCAAAGTTCTTAACCCGAGGTAATATTTCTGGGTTAGCGGAGTCTGTAACCTGAAGCGTATGTAACCTGAGGTACCACTGTATTCACCTAGCATAAATGGTTAAAGGCCTACAAGGGCTTGGTCAAATAACTGAAATTTTAAAACAGGCCATTAACATCTTAGCTCTACAAAAGAGATAAGAAAACTGAATGGAACTTTGCTTGTATTCTACAGCTATACTGTTCTGAGGACTATTTCAGCAGGCGCTTTCTTTTGAATAATAAACAGGGTCTTTTAAAATATTTCTCTTTTTCTGGTCAGGCTGAAGAGGGAGGTTTTAAAGTCGAGCTCCCCTTATGCAATCATTGTTAGCAGTTTGCTGCTGTTGGTTTAAAGCTATGAAAGCAAGATGTTACAGGGACTCCGAATGATGACTCATCAGACAAAGACCAAAAGCTCTTGACTTCAGCTGCCGGCATACAAATGGCAAAATACCGGCTCTTCTGGTTAGACACTAAACAAACTAAAGAGAGCTTGCCAAAGGTCTAAGTTCAAATGAAATGATTTTAGCTCGGCTTCCTTTGACATACAGCAGCCTGTTAAATAGCTGTTAAACAAGGTTGTGCCAAGCACATGACTTCCCCTCATACTGAAAATCTGGCATGCTTTTTCGCCAAAGGTAGGGTAGTACTCCTAGTCTTGAGGCATAAAACACAATATTTCCACTTAAAAACATGAGTACTGTAAAGAATTCCTGCTAATTAGGAGCAAGATGGAGATTGGAAACACACATACACCCCGACTCAACAACTAGGATCAGATGATAGATGTTCCAATCTAGTTTACAGATGTTCCCGCTATCATTGCATGTCACATTTGGCCTATGCACAATATATTTGGCATATCAAGTACACAGTGTCCAGTATTTCAAATAGAGGACTGCCCTCTGCAGACGTTGGAAACCAAGAACTGTTCTCTGCAAAGGGGAACACGTGGCCACTTGCTAGCCACCCTCCCTGGTGAAAATGTGAGAAAATATGCCTTTAAACATCTTCATTTGTTGAATTTGTATCACTAACCAAGGCCTTAAGGTAACTCAAACCTGAATAATACCAGTTTAATTGCAAGTTACAGCAGAAAATTATACTTTACCTTTTCAGATTGTCTGTTTTGTTTTACTATATAGGCTTGAGGCTATGCGTTTCAGCTGTTAACACCACTGAGCCATTTTTTAAAAGAACCTCAGTAATTTGAGGTTCTTCTACGACAGGACTTTTTAACTGCTGCAAGAAGATTTGAGAGGGCAGTTTTCTATTGGAAGACAGAATTTCTCTGCCAATGGAGTGTTACGACTGAAGGCGTTGATTTCCATTTCTCCCTGTATTAGTTGCATGCTGCGCAGCTACTGTTCTGCTGCAGTTCGGCTTCCAGCAAAAGCTGTGTTATTAGTCTCGCTGTGATGAGATTTTACATAAAACCATAGCTATTTAGAGTTGCTTTTGTGAGTAAAGCAACTAATGTAGATAATTATTATTCTGCACTATCTAATTCAAAGGAGACCTCACCTCAATGTAAATGGGGGAAAAACAGTATCAGTTGCATATTGTTATGCATCACTTGCCGATTGAAAACAACAGTGAATACCACATGCATTTTATTTTTCATTCCAGTAGTCCATTTTGCTTAAGCCCTTGCAGAGGATGATCCACCTGGCCACAAGCTTTCAGCAGACATTACATAAACAATTCTTGCCAGCTCTACAGTTTCAGGCTGCAAGAAAAAAACCTCCGTTTTCAATATACAAGCAAATGGATTTATCCACGTATCTAGAAGAAGCAGCTCAGTAGGACAAGCACCACGATTGCAGCTGCTGTGGTTTGGATTTGTTCCAGGACAGTCCCCTTCTGTGATGCAGTGCCTAAAAGGAGTTTAAGAAGTATTAAAACCAAGAGCTCCATCTCCCATGGTTCGCTACCCAGCCCCTTTAGTAAACGGTGCCATGCATTCATTATGTCCATTACCTTGCAGGGACAACTTTGTTATCTCCACAGGGGGTGCCAGTTCACCCAAGCTTTCATCTGTAGCAGAGGTTAGCTTGGCCTCAACAACATTTTCAGATTTGGTGTGTGGTGCATCATCTACAGTCAAGGGAATAGGAGCGTTAAGGCATTGGCTTGTCAAAGAGTTTGTCAAGAACAGCAACTTTGGAGGCTCTGAGGCAAAGCCACCATTTTGCTTTTTAAAAAGTCTTACAGGGCTTTAAAAAGGAGGAGGAGGAGGAGGAGGGGAAAGGAAGGAAGTTACAATTCCTGTTGCTTTTAACTGCATCTTGATTTGTTCTGCGTTAGCTACAATTAGCCATTCATTACAATTCTGATCTTCACCTCTCTACCATGGTATCTTGGAACTCAAATGGAATCCATTCCGGAAGTCCATTCGAATTCCAAAATGTTCGGAAACCAAGGCGCGGCTTCCGATTGGCTGCAGGAAGCTCCTGCAGCCAATCAGAAGCAACGTCGGACATTCGGGTTCCAAAGAACATTCATAAACCGGAACGCCCACTTCCGGGTTTGCGGCGTTCAGGAGCCAAACAGTTCGACTCGCAAGGCATTCAGAATCCAAGGTACAACTGTCTTTCCAATCCATGTAGCCTAAACAGCACCACCCACCCACAAACTTTAGAGGGATTCCCTCCAAAAAACAGTCAAATGAGGATTGTTTTTGCTCCGGAGTTGACTGACTGGTGGTTTTTGAATCCTAAATAGCAGCATTACACACTGCAACATTTTGTTTCAGGTCCCATTTGTCTATCCCATTCTGGCCTCAGGACTTATTTGGGTAGACACCCTCTCTAACACTTCTCAAGATCCCAGTATATTGGTTTAGGAAAGAAAATCACCATAGCTGTAGTAATTATTGGAGCAGATTTTTTAGAGCAAAATTGCAAAAGGTGGAACAGAAGCCATGACTACAGTTACTGAGAGGCAAGAGCCTTTGGGGAAATCTATGGATTCTCTTATATTGAGCCATCTATTTATTTTACTACATTTATATGCCACTTTTATCTTCCAAGGATATCAAGGTAGTGTACATAGTTCTCCTCATTTCATCCTCACAACTAGACTAAGAGATGGTGAGGGACTGTGGCCCAAGGTCACCCAGTGAGCTTAAAGGCAGGGTGGGGATTCGAACCCTGCTCTCCCAGGTCTTAGTCCATTACACCACACTGGCTCTCTAAAAGGACCTTACCAGTTGTTGTCACAGCCTTATCGGAATCCAGGAGCCATCCGAGTCTTTCGTCTGCTTTGAGGATAAACTGACGTCCAACTGTAGAGTCAGCCTCGGCTTCTATCACATGAGATTCACCTTTAAGAAAGGAATCACAACAAGACAGATATAAACTGAACTTTCTGGCCTTGCGGTATAGTTAAGTATTATTAAGGAAACTTATTAGTTTCCTATGTACTCATGAACCACCAGAAGGCCCTCGGCACTGGACCTCAGTGTCCGGGCAGAACGATGGGGGTGGAAATGCTCCTTCAGGTATCCTGGACTGAGGCCGTTTAGGGCTTTAAAGGCCAACACCAACACTTTGAATTGTGCTCGGAAACGTACTGGGAGCCAGTGTAGGTCTTTCAAGACCGGTGTTATATGGTCTCGGCGGCCACTCCCAGTCACCAGTCTAGCTGCCGCATTCTGGATAAGTTGTAGTTTCCGGGTCACCTTCAAAGGTAGCCCCACATAGAGCGCATTGCAGTAGTCCAAGCGAGAGATAACTAGAGCATGCACCACTCTGGCGAGACAGTCCGCGGGCAGGTAGGGTCTCTGCATACCAGATGAAGCTGATAAACAGCTGCCCTGGACACAGAATTGACCTATGCCTCCATGGACAGCTGTGAGTCCAGAATGACTCCCAGGCTATGTACCTGGTCCTTCAGGGGCACAGTTATCCCATTCAGGACCAGGGATTCCTCCACACCCGCCCGCTTCCTGTCCCCCAAAAACAGTACTTCTGTCTTGTCAGGATTCAACCTCAATCTGTTAGCCGCCATCCATCCTCCAGAACATAGAACTAGCAAGGGTTTTATATGTTGCAGCCTGTAGACAAGTACATTTCATGCAAATAGCAAGTTCTCAGCCTCCAGGCCATTTGTCATCAATAGCCCTTCCTTCAAGAAAGATCATTCCACCAATACGAAAGTAAATATGTTTCACAAAAACTTGAAGAAAACTGATCATTTCTTCCCATCGCAAGGCTTAGATGAGAGGCTTCCGTTGGTAAATGGCTTGAAACTCTCTAGGAATGCCACATAGACATGAAGACGAGGAGGGTGATGAAATTTGTTACCTGCCTTTCACCAGCAAGTCCCGGGGTGTGTGTGGCAAGAATTCAAAATTCAGTATTTTAAAAAGTTAAAACAAGTTACAGGCACAAGAATAGGGTGGGTCCTGAAAACTAACACCTCAAGGAGAACTTCCTCTTCTCTGTTGGGGAACTGCACACTTGTGTGTGGGGCCAGCCCCCCCCAATTTCTCTCTGCACCTCCACTTCTCCATTCAGTCCACCTCAGGAGGTTGCCGGGGAAGGAACTGATCTTTCTCGCCAGGTCTGAACTGAATAGTTGCAGAAAGAGCCTTGGCTTCATCTGTTTTGACCACCTCCCCCGCAATTTTTCCCTTCTTGTCCCCTTCCAGGATTTGCATGAAGTTAGGTGGAGGGCCACAGATCCCCACCCCTACTTTATCAAAGCACAAGTCTTTGATTTAGCCATTTCCTTTCTTACCTTGGGCCCCCATGTCTGTTGTTTCCACTTCCCCTCTCTGGAGGTCCCAAGGAGCATCGAGGATTAAGAGAGGTCCCACCAGAAGGTCTGCTTCAGCTTCCCCTTCCGAGATGTCAATGATAGCTAGAAGTGAACAACAGAACGAGTTGTTTTAGAGCCTTAAAACAAGCTTATCCCCAGTGTTAAAGGCAAGAGCTGGTCCCACAAGCTTTCTGTGCCATGTGGAAAACAATACTGTACATTTTTTGAAACTCCATGCGCACGGCTTTTACCTTTGAAATACGGGGAAAGTATAGCATTGCTCTTAACATCACTTATGACAACATTCAAGCATTCCCACTCAGTTTAGAGATGCAGAAGGTTCCAGAATATCCAGCTAGTGTGTAGTTTGCAGTTCTCAGTAGCTGAGCTACTGCCATAGAGTAAGTTGAGAGCAGGGTCAGGAGCCTGTGGCAGGCCAGTTATTGTTTGGGTACAAGGTTACACCCATACTATGCACTTATAATGATTTATTCTTTATACCCCACCCATCTGGCTGGGTTTCCCCAGCCACTCTGGGCGGCTCCCAACACAATATTAAAAACACGATAAAACATCAAACATTAAAAACTTCCCTATACAGGGTTGCCTTCATGTGTCTTCTGATGGAAGGGCGTTCCACAGAGATGGTGCCACTACCGAGAAGGCCCTCTGCTTGGTTCCCTGTAACCTTGCAGTGAGGGAACCACCAGAAGGCCCTCGGAGCTGGACCTCAGTGTCTGGGCAGAACGATGGGGGTGGAGACGCTCCTTCAGGTATACTGTGCCAACGCTGTTTAGGGCTTTAAAGGTCAGCACCAACACTTTTAAACGTACTGGGAGCCAATGTACGTCTTTCAGGACTGGTGTTAAGCCCAAGGCTTCCCCCATAGAATCCTGGGAACTATAGTTTACCCCCTGCCCCATTAGCAAACTATGGTTCTTGGGATGCTTTGGGGGAAAGTATGTACTTTATAAACATGGTGTAGGATGTGACCCAACCCCCCATTTTTATACCTGGCTATACTGGAAGGAGTTCGTGGCAGGTAGAATCTAACACCACCTGGAAGACCACAGGTTCCCCCACTGCCCAGGTTTAGAGCATACCTGACCCTGAAGTCACTTGTTCCCTCTGTTCTGATGTACGGCGATTGCTGGGGTTGTTTGTGCTGGGCCATCCTTTAGATGATACACAGTTCCCAGTTTCACAGCAGTTGCAGATGTCCTCAGAGCCTTCTACTGGTAGCCAACTGATACATACAAAAATTTCACGTTAGTACTCCTCAAAGCCCTGTCTTTCCCATAATGCAAGCTATGATACTTACAGGCTTCTTTGGCTGTTGAACGAACAAGCTTTATTTAGAGGATCTGGTCCTTTGTCAGTCGCAACGACTCTCAGATGGCAAGCAATGTAGATCTTGAAGGGAAATTAAACAGGGTCAGAGTGGGGAATGCCACCATCTCACTGTAAATGAAAAGAGAAAGCAGGGCCAGCTGTGCAGGGGCAAGACAAAATATGGCCTGCATGGAAAGAAGTGGACTGCATGGCCAGCTGAATCTTACTTCAGCACCGCTAAGGACAGCAGGCACTCTTAAGGAGGCGCAGGGTGGATCACCCAGCCTTGCCCATCAACACCCTCACCCTCACTTTTATTCTGCCCAATGGTAGGGCTGGGCCTGGAACCTAGTGAGACGAAGGAGTCCTCTCACCAAGTTCCTTATGTCCCCAGAAAATCTGAACGCTTCTATGGTGAACTGGAGTGTTTCCAGGCGCGGTCTTGGGATTTTGAAGGCGGATTTCACATCATGAATTCTCCCGTCGACCAGGCATCTGGATCCAAAGATGGTACAGTCAGAAAAAACGCTTGAGCATTAATCCAGTTTGGCAATTATTTGGGAATGTAAACGTGCAACCTGATCTTATGTATGTTTACGCAGAAGCCAGCCCAGGGTGTTTACTTCCAAGGAGATGTGTGTAGAACTGTAGCCTTACAGCACAGTCCTCACCACGCCCACTCCCAGGTAAGTTGCATTAGGATTGCGGCCTTAATTGATTCTAGGTCGGTATAGGCAGGAGTCATTCTGTGTGAATCTCTTCTGAAGGTGGGCAAGCAGACAGAGATCCTCTGCTGCCCGTGAGGATTGGGTCACTAACAGGAATTTACCCCCCAAATCCCTATGCTGTTTTTCACCAGAGGGAGCCATCACTGTAACTCCTGCAGTCTCACACTGCTCAGAAATTGGAGTGACATGTAACAGTCCCTTTCCACGGGTTCCACTAAGGCTAGTCAGTCTCTTGCTCAATTCCCGCCCCCCCATCTTACCCATGGAAGTCAAGAATTGCATATTGTAAGCTGGCCTCTTCCTCTGGTGTTTGTTTAGCCACACAGCTATCGACCAATAGCCTGACAGGCAAATGGTCTCCTTCCCTCTCGACGTCTGCTTGGATATGGAGATAGTCACCCAGCCAGTATCGAGTAGACTCCCTCTCAGCACTCCAGTCATCTATAGTCATCCACAACAAACAAAGGAAAGGAGGAGGAGAGAGGGAGACTTAAAATAGTATCTGATAAACTGTCCTCTTCAGGGTTTGGAATCTCCCTTACCAGTCATCAGACGCAAGGAAAAGCGGAACCCTCCTTCTGCAGACTTTGTCGAAGTCAAAGGAACCCCGGTGGGCTTGGTGCCATTGCTGCTCACCTTATCTTCCCTAAAAAGAAAAATAAATTACAACTCAATGGCTGTTGACATGCAAGTGGGTTATTGAACTGTGGCCTAAGATGCTCACCTCGGGTAGTGGCACTCAATAGGGATCTCTACTGAGCTGTTTCTTACAATTCCAGGGCTGCTTGCAGAGCTTGGGTTATAGTACAGTCTTGTGCGGTAGAACAGGGAGTCTGCTGTTGTCTGGAAGAATAAAGCAACCCGGTAGTCTTTAGACAATTCACTTCACAGCAGGTTTCAATACAGTGGTACCTCGGGTTACATACGCTTCAGGTTACAGACTCCGCTAACCCAGAAATAGTGCTTCAGGTTAAGAACTTTGCTTCAGGATGAGAACAGAAATCGTGCTCCGGCAGCGCGGCAGCAGCAGGAGGCCCCATTAGCTAAAGTGGTGCTTCAGGTTAAGAACAGTTTCAGGTTAAGAATGGACCTCTGGAACGAATTAAGTACTTAACCCGAGGTACCACTGTATTCTGTATTTTTAGTGTTCAGAGTTATTGCCCGTTACCTATTAATACAAAGTGGTTGTGGAGTGAGCGTAACTAAGGTCAGGCTATTTTCACAAGGGATGATTAAGGGCTGGTTTTTAATTTTTGCATAACTGTGGTGAGCTGCATTTTCAAGGAACTACATTCCTGGCCAGCGATGGAGGAGAAATTAGAATCAGCTTGTGTTTCAAGATGAAACTAACCAGTCCACGCTTGCCAAGCAATATGTGAACTGAAATGGAGTTGTCCTTTGGAACTTTCACTTCTCCAAATTTCACAATGCAAATCGAAAGTCAAGTAATGTGTATAAGAATGCAAACACTAGCGTGAAGTATGCACATAAATTCATACACTGGTGAAAATGACATAAAACTGCATTATGGGGAAACTGCTGCACAAATGCAAAGCAAAATTCACACTAAAATGTGAGAGCTTAAAAAAAACAACAACCCACAAACTTATGTGGAAATGTAGAGAACTAAACTTAGGAATGGAAAAAACAAACTGAAATAAACTCAAGTTGATATATTTCCCCATCCCTAATAATGGATTCAAACAAGCACATTTCATGTGATCACTTTTAATTTTCAGAGAAGACACACTTGCAGGACCCAGCATAAGTTTTCAGTTGCAAATTGCTCCCCAAAGTGCTGTTTACAGGACAGGACAGCCTATTCATTAGGCAGAATAAGGCAGCTGTTCAGGTTTGGGGCATCATAAAAAGGGCAGCAAATTATAATGTACTGTAACTTATTATTGCTACACTTTATTCTGCTGGGAAGAGGGAGATATTTCGGCACCTGAGGCAGAAACTCCCACAGGAATAACTCTGTAAAGCAGGAAGCCACACTGAGTACAACAGGACTTACTCCAAGGTAAATGCATATAGGAATACACACACACACAAAAAAAAAAAAAAACAAAAACAAACACACACACACATATATAAGGAGGATCTTATTTGTACACAAGTCTCACATTACCTGTAGATTGATGCCACACTCCTGAAGCCCCACCTCAAAAACAACCAAGTCAGAAGCACCAGCAGAAGTATATCGGCAGCCTTGCAGGCCTAAGTGGAGATCAACAGCTTGGATCAGCTGCCCGGTCCCAAACAGATCTCTGTGAACGGCTATCACCATTTCGTCTTTGTGGCATTGCACCGCAACAGGCCGCGGGGAGCTGGTGGGTAACAAAGTCAAGGGCTGCGTAGGAGAAGGTACATCAGCTTGCCTTGAAGATTCTTCACTAGCGCCATTTTGCAGCTGCCCAGTCACTGGCTTGTGCCTTGAAAACTCCCCAATAGTAGCACAAGCCACTCTCTCAATCACGCAACACAACAATAAGCACCCAAACCCTTTGGAGTACCACATCCTGCTTACGTTATTTCTGAAATTCCACCACCCTAGAGAAAACTACCCAGCAGCAGTCGTTTTATACCTTCTCCCCATTTGCTCTCTATTGCAAGCAATGAGCCTCATTTATAGAACATCAGTTGTTGCCACTTCCCACCCCCTGCTGTTAAGACATTTTTAACAGGGAACACCAAGAAAATCAGCTACACCTGGGCCACAATATCTGAATAAGTAAGGATCTAGTCCTTTGTGCACTTAGGCTCTCCCCTTGGCTGGATTTAGGCTGGATGAGGCCCTAAGCTACTGAAGGTAATGGGGCCCTTTATATGTCCAGCTGGCCTTTGTCAACAACAAATTGTTGCTTTTTTTTTGTGTTGAATATATGCTATATGGTAATTTATGGACCTAATAGGTATCTAAAGCCATTTGCACGCAACAAAATATGTATTTTATCAAAGTAATTGTTGATCCCTTATTTTGGCTGCTGATCCCTTATTTTCGAGGCTGCTGGTCCCTTATTTTCAAATCTGTAAGTTGACAGCTATGTTATCTGGTATTCAACTGAATCTCACTCAGAGTGAGGCAACAGGCGACTCCTATGGAAGTTGTTGCTCAGACTCTTTTAACGCTTTGGGACTTATTTTGAAGAGAACATGCCTAAGTACCACCACACCACTAAAACCTTACTGCAGTGGTGGCCAGTTAACTCTCTGGCATTTCCCCCTCCTGATTGTTCAAGAGGTGCTATTTAGGTATAGAGGGTGGCTTTCCAGATAGCCTCTAGAACAATTAAGCAGGAACCTGTCTGGAGTAGTAGCAGCAGCTGCAGGAGGCAAATGTCTGTCTTGGGGATCAGAAGACTTGCATAAAGGCATCTCCAGCTGGACATGAGTAAACCAGGCTGGCTGTACTCAGGGCTGACCCAACCATAAAAGCAAGCAAGGAAACTGCCTGGGGTGCCAATATGGCAAGGACACCTATTTCAGTTATGTAGTGTTAATTTATTATATGTACCCCACCCATCTGGCTGGGTTTCCCCTGCCACTCTGGGCGGCTTCCAACAAATATTAAAAATACATCAAAATGTCACACATTAAAAACTTCCCTGAAGAGGGCTGCCTTCAGATGTTTCCTAAATGTCAGGTAGTTGTTTATCTCTTTGACATCTGATGGGAGGGCGTTCCACAGGGAGGGCGCCACTACCAAGAAGGCCCTCTGCCTGGTTCCCTGTAGCTTTGCTTCTCACAGTGAGGGAACTGCCAGAAGGCCCTCGGCGCTGGACCTCAGCATCTGGGCAGAATGATGGGGATGGAGACGCTCCTTCAGGTATACTGGGCCAAGGCCGTTTAGGGCTTTAAAGAGAGTCACTGGGTGCAAAAAGGTCGTTTAGTACTCACTGACTGCGTGCTGCTTGTTCATTGTAAGGGGCGTGATTGACGACCTCGTAGAAGTTTCTGGAGGCTCTTCAGAGGCACGCCGCAGCATTGCAATCAGTGGTGATTTTAGGCTTTGGGAAAGAGGTGCCAGGATTTAATCCTCTAATTTACCAGGAACGTTTAGGGGCCAGCCCAGTCCCGCTAGTCCACTGACCACACACCACAGATTGCAATACAGTGGTACCTCGGGTTACAGACACTTCAGGTTACAGACTCTGCTAACCCAGAAATAGTACCTTGGGTTAAGAACTTTGCTTCAGGAGGAGAACAGAAATTGTGTAGCGGCGGCAGTGGGAGGCCCCATTAGCTAAAGTGGTACCTCAGGTTAAGAACAGTACGGACCTCCAGAACGAATTAAGTTCTTAACCTGAGGTACCATCCAATAAGGATGTCATTAAGGGCCTTCTGATCTTCACTAACCATAACCAAATATCAAAAACTTGTAGCACAAGGAACAAATAACAGCAGAAAATGTTGTGCTAAAAAGCTGGGTTAGTTTAGCAACATTCCTCAGCTCAGCAGGTCAAATAGTAGTAAAAAAATAAAATAATCAAATGTTTCTACGTGACAGTGGATGGCTAAGGGCTACAGAGTCGGTCCTTTAATTAGGCAGAGGGAGGCAGTTTCACGAATGGGCAACAAACCATTAGCGATTTAATTTATTATTGCTGTGTTTTTTACTACCAGGGAAGAGGAAACACACTTACGTAGAAAGCTGGTTCATAGTGACTCAGGCTGTTGGTTCCTCAAGCTGGGTATTGTCTATGCTAACTGGAAGCAGCTGCGCATGGTTCCTGAGAAGTGACATTCACAGCCTTTCTCTAAGATTCTGAGAACATCATAGCTGCTCTCCTGCTGTGCTATGATGACCCTTCGCTTTTTCTGGGATTTTCTGCCTCAGGTGCCAAGAACGACTTGGCCTTGAGTTGGAGGGTGGGATGTCGTTGCCTGCTCCACCTCAGATTTGAACTGGAGCCTCACTGACTTGTTTGGATTAAGGTGCACATGCCAAAACGATGCCCCTTCAAAGGCAGTCTGGTCTACACCTGCAGAGATCCAGCCCACCCTGTCCTGTCAGCTTTTGTGAGCACTCAAAAGAGAACATAGAAGTACGGGGGGGGGGGGAGGGGACAGAGAACAAAGATTTGATGATGTCATGTAAGTTCCCCATAAAAGTGTGTTTGTGTGTGTGTGGGAAATTCTAGAGTGAAGTAGTGTGGAATTATTCTTGGTTGATTATTTCTGAGATTTGAAGGAATAGAGTGACCTCTAGTGATTAAGTTGCTTTTTCATCATTTTGGATGTTTTGGAACATCCATTTGCTATATAGACAGTATTTGTTCTGCATGCTTTGTTTGGGGTCATTCATTATGGCCGAAATGGGTTTTGTTAATCCTCCATTAAGTACCCTGGTTAATTATGAAAAGCCCACAGGTAACCATATGAATTCCAATTGTTTTTTCATAGGGTACATTTCTGGGTTTCGAATAATCCAGAGGTATGTGAGCCCAGAAGTATACAAACTTTTCCTTCAGTTTCCATAAATGGAAAAACGGTGGCAAATCCTCAAACATTTCAATACTTATGAAGTCAGAAGAAGTCAAGAAGGTATTTATCGAGCGCAATATGATTTGATGATCCACTGGATATTTGAAAATACCGTATTTTTTGCACCATAACACTCACTTTTTCCCTCCTAGAAAGTAAGGGGAAATGTCTGTGCGTGTTATGGAGGGAATGCCTACGGGTGGCATGCCTACGGATTTTCCTCCTCTAAAAACCATGTGCATGTTATGGTTGGGTGCGTGTTATAGAGCGAAAAATACGGTAGTTAACTGCTACTGCCCTTTAACTGATTAACCCACTACATAGAATTGGAAGGGACCCTGAGGGTCATCTAGTCCAAACCCTGTGCAATGCAGGAATTTCAACACGACATGGTCCCCCATCCAATTTGAAAACATACTTCACTTTGCAAATGTGCTAGCAGTTTTATTGCTGCACCACTAAATGTACACATTGCAATATGTACATGCCTACTGTTTGAGAACTCTAGAGGAAGGAAACACCTTTTCCTTTTGTTTATGTAGTTAAGGCAAAGGATCCCTGGATGGTTAAGTCCAGTCAAAGGTGACTATGGGGTACAGTGCTCATCTCGCTTTTCTGGGCCAGAATCACTACTGGCGCACAAAACACAGGTCAGTTTCACTTGGGTAGGAAGCTTCAAAGGCAAATAAATGGCCTGCAGGACAAACCATTCCTATGTTTCTTTTTCAACATATCTGGCACAGGGAGGAGGGAGCTAGAAAACCTATACAGATTGCACGGGAGCAGGGACTTCAAAAGTCCTGTCTAAGCCCCATTGAAATTGTGGGAACTGTGCAAGAGCTTCCATTCAATAGAACAGGGGACAGCAAAATTTTCAGCAGGGGGATAGTCCACTGTCCCTCAGACTTGTGGGGGGCCAGACTATATTTTGAAGGGGGGGAAATGAACAAATTCCTATGCCCTACAAATAACCCAGAGATGCATTTTAAATAAAAGCACACATTCTACTCATGTAAAAACATGCTCATTCCCGGACCGTCCACGGGTTGGATTTAGAAGGTGATTGGGCCGGATCCAGCCCTTGGGCCTTAGTTTGCCTACCCATGCAATAGAAGCTGTAGAAACAGAACAAACCTGCAGTGATAACCTGAGGTCATGCAAAGATTGTTCTGATAGGACATCTAGTGTGATGATTACAACATATCCCTCCATTTTCTGTTTTTCCTTTATTGTTTCTGGCGAGTTTTCTCTCTTTCTCCACTCTCAGTTAGTTGTCAGTGTTTTTACTGCACAGTGATTCTCGCTGGGTCTAGATGGGGTGTGAGAATTCAAACTGTCTGACTAATCTAACAGCTGGATAAATAACAGTGCCAACTGAAGTTATTGTTGGCAGCTATCAGCCTTGGAAGACAATTGAAGAGTGTGCCTTCAGGGGTGAAGTTGAACCATTGCAGATTTACAGCGCCTGCTGCGGCTGTAGGGTAATATATTAAATGTGTCAACCATTTTGGATGAATGGGGTTCTGACAAAGGTTGTTAAGCTCTGCAGCAGTTTGGAATTAGGAATATCCATATTTTCCTAACTCTTAGTAAGGTTGCAAAACAGACCCCTGCTTTCCCCACCCTCAAGTAATTAGATTAAATCTATAGACACACATTAACTTGCAAGTGATGGTGTTTGTTCAAGCTAATCTAGTGCACCTATGTGCCTGATTTTATTTGATTGGAATTTTCAACGAGAAGAAGAAAATCTTGATTATGAGCACCACACAAAAGCATCAACAATCATGTAGTGTTGCTGGTGATTTATAACTTTGCCGTCCAGTTTCCTTCCTGAGGAGGTCAGTTTGCTGATTTCCCCTTTCTTTGGCTTTCCTTTTCATCCTGGTAGGATGTGAGAGACAACAGCAACATGACAAAAGGTCAACAACACTGCGAACATTTAGAAATACATATTTAGGAAATTTGCAGATAGTCATTACAAGTTATGTATACATTTGCATTCAGAGAATCTAATGACGAGTGTTTTTATGGAAGAATGGATGCCTTTTTCAGACTATTTAAAGAAGTGTTATAGTGTGATGAACTTGCCAGCAGGGTTTGAGCTATGAACAACAGAAGGAATTAGATTATAATGTTGTGGCTTTCATTTGATAGCTAGAAAACAGGGTGTAGCAGAAGGGAAGAAACAGCAACTCCATGGAAAATGGGGTGGGAAGTCAACAAAAATAAGAGAAAACATGAAAGTGTGTTTTGACTGTGTATGTTAAAAAGGTTGAAATTTAGTAAAGCATTTTTTTACCAATACAGTGGACGCTCGGGTTGCGAACATGATCCGTGTGGGATGCGTGTTCGCAACCTGCAGCGTTTGCAACCCGCATCTGCGCATCTGCACACACGTGGGTTGCAATTCGGCGCTTCTGCGCATGCACAAAGTGCAATTTAGCGCTTCTGCGCATGCGCGACCGCTGAAACCCAGAAGTAACCTGTTCCGGTACTTCCGGGTTTCGGCGGTCCATAACCCGGAAAAATGCAACCTGAAGCATCTGTAGCCCGAGGTATGACTGTAAGTATTTACTAAAAAAGTAGGAATCAGTAAGGAGGAAGAATAGGCTGCCTTTATGTCTTCCACTTCATTCCCTTTTTAGGTAACATATTACAATTGTTGTAGCTTTCCTCCCAACAGTGACGTCCTCCAAAGTACACTGGGAATTGCATTTTACCCTCACAAAGCTACAATTCCCGACAGCCTTAACAAACTACAGTTCCCAGGATAACAGGGAAGTCTGCTTTCCAGTGTCTTGGGGGTGGGGCAGGATGAAGGTGGGGGGGGGGTGGAAGCTGCATTCCTAAAGCTTCAAATCTCAAACAGTCCAGCCCCATTAATTACAGTGGTACCTCGGGTTACATACGCTTTAGGTTACAGCCCTCCTGTGGGATTTCGGCATTCCTGGACGCCGTCCCTGATTCGCGCCACTAGCTGCAAGAACTTCAAAAGAAACAATTTGGATGAGGCGAATGCACATATTTCAAGGAAGAAGGGGGAGTAAAGACTGCTATAGAAGAGATCTCTGATAAAACAAGACAAGAATAAAACATGAGAAGATACGCCAAGACACGGTACGGCAAATGACTGATGGGGGAGGGGGGAAAAAAACTTTCCCTTCTTTTCTTATGTGATTAAACAAGAATCCCCTCCCCTTATGAGTCAGAAATGTCGTTTTAAGGACTTAAGCTGTGGATTTAAGGCTGTGTGGAGATAAACTTTCGAACCAAAGCATGTTTTAAGAAGAGCGTGGAATGTATAAGAGCTTTGGAATGACGCAGTTAAAAATGCCGTCGCCATATTGGGAAGTTCTGTCGGAGGTCTTGAGTCTGGGAGGAGAAAGAGAGAAACAAAGCTGTTTATATATTGTGGATTAAACTCCTCAGTGGGACTTAAGAGCGACAGTTTTGCGAGATTATGATGGAAAGAGCAATGTTATCTATGAAGGAGATGATATATGGAAACATCTTGATTTGAGGATTGGAAGAACGGAAAATTCACACAGGATTATTATTATTATTGGTGTTTATCGGCTTAAGGAGACTATCAGAAGAGATCATAAAGAAAAAAGAGAAAATATATGAACAAGATGTGATGTGGAAACAGCAAGATAAGATGGGATAGAATGATGAACTCTGTTTGGACTGATTTGGACTGATTTGGACATTAACGCAGTAGCAAGAAGATGATCAGAATCCCCCTTCGGATCTTGAAATATGGGTCCCCCCAACAAAATTCAAAATTTGGCTTTGTAATTCGGAATTTATGTGATGTGATTTAATTTGATGTGATTGGCCAGTTAATAAAAATTATTATTATTTTTTAAAAAAAGAACGGATCTCCGGAACGAATTAAGTACTTAACGTGAGGTACCACTGTATTATGATTTTGAGAGGAACGTCAAGCTGGGACCTTGAATGATGACACATCCATTTTACACGTGTTTGTTTCAACCCTATCTTACCTCTCATTTACAATGCCGTCCTACGGTTACATTCTTTTTCCCAGTTCTCTGCTACACCATCATAAACCAGTTGTTTAAACTTAATAAAGGGACAAGCCGCTTCACAGCCTGGCAAAACGAGCTGTTGAGGTGGAGCATCAGTACTGGTCCGATAGTACATCTCAATGGTGTACTCACTGAAA